TTTTCGTTCGTACTACTACCAACTACTACTACGTCCTCTCTCTCTCTCTCTCTCTCTCTCTCAAGGTCGTGTTTTTCATTCCTGACCATGATAGTACAAGCAAGTTACAAGATATTATAGGTGTAAAGAAGAGGAGGAGGACGGACCTCGTCACCTTGCTCGGCCCATCTGCATACATACTTACTGACTCATTGCCCGTCTTCTTTTCTTCACTTGTATCTCCTCAAGACGCGCCTCATTCTCGGCCTAAAGCATGCACATGCTCTGCCGCTGCCGCATGCACAAAAAGGACTTTTCTTGCTGCCACTATCCCAGCCATTCCCACCAACGCTGTGTTTCATCAGATGCTATTGATTATATAGCACAATGTGGGTTAGCAGCCACGGCGTCCACTTGGGGCTATCAACCCAGGCGCCACTCGAGCTACCCTGAAATAGTCCTTGCAGCAGTCTAGCTTGGGTATGTAATACATTATACTGACCATGTAACTTCTTTCTTAATACTTCCCTGTTTCCAGAGAGGCTCTTCTCGACCCATCATAGCGAGTTTCGTCGTCGTCGTCCCTCATCATCACCATCGTGCTCCTTTGCCATATATTCTTCGGACCGGCTTTCGGTGAGACACGCTTTGTCAGAGAGACATTCTGCCCTGTTTGTGTGTTCACCTGTCGTCAAGAACACGGGTACTCGAACACTCTGTCGTACCATCGACTACCGTAACAGCCGCCCGCCGTGTAATGCTCATGATTACTCGAAATTATTGTACCGCTCATGTCTGCCGTCTTTGAACGTATCCCGTTTTTTTCTTTACCAACACTTTTCCTTAGCAATCTTGGGTTTGGGCTATCCAATCTCGACCGGTTGAGGAGCACAATTATTATTCGTCACTCCTCGTATCTCGTCGGGACCTGAGAGACCAGAGAAAAGTTTATTCTCAGAGCCCCAAACATTGCCGCGAGCTTGACCTGAATCTCAGGCGCAGTTGTCTCGTTTCGGAAAAAGGCTAGGCAAAATCTCTGACTATTGGGCATCGCCCATCGTCAATTGTTTTTTTTTCCCCTTCCAAAGAACACCTTTGCTTCAGTAAGTCATTGGTCCCGACTCGTAGAGTATCTCGCACTGAACATCTGCAGCATTCAAGTTCTTTACTCGTCTATATATGCAGACAAGGATGACGGGTGGTCTTGATAGGCTGGAGAAGTTCTTCAGCTCTTCCCGGAAGAGAGAAAAGGATGTGCCGCAGAGGAGCGTGCCATTGAGGGATTTCGACTCTGTGCAAACAACAAGTCCAGGAACGGATGCCAGAGAAACCACCGTCTTTCCTTCGCCATCGTTTCTCAAGCCAACGTCATCTCGTATGCAACCGCGGGATGAGGCACAGAATGGCAAAGACAAGGCGAGATCGCGAAGTCTTCCCGACGTGAAAAAGTCTATAAGAGGACAAATGTCAGGTATCAAGTCTCTGGATGTTGAGAGAAAGACCAGAAGTTACGAGCCTAGACCACAGTCCATTCCCGAGATACCATCAACGCCTCCTCATCTTTCAGGTTTCCGCTTCCCAGAAGACTCACTGTTCCGGTCCCCGAAAACTCCTGATACTTCCAAAGGCTCGCCAGGCCGCAATGACACGAGCAATGATGCTTTGGAGTCGTCAAGGTCGGACAAGGACGGCCACCAATTGCTGGATTGGTCTCCCCGGCGTATTTCTCTCATGTTCAAACCCAACGAGCTGTTGTCCATGAATCAGAATCTTGGATTGGCCTTGAACCATGAAACCCCAGAGGACAAAACATTAATGCCGTCGCCAATGTTTGCGGTGCCTGAACACCCACCCCCCAAATCGCCCCTGCGAAGAAAAGGACTCAAGACGCCTCCGAGACCGCACACTGGACAGCCATCGAAAAGCCAGCCATGGGACTTTTCAAAGTTCCCAAGACAGTACTCTGTCATCAACTCATCCATGTGCCATACCTACTCCCCGCCAACGTCAGATAGTGAAGATGACCAATCAACTATTGTCACCATCCGATCAAATATCCATAGCAAACTAAACGCGGATGTCAGCTCCAATAGCGACTTATCGCCAAAGTCGCTCGTCACCAAAGGCCAGCAGCCCACGTCGGTTTCTGGACACAAGACTTCACGAGAAACCTGGGGCGTCAGGCGTGATGATCCCAACCTGTACACCTTGGATTCCAATGGCAGCCCCATACCACGTCTACATCTCGACAAGACAACCAATGCGTCAGACTTCATTGAGACGAGTTTTTCAGTTGTCAAGAAAAGAATCCTAGAAGAGCCCACCATCAAGGACATATATGCACTAAGTGACGAGGATATTTTCGAGGCACGGCCGTTCACACCACCACCTTCCTACCCACCCCCTCCACCCCCTCCCCCTCCCAAAGATGAAGTCCGGGTGCGCATTCGGCGGAGGACGCTCACCACCTCGACCGTCGTCGCCGTCGCCGCCCCTGCCCAGCCGCGGCGCGTCCATGCCGTCGACCCGACCAGCGGTGAAATGACGCCGCCGGAAACGCCGGTGGACCTCCAGTTCCTGGCGCCTCTGCCCGCCGCGCGCCACTCTGCCTGGGAGCTCGGCGCCCTCATGACGGCCGGCATCGCCACAAAGTTCAACTTTGACTTGATCTACCTCATCAAGGTGTGGCCGAGTAGCGAAGGGAGTCGCCGCCAAGCGTCTTTATCAAGGACTGCTTCTTGTGGCGCAACACCACATCATTCAGTAGTAGAGGTCAACAAGGGGAGTGGTGTGCTGTGTGGCGCTCCATCTACAAGAGCGGATATCTGCACACAGTACCTCGCAGCGTTTGGCCTGGACCAGGTCGGCGAGCCCTTGCAGATCCAGGCTCACGTGCTGCAAACGGCCCTGCAGACGGATAGGTGGAGCGAGCTCGACGACCCGGCCGGTCCCTTCAGTCATGGCTGGGCGTGCTCCTTGGCCAGCAAGCGAGCCTCGGTCCGGTCTCAAGATGTGGCCGACAGAAAGTCCATCATGATGGGGGGCGCAAAGAATGCTGCCAACCGGGGCGTCGTGTTTGCCGCTTATTCGAGGCGGCACAATAATACGGTACTCCCGAGGGAGTCACCGAGTACAACAAACTTCCTGGCCGAGCTGCGCGATGATGCAGAGAAACTCGCCAAGTTGGTTCTAGGAGATTACTGATGCGGTGTGAGGGCTGGCGATTTCGATCAAGACACGAACGGAGTGGGAGAGAAGACACGGGAGAGTATTGAATAAAGGGCTTGATATCCTGGACCATGAATGAATGCATGTTTTGCTTTAGCGAAGAAAGAGCAGATGGCAGTGGCGTTATAAAGAAGGGGCCAAAATAAATAAATCGTTAAAAGAACATTGACAACCAGAATATTGATGATGCTGTGCTTCCTTCTACGACAAAAGCGGAATTGTAAGTTGCAAAACAAGTATCCTGCTTGACCATTTCAAATGCCGAGGTTGATGTTGGTATTTCCAGCTTGCGCTTCACTCTTCACATTTCGATCAGAATTTGGAATAAAAAGCTCCCGTTTATTTTTTCCGGCCACATTTCGCTATATACAATTCCAAGATGCCATGTGAGAGCGAACAACTCAAAAGAATCAGAACAAATTAACCTCATACGCCATATGCCCGGAACAAAATTCGATGCTATGGGTGCACAAGCCGATGCCGTAAAAAACACTTTTTTGGTATTTTGGCGACCATGAAAATCCTCCCGTCACCCTCGTCCGTGGTATACATCCGCCCAGATATGCGAAAAAGCTCGACGACAAAACGATAAAGTCGCGATAACACATATCTTTCTCGACCAAAAGCCAAACCCCTTAGGATAGCAGAGCTCAACTTGTCGGCAACATTAAAAGCAGTCAAGATTCAGAGTGCTCCGCTTAGCCGTGGAGGCCACCGGTTCTCTCCCGCATCATCACTCTTCGCTTCTTGTCCTTCTCGCTGTCCCACACCAAGAACTCGTGCAGACCGCAGCCGGCGGGCACCATGGGCAGGACGGGAACCTTCTTGTCGGTGATGACCTCGAGCAGGGCGGGGCCATCAGACTCAATGAGCCACTTCAGGGCATCGACAGTGTCGTCGGGCTTGATGAGTCTCCGGTGCTGGATGCCCATAGCATCAGCCAGCTTCATGAAGTCGGGGTTCTTCTGGTGAGTGTGTGCGTAGCGGTCCTCGTAGAACAGGTTCTGCCATTGCGTGACCATACCCTGCTCCTCATTGTTCAGGACAATGACCTTGACGCCAATGTTGAACTGTGCTGCTGTGCTCAGCTCGGTCAGAGTCATGTTGAAAGAGGCATCACCGTCAATGTCAATGACGAGAGCATCAGGACGGGCAACCTTGGCACCAATGGCAGCAGGCAGACCGTAACCCATGGTTCCCAGACCTCCGGAGGTGACCATGGTTCGGGGGTGACGCCATCTGAAGTGCTGGGCGGTCCACATCTGGTGCTGGCCGACACCAGTTGAGATAATAGTCTCGTGCTTGCGGTCGTTGGTCAGGTTGCTGAGCTCCTCAATGAGGGTCTGGGGCTTGATAAGTCCGGCTCTCTCAGCCTTCTCGTAATCACCAAGGGGCCACTTAGTCTTCCAGGCGTTGATCTTATCGAACCATGCCTGACGATCCGAGATGGCCTTCTTCTCAACCTGGGGCAGGAGCTGAATAAGGTTGGTGGAGACATCACCCTCGACGGCCTCGGTGGCTTGAACAACCTTGTTGATGTTCTTGGGCATAATCTCAAAGTGGACGATACCTCCGCGGCCCTCGGCAGCAGCGGCCTTGGCACCAGGAGCAAACTTGTTAATGTTCAGAGTGACGCGGTCGTCGAATCGTCCTCCAAGGGCAATGATCAGGTCGGCCTCCTGGACAGCCATGTTGGCGTAGGCGGAACCGTGCATACCCAGCATGTGCAGAGACTTTTCGTCGAGCTCGTCAAATGCACCTAGGCCGTGGAGGGTGGTTGTGACGGGAATGGACGACTTGTCAGCCAGCTCCTTGAGAAGAGCAGGGCCATCGGGCGAGGAGATGATACCCTGACCAGCATAGATGACGGGCTGCTTGGCGTTGTTGATCAAGTTGGCAACGCGACGAATCGACTCGGCATTCTGTCGGCGGGTGACCTCCATGGCAGCGCGCGAGGCGGCGCTGGGAAGGGCGGGGAGAGCAGACTCGGTGGGGATAGCTCTCCTCAAGACGGCGGCGGTGACATCCTTGGGCAGGTCAACCAGGACGGGACCGGGACGACCGCTGGTGGCAATCTCGAAAGCCTCGTTGATTCTCCGGGGAAGCTCGGCAACGTTCTTGACCATGACGTTCCACTTGGTGCAGGCTCTCGAGATACCAATAACATCAGCCTCCTGGAAAGCATCGCTACCGATGGCGCTGGTGACGACCTGACCGGTGAAGACAACCATGGGAGTACCGTCAGACAGGGCATCCTGCATGGGGGTAATGACGTTGGTGGCACCTGGGCCAGAGGTGACGAGAACGACACCAGGCTTGCCAGATGCTCTGGCGTAACCCTCAGCCATGTGTCCAGCACCTTGCTCGTGTTTCGGGAGGATGAAATCGAAATGTTTCGAGTTGTAGATGGCGTCGAAGACGGGCAGAATGGCACCACCAGGATATCCGACTGTGACTCATGTTAGTTGATGGCCGCTATGCAAGTGCATAAATGTGTTTCGCCTACAGATGTGCTTGACACCTTGCCTCAGCATCATTTCGTGGAAGATTTCACCACCAGTCTTGCCAATGAACCTGCCAAACAATGGTTAGCTCGACATGCACAATTGCGGCGGGGTGACGAGACAACATACGACTCATCCATCTCTGGTTGTCTGGGGTTGACCAGAGGTTGCACATGGCCTTGCGACTTGGCATCTGCCGTGTTAAAGGCCTTTGAGGGCGATTCTCTTGCTACGCTACATTCCACGGTGTCAGTACTACAAATTGGCTCGAATTGGAGCGACAGCGATGTCGGACGAAAAGGAGAGAGCACGTACGGAGAAGAGGTTGCCGACGTGGCCTGATTCCTGGTACCAGCGGGAGTCTTGTGAGTGAGCTTGGCAGCAGCAGTCGCCGGCGAGGTGCTGAAAGACCGCTGTTGGAATCGCGAGTTTTGAGCCAGAGCCTTGACGGCTCGGCTGGCCTGGCGGGTACGGAGCATGTCTGCGGCGAAGGAGGATGGGAGACGAAAACGGCGGAAGAGGGATCGAAAGAAGGCTGTAGAGGGTCGAGATGGCTAGTCAACAATCTCGACAGGATCCGAAAAGTTGTTTAATGTCTCCCAATGGAATCCCCTTGAACCAATGCTTGATCAAAAAAATGGGAGATCGAGGAAACAAACAGCCAGGGACGAAACAATAAGAAGATCATGAACGGGGAGGTCAAATGAGTGGTGTCGAGAAAATGGGCCCAGATCCGACCGGCAATCGGGGCTCTGATTCACTGAAGCACTAAGAAAAAAAATTGAGGCTTCGGGAGAATGTGGGGTAAGAGGAGCCAAGCTAGGGAACATGTAGGGCACCTGGAGCCAATAACAGCGCAGCCAATGCAGCAAAAGTGGCGATATCGGCTATTATGTGCGTCCTCTGTCGCTTGTCAGAATTGTCTTTTCGCAGTGTCTAGGTCGGCGCAATCCAAGGGTCTTGCTCCTGCGCGGCGTTTCTCCTCCATTTGATAGTGGGATCTGGCCGAAAGTGTGTAGGTATCGTAGTAAGTCACTACGTTGACACAAACTTTTTTTTTTTTTCACACTGACCAGATTTGCCAAAAGCCAAAAGGCTTTGTTAGGGAGCACCTCAAGTCTTGAGAGCCTCTTCATGGGCATCACTCATACGGATCTTGAGGCGCTGAAACTAACCAAGCTGTATCGGAGTATATACCATCAGAGCGTCGTAGTGAACGCCTGTCAACCCACCTGTTATAGCGGTCTAGTCTGCATCAACAACCACCAATACTCCCCCCGCGACCTTACATGCTGACATGGTTGCGAACCAAGAAAGTCCTCAGCCATGCAGCAGCCACTGACGCGTGCCATTGTGAGAGCAATGCAATGCGAAACCGGCAGCTCGTGGATTCGTGGTAAATATGTTCAATGCTTGGGTTTGCAACCGCACCCTGCTGTTGTCACTGCCCACAGTTCTTTAACCCCCCAAATATAATGACAGGGCGCCAAAGGGCGCTTGAGTTGCACCGAGACTAATACTAGTCCAGCCCGAGGTCTTGTGCCCATGTTCCCCGCCATAGGACTGAAAGACACTTGATTGCTGCTTGGCATCAGTCTACTTGGTGGATGCTCGATGTGGGCGAAACATTTTCGAAACCTTGCGTTGACAAGTCTTGGCATATGAGATCCAAATAACCAGACTACCAAGTATGGCCGGCCAGCTACTATGTCAAGTGCGCCTCAAACTCGTTATAGTGAATTTATCATGACCAGATGCTTTGCTTACCGTTCTCGAAACCGCAACATCATTCGAGGTATAGTGTAGGTGACTCACGTGCCCTCCCTTATTCGGCGTCAGCACCGACAAAGTGAGTAATGCCTGATTACTTTCGTGAGCCAGTAAATTGTGAGCGTAAATTAGGTGGATCACTTGCTGCTATCAGCCAAGTGGATTGCTGTATACGTGGGTGGGTAACATGATATGAAGCATGTTACGAAGCACGACTTGTCTCTGATAATGGATATTGCTATATTTTCAGATGGTTATCAGACTTGTATTAGAGAATATCATTACTGAAGTACACCGGATTAGTCGCGCTATAGAATATATTGGTTGACGTGTCTTTCTGCTGATTCCATAATGTCGGATCCATATATTCTAGAATATGAACCTTTGGCCTTGAATACCACCTAGACGGTATTGGTGTCCTCTTCAAGTATTACTCAAAAGCACAGCTTCCAAGGGTCTAATAAGGTTTCCCCTGGCATGAACCAGACTGATTATGGACAATCATACTTGTATCCAAGCACTGCGTGGCAGAAAATAAAGTTCTCACAAACCTCAGTGCCTACATTAGTGATGCACCTGCCATTTTTGTCATCGAACTCTCATTGCTTGCATAGAGTCGACTACAAACGAGCAAAGACTGCAATTACTCACAGCTGAATTCCAGAAGAATATCTTCGTTTGTTTAGGTAATTCGAAAGACCAACACAGCTTTGTCCGTGAACTAGAACAATGGCTTATTATACCCTCTTGTTGTCTCGGTCTCTTTCTTTTGCGTTTTAGCTAACAGAGGTTGGCTGGATGTATAAACGTGCCATCAACCCATCTTAGACCTCAGAACATTCAAGCTGAACAAGATAGCAGTCTCACTCAGGGCAAACCATATTCTAAATCGATCCAAGTTCATTCAACTTGCTCAATCCGGAACAGACAGGCACCTAACAGGTAAAATGTCCAAGGGTCAAAATCTTGCAGAATCCGAGAACGCATGGCGTGCGTTGAACCAAAGAAGGGTTCAAGAGCAGGAGGCACGAATTGTCGTTCTACGGGCAACGTTAACCGAAGAGAAAACCAGATGGGGTGAACTACAAACGTGGGGATCGCATGAACTCACCGACGAACTCGAAAACTCACTATACGATTGCCAAACCCGAATGCGAGACCTTGCCGGCGAGATCAGTTGGAGAAGAACGTACGCAGAAGAATTGAGAAGGAAGCTCCGGGGAGAACCCGAGCCCGCTACCCTGTAAATACTAGCGAGGTAACTTTATACGACTTTTTGACGGTAAGTACCTGGGCAATTCGAGGCGAGGCAGAAGAAAATGAATATTCTCATATTTTCTTCAGGCCTGTTGAATTATATAGTTAATTAACAATTTTATCATTGTATCTGTTCTGGGTCCTCTGTCCATCGTATTGCTGCCAGACATGAGAGCACTCAAAATGTTGCCTCAGACTTACGTTACTTACTGCTTGGAATAACACAAGAAACGCACGCTTACAATCAGTTGCCCTCAAAATCACAACCACAGATCATCTAGACTCACTGTACTATTGCTAACAGTGTCGTTAAATCGAAGTGACAAGAAAGACCTAGATTATAGAAAGCAAAGATGATTTACAGCGCCAGATGGGGGTTAATTTAAAAGAAAAATGAAATAAAGAAACGGAAATGAAAAAGTATATCAATTCTTTAGAATATTTCTTTGGCGTCGCGAGGACAAGAACGACCCAAGTAATGTCTCAAACATGAACTCGAAAGGGCTTAGCATGTCCGTTGGGGCCATTAGCTGGGCCAATTAATCAGCATCACCAGGATGCCAGGATAACTCAGTATCATGTTACAAACCTGCCGCGCGGCCGTCTCGGCTATCTGATAGCCATCTATATCTGAAAGAGTGTGATTCATTTCATCTCCCTCTCGCAACTTATTGGTTGTTATCCTTGTGACCCATCTAGAGTATAGTAATAATACACCTACGATCGTCACTTGAGACTCGATATAGCCCCACCACTCCAGCTAGCTTCCGCGTACGAGATGGAGACAATGGCGGCACCTGAGCAAGTCAACTCTTCGACTTGCTGTCTTGTCCGGGCTGAACAGAGTGCCAGCCGGATCTGGCAGTCCGTGACAGCTTCACGCACAAGTCTACACCGGTCTTCTCCAGACCAACTGCCTGCCTCGAGCATCCCGCGGACATCCCCGGAACGCCTCGCGCAGGCATCGCCCGACTACCATGGGCCGAGGACCGCCACGACGGTGCTCTACCTGGCCTACGGCTCGAACCTGAGCGCACACACCTTCCTCGGCGTCCGCGGCATCAAGCCCATCTCCTCGATTAATGTCTCGGCCCCCGGGCTCGATCTGACCTTTGACCTGCCGGGGTTGCCGTACTCGGAGCCGTGCTTTGCCAACACGGCGCTCCGCAAGATTCCCAAGCTCCCGCTGCCGGGCGACCCCCCGATCAAGCCGCCGATTGATCTGCCCCCTCACGCCGAGAATATCTGCACGAACGACAAGTCGGGCGGCGTAGAGGCGGGACTAGGAGGGGGAGGACCCGACGTCTCATTCCCGGCACTGCCGATCCGGCGGCCGACCTGGAGCAAGGGCCTCTACGGCGTCGTCTACGAGGTGACGGCAGCAGACTACCGCAAGATCATCGCGACCGAGGGCGGAGGCACATCCTACGCCGAGATTGCGACGCTGTGCGTGGCGCTGCCGCCCGCCATCCGGGTCCCCGAGCAGCCCCCGACGATACCCGACACGAAGCCGTTTCTCGCCAAAACCCTCTACGCGCCGCGGCTGCCCAACAACGCGGAGCCGCCCGTCGACGACGACAAGAAGTGGTGGCGGAAATTTCTGCTCCCCGTGCGCCGCGCCGAAGCCGACTATGCCCAGCCCAGTCTGCGGTACCTGCGGCTGATCCGTGAGGGCGCCGCTGAACACTTTCTGCCATTCGAGTACCAGCAATACCTACAGCGGCTCGAGCATTATACGATTACCCGGCGTAAGCAAGAGATTGGTCGATTGCTCTTCTCGCTACTGTTCCTGCCTCTGCTTCTCTTGCTTGTCCTTGTGGGCAAATTCGTCTCGGACAAAGATGGCAAGCATCCTCGATGGCTGGCGGTTGTCATGGGCGTCCACTTTAATGTGATGTGGATGAGTTATGACGCTTTCTTCAAGGATACTTTTGGTGATGGAGAGCGGACCATGGAGGACGAGGAAGATGATGAAAATGATGTGACAAGGTCCATGAGCAGGAGAAGTTGGTGGCACACGAGCAATGGGGCGACGGGCGAGAAAAACCGTCTTCTTAACGATTGGTGACACGCCGTGTTATGCATCTCTGGAACTCGATTGGAAATTATGATTATTAGGCAAACTTTATCATCATTGCTGCTATACCTCTCTAAATCATGACCCATCCTGTATAAGTCTATTCCGAGTTCCGTTCCACGAACTTTGATTTCACAAAACTCCGTCCAGCAGTTCCTCGATACTAGAAGATTCCGGCAAAAGAATATTCACATCTAGTCGTCCTGAATCAGAGATAGCAGGTCAGTAGTGGGATATTTGCCCTCAATGATATCCCTGACGGCCGTGAAAAGAGGATATTCCTTCTCGAGGCCCTGCTTCTTAAGGAAGCTGTACACCTCCTGTGCAGTGGATGTTCCCTGAAGCTTTTGACCATTGAGCTCCTTGGCTTCAATTTCTGCAACGCTAACACCCTGCTCGACTGCCATCTTTGCACATCGAAAGTTTCTTCCGCTGCTGCAACTTGTGATGAGATCGGCCACACCAGCACTCTCCACGGTAAAGGTGTCGGGGTGTACTGTCTCGGCAAAGAACTCCTTGCCAAACTTGAGCATCTCACAAAGACCGACTCGGATGATTTCAGCCTTTGCGTTGTCACCCAAGCCCTGACCAATGACAAAACCGGCAGCCAAGGCGACAATATTCTTCAGAGCTCCACCGAGCGATACACCAGCCACATCCGACACCATGCGAACGCGGAAGTAGGGCCTCTGGAACAGGGTCTTGAATGTCTCGTGGTCGAGGGGAGGGAATTCGACCGGCACGGGAGTCAGCCTCGTCTTGCTTGCTCTGCCGCGTGCGTCTCTGTGCTGCATGTCCGCAAGGGGAGTGATGCTCAGTTCGGCGGCCTTGTCTCGAGGCCCATCCCGGCTAGGAGTGTGTGTGCGACTAGGCGTCTGTGTTCGAGGCGTCGGGTTGCGCGAGCTGTCCATCGGCGGGGGATCGTATGCAATGGTCGTGCCGCACCATTTCTCCGCTGCAATTTCGGATGCAATGTTGGCGCCGCTGAGAGCACCACAGTATATGCCCAGACCGTCTCCGATCCACTCCGAGAAGAGAGCGACACCCTCGTCAGAGACTTCAACACCCTTGATGCACGAGATACCACGGGCGAATGGTAGAATGTGCCCCTTGAGCTGGCTCGACACACGATGAATGAATTGGTGGGGCAAATTGAAGATCAAGATGGACGAGTCCTTGGCGGCATCGACCAAGGAGGGGTTGGCGATCAAGTTGGCGGGCAGCTTAATGTTGGGCAGGTACTTGACGTTCTCGTGGCACTTGTTGATCACATTGGTGAGCTTCTGGGGAGCGTCGCCCACAGCCGGGTCGTAGTGCGGCGAGTCCTTGGGAATAGTGACCTCCTCTTCGTAAACCCACATCTGCACCTCCTCCTCGAAAAGGTCTGAATGCTCCTTGGTGTTCTCGGCAACAATCTTTGCGACGGTAGAGCCCCAATTGCCAGAGCCGATGATGGTCACCTTGTGTCGCTGCTCGTACTTTTCGGCGCTCGCGGGGGTGAGAAGTCCGGGCGCCATCTTGTAAGTCGAGATCGTAAAGGTCCGGATGCGCTTCGGTGTTTGGTACTTGGGGTTTCGCTGGAAACTACGAGGACGGAAAAGAGGTCTCAAGCGCAAGAGCATATGCATAAATAAATCGTAGAAGTGGACAAAGGGAGAGGAGAATTCAGACACGGGATGTTGATTTTATGTGGGATGTCTTGTTCCCGAATTATTATGGATAGTTGGTATCTTGCACAAGAATTTGGTAGTCAGTACATCGATAAGGGACAGCTGACCGAGGAAGCCCGTGGTCGGCCGGTCTGTCCTGGTGGTATACCTCCCCGCCATCAACAAGTCTTGTGCTGCCACAACATGGCGGCAAGCAGTGCACTAACCTAGCACATCCCACCATTCTGTGGCTGTTGAGACTGGGATCTTCTTAGGGGGGTGACGCAAGTGGTAGAGGCAGAACCGTCCTGGAGTTGACCGCCTGCCTGGTAGGGCGAGACAGAGATCCAACGAAAAGGTTCGAAGAGCGTTGTGCCTACATTAGGTAGGGGAATAGCGACCGTTGGAGTGGCAGACAGCGGCAAAGTCCGAGAGTTACCGAGGAGATGAGAAAAGATCAGAGATATTGCCACCATCTCACAGGCCAGACATCTCGAGATACGAGGAACGAGAATCGAGTATCGAGGTCAAGAGAAACGGACTTTGATAAACATGTGAAAGTGGATATAAAGAAGTGCCGAATGAACATTCATATTTGTAGTGCATCGGCTCCCCCAGCGAGCATAACTGCACATTGTTTCTTAGCTGGTGAGCAAACCATCATGCCATCACTCGATGCTTCTCGTTCGATTTCCTTGACAATAAGTCAAGCCAGAGGATGTGGCTTGGGCATTGGCCATTGGTTTGACACCATTGTCGGGTGTCAGCCTGTGAAACGCAGAAAGTGCCCGTCGACCTCGCTGACCGGCTCGCTTTCTGTGTGACAATTCGCCAACCAAAGTCCTTACCATTCGAGCTATTCTAAGAAGGAGGGCAGCATTTTATCAAATTCCCAGCGCATGGCAGGATCCGACGAGCCTCATCCGGCCGGGCGATCAATCAGGTTTACAACCCTGCTCTGATATTCAGGAACCGACCTGACCGGGCAATCAAAACCAAACCATGCTTTTTTTTCCCGAGACGCGGCTTTTGGATTCCTCTGCAGGCTGACGGCTTGTCCTTGGCTTGCTTGGACGGCGTCTGGACTTGCAAGTCTCGCGTACAAACCCTGCAGGTTCGTGATTAGCAGTGTCGTTGGTGGTAGCTTAGCAGAGTTTCTTAGCTGCCTTTGACCTAGAGCCTTGCTGGGGGAGCATGTGGGACCACGCGGGTTGACTCCAGTCCTTCCCCCGTGGGATTGCTCCAGAGCCCAGTCTTTTACCAGTGACGTCAAGAAGATGACTCCAGACTCTGCGAATGCCCCGCATTGAGCTCGGGGCTCGTCTTCTCGAAGAGTTGCAACCCGGGAAACGGAGCTCAGCAATTGGCTGAAACCTCGTGAGAAATGGATCTCACTCCTCGAAATTTTTGTTGAAAGCGGGCAGCAGCCATCATGGTTTACAGTTGTTCATCGAGGGGAAGACAAGTCATGTTGTCTAGCTAGGTCCAGGCGCAGAATGCCAACGACTATCAGCCGCTAGTCTGCCCGTTGACTACTGCTCATTGGCTTCGCCGATTCGCGTCGTGCATATTGGGATCCATCACCAATGCCGCGCGCAGGAGAAGAACCACCTGTTGGTGTATATTTGTGTGTTTTCGATGCTGGATAATTCCCGCTCTTCCCCCATTTTCCATGTTGTCCCATGCAACAATGGGCTTGGGTCAATGTTTGTCCAGGGGCTAGAATAACAAGCTGGGCTAGGTCCCATGTGCACAACTGTCTCGCAAACCCAACCGGAAGTCACAGACATCCATCCCATTCCATTCATCCACCCCTGCTGCTGCCATCTCGTACCGTACTCTGTACCTACCTACCTACCTACCTTACTTAGCTGCCGCTTACTTGCTTGCCTTGGCACCCGACGGATGCCATCGTCGATGACGAGTCCCAAAAAGAGTACATTAATAAAGTTCCTGCATGCTGCCCGCTCCCAAGACAAGCTGGCATCGTGTCTCTTCACCGCTGACCTGACCTGACCTGACCTTACTTTACCTTACCTGACCGGCCTGTCCTCCCGGTCGTTGGGCTTGATCCTTCTCTCGGAGAGCTTCTCAGAGTCTCTCCGCCAGCCCATTGTGTAGCTCACTTTCTTTCTCGATCAGCTACATTCCTTACTGTGCAAAGACCCAAGTATTCTCGACTCCCTTGTCTGCGGCTGCTTGACGATCACGGCGACCACACATACCTGAGCCGGCAGAATCAAGATGGCTCCTAGAACCATGACCTCCAACGAGGTCTACCTCCTTCCTTTGAAGGACAATGGTGCTCCCGACGTGCCCGGCGAGTACATCTACTTGGCGCCGAAATCACAGGCGCCCATTACTATCCGATTCACCATTGAAGGCACCTCTTCCATATGTCGGCAAGGGAGCCTTTGGGTCAACATTCCGGAACAAGGCTCCCCTTTCCAGAGAGACTCCTTCCGAGAATACAAGTAAGACGGGTTCCCGTTCTTTATGGCCAATATTCGTCGCATAGACTGATACGTATTAGGCTTGATCCTGACTTTAATCGCACTCTCGAAATCTCAATCCCTATCCACGATGCTGGCGCTTTTGCCTACTATGTTACCTACGCCGAGCTGCCCGAGCTGACGACCGAGCTCGACTCCAACAAGTTGACCTCTTCCGAGAAGAAGAAATCACCTCTCTATTACATTGATGTGGCGCCGCGGCTGTCACTCGATGGCAGGCCCCTGCCCTTGCCTGCCTTGTCCCTGTTCTCCGTGATTAGCAAGTTCATGGGCAAATATCCCACTGATTGGGAAAGGCATTTGCGTGGAATTAGCGACCGAGGCTACAATATGATTCATTTCACACCACTCCAGGTTCGCGGAGATTCAAATTCACCATACAGTCTCTACGACCAGCTTGGCTGGGACCCCGACTGTTTTCCAAATGGAGAATCAGATGTTCAAAAGATGGTGACTAGCTTGGAGAAAAATCATGGACTGCTTAGTCTTACAGACATTGTGCTTAACCATGTCGCCAACAATACCAAGTGGCTAGAGGAACATCCTGATGCGGGTTACAACTTGACCACGGCACCGTGGCTGGAATCAGCCTACATTCTGGATACCAAGCTTCTTGAATTCGGTTTCAAGCTTGAAGAGTTGGGATATCCAAACGAGTTCAAGTCAGTTGACGATCTTGTCAAGGTCATGGATGGCATCAAGAAACACGTTGTTGCCGAAATCCGTCTCTGGGAGTATTATGCACTCAATGTTGACCGAGACGTGGATGCTGCTGTCGAGGCGTGGGCTGCGGGCAAGACATCTGCCGCCGCCGATCTTGACCATCTCAAGGATGCGAGCCTCAAAGACCAGGCCGAATACTTGCTCGGCAAAGGACTTCTTAACAACGATCGCTTAGGCGAACGTTTCTTTCGACGTATCGACCCAGAAGTGGCGGCTGCGTTGGCTGCCACATTGTTTGGAAAGTACCGTGGAGAGGCTGATGAGTCGACAATTCGCGCCAAGCTTGTTGAGATATTCGATGCCGCAAATGTCCGGTTTTATGACGAGTACGACAAGGAGATTGGAGAGATTCTTCAGCAGCTCTTCAATCGCATCAAATATGTTCGCATAGACGATCACGGGCCAAAACTTGGACCTGTGACCCAGAAGGACCCTCTTATTGAATCTTACTTTACCAGATTACCTCAAAACGAGACTACTTCCAAGCACAAAAAGCAGGACTTGGTGCTGGTCAACAATGGTTGGGTTTGGGCTGGCAATGCTCTGATTGACAACGCAGGGCCTTTGTCTAGGGTTTATCTTCGCCGTGAGGTGATCGTCTGGGGAGACTGTGTCAAGCTTCGATACGGCAGTGGGCCGCAAGACAGTCCGTTTTTGTGGGAGTACATGACCAAGTACGCGCGTATGCTGGCCAAGTACTTTGCCGGATTCCGTATCGACAACTGCCACTCTACTCCAATCCATGTGGCTGAACATATCCTCGATGAAGCTCGCCGCGTTAGACCGAACCTCTACGTTGTGGCTGAACTTTTCACCGGATCCGAGGAAATGGACTATGTTTTCGTAAAGCGACTAGGAATCAGTGCGCTCATTCGAGAAGCCATGCAAGCCTGGAGCACTGCGGAGATGAGCAGACTTGTCCATCGTCACGGTGGCCGCCCGATTGGGTCCTTCGAGGTGAATGACGTCTCCAAGACGGGTTCGCAGAACCCAGGAAGTCCCCCTATGAGTCCGGGTGTCAATGGTGCGACCACACGCGAGATCGTCAGGCGGGTCCAAGCAGTACCCATACAGGCACTGTTCATGGATTGCACACACGATAATGAAGTCCCTGCGCAGAAGAGAGATGCCCGCGACACTCTTCCCAACGCAGCTTTGGTCAGCATGTGTTCTAGTGCGACTGGCAGTGTCATGGGTTACGATGAAATCTACCCGAAACTCGTGGATTTGGTCAACGAGACGAGGCTGTACACATCCGAGTCCTCGGAAAAGGCAGTCAAGGTTGGCGGTGGAAAGGGAGGTATCGGCGGTGTCAAGAAGTTGCTCAACCAAATCCATACTCTCATGGGCATGGATGGCTACGATGAAACTCATATCCATCATGAAGACCAGTACGTCACAGTGCACAGAGTCCACCCAGAGTCGAGAAAAGGTTACTTCCTCATTGCGCACACTGCTTATCCGGGCTACGGCAACGGCAACGGAGCTTTCAACGCCGTTCACCTGACGGGCACTAAGGCACGGCATCTTGGAAGTTGGATGCTCGAGGTGGAAAGTGATGAAGCTGCTCAGAAGACTGTGCTTGAAGACAAGAAATACCTCAAGGGTCTGCCCAGCCGCGTAGTTGATGTACCCGGCATTCGCATGGAAGTCAAGGGTGACGAAACTATCATCACGGTCCGCGACAAATTCCCTCCCGGTTCCATTGCGCTGTTTGAGACCTGGATCCCCGCTGCTGAGCACTCGGTGGGATTGGACAACTATGTCACCTCGGGAGCAAAGGCTGCCATGTCCGAGCTAGACTTAGTAGATCTCAACTTCCTCCTCTTCCGCTGTGATGCAGAGGAGCGTGATGGAAGCGATGGCAAGGACGGAGCCTACGATATTCCTGGACACGGCAAGACGATATATGCCGGTCTTCAGGGCTGGTGGAGCATCCTGAAGGATGTTATCAAAGACAACAACCTCGCTCATCCTTTGTGCCAGCATTTGCGTGATGGACAGTGGGCCTTGGACTACACAATTGGTCGCTTGGAAAGGGCTAGCCAACAAGACCACTGGAAGGGGCTTGCCGTGCCAGCATCATGGTTAAAAGAGCGCTTTGACGCAATTCGAAAGGTTCCAAGCTTTCTGTTGCCACGATACTTTGCCTTGGTGATCCGAACGGCATACAAGGCAGCATGGGAACGTAGTCTTGAGCTGATGAACGAGAACACCCGCGATGGCCAATGGTTCCTCCAGAGTCTGGCCATGGTTAGCGTCCAGCAGACCGGAATCGTCAAGTCCGGCTCATTGTGGCCGTCAAAGCTTGTCCCTTCGCTGGCTGCTGGTTTGCCCCATTTCGCTGTGGAATGGGCTCGCTGTTGGGGTCGTGACGTCTTCATCTCTCTCCGTGGACTTTATCTGGGTACAGGCCGCTTTGAGGAGGCTGCAGAGCACATCTTTGCTTTTGCCAGCGTACTCAAGCACGGAATGATTCCCAATCTCCTGAGCAGCGGAAATCTACCAAGATATAACAGCAGAGATTCTGTGTGGTTCTTCTTGCAGACGATTCAAGACTATGTTCGGTTCGCTCCAAACGGAATTGATTTCCTGAAGCGAAAGGTCAAGCGCCGCTTCTTGCCATACGATGATACTTGGTTCCCTTCAGATGACCCCCGCGCCTATTCCACTGAGAGCATCATCCACGACGTAATTCAGGAGGCGTTGCAACGTCATGCCTCTGGAATGAAGTTCCGCGAAGCCAATGCCGGCCCCAGTATCGATGCTCAGATGCGTGATGAGGGCTTCAATATTGAGATTAATGTAGACTGGTCCAATGGCATCATCTTTGGTGGTAATCAGTTCAACTGTGGAACATGGATGGACAAGATGGGTGAAAGCGAACGGGCAAATTCCAAGGGTATCCCAGGAACACCAAGAGACGGCGCTGCCATTGAAATCACTGGTCTACTCTACAGCACCTTGAGATGGGTCGCCAAGCTTGCTTCGGAGGACAAGTACCCGTACAAGGGAGTGAAGAAGGCCGACGGCTCAGAGATCACCTTTACCGAATGGGCCGATCTTGTCAAGTCGAGCTTCGAATACAGTTACTACGTGCCGACCGACGCAGCAGATGACAGCAAGTATGCCGTCAACTCGCAAGTCGTCAATCGCAGAGGTATCTACAAGGATCTCTTCCGCTCGGGCAAGGAATACGAGGACTACCAACTTCGCCCCAACTTTGCCATTGCCATGACCGTTGCTCCGGATCTATTCGAGCCGTCACACGCGTGGGGTGCCCTCCTCTTGGCCGACAAGGTCCTCCGTGGCCCAACCGGAATGGCAACATTGGACCCCAGCGATTTGAACTACCGCCCATACTATGTCAACAGCGAAGACAGCGATGACTTTGCGACTTCAAAGGGCAGAAACTACCACCAGGGTCCAGAGTGGCTCTGGCCAACAGGTTTCTTCCTCCGCGCCTTGTTGAAGTTTGATCTTGAGCGTCGTCAGGGCAGCCAAGAGGGTCGTGTCGAGGCCTTCCAGCAGGTCACACGGCGCCTTGAAGGTTGCAAGGAAATGATCCAAAGCAGCCCATGGGCAGGTCTGCAGGAACTCACGCAGAAGAATGGCGAATACTGTAGTGATTCGAGTCCCACCCAAGCATGGAGTGCCGGTTGTTTGATAGATCTCTACATGGATGCTGCAGAATACACAACCAGAGCCTGATGTACTGCTGGCATATGGTACATAGATAATTAGATGGTTCAAGAAAATGGGTCGAGTTCTAGAGGCTCAAGAGCGGCCTATTCGGTAGGGCCGATAGGGGGTATAGCATGACAGTAAACGAAGTTATGATCAATTGGAGTTTATGAGTTTTGACCTGTTTAGCTTTTATTATCCGTGGTCGTTCTGGGATGATATCGTCCGATTTAATTACATAATTTCATTAAGCATCTGGACTTGAATAGGAATTTGTGAGATTGCGGTCAGTCAAAAACAGCAAGTCATCCAAGACCAAGTCCCGTATCATGATCCCGCAATCTTTACATGTGCCAACACATAAGGGCTAGCATAATAGGTCACCTAGTCATATAATCTTTGATATCGCACGATTTTAGTCCTTGTAATATATCCCAGACCGGAAGATTTCAAGATGCAAGACCTGTCGCATCACCCTCATCTTTCAGTGTTTAAATTGGAATTATAGATGGACAGTAGACGCTATTTTTGTTCCAAAGATTAAAACATTGTTAATTACATAATACTCTGATGGACTTGACATGACGAGTGCCTTTACTCTTCTTCGAGCGCGGAGATTGCCAGAGCGAGCCTGTTGATAGTGAGGAGAACGAACGAGGATTTGGGATGATACCGTGGCTGAACAATGAGCAACACCGAGGTCCTTGAGGAGGTGCGTAGTGAACAGTTTAGGAACTCTGACACTACTAACCAAAGAAGTGATTAGAATGAAGAATTATTATTGTTATCATGACGAAATGGTGAGACCGGTAAAGGGCATGCCATGTGGAATTCTGTCTTCTTTGGAGGCGCTGAGCGCCCCTTGACTTGCATGGACGTTGCAAGAGCAGCGGCTCATAAACTGGTTCAGGTCTAGACACACGAGGCTCAAAGGACTCGGCACGAAAGTCGCACCCCATAACGGGTGGATAGCGTCGGTATAGGGGTGAGAGTTGACGTGCTACATGGCCATGTGCCGTTGAGAGTATTTTTGGGCTGGACTCTTCCCCGAGACATTCTCAACTAGAACCACGTGGGAGGATCGTATCAGAAAGCCTTGGAATTTTTAGCTTTGAGGAAAGTAAAGACAATCGGGATAAAAGAAAAGGCGAAAAAATAATCGCACCTTATCATGGCACGATAACTTTCAAGGGACAATAGCTCCGAAGACTCAAAGTCTTTGTATAGGGGAGCAAAGCCGATTGGGTCAAATCTAAACACGGACTGATCCTATCTGTGGCTTCGGTTTTCCCTTCTAAGTGACCGGTTGAAGGGACAAACCAGCCATCGACTAGCCGGATATTGAACCGCTAGATCTTTCCTGGCTCGGGAATACAGACCATCACCAGTGATGAGTTGTCTTTTCGTTTCGTGATAGTTCTCATGGGTTTGGGGCCCAACTTGCCATGGTATTCATTTTCGCTGATCTCGCGATCGAGACTCGTCGGATGAAGTCTATTTGGCAGCGGGCCCAGATTATACCGGTAGAAAGAGGCATGTCTTCGGTATCGACAGTCCAATACAATGGCCTTGTGTCTGCCACACATGCTGCGTCCTCCCGTGAAGCATGGGTATCTCTTTGCTATTGACCCCTGTATTATGTCGCAAGGAACTGCCGTCGACCCTTCACGCGCGCTCGGAACCATAGTCTTCTAGATAATCGTCGGAGGGGAGACGCCATGATCTGATCTTCCTGGTTGGCTTGGAGCAAACATACGTAATTATGAGGCGATTGAGGTTGAAGGCAAAAGAATGTCTGACACGGCCTATTTCGGCGTGCGCCCACGCTTGACAACGCATCTTCTACCGGTGTCAATGGCACACCTAGTACCCGTTGGCCAACGTCCCTGTCGTTTGAGGTCGTCTCTATAGGGTATGCCATGATTTAGTGCCTGCGTCTATCCGTCTTGGCATGCTAAAAGCAACGGCCCCCTCAGTGCGTCTCGGTGGTGAGTCCGGGTCCCAGCCCGTGGCCAATGAGCCGCTCGCCCAATGGCACCTCTCGCTAAGTACTGCGTTATTCGGGGGAGGCTCTGAGTTGTCCAAGGCTGGAGTGCGAGAAAATACCCCATGAACCCAAGGCCGGGTTCTAGCCTTTGGCAATGTTTCCGTATCAGGCAACCGTAGCGATAGTCTGACACGGAAAGGCGGGAGGGCTGTATCTTCTGTTTGGCCAGATGTGACGTTCACAAGATATACTATACTGACTACCTGGAAGCTTGTAGGTAGTACATGCCGCCAGGTTCATGATAGGCATCTGGACGTATATCATCAAGTAGAAGCACATATCTACGAGGCAGTCAGTCCATGACACCTGAACGAGCCTCTAACACCTGAAACAACAAGATACCGCATCCCACAAGCTATACGCTTGAACAGTTGAATATGCCTTGCCCCTAAATCGAATAAGGTTCAGAATAAGCAACCCGACGGGAGCCGTATAATTCTTTGTTGCAATCGGGAACCCGGAGCCAGTTAAGCGAGAGCACCCAAGCACTGGGACAGTCTAGATACTGCCAATGCCAGTTTTTCTCTCGGAATAATAGGCGCAAAATGGCCGCACAGGAAGAGGCCAAGGTCGACCAGTATCGTGGATTGGATTCGTGTGGTGTATAAAAACATGTTGATATCCGTCCTCGAGTCGCTTCTCAGGCATTCTCGAGTAGAGAATTTCGCCATCCTTAATCAGCTTCAACACGTCACGGAGAGAAAACTCATGACAAGCATTCTCTGAGACACCTCACGACCAATACTTTAGCATGTCTCCATCTAGCAAGAAGTCCAAGAAGGCCTACAGTAGTTCAACTCGTGAGTTGCCCCCAGCAGAGCGATTCCTCCATGTCTTGGTCTGATGCAGTGCAGATTCGAGCTCCCACGTTCCTGTATCATCTGCCGTAACTGAGCAGTGGGTTCACACCCAAGCCGTCGAAGGACCCTGGGACAACATTGCCTTTGCAGCGGGCACATGGCCGAGCAACGTACAGAGCAGCAGCACATATGCCGAGTCTGTGCAAGCTAGCCAGGGCTCAGTGAAGCATAGCCACAAGCATGAACATCATAAGAAGAGTGGTGGCAAGAAGTAGAAACGACTGATTCGTCTCTCATGTCTGAAGAGGCAAGGACAAACCATAAGTCTCATTGGCAGATGTCTAATCTGCTGCTTTGCCTTGGTCGATTGATACTATAAGCTGGAAGATTCGACCTTTTGGGATCCCTCCTTTTGTTCCAGGCCGAAACGAATGGTAGCAAAGATTCAAGTCTGTTAGGCGTACTGAAGGATACATGGCCACTGTTTAGCTATACACTTGTGAGCCGGCCTATCTCGAGTAATTGTACTTGAATAAAGTATTAATCAAACTGAATACTATATTCTGAAAAGAAAACTGAGGTCTCAGCTCGAAAGGTCAAACCTCTGTTCTTGATTTTCATTTCACGTAGTTCACCGGCACCAGAGTCATCACTGAGACCCATTGGTATTCTGTAGAGTGCCATAATATGTTTGATGCATCTGACCTCCAGCCTTGATTCGAAAAAAGATACTCGAGGCTGGATTCGAATGCAGATAACATGTGTCATGGATGAGTGGTTCCCGATACCATTGAGGATGACTGACGTCCAATGAGACTTGTGATGCCTTGAGTTTGCATTGCTCGAAACGATGGCTCCGGGAATCAGTACTAGAAGGCTGTTAGGCCTTGGGTGACGAGCAACCGTCGTTATCGAATTGGTGATCAGAAATAGCCACATTGTCGTGGGTATTGTTCGACAATTGATGGTTTCTACTGTCGCATTACCAACAGGTACCATGGCCGTGGAATGGGGAGGAGCGGTCATTAGCGCACAATATTGAAGCAGTGGATTAGCAAGGTCCAATTGTCCGATCTATTGTCGACTGTACTCTGTAGATCAATGGAAACGTACAGATGATCGCTTCCCATATGGAGCACATGTATTCGCTAACATGCATGCTTATGCCCGGCTAGTCCGGAGGCCCGGCAGTACGGTTCAAGGTACGAATCGACTTGTTCGACCATGAATAATATGTTAGTATGTATTGCCAGTGTAATATGGCAAGCTAAACCACCATTCCAACTGCTGATGCCGTGTTGTTCCATGATGAAAAGACTGACGGCAATGAGTCGTGATTGGCACAGTGGAATACAACGGTGCAAGATCTTGCAGGGGTGGAGTCCGCAGCAGCCGGAATTATTAGTGGCCGCTGAACTGCAGAAGTGTAGGGGTTGTATTGGCTTCAACGTCTTTTGCGTACGAATCGTACATTGCAGTGAGCCAATGGTTGGACATGTAGCTCGTCTGCCAGTCTTGGGGTATTGTCATTTGGCCGCGTATACTGCTTCGGACGTGAGGTGTATGGAGTCATTCGGTGCAATGAACACGGCAAGATCGGGAACGGAGGTCCCTTGGTGCGTTAGGTTATGATTCGTCTGTTGCTAGCAGAGGCCGTTGGTATGGGATGGAGAAAGAAGAAAAAAGGTGTTGGAAGTGATGCAAGCAATGAATACCCAGCCAGCGATGGCTAGGATTATCATCCTTTGTCATCCCACGATCTCCCATGTCTAGTAGTAGTACTGCGTCCATTGCAGGTCCCCTGCTGTGTTCAATCAACGAAGCGCGAAGGGTTGGTTGTGTTCAATGTTGTTGGTAACCGGGTTCGGTCTTTTCTCTCTCTCGAATTATTAGCGACAAGATGCTGGGGTCCTACCGAGCAGAGTTTGCACCTTCCTGCCCAACATGATTCTCAATTTGCAGCAATGCCGAGGACATTGTCTCGCCGCAATATTTGCATAGCATAAATGATACAGAGCATAAACACAAAAGAGGTTATTCTACTGAACTCTAGATGTGATTTCGTTCATTCTTGGGCCGGTACACAACACGTTTGAGTAGATGTTTGATGATTTCTGCCAAAACTGAACAAAGCAAACAATTACCTACAACAAAACTATTAAACAATGAATACCGTGGCCATACCGCGTAACACGACACGAAATCGTTGAAAACTCTGCATGACGTCAAGGCAAGCGGAAATTAGCAGCACCTCGAGCCGGTCCGGGGAAGGAATTAGTGATTTCAAGACATGGAAATTTTCTTTCTTCTTCTCTACTGTGTGCATGTTCCAATGGCAAAAATGGGTATCCCTGGGAATTGGGTGCCGAGAGCCGCTGTTTTTGGTTTGCTTAGCCCCTGATGTACCTACGATCTTAGTACATTAGGCCTGGACTTGGATTGCGTTAAGTTACCAGCTCCAAACACCGGCCTCGCCGTTCACTGTTAATAAGCTTCTTTTCTTCGACTTTTTAAGCATGAAATCACCGACTTGGATCCAGGCTGGGGCAATTGTACTATTGAATCGAGGCATGTCGCCAAGATGAGTCCGTGACTTCCGCTTACCTGAGTCTGTAACCAGGTGTAAAAATCAAAAGGCCATGTCGCAAGGTCGTATCGTATCCAAGACTTGCAAAGGTTGGGGTTTTAAGGCAAGATCAAAATAGCCACATGTGTTACCGCCGAATGACCTGGGGTAGGACAAATTGACTTTTTTCTGATGGAGAGTCTGGCCAATGCAACGGGGGTCCTCGAGACGTTTGTTTGCAAGGAACATTTCAGAGGTATTCCTGGAAGCTTGTCCGTTCTGTACGGGAATATGCCGAGTCTGGTGGGCTGACCTTGTGGTACCTCCCTACAAGTAATATAGGTCCCCATTTCTCGTTCCTTCACAATCAATCCCATATATATTTGTTACCTTGTCATTATTCCATCGCGTCGGTCGTCCCTCGCGTGTCAGTCAGATGCGTTGCCGGCATGTGCCATGCATTCTCACCCTGCCCTCGCCTCGCGTATTGTAATGAGCGTAGCATGGGGGGTGACGCGTATTATTATCGCTCTCTCTGCTTATGGCTGGACCCTCCCCCGTCAGAAACCTGGACCAGCGTTTTGCTGCTGGTTGAGCCTCTTTTTCTCCAAATTCCCCCTTCTCATTACGAGCTTACCAGTTACTTCGGCCGCGGGAAGGAAGCTGCGCTATTGCCATGCTGCATACATTAGGTCTGATCCAGCCACGATAAGATCTGGGTTCCTGACTGAGGTACCCAAGTGCTGCCTCCTACCTAATGTACTAAACCACTACAAACTAGACGGACAGTACAGGTACGGTACTCGGGCAAGGGGGTGGCCAAACTTCAGGTGAGGGTAAAAAGGCACGGATGACAGGCGGCCGGAATGGTTTTGCTCACCTCTGTTTCGCAAGTGCGGGACAGCCATTTCTGGCTTGTGTAGATCAGGAGAATACTCATTCATAATAAAAATTGAAAAGCAAGAACAAGACTGTGTTTTTCAGTGAGTAATAGTGTGTATCACAAGAACAAAGATGAAGCTGTCCGTCGTGGTGAATTGACCAAAGAGCAGCAAAAATGTCCTGGCTGAAAGAGTGTCTGGTGTGTGCACTGCGTGTTTTTGGCGAGATGATGGAGGGACAAAATGATGGACCTAAAATGCATTTTCTCAGGTGCAGTGTGTCCACGTTCCAGCGCCGATTGAAGCTTGTCAAGGCCCGGTCAACACCCAGTGACTTGGCTGAACACATAGTTGTCTCTGCCAATTCCAACCTTCCTCAAGGTCCGCCACCTTGGCCACATATGGGGTCAACTCTACTTGACAACAGGAGGCAAGGGTAAATTGTACCGTTGATAAATAGAAACGAGTGACGGCAGCGTTTGCTACCTCTATCTCTCCCTGCGAATACAGCAAAAGTGAGTGCTGCTTTTACACTATTATTGCATTGCAGACCTCAATGAACAGATACAGTAGATGCGCCTGTCAGCATTGACGAAACCCAAGTAAATCCTTGGTAGTGGGTGTACCCTAGGTAGGGGTCAAGGGTCGTGGTGCTGTCCAGCGGGTTACTTTACCGTTTTTACTTTACCCTTTCAAAGTACCTTGACCATGCAGTAGGCTGTGGAGGGTACTTTCATGCATCTAGTCCATACATACAGTGGCTACCTACCTACATTACCAGTGCCAGACAGACAGACCTACAGTGGCCCCAGCATCAATCAGCACGAGCAGGTGCACTAGGTCGTTCCCAGCTTGGCGCCAATATTCCGCTCGGCTGCCCAGGCCGAGTCATCAGCTCATCTCATTCACCAACACGGTCGGAGGCCCAAATTGAAAGTTCAGCGTCTGTCTCTCTCTCGCTTTTTTGGCGCCGTGCTGCATTCTTTCTGCCTGTCCGCCTACACTGCAACTCTGTTCTGGCCTCTTTTTCTCTTTCTCCCTCACTGTCCGTACCCAATCTCCCCCAGGTACCGCCAAATCGCCAAAACCCTCGACATTCGTTTTATCTGGCGACAAACAGACGAGTCCGACTGCTTTTGCACTTTCTCCTTACCCCAGTCTGTCTTGCTCTGGCATCTGCAGCAGAAACCAAATTACCCACCAGCTGCCTCGCCGCAAAGTCGATCCATCTCGCGGCAGATCACCTTGCGCCAAGACATACCGTACACATTCCAGCCAAACTCCGACGCCCGACTTGCCCTTCCACCCCCCAAGGACGCTCGCTGTCTGGCATTTCCGCTGCTTCACAGATCCAAACGCGACGGCACTCAACCACAAAAGCGACTCGACGATTTCCACCTTGTCGCGTCTTTTGCGTTTATAGGTTTTTCAAACGACACTTCTGATCGCCTGCTCTGCGCGGGTTCTAGTCCGATAGTACCCATACTCGCTTGCGGAGGGCCCCGGGGGCTTCCAGTGCACTTCTCGCTGCTGTGACTTGGAAACACAGCACAACAATACGATCGCCGACAGCGCACCAGTTGGCATACAGACCAAGAAGTCGCCAGGAAGATTTGCACTGTTGGGACAATTACTGCGCACTGCCAGTCTCGTTGACCTCTTGCATCGCGCCTCATTTTCCCGCTCTTGCCGGATCTTGAATCGAATCTCCCAACCATCATGTGTATGGCTCCCTACCCCAAGTACCTTATTGGTCCCAAACTACCTTGGAGCTATAACACCATGTCGTCTGATGTTTGCAAAAACCCCTTACTGACTGTCCTGTTCAGCCGACCCAACAACTACGGTAGTGCCTTTCTCGGCTCTGCCATCATGTGCAGTTAGCTGTGGTCCTCTCTACGACGCAAACGGTGCTTGTGTGCCACCAGCTGCAGCGACAGCAAACGCGGTTGTCTATGATCAATGCTTCTGTAGCTACAGTGCTCTCCAAGCGTTCAGTTCAACTACCGCCGGTGTGTGCGATGCCGCCTGTACGGGGGAAGCCGATGGGCTATCAAGTATACAAAGCTGGTTCACGAGTTTCTGTGCATCGGCAGCAACAGCAACAGATAGTTCGTCAACATCGACCAGTACCAGCTCGAGCAAGGGCTCTAGCAATTCAGGTGGAGGTGACTGGTCAGTTTCGCTCCAGGAACTTGTAGCGGAAGTGGGTCTAACACAGCACACAGGATGTCAAATCACTGGAAATGGGTCATCATGATCGTCATCGTCGTGGTCGGCATTGGCGGCATCTGGATCGGCGCTTGCATCTGGCGACGCAAGTATCTCAAGAAGAAGGATCGCATGTACGAGCTCGGAAAGGGTCTGCCCAGCACGGTTGCTGTCAATGCTCAAGGAAAGCTCGTTGGACCTGGAGCGAGGACAAGCGACCAGCCGGGACTCTTCATGTCCGGCCCGGGCACGGAGGCGGGAGCTGAGAAGCCCAAGAAGGAAAGGAAACGCTGGAATGTCAAAGAACGAACATGATCTGCTGTATCAATTTGATACTTGCTGGGGCGAATCTATTAACCCTACTTTGATACCCTCCAAAAATGGTGGTGCTAGCTGTTGCGATATTGATTTTTTCAGCATATATCTGCCTTTCCACCCAAATACAACAATTCGGCGTATCGCATGGCAACATTTATAGGCGTTTCGAGGGGGCGGACGCGCTTGGGCTGACTTATTGGGGCATTGGCTTGGAAGCCGCAAAGGAGTTGCAAGCGGATGTACATTTTTGATCTGATCCTCAGCTGGGGATTGCTGTCCCGGATCTATCCTTGCAGAACTGGGCAATGTCATATCCGCGTGCATACACAGGGCGAGAAGAAGAAAAACGACCTGCACGGAATACCCCGCTGGCTTGAGCAGGAGCCAGCATTTGACGAACAGGATTGAATCATAATACAACCGATCCGGCTCTTCATGAAGAAAATAGTAATGGAATGTTTCTTGTCAAATAATCTGAACGGGCTTGGCCATTATCTGCGAATATTATTCGTGTCAAACAACCATGATATACCACGGGGAAACCCAAGACCAGTCCAGAGTCCGATAATTCGACCATGTCAGGACGATGAACCCGGTCATGGCCGTCAAGATAAACCCCCGCAAGAATCCAGAAATCTCTAGCAGCATGACGTGGGATAACTTGCAATGTACGACCCCTGATAGGTTTGTGCGACAGGACAAGATGTAGAGCCGCCAACGCAGGTTACCATGCACGTATAGGTACAATGAGTCCAACATCAGGCCTCTTTCAAACAAGGCTTTGAAGAACTAGAAGATGCAAGATAATTTTGACTAGGACAAGGCTCTGTTTATGTGATTATCCCAGTGATTTGGGCCATGGTGCCAAGACAAAATTTTGTACTTGATGCATTCCCTACGTCGTGGATTTTTGCCTTCACTGCGGAGTTTATATAATGCCAGAAAGGAGGATGTTTTTCATTTCCATGTTTTCCTATAGCTTGTCCTTTGCGGCGCCAAGTTACAGCCTTTCCCCATTAACTCATCACCGTCATGCAGATGAAGCATTGAAGAAATATGGCACCTTGTTCTGCAACCTTGGGGCAGTGTCTCATGTGGTACCTTGAGAGCTACGACAGGCTGCTTTTGGATGAGTTGACGCGATTTTACTTGCCCTTTTCAGACTTCTTGATGCAAAGCTGGCTATTTCTCTACCTGCTGTCCACGGTCAAGTCAAGCCGTGTCTGCATCTGCAAACATCATATAGTGACAACATAATATTCCATGTATTCAAGCAGTCGTGATCATCTCCAAATGATACGGACCGGTTCCAAAGTATTCAAAAGTCTCTCAATCACATGAGCTCTCTCAAGTGTTTCCTACAAGTATGATGAGATCTCTCATCGCGTGGCAGGCGTTGGATATAGCTAGCTGATTAGGAAATCAATTCTCCTTTCGTCCTTTGAACTCTCTTTCTCCCCCTCCTCTAACATCATTTAATAACGGTCTCCGAAATGTATGTCTGCCCCATCTATAGAACTTTTCCTCGGAAACGAGCAAATCTTCAACAGGCTGTACTCCTCGAGGTAATACAATCTGCAACATCCTCTTCTTCTGCGACTATTTCAAGTCACATCCAAAATGTTATAGCTTTCCTGGTTTGGAGTATTTACGCCCCGGTCGTTGAAAAGGACGGTCTTCGGTCCAAGCTAATGTATATCGTACACTAGGAAGGCAAATACCATGTCGGTTCAATCATGAGCTATGGAATTCTTAAGCTAATCACCTCTATCTCTTGTGCATTACCGCCCGCTCAAGAGACCGTAGATTTTACGGTATTTACGGGGCCAGCCCTATTAGCAATATTAATTCTTTGGGACCAAGTCACACTTCTAAGCACCAATTTCTAACATTGACTACAATTGAGCCCACGCTTCTGTGGTGATGAGTGTGGGAACTTGAAGAAAGCAAGCCACCGTTTTTCCGATAGAGACCCCCATTGAACGAACCAGCTTATCCCAGTCTTATATCAACAAACTAGAAGCCCGATTGGAGGGGTGGGCCATAACGCCCAATTCAGTGCCCACCAAGTCGATCAAGCTCGCCTTTTTCCTTACTCATCGCTGGGCACTAGTAGTAAAATTTTTGCACAAGTCATGATTTTTAATAAGAGCGACTCGATCTCAACAGATCACAACAGCCCCGCTGGCTCAATGGTAGAGCATTAGACTTCTACGCATTCGCTTTCAGGAAGATGATGATTTCGTCCCATGAAAGACGCTGCTGAGGGATCTAAAGGTTGCGGGTTCGACCCCCGCGTGGGGTTCAATACCTCCGGTGGACGCCCCAGGTATCTGACTTTCTTCGGTTGGTGCATGGGTCAAATTTTTTATGGCCTCTAAGCAGGCAAAGAAAGGACCTTGAACGCATACATCGATATACATTATTATATACGCTGCCTTGACAGGCTAGGATAATAAGTATTTTTTTAAGGTATTATTTCTTTTTTGCAAAGGTTAGAAGAAGAAGAAAAAAGGTAGAATCCTAGAGAAATTAATATAATGCCAGTCTTTTCGGAATACTTATCTACCTTCTATTCCCTTGAATTCTCCTTTCTCCGGCGGTTTGTAAATTATATAAATTGCAAACATGTTTTTATTGCCTTTTTATTTACATCATTAGGGATCTTCTGGAGACTTTGCAAATCTACCTTGATTTCTACTCCAAGGTCCAATTGCCCTCGGCTCTCCTCGTCTTGTACCAGTCCTGTACATATGGCAGGGTAACATGAGCACCGTACGGGTCCTCGTTCCATTGCGGCTCGGGAGCCGGCAGTCCCGTGTCGTCGAGGCAGCGGGCGCGGAGCTCCTCGAGCGAGCCGCCGCGGTTGTAGATGCTGGGATACTCCTTCTTGTCGGCGCGCAGGCGAACGCGCAGGGCCTCGGTCCCGGACGCGTCGACGGCAAAGGTGGTCGGGTCGACGACGACGCCGTAATTGTCGCGCGCGCCGGCGACCGTCACGAGCTTCTGGTGGACCTCGAGGGCCACGGTCTCGGCGGGCCGGGTGAGGGCGTCGCCTAGACCGCCGCCGCCCCAGGTAATGTGCTCGAGAACGTCGCCCGGCAGGACCTTGACGTGATCACACTTGCTGGGCAGATATTCTGGTCTCGGGTCTTTGCCCTGCGAGTATCGGTACAAGACCTTGCGGCTTCGCTTTCCGGGCTGGCCGCCGTCGATGCCCCACGGGTGGGTGAACCAGCGGTCGTCGTGGAGGGAGAACTCGCCGCGGTTGAGGAAGCGGTAGCGGGTGCGGTGCGCATTGCCGCCGCGGTAAAAGCCGGCGCCGCCCGTGTCGGCCAGGGACTCGTTGGCCTCAATGAGCAAGGGGAAGGCGAGCTCGATGGACTCGGTGGGCACCGACTTGATGGCCGGGAACAGACAATGCATGTCTGGGCCGTCTCCGACGGGCCGGGCAGGGACGCCACCAAAGGCAATCTGATAGAGCTGGAACCAGGTGCCGTCTGGCTTCCACCCCGAGTAGAAAAAGTGCGGGCTATCGCTGAAGCCGGCCGCGGCGCGGTACGCCTTGTTGTGCTGACCCATGAGCGCCTGGATTATGTCCATGACCCGACCAAGCAGATGTGTTCTACAACTCAGGGCGGCCGGGCGGATGGGCTTGAGGATGCTGCCCTCGGGTATGGCGACCTCGATAAAATCGTACAGGCCCTCGTTGACGACACAGTGAGGATCAAAGACGGCCAGCAGGTAATACCCCACAAACATCTTGAACATGGTCGGCGACAGATAAAAGTTGAGCGCCGTGTTACTCTGGGCCGAAGTGCCATCAAAGTCGAAACGGAGCTTGTTGCCGTCAACCTTTGTCATTTTACACTTGACGGCGTATGGGCCGATGCCAGCACCGTCATCGTCGACAAAATCGGTAAAGACGGCCTCCTCATCGCCAAATTGCGTTTCAATCAGCTTGGAGACGGCGAGCTGGTTGCGCCGCAACAGTTCGTCGCAGGCAGCTTCGTACAGCTCGAGGCCGAACCGGTCAATCGTTTCGCAGACACGAGCTCCGGCGGTCTGGCAGGAGGATATCAGGGCCTGGATATCGGATCGGTACCACTCTGGCATTCGAGAGTTGCGACACAGCAGATTCATAATCTCTACATTGTACTTTCCGGCCTTGTACAACTTGACGGGCGGGATCTGTACGCCGTCTTCGTACAGTCCACTCGACGAGATGGACATGCTTCCTGGCACCTTTCCGCCGACGTCGGATAAATGGCCAAAGTTGGCGGACCAGCCTACGAGCTGGTGCTTGTAGAAAATGGGCAACAGAATAATGACATCGTTCAAATGGCTAATGGCACCGTTTGTCGAGTATGGGTCGTTGGTCATGAATATGTCGCCCTCTTCGATGGTGCCGCCCGTCTTGTTCCAGCCCTCCAAGAACTCTCCAATGAAGCTGCCAAACTGGCCGACGAGCATCTGGCCCTTGCCATTCGTCACCACGTTGAACTCATCTTGCTGTTCACGGATACCAGGAGACATGGAACACCGTAGGACTAGTGTGTCCATCTCGATTCGGATTGCCTGGAGTGCCGATCCGATCAGTGTCGGGATCAGTGGCGAGTTTGTCACCTCAGCCTTGGCTTCTTCGGGGGTAAAAGTCTTGGTCTTGGCCACGACCGAGTCGTCGGCTGGGTGGATGAGAATGTTTCCTATCTGGTCAATCTCTCCGTAAAAGCCAGGCAGGATCAGAGTGTTTGAATCCATTTCGGAAATAACGGCTGGCCCGTCGACACGATATCCGGCCTTGTTCAGGGCGGCACGGTTGTAGTACTTGGCTTCAATCTGTTTTCCTTCGACCGTGATCATCTTCTTGTTGACTACAGCAGACTCGGGCGGCGCAACTAGCTTTCCGTCCGACTCGGACTTGATCTCGGCAAAGACTATTGGCGATGATGCGTCCGTGACGGTGGCACCCAGCCGGACTAGCTCAAATTCGAGCTCGTCGAGAGAAAAGCCGAACTGAAGTTCGTGTGTCGTGTTGAATCGTTTCCGCAACAGCTCCGCGAGCTCGTCCTTGCCCTTGCTGAACTCCTCCGGAGTGAACGAGATGGTGATATCCAGCGCCTGTCCCTTGTATCGCAAGTCGGCTTCGTAGGCAACGGATAACTTCTTTTCCGACAATGAACCACCCTCAAGTGCCGTGTTCATCTTTTCCGTGCACTGCCTGCCGAGATTCTCCAAGACTTCTTTCAAGTCTTGATGGGTACACTGCGACAGACTCTTGATAAACGACACAGACTGCGAGTGGCTCAGCTTTGTCGTGGCATCGCCTTGAGCGCAGAGCACACCTGGAGCCTGGGGTACAATGACCGGCCATGCACCCAGCAGCTTGCCCACGGCATTTGCATGGAGCGGGCCGGCACCTCCGAAAGCCACGAGGGCAAAGTCTCGCGGATCAAAGCCCTGTTCGACTGATACTTGTCTCAGAGCACCATACATGGTCTCGTTTACGAGGTTGACGATGCCCTCGGCGGTCTCCTCAGCGCTGATGTTCATCTGGTCGGCGACACTCTTGACTGCTTCCGCCGCGGCAGCGACGTCCAGGTGAAAGTCGCCTCCCAGCAGGGCTTCGGGAAGATAGCCAAGCACCAAGTTGGCGTCTGTGACGGTGGGCTGCTTGCCGCCTTTCTGGTAACAGGCCGGACCGGGCGACGCACCGGCCGACTCGGGCCCTACACGCATACTGGCCGTCAAGTCGACGTACTGGGCAATCGAGCCGCCGCCGGCGCCCACGGTCCGGACGTCGACCGAAGGCGCCCTGACCGTCAACTTGTCCACCACGGTCTCGCGTCTCAAGGCCGCCTTGCCGTCGACAATGAGCGCCACATCTGTCGATGTACCGCCCATGTCTAGAGTGACGAGATTCTTGTAGGGCGTCTGTTTGGAAATGACGTCCACGACGCCCTGCACGCCGCCGGCCGGGCCAGACATGAGCAAGTTGACGGGCAGCTCACCCGCGAGGTCGAGACTGGTCAAGGCGCCGTCGCTCTTGAGGATGCGAATCGTCCTGCTGTCGGGCGAGAGGAGCTTTTCCAGACCCTCCATGTAGCGCTTGACCAGAGGCTTGACCACGGCATTGGCGGCGGCCGTGACGGTGCGCTCGTACTCGCCCGCCTCGGGGAGCACGTCGGCAGAGCAAATGATTTCGACGTGGGGGCCAAACTCGTCGCGGACGATGCGCTCCACGGCCCTCTCGTGCTCATTGTTCACGTACGAGTTGAGTAGACTCACGGTGATGGCCTCGGGCTCTTGCCGCTTTAGATCGGCTAGGTCCCGGCGCAAGGCCGCCTCGTCAAAAGGAATAACGACCTGACCGCTCGGGTCGATGCGTCCAGTGCACTGTACCGTCCGCTCTAGGGGCACCACGGGCTCCGGGGGCACGAAGCTAATCCATCCCCCAAGACCTCCCGGGATCTGGCACCGCCGGTTGGTCAGGACTTCTTTGAAGCCGGCCGTGACTATCAAGCCTGCCTTGACACCTTTGGACTCGAGAATTGCATTGGTGGCTTGAAAAGGGGAGATTAGCCATGCAGTCCCGGTAGAGTGTAAAAGACCAATGCTCACCAACTGTGCTGCCATGGTGGATAAAAGAAAACTCCCCCTCCCAGTCGTACTTTGACTTGAGGAGTTTCCGCACCTTGGTGATGCCGTCTTTGACGCCCACGCTCTGATCCTGTGGCGTCGACGGTGTTTTTGCTCTGACGGTCTCGCCGTTGGGTGTAATGACGCAGACGTCGGTAAATGTGCCCTATATGATATCATGTCAAACATTATATTCTGCTATGCATTGACACATGGTTCTTAGTCGACAATACGTACACCCACGTCTACACCTAGACGATAGTCTCCATTCTTTGTTGAAGCCATGTTCTTCCAAGGCTTATTACCCCAAACTTGCAGTTGTGTATTGGAAACCAGATATAATGGTGACCAGGTATATTTCCACCCACAAGGGAAATGTTTGGGGGCTCCCTCTGGTTTATATGTCCCTTTACTTGCAATCGCCAATCATTGCTCAACTAGATAAGCCATTGCTCGCGGAAAACTCCCCTCCTATCTTTCCCACACCCGGACATCTCATGCCATGGAAATAGGATACGTGAGCAAGTAAAGTGCCGGGGGGCTGCTCAGCTCGTAAGGGCGCCAAACAAGTCTAGGCAACATGAAGCCGATAGGGACAGGACTGACAGGGCAATAGGCACGCCCCCAAAAAGGTCAGAGAGGTACGTGAGGGGAAGAAAACGAGCTTTCATAGGGCGCAAGTGATCATCGGGCATGTTTCCCGACCCTTTTCTGGACATCTGCCCCGTTCTAGGTAAGGACCATGATCAAGTTCAAGAGAAAAAGCCTGGCACATAACAGGCTACTACTACTATCAGCAAAAGGTGCATCGGGAAGCCACCATCCTGGGTTCCTTGGGCGGATTGGCGTTGGCTGGCTTGACCGCCCACGCCCGCGCCCATGGAAACTTCCCTCGGCATATCTGAATGAATTGGTCTGATCTGCAATAGTACGTAGTTGGAGGGTATGGGTAGGGCTATACTTCTCCAATTCCACCAAGGTAGAGTTCTCCACGCCCGGCCGCCGACGGTTTCTTTCCTTGATGAGCATTGGCATGCATTGGAGTGGGGGCGTACACAATGTGAAAGGCGGGGAGGCCCCCGGAGAGAATGTCAAGGCCGTCTCTTAGTTGCATACAATTATTAGCCGTGGCATACTGGTGTGACGTATTGCAATGTGCCAGCTCCAACATCATGATTGGTTTAATGCTTCCTAGAAAGTCATTCAAACGGATCAAACTCCATGCCATTGAGAAAATAGACTACTTGTTTGAGTAACTCAAACCGTCTACAATCAGCCTCCGGCGCCTGCGTCTTGGGCTCTTACAATGTCGCCAAAGAGGATTGGGACCCACCACGTCTCTTTCTTCTATCTAAAAATCAATACAACCCGTCGTACGATGTATAGATAGTATGTCAAATGGCACCATGACGATACAGATATCAGTAGAGATCCAAACATGCCCGACATCCTTTTACCAACGCCGGCCCGTTGGAAGCTCTTCCCGAAGGAGGGAAACACAAAGAGTTCTCCGAACCGCGAGCCGCTGCCGCCATCTGTGAAATTGGTCAATTGTGCGTCTGCCTTATGGCCCTTTGGTAAACCTGACAATAAGAGCCTCGCATGAAACACAAAGAAGGATTGAAGGATTATATTGCGACTCAACAGGATCGATAGGTAGAAATTAATAGATTAATTCAAGACGTCTCGCCTCGAGGAAACATTCCTGGTGAACGTAGATTGAATAAAGACTAGCGCTTAGTCAATATAATAGTGTCTAAGGACTCACCCAACAACCAATTAGCACAAAGCTTAATCTCGATTAGTATAGTGGTCAGTATGCCAGCTTGTCATTGAATCAACAATTCAGTACGCTGGAGACCGGGGTTCAATTCCCCGATCGAGAGCACAATTCTTTTGCAATTTCATTCAGTCTTTGACTGACCTCTGCTTCAAACTACATGCTTGTTGAGGCTTTTTTTTTTCCCCCTTCGCCTTTCTGCCTACTCTATTGCTCAATTACTTCAAGCGATGGTGAAAATACGTTGTGAATTATTATATTTGCTGCTTTTTGCATAGGCAATATATTATGGCCGCATAGCCTCGCATAAATAGTCGAATAATTAATCACATATATTACATTTCAAAAAGAAAAAAATATTCACCGAGTCGCAGGTTTATAGGTAAACTTATTTCATTTATGCAAAAGTCTTGGTGACTAAATTTCGAGTTCTTTTGGAACCGCTTCCTTCCCGTCTTCCTTTATATAATATAATAGTTACAAAGTAGAACTAGGCAACAGACATTAGCAATACAAGCTGGGCGCACCAATTTTTGCCGGCCATTTGAGATAGTATACAACAGAACAGGACAGGGGGGCATCGCCGCCAGCTAATGTGAAAAGAAAAAAGTTATAGAATGCGTATAAAGCAGGGTAATGTCAATGTCAAACGCCGTTGCACCTTTTTTATCCAGTGGGGGACTGCTGCACTAGCATATGTCCCGTTTGTACCCAAACCTTTAAATGCGTTTTAAAAAGAAAATTGAACGGGTCGGGTCGTGCCAAATGCAATGATCTAGGACTGGAGGCTCTTGAAACGCTCCTCAAAGGCCTTGACCTTCTCGGCTTGAAGTTCTCTCTCCAGCTTTCTTGTCTGGCTCATGGCAGCCTCACGCTCTTCTTGCAGCTGGAGGACCTCGATCTGGGCTGCGTTCATGCGACCGACGACCTCCTCCATCTCCGAGTCAGCTTGCGTCAGGGCCTTCTCAAGCTCAGTGACTTTCTCCTTGAGAGAAGCAACTTGGGTCTCTTCGGATACACTCATGGCTGGGCCAGATCGTGTCGTGCTGAGTCGGAACGACTTTGCGGAAGCCCGAGCAAATAGAGGCGACATTGGAGATTTTGGTAGGAACTGGCGTGGAGAACGGGGGTTGCTGCTGAGTCTAGCAAGATAGCCAGTCTGGTTCTCCTTGATGGCGGCAATCTCATCCTCATGGCGAGCAACGCGCTCTTCCGAAGCCGTCTGAGCAGCTACAACCTGCTCTTCCAGCATGTGCAGACGGTCTTGTAGAGCGGCAATACGCTCGGCATTTGCCCTTTGCGCAGCATCTCCGCGAGCAACCGTGTCGGACAAGCGCTGGCGCAGGTTCTGGTTGGTAGCCAATTGCTGACGGACTTGGGTGGAAAGCTCTTCAACGCGTCGAGCTGACTCGGAAAGCTCATCGCCGAGAGCCTTTTCACTCTCCAGGTAGGCACTCTCGCCTGCCTTGAGCATATCGAGCTGCGCCTTGAATGATGCCGCCTCCTGCATAGCGAGATCCCGATCCGAGATGGTCGAAGAGAGGCTTTGTTCAAGCCTTTCAATGGCGAGTTCCGTCTTCTCGTCTTGTGGGGTGGACAGCTCCTTGACGCGTCCCAGGGCTTGAGCGTACGCATCTTGGAGTTCCGCATAAGCGGTCACGAGGGACTCGGACGTTACAGGCGGGCGGATCGAGCCATCGCTGCTACCACTGTGCCGCAAGTAGGCCTCGGGGATGAGGATATCCTTCTCTTGGAGCAGGCTGCGAAGAGACGCAATCTCCATCTCGGCACGGTCAAGGTCCATCTTGAGACCAGCAAGACCCTTTTCAACTTGCCACTTCTGCTCAAGCGCTTCCTCAGACCTGCGGCGCAGCACGTTGATCTCATCACGGAGGTTTGAAACCTCCTTGGCGAAACCCGCTTTTTTCGGTGAACTGTTCAAAAGACGGTCTCGCTCCATCTCCAGAGCTTTGATCTTCTTTTCGTTCTCACGGTTCTGGTGCTCCTGGCGCTCGAGAAGGGCTTTCAAGGCACGGTGAAGTGCATCACGCTGATCCTCGACGTCCTTGAGTCTGTCCGTCAGGTTAAGCGGACTTGGAGCATTCGCGCTTGGGGGACCTGTGATGGAAAGTCGATTGGGTGTAGTGTCGCGAGACTCTGTTGTCCGGACCGACTTGGATCTCGAAAGTCCAAGGCCACCAGGTGATTTCGAGAATTTGCGCGTGGGCGGTGGGCCGGTAATGGAGTTTGATCGAGTAAGCCTGGAAGGCACAGCTGAAAAGCTGTCTTCCTCTGTGATGCTGCCCATCGAGGCAGCCGCTTTGGAACCGGCTTCTTTCAAGGATGTATTTTCCGACTTTAGTGCTTGAAGTTCCTGCTGCATCTTGGTCGCCTCATAGTTCATCTTCTCCAGTTCAGAAGCCTGATTCTCGAGGCCGTCCACACGAGCTCGCAGCTGCGGCACGATCTCGTCGCGCAAGTTGTCACGCTCGTTGGCAGCATTTTCCAGTTCGCCCTTCAATGCGGAAAGTAGATCCTCAAAGTTATCCTTGATCTGTCTCTCATCGGCCAGCTTCCTACGCAGGGACTCGCATGTGTTTTCCAGCTCCTGGATCCGGCCACTGGCGTCCATACTGTTTATCTGAGCTAGGTCGACTTGAGAGGCTCGTTCAGAAAGCTCCTTAATCTGACCGTCTAGTTCCGCCCTCTTGAGTCTCTCATCTTGCACCTTTTGGGTCAGCTCCAACCGAATTTGAGCCTTCTCCTGCTCTGATCTCCTCTGAATCTTTTCAATTTCATCTCTCGACTGTTCATACTCGCTGAATTTGGCCGAACTGTATCCGGAATCGGAGAAGTAGTCACTAGTTCGCTTGTTCGCCGTGGCAGTTGGGTTGTCCCTCTCTGCCTGAAGTCTGTCGACGAGGTCTTCCAAGTCCATCTCGCGCCGGATGGACGCGGCCAACTCGGTCGAGATGGCCTTGAGCTCGTCCTCCATCTCTTCGATCTCGGCAGTTGTTGCTGCTGATATTGGTGGGGGTGTCGCCAAGTACGAGTCAACGTAGTCTCGGGGATTTGCAGAGCCGTTGTAGGACACTAGGGGGGCTTCAAGGAGTGTCGTCTGTCTGAGCGTGGCCGGAGATGCATTTGGCAGCGTGTTTGACCTTGAGAACCCAGTGGATGGTGGAATAGGCGAGAAGCTTTCCTTGTCAGAGGACTCTGGCGTCGTCGGCGATTGACCTCCCCAGCCAAAGAAGGAACCAAGCTTGGATGCCGAACCTGGCGATTTGGGCAAAGGCTTGTTGGTATCTGGGGTCTTGAGGTCGTTTGGACTTGATATCGAGGTAGACCTGGTATCAGTGTCGACCTGTGCAAGGGCGAGTTGTGGTGGTGTTTTCCGTGAGTGAGGCATTGACATATTAGAGTTATTGGAACTAGTGTTATAGGAGGAGTCGGTATTATATCCGTCGAGCACACTCAGAGGATCTTCTTCATCCGTATTGGGTTCGGCCACAGATCCGTCACGCGAGGACTGACCGCTGGGCTGCAACAGCCCAGCTGTGAGATCTGTTTGAGGAGCTGCAGGGTTGGGGTGGTCTGCCAAGCTGGGATGTTTGACCTCCTCCCCCGCTATGACAGACGGCTCGGGCGACATTGACCGAGACGGGGATGAAGAACGGACTGGACTCTCAATTTTGTGAGAGTTCCTGGGGCAAATTAAGTTGGCATTTGTTTGGAAACACTGGGGCAATGGAATTGCAAAGCAATGAGACATTGACTTACCTTACGTCGTCCTTTGGCTTTGGTATGGACGCCACCTTGGCTCTTGGGAATGATAGGCCAGCAACGGTTTCTATTATTGACGCCTGTTCAAACCCATAGACGGTAGGGCTGTCCAGAGAGAAGGAGCGCGAGGTACGCTGCTCTAAGCGCGCCTTGTCCCGGACAATGGAGAGGTAGGCCCCAGACGAGAACCGGGTAGCGATGGGTGAGGCCGAGATGGACAGCGGCTTGCGTCGAATCAGATGGCCAGCAGACGGCGGGCGCGCGATGTCGCTGTTGATGGTGAGCTTCCTCGGGTTCCTGGACGACGACGACGGCGATGACGGCAGCTGGGCGGCAGCAGGCACGGAGGTATCTGGTAGTTGAGAAGGGAGAAGTTGAGGGGAGGAAACATCAGATGAAGCATTGGGAGTCTCAGATACAGATGTGACAGAGGGAGGAGAGGAGGGGTGGTGGTAGTAGTCGTCGAACCCGTCCTCGTCGAGCTCATGGTGCTGCTGCTGCCGCTGCCGCTGCTGCTCTTGATATTGGTACTCCATGTCGACTGATCAGACCGTCCAGACAGATGACTGGATTGATTACCTACTCCTAGCCCTTGTCTACTAGCGGACCAAGCAATAGTCGAACGAAAAGGGAATGTGGAGGGCAGATGATCAATTGCCTTCGCTAAGGGCAAAGATACATTGGCTCTTTCTCCAGACTCTACTTGGAGGAAAGGGGAAAGGAATGAGCGTGTCTTGGAAAGTAGATAGCGAAAAGACGACGGGATGAGCAGCGAGCGCAACCGCCGCAGCGAGGACAGAGCACACGCAGAGAGTGAGAGAGAGACCAGACCAGTCGGGAGAATCTATCTCAATGCAGGACTGGTTCAATCTGCCGGGCATTTGGCCCCTTAGCCGGGGGGGCCTTAGGGGGGCGAGGCCGGGGCTACGATTGGACAACAAAGCATTGAAATGGGCCCGAGTTGCCAGCAAATCCAGTCCGCCATTTGGGCAGCCCACTGATAGACCCCTGGACTATGTGCCTCTGGGCGCTGGTCTTTTGCTCCTCCAGGACTCGCCTGGGTGCTCAATTGGGGAAGCCACTGGACAGCTGGAGGGGGGTCAAGGTAGGAGCGGCTCCCACTGGGGACTCCGCAGCGCGGCTCAGGTGGGGAGACCTGGTTGGTGATTGTCCATTGATGTGACAAAGATGAGATGAGATGCAAGCATATTTGCCAGTTCGCGCGAGGCGTCTCTGAAAGACTCCCAACCTATCAGGAACCGCCCAGGAATGGGTTAATTGGCATCTCTAGCGCTATGAACGGCGACAGAAAACGCTGCAGGTGCAAATGCTGCTCTTTGGCGGCTGCTTGTTCCGTTCCCCCCCTGCATGACAGGCAAAAAGGAAAGACAAAAAAAAATCATTTCAAGGTGGGCGTTGATGAACGAGGCTCTTGAGTGGTTCGTTTGGTCGTAGCGCTGCAACGGCGCAGGCTTCGTTAGGAAAGCCGCAATTTCACTTATCGGTGCACTCCCTGCATTGGGACGCCCTGTTCGTCCGATGAACCCCCCTGAGATTTTGGCGCAACCCATACAGGGGGGAACGAGTGAACAACCGCCGCCCGGGATCGTGCATAGCTCGCGGGCCCAAGGCTGGCCTCTGCTGCAAGGCACACGGGGGGAAGCATGGACTGGCGGGGCTCGAGCACAGGGGGGGTTGTTCTGCTCCATGGGCGTCTGCACTCTTGACAGCTTTGGGCAAAGATCACCATATCGTCTGATGGAGAGGATTTTGGTCTGAAGTTGGATTGATTATGATCTGTTTCTCCAGGTTGTGATGTGATGCAGGATTCGGCACATGTGAGATAGCTGGAAGGTAGTGTAGTCTATGGTGTGCACTAAGATCTGGCCCGTCAAGTCTTTGCGCTGGGGAAGAAAGTGAATGGTTAGCCATCTGGCCACTGCAGAGGATCTGATTGATCTGACCGTCTGATGACGGCATAATCTGGTGAAAGGATGTGTGTAAGCTCTCCTTCACGCCTTGCAATCCTCTAGGAATGCCTTCCAATGTCCAGCGTCATAGGCTGGCTACTGTGTATCAAAGGGTCCCTCCATTCTTACTTGCCCCAAGGCTTGCAGGACGGGCTCGCGCAATCCTAAATCTACTACCTTGTAAAAAAACAAAAAAACAAAAAAAAAAAAAAAAAACAATGATTGGACAACGTCAAAGCCATGAGGTCCAGCACGGCACAGTACGTACAGAGTAGCACTGGCAAGAGAGAGACGCATCAAGATCCAATCCAATCGAAGAGGCGCAGCAGGTGATTAGACCCCTGTTCTAATCAATCTAGGTTATGAACTGGAAATAAGAATTACCTTTGGAGCGTCGTCGCATCGAATGGGGGAATCTCCCAGGTTCTCAGCCTCTCTAACCCAGTGCTACATAGTACAGAGACGACAAGGCGCCCGCCCGCCCGCTGTAGAGAAGAAGCATGATGAATGGTCAATGGGGGTCAAATTTGAGACCAGGAATTTCCCTTAGATCTAGGCCACATGTGCGCGCGCGGTAACGCTAGACTCAAAACCGACTAAACTTTTTGTGGCCCGTCGGAGATCATTATGAGAATTCGGGGTCCTTTGGAGCACAAAGTTGCCCTGATAGTTGCGACCTGCGTGGACGATCTGCGCGGAAAGCTGGTACAGATGAGATTGGAGAGCAACTAATGTTGTGTGCTTTTGTTTCTTCTTCTTGTTGCGGTGCGGTGCGGTGCGGTATTAACTTGATGGTTTTGTAATCATCATATACATACTGTGTAGTCGTGATGCCACACGCAAGGGATGGATTTGATCGACTTGAATCTCTGTTCTTGGAATGAATACCGAAACGTCCAAGCAAGGGGGTCAGCCGGGCATTGTCCGCGGAGTCTAGAATCTCAAACTTACTGGCTTTTAGGATCGCTACCAGCTCTGAGCTTTGCTTGGGAACAGTAAACTCAAGCCAGCACCAATTGGGACACCAAAAATAAACCTCTCTCCAATTTCCCTTGATTGAACGATCCATTGGACGACTTGTCGAGATATGAGAAATGACACAGCCGCCCTTATCTGCTAATCAAAGGCGCGCATCTTGACCGGAAGCTATCCTCTCCGTAAGAGTGGCGTCCTTTTCAAGAGCTTCTTTTATTTTAGTCTGCTTGCTGGATTTGAAGCGCTTACAGGACATCATCTTGCCAACGTCATGTGCACTTCTTTTTTTAGTCTTTAGTAGATCATGTAAGTGTGTAAATGGGCGCACGCCGCCGTCGGAATCGAATACGTAATGAAGAAAACACCAGCTTCATGCTCATTCTTTGCTTTTTTCTTCTGCTTACCCGCTGTCGGAACTTGTCTCTTTGGGTCCCGATGCACCAATGGAAAATAATCAGGAAGCGCGGACGGGACCCAAAACCTGAGACAATTGATGCATCCATACACGTGGGAACGCTGAACCAAAATCTGGTATAAACAGTCTAGCGCCAGGTACGCTTGCAACGCTATTAGCCAGTCGGGAACTTTGAATGAGGGGTTGGCAACTCGCTTAGGTACTGGTAGGGTCCAAGCACGAAACGTCTCTTTCTTTTCTCCTGCAAACTTCTGGAATTCTTGAAACGCTTTTCGGGCAGGGTGGTGTCTCTGGGCTGGTAAAGAAATCTGCCGTCACATCCGATTGGCAAGACGTTTCAAAGACATCATCTGAGAAGAGATGATGAAGAGACAGAGAAAGAAAGAGAGAATGCGCGTGTGTGTGTGTGTGCGTCTGTGGCACGTTCATCCCCGTCCTCACGCCATAGAGTTTGACGTTTTATGGCACGATACAGGCACTGGGATTCTTCAAATTTTGTTTCAACAATCAATAGAGCACATACCCTCAGCCATGAGATCCAGCCGCGTTGTGAGACGCAGAAAGGTAAGAAAAATGCCCACACGTAGAACATAATCCACCAAGGCGGCCTCGCTGGGCATGTTTGAGGTGCATCTGTGTAACAATGACCATGGCGGCGATCACAAGCTTGGCTTAATCCAGACTTGATCTGGCAAGTAAATTCTCAAGTTTGACGAGACTCGATTTGAAAAATAGGCCAGCGTCCACAAGAACTACTATATCAATACAACCAACAAGGTTCTGGAAAGCTATCGACGTTAGTAGGATCACAATTCCTTCCCATGATGTCGTGACAAACCGTTAGATATTCGATAGACTTGAGGGCTAGTCCAAAATTCCTTGGCATCATTGTCAAATTGTGGCTTCACATATGTCTCATCCGCGCCACTTTGTCTTTGCCAGACGGGTGCAAAATGCATTGGCGTGTTTAATTCGCTAATCTTTCCTCTAGCTCTTTGGGTGAGTCAGTAATAACAAGTTTGCAGTAATGCAATCAAACATTGTCATCGTAAAAGCCGTCAACTGCTCATGAAAAATCCTCCCAGCATAACAAAAGCTCCACTGCCATCTGAATCTGGGTCATCAAAAGTAGGAGCAACATCCCGAAACTGTAGATCTGACTTTTATATAATCAATTTGAAAAATGCCTCACACAAGCCGCGTATGAGCTCCTCAGACATGTCAGCGAGCTGGCTTTTGTGCCAAGTTGGTGGCAAAGCCCGCCTGCATAGCGACAGAGCACTTTTACAGATACCAGGCCAATCAGAAATAGCATCGCCTGGCTGACAAAATACACCATGGCTAAAGCGTCAATGAATACCATTGTAAAGAAAGTACAGTGGCAGCTCCAGGTCACGCTTCCCATCTCGTGGGCGACTGGTCCCAAATCCTCGTTTAGTAAATACATCAATTACGACACATTCTTGTGTCTAGTGTACATTCTAGTAATGGCGGTAATGTCTATGACCTCTCCATCTAGTCAACCTTGGTCATATGCTCATGTGCTTCATCTGCCCGTCATCCTCGAGCTCGTTCGTATATGTAAACGCCGTAAAAACAAATTCCCCATATTAGTGATGACTGTGATTGAGTGCTAGAATTGTGTGTCCTCATTTGGTGCCTCCGATCAGCCTCGAGGCAAATGTGACTGCTGGCATGAAGAACACTGGACTTGCGCTCCTGCGCCTGTCGCCTTCATGGCTAGTGCCGCTGTCCTCTTCCTCTTGCTTGGCATCATTGTCCTTGGCCTCGACAAGCAACAAATCTTGAAGCATGCCGGAACTAGCGGATCTCTTCACATTTGTCTGGTCTGGATCGGGCTCGAAAAGGACTGCACCCTTTCCGTGCGCCGTCGCAGGTCTGATGGCGAAGCCCATCTCCATGCCTGAAGAAGCCGACTGCCCTCTCGTGCCGTGCTGATGCATATTACTCCACAAAGACGTCGCCGTCATCGGCGAGCCTCGTATCCCCTTGATCATTGGTATCATCAACGCCCTGCGTAACCCCACCTCGATTAGCCTGGGTTCACCAACACGAATTCCCAGGAACCCAGCGCTGCCAAACGATCTGCGACGGGTCCGGGAGGGTGGCGGTGAACGTACCAGACTCGTGGCAAGTGATCGTGGTATCACTGATTTGTTGTTAGTCCTACTCCTGGAATCCTCGGGCTCGCTCTCGACAGCATTGTCCAGATTATTATAAAAGGCAGGCTGTGATGTCTCGCTATACGGGGAAGCAGTAGACCATGGTGAAGAAAAATCAAAATCTTGACGTGTTTGCGCGAATCCCTCAGATGGTGTACGAACCTCTGCATAAGCCGTCTTGGTTGGAGTTTGGGTGTCATCGTTCAGAGTAATCTCTACATCAGCTGTTGCTTGCTGTGGCGTCTCAGATGATTGATTTCTTTCATTATCCTCGATGACATTATCAGAGTAGTCCTCGTGGCGGACTGGTGGTGGTGGCAATTGCGAAGAAGCCTTTTCAGAACGATTCTTTTGGCTAGAAGTTGTTGCTGCAAAAGATGCGAGTTTCTCAGGCAATTGTGGAGTGACCGGTGACGCATCTGTGCCCTCTGCAGATAATGCCGTTTTATTGTCTTGTTTGCTGACCTCACTCTCTTGCTGCTGGTTGTCGGGCATCTGATGAGCTTGTCCGTCATTGGACGTGCTTGTCTCCATGTCGATGATATGTGCATTGCCTTCTAAAGTATCCCTGACTTCAGATACACTCTCGTCACTCAAATGATTCTGTTGCTGGAGAGGAGATGGCATATGCTTATGCTTCGTCAAACTGGAGCGTCTCAACGGTGAGATCAACTCCAAGGAAATGATGGGGTTTGAGAGTTTGGCATGAGATCCTGCTTCAACCGTCTCGTTCAAGGTGTGAAGATCGCGATTACTGTCTGGAGTACCAGGAGATAGCATCATGTCCAATTCCGAGCCTGAGCCGGCTGCATGAAACTGGGGTGTGAACATGGACAAGCTGCTCGCAGCCGAATGAAGACCTCCAGAGACCAGACTCGGTGTTGACGGTGCAATCGAGAGATCATCTGCTTCGCTGTGCCTAGCCTGATCTGACATGCCTGTAGAAGACATCCGTCTGGTATCAGACTCTGCAAAATCCCGAACCAGGACTTGAGTTTGCAAGTCCTGACCCGATTGTGGTCTGTCGGTGCCTGATATAGCAGCGCCATTCGGAGGAGCTGCGACTTTGATGTCCTTGTTTCCGTTGATGTCATGTTCCTGGGTCCCATGTTGACCCTCTGTACTTTGGTTCAATCCAAGGGCATCCACCGGTTTATCCTCGCGAACCGAATACGCTGGAGCTCGCTTATCGATGAAACCATATGAACTTGTAGGGGAAATCAAAGGGAAGGCTCGGACACCATCCCTGTAGTAGGCAAAAGACCTTGGCTTGGGTCTCTCGGGAGAAATGTTGGCCAGTGCTGTGCCGGGGGATTGAGGCAAGAGACTGCCCGCTGAGCCAGGAGGCGTGGCATAACCATCGGCTGGGCTTCGAGCCCTTGTCATGGGATCAGGGCAGGGTGTTCCAGGAAGAGGTATTTTGATGGCTTCAAACTCAGCCTGGCCAAAGACGTCTACTTTACTGGGAAGATCTTTGATTGCGGCCGGTTCGCTCTCGTCCAAGTTATCGAGTGAACATGTGTCCTTGCAGATCATGTCAATATCCTGGAGAACGCGGCGCCGGAGTTTGTCCACAACTTTTGTCTTGTTCTTGGAAGGTATACTCCAGCCGCCGGTGTCAGTGGTCACATCGCGTGGAGCGATAAGAGTCTTGTCGAGGATGTAATGGCCGCGTTTGGCTGCCGTCATGCGAACAGTGGCGGCATTTCCGCGAAGAACATCTGCGACGCCAGCCTGCACCCTGTCTAGAATGGCTTGGATACTTCGCCGCGAGTACGAGTCGGCTGGGCCCAAAGTGAAGACTAGTGGTTCGTCAATGTTCCAGCCTCGGCCACTGAGCTCGACGATACGGAACTCAAAATCGTTTGTTGCACTAATCGTGCGATCAGCGATGTCTCGCGAGGCCTGCAACGCTTTTTCAAGATTGCTCATGAGCTCAGTCACGTTCTTGGTATTGACGTCGGTGATGAGAACCAATTTGCTCGCCATGACTTTCTCCAGATGGTCAAACTGTGGCCCGAGATTGTTGATGATACGAAGGCTGAGCTTGGTGGCATCTTCCTCGTAGTGTGGACAATGTGCTGCAATGAACCCACAGCTCTGGCGATGTCGCTCCTCCACGGATCTCCGTCTGTGACCAAGTGTCCCCTCCACGGCATACGATGCGTTTGCAAACAAAGCCTCGGCTATTGCCAGGTTCAATGGTGACGTCTGCTCACTCTCTACCTCGAGGGTCTGGCTCCATTCCGGTGGTCTGCGGCGTTGGCACCTGCTCGTTATCGAAAGCTCAAGTTTGAAGCCGGGCAGTGCTTCGAATGTCTGTGTCTTTTCCAAGAAGCGAGATCGAGGGATGCAGTTCATGGGTTGTACGCCGCCCACTCTATAGGGCGCCGTTTCCGGGCCTTCCGGGATTTCGTCACGGAACGGACCATCCCTCCAGACAAATTCAGGATCATGCCTCCTTAAAAAGAGACCTATTAAGCGGTGAGATGAGAGCACAACTTCCTTGACAGAATTTGCCGTCATGACATCTTTCTGATACGAGGAGTATTTCCGCGTCGCCCAGACAGATCCCTTCTGGCTTATCTCAAAGGTCATTTCAAACCTCTTTGGCTTTTCCTTGCCATCACCCTTGGTCGTCGCCGTTGCAACGGGGTCTTTGCGCGTGATGAGTTCAAAGGCGCCATGATCTATTCTCCTCAAGAGGCCTCTCAATAGACGTTCACTTGGCTTGAAGTCTGGAGAGCTATTGTAGCATCTTTTACAGGAGAATTCGAGTGGCTCGTCAAAGTCCAGTGACAATTGAACAGAGATGCCCGCCTTGTGTTCGGGCTGCTCCTCCGGACAGTCAAAGTCGCTAGCAATTGACCAGGCCCGCTCCGAGTCGGTGGCGGTGGACTCTGCGGTGCTGGGACGGGGCGAGAGATGATGCCCACTTGCCGTGCGCTTCAGACCCGCAACATCTCTGACAAAGGTTTTAAACTTGCCGGGGAAGATGGTAGTCTTCCCGCTTTTCGGCGTTGTCTTCCATGCCATCTCTGCTGAGATGGATTACTGACTCCCATGCAAAAGGCACGTGTACACTGAGCGAGTGAGTGGATGGAGCACTTGGTCAGTTCTTGATGGGGAAAGTCCAAGCTTCTTTGACTATGCAAATAGGTCGTGAAGGAGCCGAAATAGAGGTCGAGGTTGTTTAGACCAGGGTTGTTTTGATTTTGTTGACTAAGATCAGGTGAGTAGGCACTCGAAAGACTGATAATGGCATGACCTAGGCGGGCAGCTGGCCTCGGACATTTGTGCAAAACTTACTTTGGTAGGCTGGGCGTTCACGATAGCACTCGCAACGGTCGGGTTGAGATCCACGAGGTTGGGTGAGTTGGCGCTGATGCTAGCTAGCCAGCGCAGCTTGTTTACCCTGGGTGGCAACTTGACTTTGAGCTCCGCAAGTTGCTGGCTCCAGTTGCGGTGAGTATAAGAATGGAAGAGGGAGAGACGCGTTTTGCTGTTGCGGAGTGAGAATGAAAGCTCGGCCAATGGCGGATGGACACACCAATCGGGAAGGTTGGTAATTGCCAAAACATACATGATAATACGTGGACCTTTTTCCTTTGAGAATCTGGGGCCATTCACTCCTTTGCGTTTGTCCAGCGTGTGAGTTCAAGGGCAGGAAACACAAACAGTTGTCTTTCTTCCTGCCCACAAGTTCAATTCACAGAAGACGCGGGATAAAGAACAGGCATACGAAAAAGAAGAGAAGAAAAAAAAAGTTGGCAAGAGAGCAGCAGGGTTAGGTAGGTGAAACTCGCCAAATAGTTGGTTAGATAGTGGTCACAGCACAGTTCCTAAGCGCCATCAATTAAACAATTTGTTCGGCCTCTGCCTACCTACCTACACAGTACCTGCCTCGTGCTGGGATGCGCGCTCTCTCTCTTTCTTTTGCGTCAGGATTTCCGCGTGCTAACAAAAACAAAAGCTCCGAGACGAGAGAGTCTTCTGACGACAGCAGACCGTGGCCAGTCAGTCGCCTGATTTGCGTGTTCCTGATGTACAAGAGGCGCAAAAAACTGGTTTCGGGCTCGGGGAGGTGGAGGGGGTCAAGGGCTTCCTATTCGCGGCTGGGTGGATTAGTTGGGCCCTGGTCACTTTGGCCGGGTGTTATGGAGTACATATCAAAATGCCGTATTATAGGGCCATGAGGTAGGTACCCAAGGTTCCTGCATGGTGCAGTTAGGTAGCCCCTCTGTGGAGTAAAAGCAGCACCCGAACGGCTGGATTAGCCGAGAGTCATAAGCCCTACTATGTACATACTGCGCTTGTTATGTAGTAGATATGTAAAATGATGTAGTACATAGCAGATGATGATATAACCTTTTGGAATATTGCTAAACTCATTCTCGAATCAATTGGTTACAAAGTAATTAACCTAGACAGCTATCAAGACGCTAGAATGTTCGACGATGAAAAAGCAACTCGTACCCAAGACGCGGATCGACAGGAACAGCGACAGCCCGATTCGGCCCCGAGACATTGTCTCATAATCCAAGACTTTCGATTTTCCTTCTTGTTCCAAACAAAGATCCTATAGCTTGAGCTCCCTAGTATATCACGAGGTCTTTTTTCAACACTTCACTTACAATGTTTGTCTTTTATAATATCAATCGAGCTCGCGGCGACCAGTCGGTGATTTGTCGGCCTCAATTTTAGCATGCGGGTACATTCGTAACCACCCTTAAAATATGTGACTAATATCAGTATGAATAACAACAATTTTCAACACATACGACCATAGCTCTTAGAAAACTCGGCATCCCGTCCGCTCTGCCCTAGATAAACTGAGAAGCGCCGGATTAGTACTCAGATCGGTGACGGCTGGGGAATCCCCGGTGTTGTATGTTTTTTGCCGTTCCTGACGTCTGTCACTTGCTCCTCTTTTTTCCCCATCCCATCTGGGCAAATAATGATCAGCGTATATTTGCGCCAGCCAAAGTCCAGTGAATCTGATATCAACGTCGTGGATTTCATTGTGGCTGCAGTCTTTTGCCCCCGAGACAGACGATCTTTGATTTATAGAGCCATGGCGTTGTGAGGACTGGGCAAATTCGAGAGACTTGCTCGGTTTTTTCTTGCGCCGCTCTGTCTCTGGCTGCGTTGAAGGTGAAATTGTCGAAGTGGAATCCAAGAATGGCTCAAGGCTTTATGAAAATTGGTGACAGGATTGGGCAAAACAGTAATAGCGATCACCAACCACTTGCTGCCCAGAGCCTCCGACGAAGAGATGATGAGATTCCCCGAAGCAATAAGATTCGTTCTTTCGGTGATCTTGCCTTGATTCTGCAATTGACCGTGATTGGGACAAAATTGGGATGCTACTTTTGGAAAGGATTCTTGATATACCGTAATATGTGTAATTAATTGGCACTTGGAAAGGCTCTCGGTGAGCGTCGAGATACCATTGCTTTTTAACATCATTACCTACTTACACAAAGTTCTCATATCGCGGCCAGACACGCCCCACCGTTTATCTTAGGGATTCTGTTCCTCGACTTTGCCTTTGACCCGCGGACGACTACTTGATCTCCGCACATCCAATGAAGACCACTTCCACCGCGGCAAGGCTAGCCGTAGCCGCGAAAATCTCGATGCGCCGCGCATTCGTGAACATGGAGAGCAGCGCCGCAAACGCCGCCGTGATGCCGATGGAAATGTAGATCCTATGCAGCAGATTCTGCTCAAAATACAAACCCAAGATCGCAATCATAGGTATAGTCGACGCGATAGTGATGGATACCATCTTGGCGAACCTATCCATCCGGCCTTTTCTATACTCGACCACGCCGGCCTCTTCATCGATGACGGTGCCCGCCGGGCGCCAGTTCTTGCTTCCCATCAGCCTGTGGTACAGCCGTACGGGATACGTCGTCAGCCACCGCGAGAACGGGGGCGATGTTGGCATGGTCATCTACAGTTGGCAGCCAGGTATCCTGAAGCCGGGAGCCAACGGAACAGCGCACCAATGCGTCGACTGGCCCAGGCTGTCGAGCTGGGCTAATGACCGGACCATTGACATCTACAAGCCAGGTCTGATTGTTAACCCCGAGCTGGGTAAGCTGATATCCCGCAGCATTCTTAAATATGCTTGGCAAGAGAGACCTGTTAACGCGTCTGGTATATAGGACCTGTTTATCCACATGGTAGAGATAATAAAGATCTGCATGATCCGTAGTGTTTTCTGATTACATATATGATGGTTATGCTGGCTTGATCGGCATCAGATCATGGTCGTGAGGAAAGATACACCTAATGATAAAGGCATTTGCAAGAAAACGAAACGGCCTTCTACAACTACATAAATATTCCAATGAAGTACTGCGACCCAGAATTCGACTGGCTACATGTATGCATGTGCAAATACATGCGAAACTCGTTGAATATAGGAACAAATCTATCATTATATGCTGCGTGAACTTTGCCGTTGTCCATACGTTTCAGCGTGTACTTGAGATACCATGCAATGCAGCTTAACAGTGATCCCATGGGTAGCCAAGACGTGATATGCCACGTGCGGCTTCATCCGTTGTTATGTGAACATGGGTATGCGCCTGGCAGCATACCACTCTCCATGCATGTGTGCCGAAAATGTATTTGGCTAGCATTGCAGCTGGTATGATGCAGAGTGGCTTGATAGACGACATGGTCGAAAGGATCATCTTAGTTTCCAGTCACACAAGTGCATAGGCATACTCATCCACGATGATGACGATGATGATGATGGTGATGAATATCTATGTGCTACATAAGCATAAGTGGCATCTCACCACTGTGGCTTACCCATTGCCCTCAACTTTGCGCCATATTTCCACAACAGAAAGGGTGCAGGCCAGCCAATGACAACAAATGTCAATGCGAGTATCGTGTTGCCCCAGCCGTACCCAAGGTTGCGATACATGGACGGCGCAAATATGGGGAACGCAAAGCCGGCGACACTGCGCAAGAATTGGGCCGCGGCAAAAGCAGAGGCCACGTACTTACGATATGCCTCGACGACGTAGGCCTGCATGGCCTGGGTGTTGAGGATGATACCACAACCAAAAATGCCGATGCCGATGTCAGGCACGATCCAGTGATAGTACTCATGGCGTTCTGCAGTCCATCCGTAGATAAACAGACCCAAGGGGATAAGAATGGCACCAGGTACCATCAGCGGCACCCGATACTCTGGTGCCGTATCGTCGCCGTGTTTGGCCTTGAGATATGCCCATAACCGATCCATTACCCTGCTACCCACTTGCGCGGCGATTGTGTAGCCGATCACTATAGCGATATAGTGCAGTCCACTCTGGGATTCGGTTTGTCCGTAGCGCTGGATCCATAGAGTGGCGAATGTCGACAAGACTATATAAAGTATGCCAAAGTTGTAGGCAAGGAATATGGCGATCACCTGGAGGATTGGCTGCGTAAAAAGTAGTCGAAATGGTCGGGAAAGAGAACGGGATAGCTTGGCGGTCAATGACAAAGACTCGGCGTCGATAAAGTAGGATTTGCCAGTGTCTTTCCGTAGCCTTGCAGCCTTCTTTGCCAGCAGGATTGGCTCGTATGTTTCCTGGAGAACAAATATCCCAACGAATATGAGGATTCCGTCGTAGATAGATAGAATCCAGAACGTCCATCTCCAGCCAATGGACTGTGTCACGGCACCACCGATAATGGGGCCTATTGCTGGCCCAAGTAGCGGGATAAAGGTGGCGATTGAGAATGACTTGCCACGCTCGTCCGGCTTCCAGCAGTCAGATAGGACGGGTTGAGTGATGGCAAACTCAACGCTGGCACCAAGGCCGGAGAGGATACGGCTCGCTATCATGAGGCCGGGAGTCTTGCTAAAGCCCGCGACGGTATTCCATAAGACGTAGAAGCAGCTGCCGAGTAGCCATACGGGGCGCCGGCCGAAGACCTCGGCCAGTGGCGAGAGGACCATGGGCCCAAAAGCAAAGGCCAGGATGAATATTGAAAGGAAAATCTGGGTTTCCTCCTCGTCGGTCTCGAGGTCCTGCGATATGGAGTGGAGGGCCGGTGCTAGCATGGCCCCAGACATGAGAGTGACCAAGCCGCCGTTAGAGAGAAGAATCGTGATGGCCCATTTACGGAGCTGTGGCCAATTAAATGGGTGCTGGGCATCATCATCGCCGTCCCATGTCACCTAATAGATCAATGTGTATTAGAACTATAGTATACCCACGACTCCCCCATGATCAACATGCGTCCACCGTCGCTATCTATCCCAAGGTCATGAGGGTGGAAACTAGGAGATGAGTAGCATACCAAAAGTGAGACTGTCGTCTCGTCCTGCTTCTCGCCCTCGACAGGCGTCAGCAGTGCGGGGCCAGCGGGGGACTTGTCAATATCCTGGACAGCCATGATTACTCAGTCATTGGTGAGACTTTGGATATTCAATGGCGGCATGGCAGCTTTAAGAGTCCCCGGGTCCTACTCCAGGCTGCCGCACTGGAGCACGGAACAATGGGCTCAGGTTCAGATTGCGACGAGCCAATGGAGCAGCAGATTGGCAGGTTGGGCGGACTTGGCGAGGGGTCGAGTCCGTTGCAAGGAACTGGAACAGGGGACTATCCAAGTCCAGTAAGTCGTAAATTTTGACCTGCATGCGAGTCCGACGTGGAGTATCAAGTCAGATCAAGTCAGCACAAACATATAAACCACCCACGAGTCCATGTCGGGGGATTGTGCCGCACATGCACCTGTCAAGTTGGCGACAGAAGAAATGGCGCGCTAATATGCCTTTCTGATACGTCGTGAAGCGTGATACCTAGTTGCCCAGGATTTGTTCAACCAATGTTTTCATCTTGGCACTGCTCCTTCTGCCAGGGTCGCCCAAGTTCTCATAACGGTTCTTCGGGGTCCAAGGCAGTATCATGCATAAGCGGAAGCGGCCAGCTGTGATGGCCATTCGCTCTGTAGGGGAAAACAATATTCTATGCTCATGGCCGGCCATGAGCCATTTTATGCCTATCGCTTTCGTGGGAACTGATGGATTGACTTTCCGCAGCCATCGAGGATCCCAATGAAGACCTCGTCTTGTGGGAATCTGGTGCCATCATCAATTACTTGATCGATCAATATGACGTGAACCATATCATCAGCTATGCAACGCTTAAAGAAAAGCATCAACCAAACCAATGGCGTTGGTGCACGATTCTGGTTATCTATTTTTGTTCTTTTATCTCCTATCAAACGAAAACGATAATGGAAGTATACTAAATTTAAATCCTTCATAGTACACTTTCAAGCAAGTGGCCAGGGTCCTTGTTTCGGGAAAGCAGGTTGGTTTACTGTTCTGCATTCCGAGAAGCTGCCCTCTGCCATATCTCTCTATCAAGCTGAAGTCCGCCGGATCCACGGCGTCCTGGAAGGCTGGCTCATCAAGCAGGAACAGCAGGGATAGCAATGGCTCGTGAGAGACAAGATGATCTATGCGGACCTTGCCTTTACGACCTGGAATGATCGCTCTGATGCCATCTTGGAGTGCGCTCCCGATGACAAGTTTAAAGGTTTCCCGCATGTGCAAAACTGGCACGAGCGTATGACCAGTCGCCCTTCGTGGGCAAAGGCCATGGAATCTCGCGCCAGACTTATGGATGAGCAGAGATTGACGTGGACGGGAATGCCAAAGGGATTTAATAGATTGGAAGAATGCCAAGAGCGGCTCAAGGCCAACGATGAGACGGCGGCCAATGCAGCTACAAAGAAGTGACCTTGTGTCACCAAGAAGGATCGAACTAGTTGTAGTCCATAGTTGAATTGGACAACTCACTCGTGGTACAACGCAGCGAAGACTATGACGCTGTTGAATGCGATTCACCTAGAATAATTGAATCCACGTGACCTCTGGATCACTCGATTGTCATCTCGTTCGCGGTTTCGTTATTTCCTGACTTCGAGGCCGTCGTGGTAATGAGGCCTGCATCCCAATCTGGGCCTTCGAAAGACGATTATTGCAATTAATATTCATCATGGAGTAGGCCGTTCAGAATGATAGACTCACAAGATTTATAGCCAAAGCATCTCCTGTTCCACCCAAAATTTGATATCCGATCCAGTGACTACTTGATATCTCTTGGGAAAGAGTGCTTAGCAGTCCGCCTCTGAGAGACACCATGGCTACTGCAAATAATAGAAAGGGATTCCACTAGCCCAGTTTCATCACAATACCTGTGCCCAGCAGAGCCGTTGCATCAGATATGACAGTTGAGAGATAGTTGATTCCACTTTGCGTAGGTGACACGTCCAGGACTGCCTGAAAGTAGATTGGTAGCCACTATATGGTGAGCTGGAAAGGTCATTGACAGTTATTTTCCATTTCTGAGTCTTGATTGGTTTACCGCTTATTCTAAGCCGTTGCTATTGTGGTTGTCATGATCTATCTAACTCTAATCCCAAAGACTGACCTTTTGCATGATCCTGCTGAAGAGATGACTTTCTCGGATTGGGGCCTTCATGGTGCTTCCCCCCGTGCATGCTTTTCTCCCTTTTCCAAGATGGACAATATATTGTCTCTGCTCAGTTGTGTCGACGGATGCTCCTGCCCGAGCAACTCCTCCTTTAGCGCCAGTGTCTTTTTATGCATCGCTGCCGCCTTTTCGTATTTCCCCTGACTGCCGAGAACCTCTGCCAGGTTGCTTTTGCTGTCAAGTGTTGACGGATGCATAGGCCCTAGCACCTGTTCTTTTAACACCAACGTCTTCCTATGCATCGCCTCCGCCTCTTTATACCTCCCTTGAATTCGAAGCACATCAGCTAGATGGGTCATATTATCAAGTGTTGACGGATGCTCGGGCCCCAGCACCTCCTCCGTCATGCTTGTCGCACGTCGATATTCTCACTTCAGCATACTTCTTTTCCCATGGGTTTTTCTTTTCTGTCAGCTTTCCATTCCACCGACTAAGATGAGCTGCTCGATGGACTGCCAGGGCTGCCGCTGTAGCAGAAAAGAAAAGTACTTGCTTATACTTCATAATGGCGGGATCATGTACTCTCTCGCGCTCACAACCACAATGGCACTTGATTACTCCTTTTGATCAATGGACTTGATGCTGACAATATTCTCGCTAAATGCTGCAAAACTATGAATGACTTTTGGTATCGGCCATACCACAACAACCAATGACATAGGCTTTTACAACCATTTATGCCCCCCCAGCCGTGAATGGCGGCTTTGTGACGACTTGATCAAGTCCTCTGATCAATTGGCGTTTGCTAGAGTATAGTTGGTCATGGCATTCATCCGCTCTGTCGTGAGCTTCAGCGATATGCTCAAGAGCTCCTGATAGACGTCATTCTGCTCTTGGCGCAACTTTTCCCAGCTCTCTCTATCCATGACCCACACGACACAGTCCCTGACAGCCTGAACGGTCGCAGTGCGGTTTGTTTGCGAGAAGAAGGGCAATTCACCGCAGGTTGTGCCTTGAACAATCGGCTCTGAAAGTTTTCCTTGCGGTGTTTCATAATCGGCTCGCAGTTCGCCTCTTTCGAGCAGATAAAACCCACTCGCCGGCTCGCCCCTCTTGTACAAGATGGTACCTGCAGGATACTCTTTCTGGGCGAAATACGGCTTGGCCCGGAACCAGAAGTCTTCATTCTTGTCGCTGAGGTCGTGGAAAATTTGAAGCATGAGTCGAAGAGGCTCGTTGATATTCCGCCATCTGGAGGCCCGCTTCAGTTCATGCTCTACCAAAACATTCTTGGCAACTTCTTGCCGGTAATTTCGTCGTGGCGATTCTGACAAGAACTCTCCCGGTTCGAGAGACTGGACTGTTTTCCTTGGGCTAGGGACTTCGAGATTCTTGGCCGACGCCGGGCGCTCAACTCGCCGTAGTGCCTCTTGGTGGGCATAGAATGTCTTTAATTGCTCATTCTCGCAACTCTCGAGGGCCGAGTTCAAATCAGGCATAAACATGACTTCCGGCCCGTCGTTTCCAAGACCGACAGCACGCAGGTCTCGACCAATCTTGCTTTCGGCATCCTTGCCACTGATGAGTAGTATAACTCCCTTTTTGTGGAGCAATCGACTGATTGTCATGAAGCCCTCTGCAGCCGAATAGTCAATGCCAGTGACTTGCCACAGGTCGATGATCAAGTACTTGATGGGATGTTCCGCAAAAACATTATCCGCAATTAGGGCACGGATCTTTTCTTGCACACCGACAATTGTGCCAAAAAAGAGATTTCCTACAAGTTTGATGATATAGGTTTGCCGACCAACTTCTTGCAAGTAATGGTGCTGGGACGGATTCCTTCGAACCATTGAATCGACTTGATCGCCAGTGTAGCAGGCTCGAATTGCGGACACTCCGGATTGATGCACAATCACAGACGCAAAAGCAAGAATAATGCCAAGGAAGATTCCAGCAACAAAGTCGTAGATACCCATGGTGAGGACAATTGCGAGAATCTATCCATCTTGTCAGTGATTGAAGAGCAGCTAGCCAGAAAACTTCTTACTGTGAGATATTCAAGGCCCTTGAGCTTGTGTCTCGGTGCTACTAGCGCATCGCACAACAACTCAAAACCAAGTACAAAGATCAGCGTGCCGACCATCATGACAGGGATAAAGCCAATAAGCTTTGGGCCAATGACTAGAACGACTGCTGTCAGGGCAGCAAGCATAACACCTGCAAGCCGACTATTACCACCGGAGCGCATGAAGAACAAGGTATTGGCATATACCAGGTAATTCTGTATGCTACCAGCGCAACCGGAGAGGAAGTTGGAATAACCGTGGAGCTTGAGCTCTTTGTTCAAGTCTGCGTTATCCTCTCCTGTGCTCTGTGCCAGGGCCGGCACATTAATGGGCACATGTAATAGGCTGAAGAATGTAAGCGCAAACATGGCTCCGGTGGTTTCGAAAACGGCGCCCCAGTGGACGAGATTGAATTCTGATCTCATAGTCAGCAGGAATTGCATTTCACCAGGAGCTTTTAGGATACTCACTATACAAGGTCCAGAAATGCCACCAAGGCTCTCCTTCGTTTGGCGCTTCGAAAATCCAACCATGTTCCCTCAAGTTTTCTGGCTCAAGCTCGTCTATGGTGAGGACAAAAAAGTAGAAAACAAAGGGTATCATAAGGATATAAACGGATAAGAAATATTGAGATGTGATCTTCCGCTGAAGACCAAAAAGGAGAATGGCGAGTGCAAGTGGGATAATCCACAGAGCCAGAGTGTCGCTCTGTCCGAGTCTATGAAGAGTGTCTAAATCGTATTGGAAGTCTTCCAAGCGTGCGGAGACTTCGAAACCAGTCTGGATAAGAAACCATCCGACTCCGCCGATGCAACCAATGAGGATGTGGCGAGGGATGAAGCCGATGATGTATCCCAATCGGAACTTGCCCATGAGCCAGAAAATGAGACCAGTCAGCATGGAGCTGAGTGCATATGACGTGATTGTCGTTGCAATGACGGCGTCTGGGTTTTCTTCGCCGACAATGGAAGTAATCGTACCGGCCATACTGTGGAAGAACGGCACGACTTCGATCTGTAGCTAGTCAGCAATGTTTACATTATGACGATTGCGAAATACTCACCAACTCGGACCCAATGCCACCTTTGAAAATACTGCCAGCGGAGAAAACGAGCTGCGAGATGATTGTGCTGACGTAGAATATGGAAATACCTGCAGGACCCAGATTTGCAAATACAGGGTTTCCAAGAGGAAACAAGATCATGCCTGTCATTGTTAGTAGACGACCAACATGCTAGGTCCAGTTTCCGTACCATATGATAATGCGTCCAGTATGTTGAGGAGCAGGCCCACAACGACAGCTGGTAGGCAGTGAATTGGGGCCATTACGGCATTCTGCCATATTGCGTGTCTGTCCCAGGATTTGGGATTCACGAAATGGGAAACAACTCGAACCTTGTCTCTGGCCCTTTCTCTGATGCTTCCATAGCGACGGTAGGATTGGTCCATCCTTGGTTTCTGGCTCTCGACATCACTAAGATCGTCCGCATCGCTCATGCTTGGGCTTTCCGGCGGTCTCGAATAGCTCGACATGGTTCGTCCCAACAGAGGCGTATGCTCAGAAGCCCCGTCAACGTTTATTTCTGCCATTGAACCGTTGGCGCTCTCCGGGCGCCGGTTGGTTTTTCTTTTGCCATTGTCTGCATTTCCGTTCGTCGAAGAATCGTCGGCTTCTGAGGCGTAGTCGATCTTGGGGGGAGAATGTTTCAGCATGCTCGATAGAATTGAGGGACCATCGTCGGGTATGTCTTCGATAGCACTGTCGGGCGATGAGGGCTCCGACACCTCGGTAATTCCTTCGCCACTAGCCGTATGCTGTTCTCCTCGATAGGGGGAGAAGTTCTCACGATCGCCATACGAGGAGCCAGACGTCCTCCGCCTCAGGAACGAGGCGTTTCTCTTATCCTTCTTATCTGCGAGCACATAGGAAGCGAGCTCGGCAGTGTCTTCACGAACACTGCGGGCGTAACTGGCACTATCAATTGGAGCTGCATATGACGTTAGCAGACGTGCGGATGGTGGCATGTTCTAGAGCAACCACTTGCATAAATGGTCTCTTGCAGAGCCAGGGACAAATGATCTCGTTGGTTCTCGGTGGGAGGCGGAAGCGACGGAGGATGACAACAGTCTAGGGTCCGGGTAGTTTGTAGATCGTGAATGTGAGCCTGGACTGCTTATTTGGCCCGGAATGTCCTCAGGCCCGGTGCGCGAGGCGAACGAAGGAGACCTCCTCCGCCAGGAGGAGAAACCGAAGGTTGGTACAGACATGATAGACTCAAGAGGACGGGACGGAGCGCTAGCTCAGTCAGTAGGCCGGGTGTCGCGCATAGGTACAGGTAGGTTCGTATGATAGTGTTTAAAGCCAAAACCTATGAACTCGTGCAGAGGAATGCCGCTCTGATAAGAAAAGAAGCGCGGCGCATCTGGTGATGGGAGGAAGAGCACAGGCCAGCGAGTCGTTCACCAGAGAGGTAGATGTCAAGGAGCCAGAGGAGAGAGAAGGAGAAGAAGAAGCTCAATGTTAGCATGGGACTTGAGCATATCTAGCAGCGGCATTGTGGGACTGTCAAAAGTAGTCGTGGTCGTTGCCGGGAAAGCTCCAGAACCTTGATCGTTGTGAGATTTTTTAGCTTCGGAGCGGGCTTCGCTGCGCAAGTTGGCAAGGTCGTCGTCGTCGGTCGGTGCGATGCAGGCTAGGTCCCATTTCCCCACTAGTACTGCATTGTAGTTTGCATATGTATGGGTGGGTGGGTGTCTTGAGTGACAACGAGACAAGGAAAAAAAATAGAAGAAAAAAATGCACAGGGCAACTTGAAGGTGTGTATGCTTTCCATTGGATGCATTCTTTTCATTCTTCTCATCATCAGACATCTTCAGCCAACGATTTTGTTCATTTGGCCCTTTACCGTTGCTGTCTTTTCCTAAAGTCTCTTTCAAAAGTCTCATCAAACTTGTCAGGTGCAGCTACGTATTGATTACGGTAGGTACCAGTCCTAGCCCATGGAGGGGAAAGGGCGAAAATGTACCCAGGGTCGAAGTGACAAGGCTTGGGCCTAGGCTCACTGTCAGCTCCAATTCTAAAAGTTGAGCACTGCAAATAACCATCCAAGATCGAGGCACACCCACCCATCAGCGATGGACCAGGATGCAGATAAAATTTCGTCGACATGCTTGACATGTATGCCGGCCCCCTTGTCACGGTTACACAACTCACGTCAGAAAAAGTCCATCTTTGGCAAGGGCATGCGGTATACTGCCGTGCTCGGAGCTCTGTGGGAGCAATATGAAATTGAGGAGATTGAGTGAATGCTGCATTCAGTCCTACTCCAACCAACAACGCCTCATGCTGCCAGCAGGGTGTAGAAATAAGACGAGTTGTCGTCTGCTATACCACATCACCTTACTACACTACAGTACTTGCAGATTGGGGCTAAGCAAGTGCTGTTTGTAAATTAGGTACTAGTTTGAGGGGTCGAGGATATCTGGGGAGTAATCTAAGCTTGAGGTTAGGCAAGTTAGCCAGAAAGCCTCAAAGTGTTCAAACGTTGTTTCTGTAATCGGCGATTTTGCAACAAAATATACATGTGCAAAGATTTATGTGATGACCCGGCATAGTCTGCCGAATGACTTTCCCGCCGTGGGCTCGTACACGCCCCAATCCCAGAACTCCCTTTGTTCCACTCCAGCTCCACTGGCATTTTCAACTGGATCTCGGATTTCTTCACAATGCCAAGCCACGAGGTGGTGAGCACAGTACTAAATTATCACCAGTAGCGGCGATAACAGGTACTAAAACCATTTTGTATGAAGGATATTGACTGCCGTCTTCTGCTAGAGGGGGGTTTCCCCGCGATTAAAGCCATCGTGTATGGTGCACCACGCCGGCTCTTGGCTTGCTTGGGTCACCTCAGAGGTCGTCAAACGGTTGAGGAGGCTGAAAGGGGATCTACAAATCGGATTGCCAGGCCGTCCTCGTGGTTCCGGATTGTGACCTGCATGGTGAATGAAGACCCCTTGCTGCATCTGCACCACCTACCTTGTATCTACACTATTACATATTACACCATGCTGCACTACATACTAGGTATAGAACGCGGGGCAACGACGCGGCTCGATTTGGAGTAACGAGTGACCTGAGTGGCCCAGTGATTCTTGGTCTTCTACTACGAATATCTCGTCATGATGGCAGAATATATCATGATTCCACACCGAGTGCTTTGCCTGCCTAGATATGTAGAATCGAAATATTTGGACTTAGGACTGGCCACCAATGCTGTAGTAGTACAATTGCGAAATCAGAACGCGACTGAGGAAGAAGAGCAGCTGAACCTGGACATTGCCATACTGATCAGACGAATCATACGAATATGCACCAAGATGGAGTATTAATAATTGGATCGAATAAAAGAGGAAGCATGTCTGCCCACGCCATGGTATCGACATCAGCGAGCCTCCGCATTATCCCGGCCGGTTTTTACGTACAACTTAGCGTATTGATTCGTGCGACTATATTTACAATCGGCCAAGCAAGCAGCCAAGCAATCATCGGATTCGGAACGGCCCTCTCGAGGCTAAGACATTGCCCCATAACATTTTCCACCTCACACACCCGTGTTGTGTAACCAGTTGCCCCGCCCCAAATCATCTCCACCTCCTCAGACTCTTGCAGGTCGTCGAGCTGTGATCCCAGTTCAAGATCGACAGCTCTACCAGTTTGCATCACCTAGGTCTGGCAGACGATTTGACAGCGGGATGGCGGACACCCGCCACTTCGTCAGCAATGCTGTCGTATTTCCGTAGGCATTCGGACCGTCTGACATAATCCACCAATCCCTAAGGTTTGCGTAAAGCTTTGCGAAACGAACCTGCGACATGAGGTTGAACCAAATGCAATGACTGTCCGAGATCAATGCATTACCTTGCTAGTCGATATGTTCCAATACAACCATCGTAGCATTGTGGAATCATTGTCATCTTCGGAGAGAGAATCCTTTGCAGATAATGTCCAATCCAACCACATGGCCAGGCCTGAGACTGGCGCATATTGTGCTTCGATGTGCTCAAACCCTAACAATACCCACCCAGCAATGCCTTCCTCTCCGGCATGAATCGTGAGAAAGGATATCTGAGTTGTGAAGTGAGGTCCTAGGGCACGAGTGTTGGCTGCCATGGGCTCTTCTGCGGGCATTCTGACAGACAATGCCCTTGTACAAGCTGCATGTGAGTCACATTTTCATGACGGTGTCACAGCAAGGGCCCCTTATTGACAGCAATTGAGCTGGTCGTGTCAAGACTTCAATACCCGAAGATGTTCGCTCAACTTAGTTTTTGCAGATAACCCTGGGCAATCAGGCGCTCGACATCGCCTTGTCGAACGTAGAACTGGCTGTTCTTGGTCAAAGTTATGGCCCTACATAGCGTTGTCAGCACAAAAGCTCTGAATATACTGACCTATCCAAACATTGACCTACCCATACTCGGTTTGGATCTCTCCTGCATCCTTGAGCACACGAACATCAATGAACAGGTCGCGAGGTGGTTCAAGGCTACCCGTCAGGTCTATATCAGTCCACTGTCCCTTATATGCAGCGAGTAGATCGCTGTATTGCCGAACATAGTCCTCTTCTTGAGGACTTAAACTGCTCGAACTGCTTGCACTGGGACCTTGGTTGGCCGATATTTGTTGGCCAGGTAGGTCGACGACGTCTTCTCCTTTCCAGACCAGTTCTTCGAGCTTATCTGTCCGTGTTCTGTGATAAGCCAGCAAGCATCGTTTGTCCCTGCGCATCGAGAGATGGTTGACAAGCATCGTGCAAGACTTTGCCTCGTCGGCATGCGGCTCGAAACTACCCTGGAAGGATTCCAGCATAGAGGAGAGGTCCTTATCTAGGTCGCGCACTTCTCGAGTTACAGCGCGGACCAACTCCGTCTGATAGGGTGGCAAATATGCCAGTTGCTGCGCCCGCTTCGCATGAAGGACCTGAGCGAACCAGACTGGTCAACATATGATGAGGGGTGAGCATCTACCAAGAACTGCATCTTACAAGCTTGTTGCCCAAATCTCCGTACATTGGATCGATGACAGGCGTGGCGCAAAGTCTTCAATGGATCACAGTTTTGGCTTGCGCGAGTGAAAGGCGTCTGGCCGATTGTGTAGCAATGGGAGATGTACCCGATATCGTGGTGAAGGAAGGACGCGTTGAGTGAGCTGTGATACGCGTCTAATGGCGGGGCATGGAAACGGGTGCGGTACCTTGTATGCCAACCTTGCACCAGCGCCTGGAAGTCGGCAATCGGGCAAAACAGGCGGTACCATTCAGGTCTCGCTACAGCCGGACGGCAGCCGACCCAGGGCCGGCAAAGGGTGCTCGAGAAGTTCCTATTTTTTTTTTCAGCCCAATGAGTGACGCCATTTCCTAGTGGGAAATAGCGTCTACCACTCAGCGCTCTCGGATAACTCAATTCCAGCCTGGAGAAGAGCTGCCCCGCGATCAGATCCTTGCAAAAATTTGAAAATATTGCTCGCCGATGAGCTCCGTACCCCGCCAGCGTCATAAGGTAAAGAGAGACCAATTTCGAGATTCAGGGTCTGGTTTGGAACCTTTCTCTTCTCTACACAACCATCAATTTCTTCTTTTCCTTGGCTCTAATTGATCCTCTCATTCCAATTCGCCATGGCTCAGAGAATTGCTATTGTGTCCGTCTATGACAAGACTGGATTGCTGGACCTTGCCAAGGGTCTGGCCCAGCAGAATGTCCGCATTCTCGCTTCCGGTGGCACTGCCAAAATGATCAGAGAATCTGGCTTCGCTGTTGAGTAAGAGACACTTGGATCTTGTTGATTTGCTCCCTCGAGAGGGATGTCAAGGGTAGAATATGTGCTTATACAGCTTCAAGGGACATTTCCGCCATCACCAAGGCTCCTGAGATGCTCGCTGGTCGCGTCAAGACCCTCCACCCGGCCGTCCACGCTGGTATCCTGGCCCGCAACCTTGCCTCTGACGAGAAGGACCTCGCGGAGCAGCACATTGACAAGGTTGACTACGTCGTCTGCAACCTCTACCCTTTCAAGGAGACGATTGCCAAGCCCAATGTCACCGTTCCCGAGGCTGTCGAGGAGATTGATATTGGTGGTGTTACGCTCATCCGAGCTGCCGCCAAGAACCACTCGCGTGTTACGATCCTGAGCGACCCGAACGACTACGCCGAGTTCCTCAAGGAGCTTGAGGCTGGTGAGATCAAGGAGTCTAGCCGAAACCGATACGCCTTGAAGGCTTTTGAGCACACGGCCGACTACGATGATAACATTTCAGCCTTCTTCCGTGCGCGATACGCCACAAACGGCGAACAGCACTCCCAGCTTCGCTACGGCGCCAACCCCCACCAGAAGCCCGCTGCTGCCTTCATGAAGTCGTCCAACCTCCCCTTCAAGGTCCTGAACGGCTCTCCTGGCTACATCAACCTCTTGGATGCCCTGAACAGCTGGCCGCTGGTCAAGGAGCTCAAGGCCGCTCTTGGCAAGCCTGCCGCTGCTAGTTTCAAGCACGTCTCTCCTGCTGGTGCTGCTATCGGTGTTCCTCTCTCTGCTGAGGAGCGCAAGGTCTACTTTGTCGATGACATTCCCGGCATCGAGACATCGGCTCTTGCCCAGGCCTACGCCAGGGCTCGCGGAGCTGACCGCATGAGCAGCTTTGGAGACGTCATTGCTCTCAGCGACATTGTCGATGTTCCCACCGCCAGCATCATCTCCAAGGAGGTCTCTGATGGAGTGATCGCCCCTGGTTTCGAGGATGCTGCTTTGGAGATCCTGAAGAAGAAGAAGGGCGGCAAGTACCTCGTCTTGCAAATTGATGAGGACTATATTCCCGACCCTATCGAGACGAGGACCGTCTACGGTGTTACCCTGCAGCAGCACCGCAACGATGTGGAGATTTCTCCCAGCTCTTTCAGCCGGACCATCACACCCAAGGACTTTGCCCTTCCCGAGTCCGCTGCTCGTGACCTTACGGTTGCCACGATTGCCCTCAAGTACACCCAGAGCAACTCTGTTTGCTACGCCAAGGATGGTCAAGTAATCGGTCTCGGTGCAGGCCAACAGTCTCGTATCCACTGCACTCGCCTTGCCGGTGACAAGGCTGACAACTGGTGGTTCCGCTTCCACCCCAAGGTTCTGGGCCTGAAGTGGAAGAAGGGTACTAAGCGCCCCGACAAGAGCAATGCCATTGACCTGCTGGTCAGCGGTGAGCTGCCCAAGTCTGGTGACGAACGTGCGCAGTTTGAGGCTGTGTTTGAGGAGGTCCCCGCAGCTTTCACTGAGGCTGAGCGTGAGGAGTGGGCCAGCAAGCTGACTAACGTCGCTGTGTCCAGTGATGCCTTTGTAAGTACACCAAAACAACAATCACACAGATTAGAGACTGACAGATTCAATAGTTCCCCTTCATTGACAACGTTTACCGAGCACACCGATCCGGCGTCAAGTACATTGCCGCACCAGGCGGTAGCCAGAACGATGGTGCTGTCTATGAGACTGCCCAGAAATTGGGTATTGTGGTCGTAGAGCAGAACGTGAGACTGTTCCACCACTAGATATTCCTTACATGATATTTGCGATCCAATGTTGGCGAGCCAAGGAAAGACAGAGAAAAATGAGAAAACCATACTAGAAAGATACCCCGATGGAGGTATGGCAGATTCGGACAGGACTGGAAAAATGACGATTTGAATGATGTACGATACCGCAACTTCTCAACTAAAGGGGGTTCAAGAGAAGTTTCAACACTTCATGAAATAAAAGATATACTGCAACTTATTCCATGATCTTGGCGCCATCTGACATGAAAGTTTCATCTTCTGCATGACAAAAATCTTGCCAGCCCGCTTAAATGACTTATCGAGGTGATTTGCAGTCACGAGATTATTCTGTGGATCGCTCTGCTGGAGGGTCGTAAAGGTTCTGTAAATATGCATGGGTATGGTCTGGGTATAGGCGGCCTTCGCGTTGGTTGCGGCTAACATGCAGCATGGCACAGCATCCGCTCGCCTCAACCAACAACCAATTCGTGCCAGGCGTTCAAAGTTGTACATTCGAGCCGCTCGGTCTTTTAGCTTATACCAACTACCCCCATTTTCAAAACCACAAGATTTAGAATCTACTAGTGCTGGTTATGGAACCTGCACATCTTTGCGGTTGAAGCCACTACAGTGGCCATTCGTACAATTAGGCGGGTTTAGTCATACCAATCAAAAATATCTTGGCCGCTTGAGAAACAATAGATAAAAGCATGCATATGGAGGTTTGAAGATGAAAGGCAATTGCTCCATGTGGTTGCATAGCCTGGTACATGGGTCAGAAGTTGCTGTCAAGGTATAGAAGCATCTGGAGAGGGGAGTTCAGGCATCGATGTAACAAGGACACCTGCATACATCGTGTTTGGTGTCTTGGTTGACCTGGCCAACAAGACAAGACACATTTAGGCATTTTTCGGTCTGTGGATGGCCCACCTCGAGATGCCTAGCCAACGTTGCCAATGTCCACAAGGTGCCTGCAAGAGAGAGATGTATATAATGCCAGAAGGGTGACCAGAATTGTTTGCATCCTCCCATCCCAGTTTTTCCCTCTATCCTGGACCAGCCATACCTGTTTGTCGATAATGCCGCGCAACAAGAAGGGAGCCAAGGCCAAGGCCATCACCGTGGAGCCCAAGAACCCTCCAAAGAAACCCAAGGTTGTTGAGGAGTGGGAGGCATACTTCAAGAAGGGTGATCTCCAGGACTGGTTGCGCTTCATGGGAGATTTGGGTTTGCGTCAAGATTATAGCAGCATCACAAAGTGTCGCAAGGTGAGCTTAGTATACTATTCTTCTTCTTCCTGGCATCTTCTTTTCTCTCTGACTTGACACAACCGACTATATCAAACTCGTGTGTGTGCGAGAGGAACCAGGCTAACGTATTGCATAAACAAATCATCAGGCTTTGAAGAATGTCTGGGTCAATATCCACGATTTCCTCCATGCTGTCAAGAACAATCAAAAGCCCCGCCGCTTCGCGTCCCAGCACGAGCTCGCCCGCTATACTCTGGATAGCCGCAAGACGTACCCCAAGAAGAACATTCCCCAGGGCAGCCCCCTGCGCCGCCTGCTCGCTCACATTCACCAGCCGAGCATTGGAGAGAAGCGGCTGTCCAAGCAAGAGCAGCAGCACGAGTACCAGAAACAGCTGGCCCATGCCCTCGCCATTGTAGAGAAGGAGCACAGATTGAAGGGAGCGTACACGCCGGAATCCGATGAGGAGTCGCTTTACCTATCGTCAAACGGATTATGATACGCACCGTTGCAATATACCCGGGGGAAAGAAATGATGCCTTGGAGCTTTTGCAATGTAATTTTTGGGAGTACGACTCTTACTACGTAGTATCTTTTTTAACTCCGTATCTCCCATAATCTGATCTTTCCCGTATCGTTGCCAACCGCGAGCGTATCGCTCTTGCTTCCAAACGCAATGGCCGTGATGCGTCCGAGAGGGGTCTGCGCCGTCGGCCAGTTTCTATACACGGTGCAGCTGGGCAGATGAGCCAGGCGCAGAGCGTCCTTCTTGTGCGTGCTACCAAAGGCGAGGATTTGACCGTCGGGACTAAAGGTCAGGAAAGTGACGGGAACTGTCAGCTGCTCAAAGCGCCGGGCGGGTTCGGGGCGCTCCTTGAGCTCCAGCTCGTCATTGGCCTCTGAAGACGTGATGAGGTCCTCTCGGTTGTAAATGTTCATGACGCCACTATTTGAGCCAACGGCCACCCACTTGTGTCCACCCAGGACCTTGGGTCCATTGTGGCCACCCAGCGCAATGACAGTGCCGCCTATCGAGCCCTCATCGTTCCATATTGCCAGGAAACGGCGGGTTGCCATGCTCCATTCGCCGACCTGACCTCCCTTTCCTAGCACCGTCAAGCCGTTGCCGTTGCTCCACCATTGAAAGTCAGCAATACCTCCTCTGCTGTCTAGACGAGCCGCGGCAATCCATTGCATGGTGTTGACATTGACAATGTTAATCTCACCACCTCCCTTCCGAGTAGAGGCAATCATTCCCAACCACCGCCCACACGGACTCAGCTTGAAACGTTCCCATGTCCTCTGCTCAAGGTTGTGGCCCTGAAGCTTCTGCGTCTTTTGGATCAAACCCGTAGGCAGATCCCACGAGTGAATGAATCGCCGCCGTCCAGCAAAGAATATCTTGTCTCCACCTGGGTAAAGGAATTCGGCATGCCTCACCGGAACCTGCTTGATTTGCACAGAAGTCAAGAGCGGGTTCGGTGTAGGGTGGGCAGTCGGCGCGATATGGTGAAGGTACAAGAGTGTTGATGTACTCGAGGACAAGAGAACTGGGTATTCTGGGTGGAAGCAGAGCGCTGTGACTTCTTCCTTGTGGCTGTCGGCCATGTCTCTCGATCGTTGTATGTCAATGACCTCGGGGCGAAGCTTCTTTGACCTTGCGCCGCTCTCCCGTAGCGAGGTTGCGTCGCGCAGGAATTGGTCGAGCGGTAGGGCTGATGCTTCGTCGCTGCTGTCACTGACATCCGAGGCTTGGGAATCGTCCGAAGCAGCAGAAGAGCGCCGGCGGCGCTTGGCTGGGCGGCCCTCTGCCTCCTTGGCCCAAGCAGGCACCGGATTCAGCCGCAGGTATTGCTGTCGCAGTCTTCTGGTGTACTCGGTACCGTTCACCACGTCGTCGTCTTCGGTAATGCGCAGCTTTCGCAGCTGCGTGGCGCTGGCGAGGGAGACGGTCAACCGCTCGTCGTCGCTGTCCTCCCACGCCGGCGCATTCTTGTCCTCCTTTTTGGCCGCAACAGCATTGGTCGGGGTTGCTACCGCGAGGCCCTTGCTGCTGGCGGGAGGCGCATCGAGGAAGAAGAGTTGCGCATCGTCGATGTCTTCAATGTTGTCGTCGCCGTCCTGGTCGTCCTCTGCACCAATATCCTCGAAATCTGAGCCGACCTCGCCCTCATAGTCGTTCTTGAAGAGATTTTCTCTAAAATTCGAACTGTCGCCCAGAACTAACCGCTCGAGCTCTTCCTCATCCGAGTCTTTCTCGAGTACTGGTTTGGGCTGGCGGTTCTGAGGTTGCTGCTGCTCTTCTTCGCTTTCGCTACCCGACTCATCGTGCTCGGAAGAAGAAGACGTGTAGACGTCCTCGTCGACGACTTCTTGCCTTTGCTTGGGCGGCATGATTGCAATTGGTGATCAGTGATTATGAAAAGGCAGAATAATCCTCGTCCTCAAGTCAATTGTTCTGCTTGGAAACTTTTTTACTGGGGTCCATAGCCTTGCATGCGACTAGCAGGGATGATATGTTATCGCTGTGGGTTGGGTTCCGCGATAAAGAGCCCCTCTTTAACATGGTTCAAGTGCATATTCTCTATGAAAAGACTATAATATGCACCTATCCATTTGATGGGACTTATACTCCTACAACACCTTTTTTGAATTTTAATTTTTGGTGGCACAACGTTCTCATACTAATCGGCACTTTCAAGATTAATCGATGAAGTTGTGACTTTCCAATTTTGAACATTATAAGTATGAATTATGTGCTTCAATGTTCGCTCACATCGCCCGAGATGCTGCCAACTCGCCTGTCAATGATCCCAACTCCTCACTGACCGATTCAGAACTTCTCAAGGTCATGACTGCCGCCTTTTGGGAAACATGCATGAGATTTTCGATTTCCCCTCCCTGAGCAAGCCCGGAAATCAGAACGCCCAAGAATGTATCTCCTACGCCATTGACTGAGACAACATCATCAACGGTCTGCGCCACTGGGAATAACCTCATATAGACACCTCCAATATCTGGGTGATCGTGGAACGATCTGCATAGAATGAATGGCTCATAAGCAACATCAATCAGGCGCGGATCTTCTTTTCGCAGAATTGAAGTCAAGAGAGCTCCTTGGTCGCCAAGCTTTGTGATGATTGTAGGAACGTATGGGAGTAGTTGAATGGCTTGCTGCGGAATTCCAGCATCCGTCATGGCAGCGGAAGTGATGCTGACAAATCGTTCTCTCGCACCCTTCATGCCAAAAGCATCGATAACCTCCCACCATTTCTGGTTCTCGAGATATCCGTTTTGTTGTGCCGCAGCGTGCATGGCTGCCAACTCGTACTGATTTGGGGTGGCCAGGTCGACATGATGTCTGGGATAAACACCCAACTGTTCCATGTTCTTTGCCGAACAGAATAACCGAGCCGACTTTGCATTCGATACAGGCTCGAAAGCCACCTTGGCGCCACTCTTCTTGCCAGCATTTATCCACGAACGAATGCTGGGCTCTGACCAATTGCCATCTACAACGAGCCACTTTGGTTTGGCAGCGGCCACTTCAGCACTCCACTCTGCCGGGAAAGAATGTGTAGTAAATAGGTCCATATCGGCCATGGCAAGGACGAGGCTCTTGTTGGCATCATTGACCGCAACATATTGTGCAGTCCTGCTTGATGGCCCGCTGAGCTGTCTGATGGACTGAGTGTCCATGCCCGCTGAAGTGAGTGATGCTAATACGGTCGAGCCGGCACTGCTAGTCTTAGCGTTTCAGTCTATACACAAAAACATGATTCGACTTACATGTCATTTCCCACCATGCTGCATAGTCTGACCTTCATATCGCCACTGACACGGTGTGCGGCTAGTGCCACGTTGCGACCAACGCCCCCTATAGACTGACTGATACGGGAAGGATTGGAAGTCTTCAGATGGGGTGCTGGGTCATTGGCGCTGCCAGGCCCGGCATAGTCACAGTTTAAATCAATTGCAACGGAGCCAGCCACCATGATATCTGCTCCTTCTACCTGTTTGGAAAGTCAGAGGTCTGACGGTAAATGGGACGTGTTGCACGACTATTTTCTCTCACACTACACGGACGACGATTGTCGACTATTCATACCTTGGGCTTTGTTTCTTGGACGTCATTGATTACAGGCTTATTTGCCAACTTTGGGATCGTATAGGATTGGGGTTGGCTTTTCCTAAATATGGTCTTGTCAGGATTTTATTCTCTTCTCTACATTTGAATCTAGCCCTCACGCTTGCACAGGCGCCGCAATATCGCCCGAAATAATTTGCGAGACAGCAGCGGCGACTTTGGCAGCGCGCTCCACGTTCGCTTGGACTAGTGCTTTGTTTGCCGGCACGCTCCGACCGTTGGAGAGCTCCCGAATCTTCTTGAGAATGAAAGGCGTGTTCTCGTTGCCTGAGGCACCTTGTTTCTCTGACTCGCGAACAGCTTGGTCAATGATCTTGTTCATTTCGTCTCGCGGAATGGAAAACTCTTCTGGTATAGGGTTTGCGAACAAGAGTCCGGACTCGATACCAAGGCTCTCCTGTGCCAAGATCATGGCCGCTGCTTGCTCTTCGGTTTGCACCACAAATGGACTCTTGGTGCCGCTGTCCCGAGCCCAAAAGGCAGGGAAATCAACATTTCCATTACGGCCATCCGCAAAGGTCGACACCAGAACGCCTTGCGTTTCAAGGTACTCCAACGTTCGTGGGAGATCGAGAAAGCCCTTGCAGCCACTGCTGATAACAGCCATTCTGGTACGGCCAAGCTCCGTCAGGTCGGCCGAGATGTCGAGAGTGTTGTGACCGTCTCGGTGCACGCCACCAAGGCCGCCTGTGCCAAAGACGCGAATGCCGGCCAGCCTTGCCAAAATCATGGTGCCGGCAATCGTCATGCCTCCATTGATTCTCTGGCCCATCATACCCTAGTGAAAAGCGTTAGAGAGCACGATTGCGAATGACCATGAACCTCATACCATGCCGGTGAGGAATGCGATATCCCTCCGAGAGACTTTCTTGGGTGAGCTGGCAACCATATGCGCCACTTCTTCAGGCAAAAGTCCAACGGATGGCACGCCCTCAAGAATTCCACACACGGCTGGCACTCCACCGTTGCGGCGGACAATGCCTTCCAGATCAAGATCATCACCCAATGCCCCGTGGGTGTAGATTGTCGATTCCAAAGCCACAACCGGCTTATTGGTGGCGATAGCATCTTGCACTGCCTCGGATACTTTGAGAAATTTGCCCAAGGAGCCCAGAGACTTGGAGGCTCCCCCGACTGAAGTAGACCAGAGCCTTCTCGACGCTGTAGTCAATAAGCTGCTACGTTGACTGTAGACTTGCCGATTCACGGCTCGCCACGCAGTCCTTGTTATTGTCATGATGTGTACTATGGTGATTTCAAGCCGTTGTGAATTTGGGAATGGGATCTAGAGTTAGAATTGAATCTTGAGCTGAAGTAAAGTATTTTCAGGTCCTGTATTTATCGCTCTGCTTATCACGCCGAGAGTACTGTGCCACAGTAATGATCGGAATAACTGTTGGCTGCCGCTCCTCGAAGAAGAGGGTCTCGCGTGAAGTATGCAGACCAATCAAACGTTGCAAAGGGCTTAGTCAACTCTCTGGGGAACCTGGACGATGTGTGAACCGGGTTTAATCGTTGTCGAGCTGCTTACCGTGAAAGGCTGACCGAGGTCAACAATGTGGTGGTTGGCGGTTGGTGGTGTATGTGCCAACGTTTCCCGTCGGCAGACTCCGACTGGGACATTGGAACGTTTTGGAGCGCCCACAATTGGCAAAGGCAGAGGCGTGCCGACTAGCCTAGCGTGGCCGTAAGCATGCCCCCCATTTTTATTCCATCTAAGATTATTCCCAGTGCCAGTCTGGGCCTGGTGCTCGGGAGCTCTAAACTTGAAACCCGAAGTGCAATCAGGAGGCTTCATCGTCATTTATATTACATTGATACCCATGATATTGAAATTCTTGTCATCTTTTGAAAGTTGCGCACTGGAGTGAAATGGGAGATGAGCGCGTTGGTCGTGGATTGTGGACCGAAGCATAGCTGTTTTGTCAAAATTCAAGCTCAAACCATTACATAGTAACAAACTGACTGTTGAATGGTGAAGTTGTTCATGACATGGAAAATGGCTTGTGGACTTGTACTCAAGGTAGGCCTTTGCAGAGGGGCATCGCTAATGGGAATCTCCATCCTTTAGAGCCCCTGCGATCATCATGCAGCCCGACGAACAGCGCATGAATGGCAAACCAGGATATTGGGCCACCTTCCAGGTAATATCCTCTAAACGATCTACGCAATATTACTGACATCTTTCGTCCCATAACTACCCAACTTTTTAATTCCATCTCATGGATTGTGCGAGAGAGCCAAGGATCATTTTTTAAGCTTGTTTCTCTCCTTCGTTTGCCTGTTTCTCAACCGTAATCATAACATTCGCCAACAGGAAGATATTTCTATAGACACCAGAAATACGCCCGTGTCTGTAAGACGTGGGACGCGATAAACCATTGCAACGAGGCCGGCCAGATCCAATTGTTTTATCCTTTGCTGTTGCCTCTCCTGATGTATCTTCTCGAAATGGCGACAATACTTATTGGCGCGTGTATCGCTGGTCTTGTTACCCGGACCGCCGCCCTCAACTTTACCATTTCCAATGGTCAAATCTTTACTCCTGGCTTCGCCATACTCGACTCTCCACAGCCAGGTACACCTATGGGTGGTGGTGAGTCTGAATGAAATGTCTAGACCACCACGTTTTCTCACGTTTGCCATATAGACACCATTGAGGTAGCGCTCGATGTTTCTGCAGATGGAAAATTGAATTTGCCCCCATACGGCGATGACAGCCCCAGTCAGATTTTCAACATCACGATCTTCCTATACAGCTACGAGACAGGACGAAACTTTACCATCACAAATGGCACAGCGTCGGCAAACAATGCTAGCCTTGGTGATATCATGCTCTCCGAATCCGGTAGCACGGTGAAACATGTCAAGTGGCAATGGCCAGACTGTCTGGTCGGCAACGGTCAGCCAACCTCTTCGGATAGCGATCGTGGTGTCTACAATGTAAGTACACAACCAACCAACGTTCTCATGTCCTTCCGATTGTTACTGGCATCATTTTTCTCTCTCCATCATCTCGGGCGAAAGCGGCTTGCTCACAGCTGTGTTAGATCTCGATTCGCCAAAACTTCCGTCTCAACGGCGACGATCACTATACCATCTTTGACGTGCCCATCAACGTCACCAACAGCATCGAGGACTCGAGCGATAGGCCGTCTTGCGATGCACTGGATAATCCGCTCCTCAGCTATGACGAGATCAACGCGACGGCAGCCAATAGCGTAGGCATTCTGTTCGCCCCGGGCGACGCGACGCAAGTCGAGCAGTCGGGATCCGGCTCCGGCTCTTCGGGTTCCACGGGCGGGCTAGGTGCAGCTGCGACGATACACTGGAGCGGCGCGGCCGTTTCTCTGGCTTTGCTGTCTCTCTCAGCTGTATTCTTTATTTAGTTTCATTCTCGAGCTAATTATGCTGCAATTGATTTTCTTCCCAACAGTTTCTCTTGGCGTTTCTTTTGGCAATAATAGTCGAGATGATTTCCCGAGAATTCGATGCGTCATGACTGGGGATTCATTCCCGGGTATCTGCAGACACCACAAAGAAGAATTTGGAAAATGTGACAAAGCCTGGCGTTGCCCTGCCATATAGAGAGCAACGTCGTATAGCTTTGTCGGGGAGGACTCTTGACCGCTTCGTGGTCGCCTAGAACGAAGGTACTGCATATCTTGCCAGGTTACACGATATGCGGGCAATTTCGTAAAATATTCTTCAGCTGCAACACTTGGCATAATTCTCAGTCTTTCTGTCCACATGAGTGAAGACAGCCGCGAATCATTGGATGATGTATTTGAATCCATACTCTACTTGCAAGCTGGAGTCGTGGTTCACTGGCGTTATTGGAAGCGGAGCTGTGTATACGCATACTCAAATCGCTCATAGATATCGCTCCCAATTGCAATAATTCTTGGGAGTTGGATAAACAGATTGTCCTGTCGTGATTGTCAACCGTTGGCCCTTTGCCCGAATTCCGGACCAAACAGTCAATATTTGAGTACACAACACGAGAAATACTACCATAACGAGAAGATGTTTGCTTGAATAGGCATAAATACCGGAAGTTCTGGATCTTCTGCATGCATGATGATGTGCAGCTCGTACAAGAACGAGCAGCGGGTCCGCCGATATGGTCGCATAAGGGTCTCTGGCTGCATACAGCGGTGGCACGGGGTATTCGAATACTCGGAGTCCAGATGCCTCTCAACTCGTGCTCAGCGAAGCGACGAACATCTCGAATACGTAAATGCATTCCATATTCACCATACTGAGAATCTGACAACGGAAGTCGAGAAATGTATAAATGCCCGTCCTGCCACCTCTGACTGAACAATCTCTTGAGTCGTGAACAGACAAAGCTACCCATATAAGATTATCGCCGCGCAAACCTTCATCACATCGACTACCCCAAAGTGCCAACTTTTTCTAATTCCTGCTTCTACTTTGAGAAACATCTTTTTCCCCCTTGGAACCTTAATCCTCATCCAAAATGCAGTCCTTGATCATCTTTGCCCTCGCTCTTCTGCCAACAGCCATCGGCGCACCTACAGAGAAGAGAGTCCTTGGCGATGTGAGCATTTCCTACACCTGCATCGGCGAGCCTCTAGACAACTAACAATGGAACCAGGTCGAGCTCTTTACCGAGGAGAACTTTGCTGGTCAATCCGAGACCCTCTTCGTAGGCGACACGTCGGACTGGATCGCCAATTGCAAAAAGCTTCCAGAGCCGTACGCCCTCAACCTTGGATCGTTCAGACCCAGCTCGGGCCTCTTGTGCCGACTTTACAGGTTTGTCTTTTTTTTCCGAAAACGCATCAACACATGTGGAATTTGGTTCCCGCTGACCCAGACGAATCAAGCTCCGAGTACCCTGACTGCAGTGGCCATGGCATGATCATCGCCGACGGCTCTGATGCCAGCGGTGCAACTCTCTTTACTCTCGCAAACCCTGAAAGCCAAACGGGCGGTTTCGTCGGCCAGGACGCCGAGTCCATCTCTTGCGTCCGTTGCACCAACTGTGTATAGACGGAACTGCAAAATCATTGTTGTTGATGCCATGGGTTGGAAAGGGAAACTTAATCATCTACAACTTTCCCTTGTTCGGGTGACTTATTTCAGCGAGTCTTGGGCATGGCAGTAATACTTAATCATCATAATTATATCAGAAGCAGAATTGTTTCCATTCATGTCAAGTCTGCGAATGCGATGTTTGAGAGTGTGATATGTTACAAGTTGATTGGGGGCATTGCCCAAGTCAAAAGAATTAGACTTTGATATGCCTATTTATATTCATATGTAAAGCTGTTAAATAACTGAGTATAGTCATGCCTCTCGATGCATTTTGAGACAGTGAAACTCTGTCAGGTCCCAAACAATCCTCACCTGGCACAAACCTTGAAGATGTCAACACAATTCTCTAACAAGTTCGACCTATACCCCATCAGTAGCTCACAAGCCCGCGTAAATTGGAGCTGGGGTGTGTTAAGCACAATCCCAAAGCAGGAACGAGGTCGCAGCCAAGAAACCCCAATGTTTATGCAAGCCCCAGCCTACCCAGCACAGACATCATGATATTACCCCAGCTTCCCCGCATCTTAATGTGGTTACTTTTGCTCATCACTGTCGTTGCAGAAACCATTGTATTGGCCAGTTCAGAAAGGGGGTATTTGCCTCGGCAGAACCTGTGAATGTGCCATCATGTCACTGATGCGAGAGGACTTAATGTGCAAAGGGGTCCCTTTTCGCCCCGACTCTTGCCCAAGAGAATCAGGTTTTTGACCAGAACTCCCTTCATCAACCGCTGATATCATCCGAGCTTGAGAAACTTTTATAACTTCCGAAAGCCAAAGCACAAAGATTCCAATATTTGATCAATCATTGGTTTGTCCAGTATGCCGTTCCATAATGGTTGGCTGCCCCGCGAAGGGTTCACTGCCGATCCGGTGCTGAGCTTGGTCAATAAGACGGTCTTGAACCCTGTGCTTCTGCTGCCCGTCCTGCTGCTTGCAAGATTTACGAAAAAGGGCGAAGATGTGTCCCTTCTTCACCCTCAGGCCTTCTCCAGATTCAAAACCTTGTTCTATTTTGGCCTGGCCAAATGGCTGAGCGCATACTACTCGGACGGCGTCATCAATAACTGGACGCGGGATACCTACGACTGGCCGAGGGAGATTGCCGTGGTCACGGGAGGCGCGGGAGGTATCGGTGGGAATGTCGTCAAGTTGTTAGCAGAGCGCGGTGTCAAGGTTGTGGTTTTGGACATTCAAGAGATGAACTTTGATGCTGGTACGTGTGACATTCAACATCTGTGTTTTCATGCATCATGTTTTCCAAAGCGAGAGCCACTCACATATTTTCCCCAGGCCCCAATGTTCATTACTACAAATGCGACTTGACCAGCCCGGCCGAGATCAAGTCGGTCGCGGCCAAGGTCCGGGCTGAAGTGGGCGACCCGACAATCTTGGTGAACAATGCCGGAGTGGCACGCGGCAAGACGATTCTCGACACGACGGAGCGGGATCTCAAATTCACCTTTGACGTCAACGTCTTTGCGGGCTTCTACACGGTGCGGGAGTTTCTGCCGGCCATGATCCGCCGTGACCACGGCATGATTGTGACCGTCACGTCGCTGGCCGCCTGGATCACGGTGCCCAACATGGTCGACTACGGCGCGTCCAAGGCCGCGGCCCTGGCCTTCCACGAGGGGCTGTCGGCCGAGCTCAAGACGCGCTACAATGCCCCCAAGGTCCGCACCGTCCTGGTCAACCAGGGCTATACCAAGACGCCCCTGTTCACCGGGTTCCGCGAGGACAGCCCCTTTACCATGCCCGCGCTCGAGCCCGAGAGCGTGGCCGAGGCCATTGTCAGGCAAATCCTCACGGGCAAGAGCGGTCACATTGTCAAGCCGTCTCTCGGCGCCACCATGAAGGCGCTCAGGACTTTGCCGCACTGGTACAGCTATGGTTTGAGGGCCAAGGGGGAGAACTTTATGACCAACTGGCGCGGAACGCAGGTCGTCAAGGACTTGGACAAGCACTATGCGGAGAGAGAGGGAGGCAAAGGCGAGGTTGATGGGAGCACAGTGCTCGTGCCAGAGGCGTAATGTGAGCTGCTGTAACGTTGTACAAAGCGATATTAAATGTATATGTTGGAGACGATAATGTCACCTTTCCGAGTCATCTGGGGCATTACACAAATATGCGATACTATCAGACATGGATATATGTTTACTTTTTAATGGTCTCAGCGGCGACTTGGAAGGACGAAATACATTCAAATTTGTCGCAAAAGAAAAGAACCTAAGTTATCTATAGTCACAGACTCTGTGACGTTCAAATGTACAATTCTTATCATTATCCTCCATTATCATCATTATAGCTTGGAGCGGCCATCCCGTGCATCCTTTGCGTACTTTGCAAGCTCACCGTTAAGGAGGAATTGGGGGTATTGGGTAGAGGAATCTGTGCCAGGTCCAGAGGCGGTCTTCAGTCTCCAGGCTGCACCATCCACCACAAGGACCTCGCCGTTGACGTAGTTGCCCGTATCGGAGAACAGGTAGACGGTGGCGTCGGCAATGTCGCGAATCGTGCCCCAGCGAGCGAGCGGGACGCTGGCGGCAATCTGCCACTGATCACCCTTGTTGCCTCCGGAAAGTCGGCGCATGCCCTCAGTGTCGGCAATGGCGCCCGGAGAGATCACGTTGGAGGTGATGCCGTACGGACCATACTCGAGACTGACAGAGGCCATGAGAGAGTCTACTGATGACTTGGCGGCGGCCACGTGAGCCTGGAGGGGCATGCCGGTGTAGTGGAAGCTGGCCGAGACAAAGATGATCCTGCCGCCTGTCAAGCCATCCTTGCTCGGGTTAGGGTTTCGCTTGGCCGACTCGATGAGGTAGGGTACGGTGGCCTTGATTGTGTTGAAGGTGCCCAGGACGTCAATGTCCATGACCGACTTGAAGCCCTTGGAGCTCAAGCCCGAGATGGGGGCCACAAAGTTGCCAGCGGCACCGGCAATAACAAAGTCAATGGCGCCGAGCTCCTTGACGCAGCGCTCGGCGGCCTTGTTGAGGCTCTCGGGATCCCGCACATCGCATCCGCCGATGCCAATGACCCGGGCGCCCTTTCGTGCCGTGGCAAGGTCCTTGGCTACTGCATCTGTCTTTTCGACGTTGCGTCCGATGATGCAAGCATCCGCACCGAGATGGACCAGGGCGCGTGTCTGCGCGCTACAGATTGTGCCAGCACCTCCCGTGACGAATGCGACACGGCCATCTAAGGGGGGCCAATCAGCTATCATGAGACAAGCATGAGAATGTTGTTTATAACTCACTGAAGATGCCATCCTTCCAGACGGAACTGAGATACTCGGATCTTTCAACAGGCATTTTTCTTTTCGGGAATAATAGAAAATAAAAGTCAAGTAGTAAGAATTAGATTAATTTGATAATGGAAAAGAAGATACCGGCTGACCGCAGCGGTGACGGTAAAATGGTTGATGAGGTTGGCCCGTTTAGGTAGGTAGGTAGGTGTTGAACAATGGAATGGTAGCGAGGGAGAAGATGCGAGCCGAAAATCGAATAGTCGAGAGATTAAATTCACATATGAAACCATCGACTTCTGTTTTTCCCGTGGCTATGACCATTCGCCAGCAATCTGGGGTAATCGTTGACCTATTGACTGAACCTCCGCCATTACTTGAGTACTTGCGGGCGTCCCGATACCTCGGCTGGTGGTGGAGAACTACATTAGGTAGACAGTAGTCAAACGGCAGGGCCTCGTGGGCGCTGTCCGGGGCTTTACTCCGGGTACCATAGTGGACAGTTATCACCTATCGGCGTACTGTAGATTGAGACTGTGTCCTGCCCAACAATGCTTGCTTGCTTGCTCGCTTGCTTGGCTTTCTCCTACAGAGTGCTTCTTCACAAGCAAGCCATGAAACGACCTCCAATTCCCGTAGCTGCAATGGGATTCGTCCACGGCGTGCAAATGGCAGTGCCTTGATTGGCTCTTCCCCAGATTCTCATAGCAGTAACCGCCGCGCCTAGGCTGAACCTAGTTCACTCGGACATGCTAGAACACAGCTCCTAGATTCCACAAGTGACGCTGTCAGGCCCCATCAATCAGCCCACTGTATTACCACCTGGACCTGGTCACTCACTGTAATCTGTACATGACCTAACCTCTTGCGAATCCGACGACCTTCCTCAACTTCCACCTCGATCCGCATCAAAGTTGCTCACCACCTCGAACTCCATCGCAGATTCAACCTTGGCCTAGGTCAACCCTGCATCATGGCGTCGAAGAAGGTGTCTATCCTCAAATTCGTCGGGACCGTCTCCCTCGGTCTCCTCACCGTAAGTCTTTGGAAGCACTGACGTTGTTCATCCCAAACGTCACACCCCACCTCACCTGCCTTTACCCGCGCCCCGCCCTGGGCTCGTTGGACTGCGACGACATCAATCCTCAGATGTTCTACAATATGCTTTGCGTTGCGAGGGACATGGATGCGCAAAATCTGGGGGAACAGCGGGCGCTTCGTCAACATTGCCTGAAGGCAGCTAACTCGTTTCTAGGGCACAACATATACCCTCTCAACCTCCACGATTCCTCAGCTACTCGATCTCCCCTCGGCTTCTAGCGCCTCCAAGGCGTTCCGCTCTATAACCAGCACCGCCGCGACTCATCTCAACACGCTGACTGGTGTAGCCGGCTCCGCCTTTCTGCTCGCATTTGCTCTGTCGCCGCGCGGCTTCAGACACCCGTATCTGATCTACACGTCCGTTTTCGTCTTCAGCACCCGCCTGACCGACTACTTTGCCCCGTCACTGTTTGGCGCCCCCGGCGACTTTTCGCAGAAGAGGGCTGCCCTGGCCAAGGCTCGCCGGGAGAAGGCTGCCGCCAAGCGCATGGAGCAGAGCTACGAGGTTCTGGGCAGTGAGACGCAGAGCGACGAGGGCAGCAGCGAGGACATCTTTGAGGAGGAGATCAACGGCGAGGAGGTCCGCAGCGAGGTCGAGCTCTTTGTCAAGAACCACCTGGTCCAGACCGCCCTGGCCGGCATTGGCTTCATGATGGCCGTGGTCGGCATCTGGGGCGACGGCGTCTACGATTCCTTTAGCGAGACCGTGGTTGTTGCGCTATAGTAGAGTGGACGACTAGTTATGAGAGGACGAATACATGAATGAGGTGAAACAAATTGGAACAAGGCATCTTACAGTCACCACACTATAAAAGGGACAATAGTTGATGCCGAATGTTGACGCGGAGTTTTCGGCGGGTGTTGTACTATCAGATTTAGGATTTTTGTTGGATTCACGGTAGACGACATACGAATTACTTACGAATATGCTCTGGACATTGCCCATTGCAAAAAAAACATCTCGACTTATCAAAACATTTTGGACACCATTCTCTATAAACTGGATCAAAACTAGCACGTGATGATATTATTTCGCAGTGTAACACGGTTGTGCATGGTCTCAGCTAAGCGGTGTTGGTTGTCCTCCGTCTCCATGGTATACATGATAGTGTAATAATGGTCTGGCGATTGCATGTCTCCTAAGTTTGTGGTTTCATCTGTTATGTTTGAAGATATGTCATATCATCACTTGAACGTTTTCGGAAATTGGCGCTCGGTGTCTGGCAGTATGCCATTCTTGGTTCGCCACACCCAAGCTCTACCGACCTATTTTGCTCACATGAATACGCTGTAGATGATCCGCTCATGCAACATATCCTGCCTATATACCAGGTCGCTGTGGGTAAGATGCTTCGCAGTGATAACTCTTTGAGGTCATTATACGCTGATTATGGAAGTCAGTACCGGACGTGTGCTGACAGCCTTTTTCAACCTCTTCTCAGATCTACGTAATATATCACGGGAACTCCTTGATTGATGATGAGGGATAAGTTCATATAGCTATCGAAAATGCGGCCACGTCAGTCAAGGTGAAAATTGTTGAAAATTTCCCTTTTGCTCTGACTCTGCAGACATTCTCGCCAAGTCATTTCGAAATCAAATCCCGTGTGTGCGACCCGAGTTTCGGTCTTTCAGAAATTGACACACCAAATGACCACTTGGCACATGTGGTTTAACTCCCTTTCTATACAGAGTAGTTTCCTGTTAATCGGAGAAATGACGGCACAAGAGCCTACTTGAAGGCAAAAGAGAAGCCCTCAGGAACATGGCGCGATACAAACAAACTCCCGTGATAATAGGTTGGAAGGACGATCTCATTTGTACTATGAATACACTTGAAAATAGTTTGAATGTAATAGCAACCAAGTCTCCAACAAAAGCGACTACCTGGGTCATGTTCATTGAAATCCATGACTGGCCCAAGACCCTTGGAGCATGCATGCCACGTTGATGATAACCTTTTTTAAATGATACCACGACGGATACCGACCAAATTATTGACCATGAAGCTCCACAGTGGTCCTCCTATTGGGGGTTCGTGTGACCGGTAACGGTTGACCTGTACCGCCGCCAATCGGGTAACCGCTTGCTTATGCTCAACCCCTGCGTCTCATGCACGAACTTGGAGACGACGCTGCTGAAAACAGTTATTTGTTTACTCCAACCTTTTGAGGTCTCACAGTTTCTTTTCGAGCTGTACGGTGCGTATTGTCGTTCATGATGTTTTTTTCTGGTCTTGAAGATCTAAACATAATTGCGATACGAGAACGTCATGCCCGCATCTTAACCTCCGAAAAAATAACCTGATTCACACACTTTTTGCTCGTAGCCTCATGCCAAGCTCATGGTTGCGAAAGTGTATAGAAGTACAAGGTTTAGTATGTCTCACTTTATATACCTGCCATCATAATCACCTCGCCTATTAATCACGCTGACACCCCTTTTTGCGGCACACGTGTAGGGAATCCACTCCTAGCAGCAGATGGTCAAACCAAACGACGCCATCGCCTTGATTATAGGCTTTCACATTCTCCTCCTTGTGCTCATAACATGGGGTCTCAATCAGATTCTGCGCCGCGCCAGAGGTGCTAGCGTCAGTTCGACTTACGAGACGTCGACCGAGAGCTACAGTTCAGTCTCCGAGGAGGTTGTCCAGCCGGGGCCGCCGCCTGCCGGAATGCGTCGACCATAGCCCGAGCAAGATGTGGTAGACGGCAAGTCTTACTTTCGAGTGTTGACTTGCCGTCCCCAAAGACAATAGAAGACAAACACTACGCCCATAGCCCGGAAATGGCTCTTCTCAACATTTCACCAAAGGCGCTGGTGAGATGCGTTGCAACATACATACAAAACATCACGCATACTGGGGAGAAAGTCGGAAAACTCACCAAAAGCAACAAATGGTATTTCGCAATCTGATCAACACAATGCCGTTGATCATTCGTTCGAGCGAACCAATTTCCTGTTTCGGTAGCCACAAGTGGACGCAAAAGTGAGATCGTAATAATGAGAGGCGTGATCACTAGTGGTCATGCCCAAGGAAATGCAATTACAATGACACGATCTGGAATCACCGGGACGGGGCTAAGACGGCATCTGGATATTTGAATTTGACATTGCCGACGGATTTGGATTCTGGCCGGGAGAGGCTGAGAAGGACTTTCCGGTCGATTTAAGGAAGGGCTCCTGGCACGAATGCTTGCTTGGTAACCGAGCCTCGTTGAAGATCACTGGATTAGGCATGAAGACGGGAAACTTGGCGATTTCCAAAATTGACATATAGTCGATTTTCCTCTGAAGAAGCAGTGCCAAATTAACTGATATATTCATTGCAGTACTTCACCTGTGCCGCTCGGTGTTCAACATGCCCAAAGCTAAAGGCCAAATTGAATCTTCACTGAGATCAATCACATTGTGTTTTCCCCGTGAAGCCAAGTTTTATTATTGCTTTTCTAGTGATCATGCGTCAAAAGCAGGTTTGATACATATATCCCAACGTTAGCGAAGATGATTTAGAGAAGGCTGGAAACTCATGTCTACGGGCGAACGAAGGGAACTACTGGATAAACTGAAATGCTCAATGCACGGGCAAGGTTCCCGACCACGGCAGAAAACGTAGCCTTACCAGTTTTCACTGCAATATTAGCCCACTCAAAGGGATTATCACTTACCAGAGCACAAGAGAGAAGTGGAGGGCAGATTGGCAGCGTGAAGATGGTCTTGAGCTCAATGTGAAGAAACTATCTCTACTGACCTTGACGTAAAGCTGAGGAAAAGGAGCAAAAGAAGGAGAGAATTCACAATCATCAAGTTATCTACATGATTATGCATGCACTTCGTCTAATGGTTCGGGACACCTCTGACATTTTCAATCCCGTCAATGAAAGACGAACACACAGAAAACGACCCTACCAGAGGGCACGCCTTTGGACGCGGCTTGGAGAAACAATGCGATGAAATACCAATGACCTCTAAAAGTCTTGATTAACTACCGATGATCTTGATGCGCTCAGAGCACATGGCCAATAAACCTTTTCTTTTCTTTTGAGAGCAACGCCAAACTCCGATGCGATACATAAAAAGCCTTGACAACAGATCCGCCAAGAAGAATTATTTCTTGCTCTTGGGCGCCTCATCATCATCGTCTCCACCAGCTTGCTCGTCTTCCATATCCCTGGATCTCTTGAGACCCTTCATCTTTCTTGTCTGCAGCTCGCCGAGATCTTGTCTGCCCAAGTGTATTCTGCCGAGCTTGTCACCCATGGAGTCGGTCGACACGTTCTTCTTGGTCCTCTCCTCGTTGGTCTTGGCCTTCTTCATGGCCTCCTTCCACATGGCCTCCTCGGCTTCCTGCACTCTGCCCACTCTGAAATCCATACGGGGGCCCATCTCCTCGACCTCGACTCGGGGCATCTTTTGGCCGCTGCGCTTGGTCGAGATGAGGTAGACTCTGAGGTGGATGACGGGCTTGTCGTTCTCGCCGACGGGCTCCTCGGCCGAGATGGACACCATGTACTGCAGACCCTCGACGTCAATCTTGTCGGACCCTTCGCCCTTGAAAAAGTCGAGGAAGAAGCTCTTGGCCAGGGTGTACTCGTTGGTGACGGGGCTGTCAAAGGCGGTACCGGCAAAGTGAATCATGGGGCGCAGACCGACGGCGAACTTGCGGCCCTTGAACTGGTCAATCTTGCGGTGGCTCTCGGGGTCGAGGTGCAGCTCGAGCATGTCGAGCGTCTTGTGGCCAAACAGGCGGACCATGGTCAGGGTGTGCGGGCGCTTCTTGGAGCTGCTGCCAAAGACCATGAGCGAGGCGTCATTCTTTTCCGAGAAGAACTCGAGCGACGAAGGGTCCTCGAACGGGTGGATGGCGTTCTTCTTGGTGAACTTCTTGGCGAGGGGGACGCGCAGCTGGTACAGGTCGGTGATGGCATCCTGCACAATCTGCGAGCACGAGGTGCCGCGCAGGAAGAGGCACGTCTTTGGGTTCTCGATGGCCTTGGGGGCCTTTTTCTCGAGCGCGCGCTTGGAGCGGGCGTTGCGTGGTTTTCTAGACTGTTGTGAGTGATGTGCGAGAGGGCGATTGTGTCGGGAAATGCAACTTACATTTGTCTCAGCATCTTGACTGACTGTTTTGTATTTCGGCGCAATGGGGAGGCTGAATCCAGCACAGTATGGCGCAGGCGAGGGGACTTGAGAATAGAAAACTTTCTTATCGGGCTACACACGATAAGCGGAAAGTTGCAGGGTGGGACCTCGTTTGGCGGGGCGGTTCCGCTCCCACGCAGCCAGAGTTGAGCTCGAGGTCTAGCACCATCCATGCCTAACCTAGTGGAATGCACGTTGTAGAGGTACTATATTTCCCATGTGTGCTGGCACCACAGATAGAGTGTTACGAGACTCTAACCACTATATTTCAGACTGAGTGCATAAACTTGAACTGCAAGATTATTGACGAGTGGTCACTGCTATCTGTATGACATTTTGCTTTACTGGGATCAAGGCGTTGCACAAGGCGCGTATTTGGGCAAGCCGCATGTCTTGGTAGGCTACAGTTGCCGAGCATTCTTTTCATATTTTTCGTCTCTTGGGACTCGGAATACACCATACATGTAAACTTGATCTCTTCTACATCCGCGGATGAACGGCAATTTCAAGAATACGGGAAGCTTGAATTGATGCCTGCCCTCATTGCTGGCTCTTATCCATCATCTCCCCAAGTTACTGGGTTAGAGCGTTTTATCTGCAGCGGGGCCGTTCTACGGGCCGGCCGCCCGCTATTGACAGGTCTTTTGCATGAAGAAGTTATCGCCCATTTATATCAAGCACGCCTCAATAGTACTTGAAGTTACATTGCTGAAGCCAATAAAATATTGCTCAACATGGTTTGACAAGATTGGCATGATAAACCTTCTAGCACGATGCATGATGAGCAGAAGTAAATAGAATTTCCGTAGATCGCCTTCCCCCAGTATAACTTTTTCAGATTCCGGAAATATAGCTAAATAACATCGCTTGAAGTTGTGTGTGTATATGTGTATGTGTCTTTTCTTTCCTTCTGAAAACCCAACATCTCTTTTGAGACCGAGTAGTGTTATACCTTATAATGCTGCTTTGCTCAGGTTCAATAAGTATAGAACGCCGATAATTTTTATAGGGAAACCCCTCTTTCTTTCTTATTATATACCTAGAAGAATTTTCTTACTCTTTTTGCTCCATATATCCTTGACTACTAAATCATCTTTAAATCGAGGTGTCCATAATGATGAAAAGTAAAGCCTTTACCTGCGCTGAGGTAGAACTGCTCAATTGTTAAAGTCAAATAATATAAAAACAGCCAGCTTAGCGAAATGACACCCCTTGAGTTCTTGGCCCACCAGAGTCGCGGAAAAAAAGCAGCCATCTGAGATGATCAGCAAGTGTCATGAGCGCAAGAGGTAGGAAGCTTTTCCTATTCGCCGTTATTGTAAAGCACATGACTCTGGGGAGGAGACGCCAGAACGATTGTCGAAACAAGGGCAATGGCGACACCCGACGGTAATCGGACAGTTGCTTCGCAGATTTTCTCGTCTGTATCGTCGACTTGGTGATGAGAAAGAGAATTCGCCGCACTCATAATACCCTTTTGCTTTGATCATAATGTAGAATTCTTGCGAGGGGTCCTGCTGTTTGACTATTTGGGCTAAGAGCGACTACATTATATGTATATCGTATATATACAGCCATTTATGGCCATGGTTGCCACGCATTAGCCAATGACCATCAAAACCCGATGACTAAGCGAGAAAGCAGTAATCTATCTGTATGCCCCTTATCGCAATTCTTTTTGAGATTAAATTGACACAAATACTAGGTTATACTACTCATTAAACATGCCTCGCGTACGTAGTGATTTGCCTCTGTATCGTCCCACTTCCATATGATATGGTCGATCAGATATTTAAGCCGTGACGTCACCGTTGTGTGTTGCTTGGAGTAACGGCACCGTCTGTATCTGTGAATTTCATTCTGGGGACAGCATCATTCCGTAAATTCGGTACCGTGCCTGTCATTCAATCATTTACTGGATACCCTACGTGGCCGGATGCCGAGGCTCAAGAACAGTGAGAGCTATTACCAGCTATCCTCGACTGTCTAACCAGGAACATTTTGTTTAGGTGACCTCCTAGACTCGGTACCTATTTATACTAGTGCACTACGAAATGGCATTTCCGATGGACGGGAAGCCTCAGCTGGGTTAGCTGAAGTGTCTACACTACTGTCAGCCCTGCATCGCCGGATCCGAGCCACCCGGAGGCCCTGCATTCAGCAGTGGGGTCCGTAATCAGCTTCCCCTGTCCTCAAGACTACCAGATCATTTCGGAGGTCGGACTGGTACCAAATTCTTGATCCTTCCAGGTTTCTACTCTGATGGCTGTTTCAACACTGGTAAGGATTTGCGAGCTAGAAAGTGGTTTGGAAAAGACTCAATGCTCTTGGGACTTGCATGTATACACAGTAAAGAGCACGCCAGACGAATTCAAGCTAATAAACTAGAATTGTCCGAAAGCTTTCGGCTGCAAATGTGCATGGCAGCTGTCATCTAATAAGTTGCGATCCAGACCAGTACCGGTACTGGTCTCGATAGATCCTAGCCTGCCCCCATTCGCAGCACTATTGTACACATCAGATGACGGCTTAGCCTAAGGTAAAAGAGACATCAATAGTGTCGCACTCGACAAGCTGTTGCGATTCATTGACAACTTTTCCAGCGAGGCCGCCCGTACTAATTTCATCTATCGAGAGATCATGACCAATGGTGGTGTCTAGAGGGGGTTTGCTCACTTGACTTCTTCCATTAGGTATACAATCACGTAGTTGGCTCCTAGGTCGGAAATCAAACAGACCAGTGCGTTGAGAGCTTTGTTGTGGTACCATCCACCCTTGAAATCAGCATATCCTGTACCAGTGTTTTTTGCCTTGCACGTATTTTCAAGGGTACAGGATCTCTGAGAACTGCACCAGGCTGGAATTGTACCATTGCCATTTGTACCTGAGTGCCTGAAAGTTGAAGCCAGAAGCCTCATAGTTGAGACATTATGTAGGGCGGTGTGCTGGCCTATGCGCTCTCCAGACTTGCTTGACCCATTTGACAACACGAAAAGATCTGATTGTATCCATACACGTCGAAATATTGATGTTCCTCAGCAAAGGAGCCAATGACAGCCCCCTTCTCGGGCATGGAAAATCAGGTGCGTAGTACACAAGACACAATACATGTGTAAGCAGGGGGGCGGTGAGTGAGGGCATCCACACACGCACAAGCGTGGTGAACAACAAAACAAAACGACTGACCAATCCGCTGTGTATAATGTCTGTTGATTCGCTTGCATGGTGAAGTTTTCGAATAGAGACACGGCGGCACGCCACACAGCTGCGGTAATTGCTTCTGGAAGTAGGAGTGACATTTATTAGCTGCAAAGTAAGAAAAAAAAAAAAGACCCGAGATGCTCTGCTTGGTTAGAGCATCTATCCGCACGTGCATGTGCCTACTCATAGTTAGAGTTCAGCCGCTAACAGCCATCAATGATTGTTACAGCAGTCTTTTGTGATGTTTAATTCATTCCCGATCATAGCCAGGACAGCCAGCTCAGCGAGCAACGTTTTTTTCGTTGCCCCCTTTCACCTGCATCCCATCCCCAAGTACCTGGGGGCGTGCTGTAAATCATTACCGCTTCCCTCGCTCAGGCAAGAGCGCTGTTGCATCACTATTAGTGTTATTCATCTTAGCACATGGCCAACCCCCAGTCGACTGAGTCTTGGGGCTAATATACCTTAGGTACGACCGGACTCGGATCCCAACAGGCCTGGATAAACGAGTCTCTCGGGCGTGTGACGATGAACATGACATATTGATGCTATTTTCTTTCCTTCTTGTCTTTCCTCTCCCGTTCTTCTCTCCTGTTGTTGGACATGTGCACGGCCTCGTGTGTGACCAGTACTGAACCCTCCCCATATTAGACTCTGCTGGGACACCCTTTCGAACGGTTAAGTCTTGGTCCAGTCCATCCATCTACTTAGCGGCAGCATCACAAGTGCTTGAAACCACCACCAAGCGCAGCCTACCCACATCGTCTCTGTTTCCCAATCCACCCCCCGTTCCTCTCCGTCGCTTGCGAATTTTCCCTACTAGACTTGCGATTCCTCTTAAGTGTTTGCCTGCGCAGATCTGGCTTGTCATTCATTATACTACTTGCTTCTCTTTCCGTTGACGCGCTCTGCATCTTGTATAGGCGTTTCGCGGTCGTTGTGGTTTCCTTGGTCCTATATAATATACTTCCCCTGCGCCGACAAGACCCAGAAGCTTACTGTAAGGGGATACCCTACCTTGCCTACCCTCACCTACTCTCGACGTTCGACCGGCCTCTGAAACGCGGCCCCGTCCGCCACAAAAAAAAGATTAGGTACAGTGAATTTGACTGCTACAGTACATACATAGCACCTGCAGACAGCGCTGAGCACGTCTCGAAACTCTGCATTCACTGCAAAGCAACTGCACTGCGCTGCGCTGCGCTGGGGGAGGAGGAGACCCACGTGTTTGTTGCCTGTCTGTCTGGCACTGATATCCCCGTCTCGACTCGTCTCGTCACAGCCATGAGATGACTGCTCCAACTTTGACTGTGACGGCAGCTCCAACCGTCCACAAGTCACAGTCCTTCTCATGCCAACCAAAGTCGCAGGCAAATCCCGGTCATGCACAGCCGCAGCCGACGGATTCTTCTGCTTCTTCCTCCTCTCTTTTTCTCAATGATCAGCAACAGCAGCAACAAAATCGTCTAACCTCCAAAAGTCTTTCCAATCTACCAGCAGCCACAGCCGCAGCCTTCGACTTTGACTTGCCCTCGTTGGACTTTGATACCGGCATTGACTTCGACCCAACATTGCCCGTAAGCCGAAAGCTGCAGCTTAGCCCCAATGAGAAGACTACACTCGCTCCAAACGCTGCGAATCTCGAGGGTCCGCGGCCCCGGACAGACAAGATGGGGAGGAGGAAGTCAATTTTAGGACGCCCGCATTCGTGGGTGCCGACCTCCAAAGCCACAGCCGACACTCGGCCTGCAAGCGAAAAGTCAACTGAACCCAATGGTGGCCATGTGAAGACGACCGAGACTCAGGATCAGAATAATAATAAAAAGGAAGCTCCTGGTTCTGGACTCTTGCAGCTGCCCCCCGAACGAACTGGCGGCGCTCTGTCCTCCCTTGCGAGACGCTCATGGATTTCTTCGTCAAAGACACCTTCGCCCTCGGCCAATGCAACTGAGTCCTCAGACTACGTGAGCCATGCATCGCGCGAGCGTTCCCTGAGTACATCGTCAAATAAGCTCAAGAAGCTCACGCGCAAGCGACAAGGCTCTACCAATGACAACGAAGGCAGCAAATCCTCCGACTCCCTGGGCAAACTCGGGTCGTATCTGGGGAAAATGAAGCAGCGCCCTCAGAATGGCCTGTCCAAGGGTGCGGCGCAACATGATACTGATAGTGCGGCATCCTCGATTACAAGCAGTGCACCCGCCTCGACAGCCACGAGACCTTCCAATGCGGCATCGGACAATACGTTTCCATCTGTTGTTGTAGAGGAGGTAGCCCGGCCACCGACTGCACAAGCGCGCGATCCTCTTTGGTCCGTCTTCAAGAACCTCGAGTCTGAATATGCAAAATTCCAGGCCAAGAAGCCAGCAGAGAAGATGAGGCATGTGCGGACGGTACTGATCCCTTTTCTGCGAGGTCACGCTTCTCATCCTTCGACCAAGAAATTGACTTTGGAACATGTCGAGCAAAGGGCCAATATTCTCCACAAGTGGTGGAACGGATTACTGGAACTGCTCGATGGGCCTTCACAAGGAGCTGTGCCGGGCACCGACCGACCGACCTTGCACGAGGTGACTACGCTTGTCATGATGCGGCCAGAGTGGCGATTGAACACGCCCTATTTCCGACCATTATCAGAACGGAACCTGGGGGAAGCTTCGAAGCGCAGAGGACAGCCGCAGTCTGCCAACGCAGCCAACGACTCAGAAGGTTCTGTAGACTCTGACTTCATCGCCGAGTCTGCAGAACACAATGTGCGGACCATGTTTACATCCAACCTGATGCGACAGATGGCGATTGTGGTGGACAAGATGTCACAGCGTCACATGCCGTGGAGTATGATCAACTTTGCCGGAAAAGCCTGCGCCTATGCCTTCTTCTTTGTCCCAGGAGTTGCCGATGTCCTGGTGAGCCTATGGTCTTTGACGGCTGACTTGATGCGACGCGTGGCAGACGAATTCCATGTCCAGCGACGAGGCAAAGGCGAGAGCGATGATATTGTGGCCCTCTTCCCGCCTAATCTGAACAGGCTGAGCTGGACCTCTGTCAAGGGCATGGCGCGCATACTACGAGAGCCCACGAAACTTCCCCATGCCGCAGCAAAGATCAACTGGAATGGACCGTGGATGGCCAGATGGCGTGGCCGTGATACTGACCTCTTCTTCATCTTTTGCAAGTATTATTTCATACTTGCGGAAGAGTTCATACCTTCAGAGCTTGCTCTGGTGGAAAAGAGCCGAATCCCAGCGTTTGTGCTGGTAAATGCCCAGATTCTCTCGGCACTCGATTCAACAGTTCATCGACAAGCAGCTTTCAACAACGCCATGGCATTCCCTTCTGCAGATGGGATCGATGCTACTGCCACCGCACTACCAATCGCGCCGAACAATAACGTAATGAAAGGAATGACCGAGAACCGACTGATTGTGCTACTCAAGGACTTTCTATCGGCCAGCTCAGTAGCTTTCATGGCCGCTCGCCATACGTTTGCTGAGGCTTTCATGGCTTTGATGAAGGCATCTGCGAAGCGCACATCACTTTTTGATCATAATGCTTGTTTTACACTGTGCGACTTCCTCGAAGAATCTTTGGTTGCCTACGATGGTTACGTCGACGTACACAGACCGACCTTGGAATACATTGACTGGCCCTTTTGGATTGATGTTTGCAGGAAGATGATGGCTTCTAGTAATGCCGGTTCCGAGGTTCGCGTACTATCGCTTGTCTTTTCAATTTGGGACGCCATTGTCAGTAATCCGAGCCGGAAAGAGCTGGTCTGCTTGGACTGGCTTCTACAGGAGGATATTTTCTACAAATGGTTCAATAATTGGTGCCCCATGGTCCGAGCATACTACATGCGTCTCGTGTGTTGGCGAATGTGTCGGAATACTGGGAGCCCATCAGAGCTTGATACGTAAGTTCACATTCTCTGTACCAGCCTGGTGGAGAAACGACTGACATCTTGAATAGCAAAATCTTCGCAGTGGTCAACAGTCGACTGAAGACTGTCTGGTCCCACTATATTTGGCTAAAGCAGGAAGCAGATTCGAAAGGCAAGGTTCCTCCCTCGACAGCTCCATGTTGGCCGACTCCCGGAAAGCGCTTTGTCATTATTCGAACAGAGGTGCCGGCTGCCCAATCGGGACTGATGTTGGGCTTTGATTCATTTTCAACGCCCATGGGACCTTTGGAAACTGCTGTGAGCCCGCCAAGCCCCCGGGGCTCAGCAGAGATGTCAGCGGTCGAGCCGGCTGCATACAAGAAGAAATGGAACCTATTCGGAAAGGTTCTTTCGTTTGGAAGTACAAGTGGTCCCAATGATTTGGAGACTATCAGGCGCGAAACCGCAGCGGCACGCAAGCACTCAGCGCCTCCAAAGTCGAGCGAAACGCCTACTCCTCCAGCATCTGACACGGACAGCCTAGGTTCATCGCCAACTTATGAAGCACTCCAATATGTATTCCGTTTCACTCTGCAATGGCATTCACAGGGAGCGACGGCCCCACTGGGTAGAATCCTGACACGGCCTCGACTACCAGCACCCGCTCAATCATGCATTAATGCGCAGGCAAACCAGGGAGATGGAAGCCCACCGCCACTGCCCGCGAGCAGGCCGGCTCCCACGAGAGCATTTTCGGGAAGTGCCAATAGTGGCCTCATCGACGCTGCCAAAAATGCCAATCCTGGGGATGTTTCGCCCACAACCGTCAGGACAATGATGCAGTACGCCGATGATGACATTTCAGTGTCACTCAGCCCTATCGAACAAAGAAGCAGCAATGGCCAGTCGCCATGGTCTGCCCCCCAGATAGCAACTTCGGAAACCCTCGTCGGTCCTGTGAAACCAATGGGAATCTATATGCAGTCGTCGACCTACGCAGGTCGTGCTCTTGCAGAATGGAGCACAGTGGTGGCCGAGTGCAACAGCTTCGTCGACCGAAGACGCGAGGAAGGTGTACTCAGTCTTGAAGATGTCGAGGTCCCTGCATTGGGCGTGGAGGGTTTTAGAAAGATTGGCTAGAAGCAAAAAGAGCCTCGGTCCATTTTCCGGCCCATCCACATTTTTTAGACTTGTTGTCTATCAATCCGAGCCAGGTCCCTTCAACATGGCTTGTATTGTGCATCCTGAGGGTCAAGTCAACCACTCGAGTGCCCAGTGCGGCCAAGTGGTATGTGTTGTTTACAAACTCAAATCCTTTGAGCCATCAATCCTTTTGTTGTATTATCTGCAAACATTTTGCGGTAGCATCACGCGAGCATAGCATTGGCGGCGTTTTGGTCAGGATTTTCTGCGGTTTCTTCTTTCTTGTTTTGATCAATTGTACACGAGAAATTTCGTGAGCATAGGGAAGATGCCAGGCACAAGATGTCTGCTCTGGCTACTTTTACAAAAACGACGAGAACTTTTGGCTTTTTTCCCATGTAGGAGTGGTTACAATCAGGCACAAGGTTCATGGTAGATAGGGTTTTCATTGCGCCTGGACAGAAGTTTAGACTTCTTGGTACATATGCGGTACATATAGGCATTGGCTGAACTCGCTCACGCGCGTTGTCAACAACTGTATATAAGGTTTCTCTAGGATGCCTCAAAACTTGTCAAATGTGCAACTCTAGTTTCCCTTTCCTCATGTGACCAAACTCGATCAAAGTTGTCTTCTCAGTCCAATCTAACCAGTCCAGTCCTTGACATCCTCTCTTCAACACATGGCAAGTTTCCTCCGCATTCCATTCTAGGATCTATGGCGAGCTTCCATCATGTCGTTTGAACTGTAGCCGGAATTCTTAGAATCGGGTGGTGCTGGTGAAAAGCACTTTGTCAAAAATGCGTAGCACCAGAAACATGAGCCAGAGACCGAAGAAGCAGGTCAGAACTGTCATCAGGCCATTGAGAAAGACCATACCAGCATCTGCCTCGGTGTCGGCGCCACCAATGCGCTCAACGACATGGGGCTCGATCTCCTCCAGATCGTCAGGAATGAAGAGGTTGGAGTCGGTGTTCTATTAGACGGGGAAAGCTCAGGTCAGTATCTGTATGGCCCCCATTGTGGGAATCGAAAGAGTTGCAAGACGTACGTTGGAACCAACCGACTGGTTTCCGGTATCAGCACCGGTGGTGAAGCCCGAAGACGGGTTGTTGGGAGTCTGCTGTGCCATGGTTTGTTGTTGAGACAGTTGACTGATGCTCTGCGTAGGGTGTGGGAGTGCTTGTGATGATGAATGAAAATACTTCGTTGTGGGACGAAGAATGAGGAGTGGTGGTGATGGTTGAAGGAAGAGGGAAAATAGCTGTCAGAAACCAGCTGTATTTGTAAACAATTCCTAGAGGGTTGGGCTTGGGCTGATTGTGCTGCAAGTGTCCAGCCGTCACAGGATCGTTTTGGGTAGGCCCGCTGCGTCGTCACGTCTTTTGAGACGACGACCAGAATTCTGTTTGATTCCGAAAGTCCAGTCGGCCAGTCACCAGGAAGCTTGGCCATCAGGGTGAACAATAAGACTTTGTACATCGTCTCCAATTAGGCAACGATCTGTTTTTTCCGTTCCAGCTATTCACATCAGGTGAACTATCAAACGCTGAATACCCGAGTACATAGTGATGAAAGGACACACTCAGATTGTCCTGATTCACGCACTGGTGATTCCCTTACATCACGCTGTGGTAAAAGTAACAACCATTTCATAGGATGCCATGGTAGAGAAAGAAAGTCAGACTGATACTTTCATGGTCACTTCCTTATTACAGCAAACTACAGCCCTAGCAGTTATACAGAGAAGAAAAAAACAAGCCTTATCAATGCTTCAAGCCAAATACCTTTCTTCTTTACGCATAATTCTTGGACTGGCCTCAATTTTTTCAAGTATTGATGTCTGAGGGATCGTTGTTGGTCTTCTCAGAATGTTCTCTGGTAGTTTGCCAAGTTTCATCAGTTTCCAAGACGGGCTCAAAGTCGTCACCGAGGGCGCGGAGGGGAAAGTCCCAGCACGTCACCAGCCTCTTCTTCGTTTTCTCCCACAACGCATCTGGTCGAATTTCAGCGTAGTCGCGGATCAGATCGTCAGGGTTGTATTCCACGTCAGCAATAAAAAGCCGGCAGAGCCACATGTTCGGAACGGGCGGATCTTCGTTCTCTCTGAATCCCAATGGGCAATGCCGTTGCCGTTCACGGAGCCATTCGCATTGATAGCAGCACTTTGGCGGCTGGTGTGAGTCTAGGTCCTCCTCACTGTCAAGCATCTGAAGATCGTAGACACGTTTCACCTGATTCATCTGTTCTGTGGTGGGCGGCGCGGTGATGTGGCTTCTTGTAATCCAGAGCGCCATGTCACTTATCTTATATGGGGGACGGTACCCCGACCAGTCTAGGTATTGCCACTGAAGCCTTTGCTGGATATTGTCTAATTCGCCGTAATTAATGGCGAAAATCAGTTCGTCCCACCATATTGGATTGAACCCGGTCAACAAGGTGGTGTACTCAAAGTTGAGACGGAGGACCCCTTTGGCCTCGCCGTCGGGCTCCGGTCTCATTTCTGTTGATTCTCTCACACAAGCTGGGACAGGTGAGCAAGCTTTGGGACTTGGTGTTTTTTTCTCTCGAGACTGTTGGAGACCTACCGAAAACATCGAGTTCTATATTGTAAAACGTTTTAGCAAGTTTATTGGATGCGGAGTTCACCAACGAAATGTTGGATATCAGCTGCACGCTCGGCACTAGGCCCTGGTGATCTTCAACCACGATTGTCCGTTGGGCCTCTGCAATCAGAGCGTACGTCCAAATGATGTCTTTAAGCTCTTGCGGAAGGTCTTTAAAGCTAGGGGGGTTTTCCTGCTGCTGTGCTGGTGGGTTGCTCTCTTTGTCCTGTCCGTTCTTGTCCTTTTCCTCGGACTCGTCGACTTCCAATTGTGCCATCTCCATGGTCTCCCTCTGAAGCTCTTCCATTATACACCATGGTTGCATAAAGGGATCGAAATAGGTGAGGAGAAAAAAATCCATGATACGCACTGGGGTTCGCAATGGGCTAGGGCCGCCAAAATCTGTCTAATCAAGATGTTTATGTACAAAGTGATGGAATCCAAAGTTGCTAATTTCTCTCAAGCAAGTGGGGAAGAAGAGAAACTCGTGACTGCTGGGTAAGACGTCAACAGTGACAGAAGGCTGTCAGTCACGGCTGAGATGGACGGCGGGTAGTGGCTCCTGCTTGCCGCAGCCTGTCTTCTAACCTTGAAGCGATTTGTGCGAAAGAGCGACTCGATTGCTCAGTTCAAATGGAAGACTGCGAACAATTCCAAATTTGCGTATCTGCCAAAAGATTTGCTCGTACATGCCAGCATCAAATTCCACTCTGTCATATTTAGTGCCGATGGTGTAGCTAGAAGGTTGAGGATAGGATATTGATGGAGTGGAAAAAGGCGAAAACTTCAGTCAGACCGTCCTATGCATTCTCAGCATCCTTGATCATGGTGCTACAAGCATTGATAGCCTACTGTATCTCTCATGTAAATGACCATGCACCTCATCGTCGCATCATGGTGCAAGACGCGAACTGAGGACGCCACTGCCACGGCGGACTTTAAGAAGATACTGGACTTGATAAGTTTTCTTCTACGTGACAGACGCATACAGGTCTCTACATGACGGATTAAATGAATGTCAAATAGTACTCTAAACCCAAGCGCAACTGAAGTTACAGATGCAAATTATTCCATGCCAAGTCATTATTTCATAATCATCACGACACCGCACCCAGACACCGGAGTTTGTGACGTTTTCCTATCAACCGTCCATACTTTTGGCGCATCAATTGTTGTCTCAGCCACAAGTGTCAATAAGTCAAAGAGTGACAAGATTTCCCATCGGCATCTTCACCACTCGCGGTCTGGGTCTGGCTCAAAGTCATCACCGGCACGACGGACTGGGAAATCGTCACACGTGACGAACCTTCCCCTCATGAGCTCCCACAACTCCTCGATTGGGACTTTAGCATAGTCTGTCACCAGCATATCGAGCTGGTACTCGAAGTCGGTGATGAAGAGCCGACAAAGCCACACGTTGGGGAACTGGCTCTCCTTGTGCGACGAATACGCGCCTTCGCAAGGGAAATTCGCGGACTCCCAGCTGCAGCCCCAGCAACACGGTGGCTCCCAGTAACAATCATCCACTGGAGAACTCTCTTCCTGGTATATGCGTTTCACCTGAGCTCGCTGCGGCTCGTCGAGGGGCGCGGTGATGTGGGAGCGGGTGATCCAAAGCTGCTTATCATGCCAAATCGAGGAGTCTCCCTGGGGACGGGTGCCCGACCACTTGACGTAGTCCTGATTATCTCTGCCGTCTTCAAACTCTTCCCCAATGTCCTCGATTTCGTCCAAGTCGAGTCTGAAAACGTACCAGGGCGGTTGGCGGCCGAGAAACAAGGCGGTGTACTCGAGATTGAGGCGGAGAACGCCCTTGGCCTGGCGGCGCTGAAGTATCATCTCTGGAGGTTCTCGAGTGCAGGCTAGGAGGGGTGAATCAGCTTGAAAGATACTGCCACAAGAGGCTTGAGCAACATACCAAAGACGTCGAGCTTTACGTTGTAGAATTCTGTAGCAATGGTACGAGCAGCTTTGTTGACCGTCGAGATGGACGAAATAAGCTTCACACTTGGTAGCAAACCACCTGTCTTGGAATCGTGTATCACGAAGGTATGTTTGACTTCTGCAATCAATGCTTGCTTCCAGATGCTATTCTGGATCTCCTGGGGGAATTCCTTGAAGTAGGGGAACTGTACAGGCAAGCTTGGCTTGGTCTTGTTGTTCTTAAAAGCGCTCTGCTGAGCTGTCTCTGGCTGTGAAGGCGACTCGGTCTTCTTGTTTGCTTGCCCGCCCTTGCTTTTCCCCTTGCCCTTGCCTCTGCCCCTTTTGCCCTTCGACTTGGCCATTTTCTTCCTGTTATTTCCGCTGAATGTGTCAGAGAAAAAGACGGATGAGTGAGAGATGGTAGAGTGGGAAGTGTAGGAGAGAATTTGGCCGGCCGGAATCTATAAGAGATCCGTATCGTTTAATCTAAACCTGCCTGAGAACTGCCCACCTGCCTCAGTCCTGGGACAATGAGATGCTAGGCTTCTACGTTATTTGAGACAAGGACAACGTACACCTCTTAGTAAAGTAGACTAACCGCCAGATTTGTCATAAAAAGTGACAAAAGTTGGTAGTGGCGTTTGATGATTGCCCCTACTTGTCCAATGGTTTTTCCCCCAACCATGCATCTTCCCGGGATTGTTTGTGTCAAATCATGACGACGAATGAAAAATAAAGAACTAAATAGCCTGCATGATGTCGGGTTGCGTTTAGCAAGAGAATCTGGTATAAAGAATGGAAACCAAGGTCGCCCTTGTTAGAGAGACATGGCAAGATGATTGTGCAGCTGACATATCCAGTTCCTCAGTATTATGGTCCTTTTCTACAAGTTGGCGCAGGTGTCATTATTTAGTCAACTGAGCCTTTGATTCTGCATACGATACGTCATAAAGCATGCCATATCCTCTAATGCCAACAACCGCATTCTATCCCCAGATTGAATTAAGATTATGAAGTTACTGTCATGCCACTTCAACATTTCAAATGCACTCCTATGTCAAGTATTTGGTGAATTTGAAATAAAACTGCGTAAAATATCAACGCAGGACAGCTGCCACCTAATATCTTTTCTTTTTCTTTTATCGGGTTTGAAGATTTATGCTAGCACCACATCCTGCTCTGTCTCATTCTTGATCCAAGTCGTATCAAGTAGACGACCGTAGCCGACTCGCTGGTAAACATTCCTGTCGCGATTGTAGCAGACCAAGAGGCACCACAAGTAGGATGGCTCAGCCGTGTCAAGAGGGGGCATATACCACGGTTGCGTTGGAGCCTTTACCAGTGGCAGAAACCATACCGAGGCAGTCGGGATCTTGGGCCCCTCATCGAAAGCTCCCCAACCAACGGCCTTTCCAGAGCTAGCCATCAGCATGTAGTATCTCTCTGGGTGATTACTATGATGACACCATTCTCTGTCTTGATCCTTCATTGATAGACCCGAGTCTGGATCCACCCCTCGAAGCTCCTCGACAGTGGTCGGTAAGCATTCAAATGGCCCGTGAAATGAGGCGGCTTCCTTTACTTTTGCCCTTAGATGCAGCGCACCAGAAATGAGAGTAGACGGCTCAATGTCACCGCAGAATACCTCTGAAGCGCTCTTATCTTCGACTGCTATCGAGGCAAATTCAATGCGCCCAGTAGTAGAGGCCCAAGTCCAGGATGGAACGCCATTTCCGATATTCCGGACCAGAGCCTCCAACACTGACCCGCGGCCAATCCATAGCAGACAATAGGGCAGTTCTTCGAGGAATATACCGTGATAATAGATGTTCTTGGTCCTTTTCGCCCACGCGTCTGCCAAGCCCTGGATTGCCACCATCTTGTCCGACTTGTATGTAAGATCACGTCGCGTGTACTCTCGAATCATGGCCATCCAGGTATTGGGCACAATGTAGGCAGTCCCGACCTCGAACTCGTTACGCTGGTACCCCGGATCACGGCCGCAGGTCCAGTACACGCCAAACGCCGTAAAGTGCATCGTTCGGCGCGCCAGGACAGATTCCTGGAGAACCCAGCCCCGTCCGCTCAAGGACGACTTTTCGAAAATGGTGCTGGCGCCCACCGGGTGCTCGTAGGCATAGATGGCACCGCGCGTGCCCGACTCCCGGTGCGTGTATGGGAGCTCCACAAAGTTGACATTGGACCGGACGCCGAATAAGCCCTGGCTCGAGTTGGACGCCGAGGACGCGGCAATGGTGAATTCCGACTCCTCGTATACTCTGCACATAATGGCGGCCTCGTGGCTCCAGTCGGCCGGGTCATCTTGGATGATGCAGAGGGAGTCTATCCAGATGAGCTCAACGCCCAGGGTCAAGCAGAGTGTACACGCATCCCGAAATGTCTGAGATAGACGTAGCCAAGGCACTTGGATCTTGTGCTGTTCAAGATTCGCCTTGAGGGTGCACAATGGTCGTTTCTCGGGAGGACCCCAACAGTGACTTAGACTCACGTACCGTGCCCTAAAAGGCTTTGCTGGTTCAATGAGGCGTACTGATGGGGGTTCATTGGGATTCTGCGGTGCCGTGATGGCAAGCAAGCGTCGAGGTGCCACCTCTGGATTGCCCTCAATTCTCTCCCCTGAAAACGACTCGTAGCAGTCGTCATGTCCAGCTTTACACCAATTGAGCCACTTGCTAGCAAGATCACTCGGAGTCAGTGATTCGGCGTCCAGAGGCACGCAGATATCGCGGCTGGCGACGTCGCCAAACACTGCAGCTGGGCTGCCTATCAAGTCTCGATGCGGTTAGCAATTGGACCATGTATCTGGGATCACTATGGGCGATGACTGACCTCGTGGAGCGTACAGGTTGACGGAGAATATCAGCCCGTCGCGACCGAAACTAACATCGAAACCGTGAAGACTGGTCTCTTTTCTCGATTTGAAACTGTCCTTTGCCTGTCTCAGCAAAGAAACGGGTAATTCGATCTTGTCTGCGGCGACACCATCCTTTGTCGCATAGTGCGCGAAATAGGAACTGGCCAAGATGTGCGCTAAAATCAGCCCGCAGAGGGCGCAACTAGAATTGATCGCGCGACTATAAACTTGGCCGAGAGTGCCCAGCTTGAAACCCGGCGGTCGCGGGTGACTGTTGAGGGGGAGTTGTTGGATCTCCAACCGGGAGCACGAGTCGCAGAGATTCATCTGATATGTATCGCGCAACGAGCCCGTGGACTTCTTGTTGACCAAAGTAGGTTCAGCTCCGGACTGGGTGACCCCGCGGTCTCCAGGGTTAAATGCAACATCTGGGATGTCCTGCAGAGGAACATGATAGCCAAGGAGGCGCTTGCATGAGCCCTTCACCCGTACCCATGGCGTCGGGAGGCGTGGCGCGATCCCTGGAATCATTTTCATGCATGATCATTGCTGGAAAGTTTCCTAATTTGATTATTTTCATTATACTATTGTATGATAGGTCACAACTACACAAACAATGCGCTCTTCTGCCACAAAAAAAAAAGACCTCAAATCGCGAAGCTCAACTGGGTATATTTCCGCCGATTTGAGGTCCCCTTCCCATTATGATCTCATACTTGGGGGCCAAATCTTCTTCTTTTTGCCAGGTTTGTCAACTACAACGTGTTGCATCGTTGCCCCATGTTCTAATGCCCCGGTGTATTCGCCGGCATCTCATGAACTCGTCCATAGTGTGGCATTTCCACTGGCGATTTGATCGCCGAGAGTTCCTGGAGTGGCTCGTAATTCCCCTTGGCCACACCGCCCGATGACGACGAGAAATATGTCTGGTCCGTGTAAGGTTGACTGTGCGGTGTGTGTGATTGATTGTGCGGCGAAGCGCCGCCAAATTCGCTGTACTCGCCCGGTTGCCCTGACCATTGCGCGCCGCTGTTATACTGCATTTCGGGATTATAGCCGGGGTGGTTGTTATTATTGTTGTTGTTGTTGTAGTAGTTGGCATTATTTACGTTTTTGTTTTTCCTTCTCGAAAAGAGGAAAAAGGCCGCAATCAGAATCGCGACAACTCCTGCGCCCACACCAACGCCGATCCCAATTTTTGCGCCCGTGCTCAAGCCCGAGGACGACGATTCTTGGTATGATGTTGTTGATTGCGACGAAGAAGAAGAAGAGGCGGTCGCTGTTCCCGCGGTCGCGCCAGAAGTACCTGTACTCGTTGATGCTGCTATAAATGATGGATCGGTCGATTGCCTAGTGACGCTGTCAGCGCATGTTTATTTGTAAAAGTAAAAGGCACATCTGGGATTACCTTTGGACTATAACTCCATAAGCCTCGATAAATGTCTGATCCGACGATAGTGTCGTTGTAATTACGTCGGCAGAGTTTGTATAAATAGTGGTGGATGCCGTCGAGATGGTTTCAAAGGTGACGCTTTCAATGGTGAGGACTGTATTTGCCGTCACCAGAGAGGTGCATCCATAGATATTGCCGGCTCTAGGCGTCCGACAAACGTAATTTCTGGGAGGGCATGTCAGCTTCTTCTGATGGCTTTGTTTCTTGGCTGGTCAATAACGGCTCACTTTGGACAACATGTTCCCACGGTCACTACAGAATTATCGGACGTAAAACTCGAGGAACACGCCGCGACGAATCCCGATGGGCATATGCCTGGCGAAAAGTAGTACTCGGGATCTCGCGTAAAGCCCGTTGGCAGGCAAGATGTCGAATCTGATCCTATGCCGCCAAGGACGTACCATCCTGCGCTGTTGCTGTTCTTGGCATAATGGACGCTGCTACATAAACTTCCCGAGGGAGTATAAGTCGTGGTCAAAGGGCCCAGGAGGGTTGAGGGTGTAGTGGTAGTCATGATGGGCGAGACGGGACTGATTGCTGAGTTGCCTTACCAGAGGCGCAACACTCCAGGCCAATTCAGCCTTTTAACATGGGCCAAAGACGAAAGGAAGGGAAAGAGTGTTGTAAAATCACGACGCCAAGGGCGACGACAATGTCTATTTTTGAGACGTGACAAGCCAAAATTATGGGCCTGGCGAGCACTAGATTCGTTGACAAGAAATTGAGGCCCTGTCAATGAGAGAAAAGAGAGTCATGCTGGTCGCAGGGGGATCCTCAGCTGCTGCTGACATGTCCCACAGAAGATGCTTGTCACATCTTCCGGGACCGCTGCCACTACACTGTCTGTACCTTGGGTTGACCCATGTCCCATGCCGGCCAAGAGCAAATGGTAATAAGGCAGCTCCAGTTGATGGACATTATCCTCTATGGAAATAAGGCGCAGATGTCCGACATGTCGAAGAACATCAGAATTCATAATCCTAGTATGCAACCGTCTCATATCATAAATGCCGGTTGCTTAACGGCCGTTAGGTATTATTACAATACTACGGTAGTACAGATTAGTTGACGGCGTCCACCGGGTCGGAACCCCGAAGGAGGGATGTCTTAGGGCCGAAGGGGCCCTGGGGCAGCCCCCCTTTTTATAAATACACTATCGTTGGCTGCTAACGAGTTCTGTGCAGCGTCACCGCACCGTGCTATGATGGATCAAGTTCTAGCAGGCTGCGGGCCTCAGAGCCGTGGAATATTGGCAAGACGCTGCCCGGAAAATGGGGCACTTGATCCGTGCTCGGAGTAGCATCCTAGCATATTTTGTTCCGTCGCGTTATGGTTGCTGCTTGTGCAAAAGGCTCCACGCTGGGAGGGGCAGACCAAGACCCATGATCCAAATTCCAGAGCTCAAACTCTACGAGCTTGACGAGGTCGCCAGAATAGAACAAGCTGGCTACTTAAGCCTAGAAACTGCTGTTCAATGGTGCCGCGAAGGATTTTCGGCGCGCCTCGACTCTTTGCGGGCAGGCCATTTGGGTTTCTCGTGCCCTCTTTGTAGCATGGAGTGGCCTTGGTGTTCCAGACCCCTTCCTTCGACAGTCGGCAATCGAGAACTGACTGATTTTTGACGGAGGATTAAAAAAAAGAAAAAAAAAAAAAAAGGGCGATGCATACCACGGCACGACGTCTATGGTTCAAGAACAGGCTTAATTCTGTAAATAAAAGGGCAGCCTCCAGACAGGCTTGATCTGACTGCTTGGCTGGAAATCAACCATACCTCGGTGAAATTCGAACGATTGACTGCCTGTGACATGCTCAAAATACTCTCGGCGTGCTGTCTTTCTCAACCGGCCCTGCAAGGCATGGCTCACCCATGTTATAGTATCAGATCATATACTTTGATATAATGCCACCTCATTGGTTCCAGGCTATTCGTAGAAGGGCGAATGAACTTTCTTCCCGTGGCAGCGTGGCGTAGTCCACCATCCCTGCGAGGTATGTAGCCGATAGCCTTACAAGGCTTGTGAGGATCCATTCATTGCATCCTGCTTAATAACCATTTGTTACGTACGTATGCAAATGAGTACCAGGGATTTGGCATGAAGCGCGGTGAAAGGGTTTGATTACGTACACCACAAAAGATCCTGCGCTGCTTTGAGATCCTCCGCAGAGTTGAGAATCACTAGACAGAATCCGAATAACTCAAAAGACTTCTTGGTAGGCTGTCAAGAGAGGACCCAATCTTAGTTTCTACATTTGCAACTGTCACAATTTATTGGCCAGTGGAGTAATTGGGTCGAGCTAGGAAGCCTTGCCATTATCATTATATATTACTGTGATTTCTATAGAATTAAGATAAGGGTGGCGCCAGGATACCCGATCCCTTCAAGTAGCGAGACACATGACGGGCGAACGGCCAACGCAAGCGGAACAGGATCTGAATACATGTTTGTTTCGAAGATGGGGAAACAAAATATTCTCACCTAGAATTTCTTGTGAGTATTGGGAGGCAAGAAGAGTGGCAAACTTTCCGTGAACCCCCTCTTCTTATACTTGTCAGCCATCCCATAGCAACACGTTCACAGTTTCCTCGAATGCAGTCATCCATGTTTATGAACCATAGTAAAGCCAAGCTGTCAAGTGGATTCGATGTATCCAAGACTAAGAATATTGCGGGTGTGAAACCGAGTGAGTTGAGCATGGTGCATTATGATTCATCTACTATTCAGACTCGAGGTGTTACACGAAATTGGCTGCAAGTGATTATAGCAAAGAGGCTGACATGTGGCTGAAATGGTGACGTGGCTGAAATGGTGACATGGCAGCATATACATCTACACAGTACAACTTACTGCCCGAAAGAGCTACTCTGCTCTACAATCCCGTCTTCTTATGCCAAGAGCCAAGCTTACGCCGACGACCATGCGCTAGCTTGGCACAGCTACCTTTAATCGATGATGCTTCTTTCGAATACCTGCAAAGTGTCAAATGCAGAAAAAAAGCTCACAGATAAGGATGTAGTTCTCCTAAACTGATATCTCCGCTACTCCGGCTGTGGATCAAATCGGCACTTTGTGATCTGATTACGTCGAAGAGGGCAGGCAGTAAAAGTGAAGCAAGTAAAGACCCAACCAACAAAAAGATCTTTCGTCTCTTTCTTTCTAATTTGCAAGCTGGCTCGTAAAGACGGATTCTGTTGCCGATATAATGTCCTGCATAGGGGTTGGTTCGTACTTAATGCAACCATCATTTAGGATCGGCCAGGCCTGGTGTTCTCTACACTGATGTCTAATGTTACTTGGAATTGATACCAATGTTGCATCGTATATGGCTCGGGTCGATCCGCTAATATCATATCGGCCGCCCTGCAGGTTGCGTGCGACCGACATATAGGGCACCACTAGGCATGACACTACGACTGTTAAATGCGGGTGCATCCGCTGTGGCGGCGCCCCAATCGCCCAATCACCCTTCTGACCCTGCCACAAATGCGACGCTGAAGCACGCTAATCGTAGTTGCCGTTCAGCACACTGACCAACTGTGCGACGTATGCAATACAGGCTTGAACATTACCTACCTACAAATAGTACGGATATTAGGGGTCTCTCTCTCAAAAAAGGCATCGCAAGGATCATCTCAAGATTCGACGACAATACGGTCGAGGAATGGTAGTGTAATATTTAGTGGTTTTATTGTGTTACATTTAGCACAGGGCCGCCCACTAAGCGCATCTCTTTAGTAACAGAGTGGTTGAATTCTGCGTTGAACCACCCGATATCCTTATATCCTTGCCCAAAAGAACCCCGACCCAGATGACCCAGATTCAACTCCGTACAAGTAGTAAGAGCAAAAAGAGTATAGACATGATTTCTTTGATTGTATCTACTCGGTGCAAACGGCAACCTTGATAGCACCAAAGAGGTCCGCGGCCCCGAGTGATCCTCCAGCAGCCGACAGCGCATCAAAGACGGCACCACAAGCATCCTTGGACTCGGACGTGCTGATGGAGATCTTGTACAGAGTGTTGGGGTCGTCATTGTCGTAGTTGCGTCTGAGCGAGATGTAGCCGGGGATGGTGTAGTTTGTGGCATCGAGGAACCCGCAGCCCGAGCTGGTGCAGTCGGAAATGGTCGTGTCCTCGGTCTTCATCGAGTTCTTGATGTACTCGCCGACAATCTCGAGGATGTTGTCGTGGTTGTCGTCGAGGTTGTCGCCGTCAATCGAGATGCAGTGGGCAATGTTGCACTTTTCCGTGCCCGAGTCGCAGCCGTTGCTGTCGCACGCGTCGAGCACCGAGTCGACCAGGTCGTTGAACTCGTCGATGCTGTAGCCAGAGTCGGCGCGCACCGTCTCGGTCATCTCGTTGTTGTGGTCGACATCGGTCTTGAAGGCCGAAACGCTGTTCAGAGCGAGGAGAGACAGGACAGTAGAGTAACGCATTGTGACGACTGGCTATTGGGAGTGGCTCTTGTATGAGAATATACGATGATGAGAGTAGGAACTAATGTATGAATTTTAAGTCAATCAGGCAATGTTTATTGGATATAAGTAGAGTTTTTTGATACTTTTTTCTCATCGTTATCGACGGACTTTCACTCGTATTTATAATGTGACCCTCTACAGTTTACGCCGTTGATCATTCTTTGGGATATCCAACACCGGGTTCGAGACATGACTCTATCATGGAATTCTCAGTATAAGCTCATCTAGAATGTTGTCTTGCTGAGCCACTGTGATCTTCGGGAAGATATCCATTTGAGGTTATAGAAGCACTAGAGTTGTTCTTTTTTTGTGTCGGCCAAGACTTTTAGTTCTTATACCAATTCTTCAGCTCAATCCTACCATCGAGATTCTGTAAGGGACTCAATCCTTGACCAACATATGCTTGCGCAGGGGAGAAAAGCTTTAATTCACGTAATCGACGGCAGATCCGACCCTTTTTTTGGAAATATCAAGTATTATGAAATGCGTTCTTGGCGCAATGCGGGGGAACTGTGGGAATATATGCGCTGCGCCGCTGTCATCATTGATCATCTTCAACAAGGGAGGGTTTCTTACTTGTCGAATGTTCAGGCTGACTGCCAAGAGAAGGGTAGCCCCCAGATTTCGTCATATTTTAATGAAGCCTTGCCGTCTGGGCCGTGCCTGCAGCAGTATTCTGGGGAACAAGTGGTCCTGGATTTCTGCTGTGAGCATGCGCATCATGTAACAATTTCTCTTATTCCTCTTTCTACCATTGTGATGCACCAGGCATCGATATCGCACTATATGAAGACGTCTAGTAATATCCAGACATTCCTAAATTATCCCAAATCCTTCCATCCTTCCGCCTTTGATACCATGAACTCTATACCTATCATCCATCCACCCATTCTTTATTGGAATGCCGAGGATCTCATATGCCATGAAAAGACCAAGCACTCGCCTACTACTATGTACAATACACATGACTGCACATGGTTGTGTATCAGGCCAGGAAAAAGTCGCTTGACTGCTGGCCTTGGGAGTGTCGTCCCGGCTCCAGAGCTTCAGCAGATACTGGCCGACATGGAGCAGCGGTCAACGATTTGCGTCTCGCCTGATTGCGGCCGCACTGCGACAGGGAGAAAGAGCCAAAGTAACCATACATCAACATCAGCATAGGCATGTCTAGAAAAGTTCCGCACCAGAGAATGATCGGAATGAGCGTTTGAGCTGGTTTCTTCGATTAAAGTGAATGCGGAATTTCCTGCAGTTGTGAAAGAGAGATGACGTTTGAAATTAAAGCGGTACGCTCCTTGGCCTAGCGCTATATCAAACGAAGGCCTTCTTCGTCTGTAGTAAATATTTTCTAGGTATAGGCCGAAAGGCTTTGCTTCCGAGATATGCAGCCTTCGAGCTTTGACGTTTGATTGGTATGCCCGTCCAACGTTCAATGGCTGCTACCGTTAACATGGATCGAGATGTAAAAACCTCTCGTTGGGCAAGAGCAAAGTATAGCCACATCTACCTCAAAGTACGGCACAAAGAAAGAATAGGAGCAGAAAAGTCACAGCCGAGTGTACTCACAACGGCGTAAGATATTCTTGGCAAACAGACTATTTAAAGACCTGATCAACTGACCCATGAACATGATGGTTTGTCAAGCACTAAACCAATTGCCTTGGGTGATACGTCACGACATTACCAAACTGGACATTGAATCCTCCATATTCTCATCAGGAAGAATCGGCAATTGACCAAATGGCAAAGATTGGCTTCTCCCGAGTCGGAAAGGATCAAGAAAAGCACAAGGAATTCGAAAAGACCGATGCTCTGCGGAGTGAACCCTTTTCAGCTGCACACATGCTCCAGGAGTGCACTGGGGTGTAATGGAATACAAGTCCACTCGTTCCCGATTGAAAACAAAAAACCCACGGCAAAGTTGCAACAGGTAAGCCGAGGCTAGGAATTGGGACTAGTATAATATCTCCTGGGGCCAACTGGCTAAGGGAGAATACTACAGAGTTGGCCTCCTCGTTCATAAACACGTATTTATTCCATGGCGCAGTCTGTTTTTTGCGGCAAACTGAGATGGCGAAGAGCTATTGGGTCTTCCATGGCTTCTAGTTTATGCTTACGCCCTGACCGCCCCCAACGTCCGGCACCAGACTGATTTCATGTCTGTTAGCTCAAACCTTGCACCTTCGGTAGATGGGATGTGACCGATTACACGATCAACACTAGGGGGGAAATCGCCCTAACCTAGGTTGTCTGTTGCCTTTATGTTGCGTGGCCCAAAACTGCAAAATATTGAGCAAATAGGTTATCTCGACATCATAGTGCAAAGCTTTGAAGAACTTAAGAGCTGGCGTATCGGCACCGAGTGATGCAACCACAAGCTGAGGAGCCACGCATCAATCAGCTGACATTTGATAAACCCTTTATATTCCCTTGGTGTTCGAGGGTCCGGCAAATCAAAGATCAGCGGAGCCAGTCCTGAGTAGGAGCGCGTGCGGTCGAACGGATGCCGCACCGTTGCCCGGCGTCGCTTCCGAAATAGGATAATGGACAAACCGCTGTGCATCTCGTAGGCAACTTTTGAAGCCAAGGAATTCTTCTTTTACTGGTACACCAGCGCAAGGCGTCGGTCGGAATACGCCCGCCCATTAGACTTTGCCAACGGCCCGGTTTAGAGCCTTTGCAGCGGCGCCGCCCCGGATTTTGCCCAAACTTGGATCCACTGACTGGGCTACAGCCATCTTTGCTCCAACGTCGGCAAGGTCGGACATGGGCTTGGCTTACTTGCTGTTTAACCCTGTGAGTATAGGCCCAGAGAGTCCCTAGACGTCCCCTTTTCCCCTACCGATCGATTGCCACTCGATCTTACTACCTTTGGTGGTATTATGTATGCACAGCCCACGACGCATTGACAACCTTCAAGAGCGGTGATGAATACGATGTATTGCTAATCAATCCTGAGTATTGTCTTGTCACTCTATTATCGAGCATTTTCAGCAGAGTATCCATCAGGAGCTGCGTTCGGGATGCTAGAGATTCACATCATCGCCAGCGCAACGTATGAGAGAAACGAAAAACTCACTAAATATCTGACTAGCAAGTTTGGTTATTTGGCTAATGCCGGCAGGCACGTGAATCGACGGCACGATCGCTGTCGGTGCTCACCAATTTCCGCGGAGCACATTTGAAAGACGTCGGATACCGCTCCGTTTATAGCTACGTTTATATTGGAGCATATACGCCAACAATCTGTCAAATGGCTTCATTCGGAACCTGAAAGTCATTGCGTGTCGAATCACATATGTCGAGTCTGCAACGCTAAGCGATGGCAACTTTTGCAATGACTCAACCCCGAATCAAGCCTCGTGGTAAACACCTCGGAATTTTTGGTTCTTTTCCCAAAGAGTCGTATATTTCTTACCGTTGAAAGTCCCAGGAGTTTGGGGGTGTTAGTCCATCGTGGCGACAGGTCGTCTTGCCAAAAATCATAGCTTGGGGTCCTTTTCCACACCCGCGAGTCGGGACCCCAGGGGTCTGGCAATATACTTTGGTAGCGTAGAACATCGCGTCATGAGCGCAACATGGTAGGATAGAATCGGAAGATTCCCCTTGATGGCCCCTCACTGGCTGACGGACGGGTTCAACCTAACTACCTACCTACGTAGCTGACTGGCTGCACTGCCTCTTCTCTCTTGTCCTTTTCGCCCGCAAAAGATAACGAACAATTTCCCGACAACGTTTCTCCCGTAATAAATCCCTGACGAGGAAAACCCCATTCATGTATCTTTCACGGTCTTTGCGCCGCCCGCAACGCCTCTTCAGCGTCGTCGTCAATTTGGACACTTTGCGATGAGCGTGCCAGGAGGATTTGAGCCGGGACCCTCCCGCGACCCGCTGGGAGGTAGGGTTGCCTCCCTCTCAGTATGTGTCCTGGCAGCAATAGTCGTTTCGACTCTTCTCGGTGTGTGGTATATCGGATGGGGAGTGGGAAAGATTTTAGATTGCTAACATCATCTTAAGGATACAAGTATGCGATTGTCAGCCATCGACAAAAGCTACCTTGGTTAATATGGCGTATGTTGACGGCTGGAACCCCAAAAGTGAGACAATCATATTGACGAGTTTAGTGGTCTTTGCGATATACCTACTCTCCATGGTGTTTGTATCCTCACTGATCATCCTACAATTTGGTGTTTACACTGGGAGGAATATGCACGCATGTAATGCTGCAAGCTTCTTGTGCTTGGGAGTGTACCTATTGACAAAGGTAAGTCCTCCGACATTCAGCGCTTAAGGATTTGATACTAATTGCTATTCAGATTGTATGTTTGGACGTCTCGATTAAGGTTGCCCGACTAATCAACCCTTAGGCCATTTATCTCTTCCTCGTGGACCGAGCTGTAAGTGCCCTTCACATAAAGTACATTTGAAAATATACATCTAAGCCACGTGTAGTATATTGTGAGCGGATCCACGAAAAGTCGCTTGAAATCGAAATTATACCTTTGGAATACATTTGGAATGTTGGGTACGGATCCTGTTGTTAGGTCTCCTATATTGACACGGGGCAATGTTAATCAATATTACAGGTCTTTACGGAGTTATCGGGATTCTGGATTTTGTTTAGTAAGCTTTTCTTCTTTTCTTCATTCTTCCTTCCTGTGCAATATCGCACAAGCTAACCAACCAGTCGCATTGCTTATATCAGAGATGGCCAATGTATCCTTGGCATTGAGTGGGAGCTCATCATCCCCTTAATCGTATTTGACGTTGCAGCAAATGTTTGTGCTAATCATACCTTGATCGAATGGACGGCATATTGACATCAAAGTAGATTTACCTCACTATACTCTTCCTCAAGCCACTAATGAGTAGGATAACACACACAACCTTTATCGCCAAGTCCTTGATATTGACCATGGCTTCCTAGACACTTACTCGGTACGGCAAAAGATGCCACCGCCTCCGGTCTTGTCAGGCGGAGACGCGGCATTACAGGCCAAGCCCCTAAACACCAAGCTACGAAAACTTGCCATCCGAACCGTCATTGGGTGTGTCAGCACATTGCTCATCAGCATGGCGTAAGTATGTGCTTCCAATAGGATGGGCTGTGTGGGCTAACTCTAGGACAACAGCAACGTGACAGCACTTTTGATCCTCCGAAGTGAAGTGGTTTGGCTTTGCATGACTTGCTGTACAGTCGATAGTGAGTATACCTATGCTTTGGTTGTCCGTCCACCCATCGTTTATGAGTTGGCTAACCATGGCTATAGTCATAGCAACTTCCATAATCATACACTGGGTCACTCTACCCGACGATTTGTCCAAGGCGCACTCATCCTGCGGACCCAGCTGCAACGAGACACTTCTCACCGACGAATCCGAGCGGGAAACAAAGTCAAGGACATTATCCATACCGACCGCTCCACCCTAGGCGACTTTTGGATGACATGTTTCGAAGGCATATCAGCCGCACCGCGTTGAGTTGAAAGTCGAATACTGCAAATCAAGGATCAATTGAGCAGAAATGGAAACGAAGAATGTCTTACAACCATCACCCTTCGCACGCATAAAATTCGATAATATTCTGACAAGACCAATATTATTATTTGGTATGCGGTTATGGAATCCCGTGGTCTGCGACGACATTATCCCACGTTCATACTATCTTCTTGGAACCGATACTTTCAGCTTTGAAAGTCGCAGTTCTCCGCCACCTATCGCTATCTAAAGTTACAATTAACAAATGACCATAAGGCTTCAGTGGACGATTATGACCCATTTGCCCAAGCTCCTCGACAGTCAAAAAGAAACCGGGCCCCGCCACTAAGTCCGTCTGATCCGCTCCCACGTCTGCGTGGAATGTGGAATCGCCGAGACCGCCATAACTGATGATGAATCATAAACGCTTTGTATATTTTCTGAATAGACCGCGCGACAGGATTCGGAACTCTTAGTGCACCTTGGCCAACAACCAACGTAAACCGGGAGCCGACAGGTCAAAACTCAGGTGACCAATACTGCTTTGAGGAAGGGCTACATAGGAGTCAAAGGGACCATCGTCGAATTCGGCCTGCCTCGGAACCCTGGTTCAACATGAGGGATGGCTTAGACCCCAGCTGCCTCAGGCGTTCGTTGGTTATATTGCGAAAGTATCTATTTTCTTTCAGACTGTTCCTCAGCACATGTCTGTAGCGTGTCTCCAAATGTAAACGGTCAAGAGCTGAAGTCCTGGCGGCCTTGACCTCATTGATTCTGTCCATTAGCCGGTGGACGAAATTGCTCGCTGCCATGAGAATAGCTTCTCTTTCAACCTGGAAACTCTCGATCCCAGGGGCGCCCAAAACAAAATAGGGCCCTCTGAAAATGGGATTTAACAGCGGAAACATGGTATCCCTCGCTTGCTCGAGTTCACCTATCAGTGACGAGTACCTATTTATATGTTGTTTGAGAATTCCAATGGCGCGGATGTTGTCATGTCTGGCTTGGTCTAATTGTTCATACTTCGCCTCGCTGACGCGAACGTCATTTTCGAGACGAATTCGTTCGTCGTCAACATCGTGGTCTTCGTTCTCGGCCATCGCTAGTTTTTTGGAAAGAGATCGAGTATGCGAAATACCGGAGGTGGAAATGATTCCTATTTCTGAATTGCTGTTGCGCTCTTTGATGGCACCGACTCGTGATATCGAAACGTGAGGCGGGCTCCAAGAAGTTATCGGCGGTATAAGAATCAAAAAGCTTTCTGTTGAGTTTGAGCCACAAAAGGGCGGTATAAGTTGTGCTGTCCGCCACGAGTTGGAGGAAATGTAATGCTTGGTTGTAGAAAGTAAAAAGCTATGTGCAGGTGTGAAAAGCAGATGCCGTGTGGTAGTAGACTTTTGCCAACGGCCAGCGCGCTTGTTGGAAATGGGGGATTGTTTTGGGTTCACGGATTGTTGTGGTGCGCTTGGTCGCGGACTGTTATGACAATGGTCTTTATAATGTGATCCTTTTAGGGAAGTGGCATCTCTCGACACCAAGAGGGTCAAGGCTTCGCTCGATGGTCGGGATGGTACAACGCGACTACTCGACATGGGAAGATTGACGCAGACGTAGTTACCCTTGGACATGAGTGATGACTACCTGTGTTTATCGTTGTCATGCATTTTCATTTTCATTTGAGCCAGGATGACAACAAGACAACGAGATATTGACCCTCTGTATCTCTTGAGATCATCTTACATATGTACAATTTCCCACTCTTGTAATCATTCAAGAGTTGAATCCAAGCGGCTCGACAACCATTTTATCGAACATGACGCCAGAAAGATACAATCATGAGCAAGGAGTTTGAATCAATAACCCACGTCCATCACCAGCAGTGCAGAAGACTTGGACCCAAACATTCTCATCAATCAATACTTCCATCCATCCTTTATTATGACTCTGATTTATCATTATATAAGTGTCTTGACTGGTCTATAGTCTTCTCATCTCATTTTCAACGTGTAGAATAATTTTGGTTGCTCTAGTACATGCCGCGTTGGTCCAGTTCCTACTTTTCACCTTCCGTGATAAGTCGATGCATCCATTTCATAATAGTGAGGCGCCTGACCTCCTCCCATCTCGTGAACATTTCCACCCACATCGTGAACATTTCCGCCCATTTCATGAACCTGCCCGCCCATTTCGTAAACCTGCGGGGAATCGCTGTACGCAACCGGATGCTGATAGAGCTCCGGTGAGCCCGCGTGTTCGACCTTTGCCACCGATTCACGTACCGGCGACTGGTATGGATGCGTGGCGGCCATTTCCCCAGGAGCATGACTACCACCATTCCCACCCTTTTTGCGCCGGAGGAGGAACCAGAGCAGCGCACCAACAATGGCCACACCTACAATACTGCCGACGACGGCGCCAGCGATTGTACCCGTGCTTGGGCCTGCAGAAGTTGTAGCGGGCTCGGAAGATGTTGGTGAACTAATGATGGAGGTGCCCGTGCTGGTCATTGGTGTGGTAGACGTAGCCGTGGTGAGTGACTGTACACCAGTGGAGGCTGATGTTGTCGACGAAGTTGCTGTTGAGCACTTGTGTTAGTCGCGTGGAGAGCCAACCTGAAGATGAACGGGAGGGACATACATGATGACTTCGAGCTCGTAGTCGTCGTCGTAGCATCTAGTTGTCGAAAGACGGTCGCGGCAGGCCATGAGCCTTGGCCGCAAAAGTAATTGTAGATTGCTGATCCTGTTGGGTAAACCACCATCATTGAGTAGCAAGTGCTAGTGCCAGTGCTGTTCGAAATTTTCGGTTAGCTTCCAGAAACGGCCATGTTACTTCGACAAGGCACTATACCATGCAATATCAGTGCCACCGCTATCTGCCAAAGCCCAAGTGGAAGAACACGCCGTCTGGAACTGGCAAGACGTTTTGGCGGTATTGCAACATACGCCATATTTTCCAGAGGTCGTCCATTTCTGGTCGGTACCGCAATTCATTTCCTGAGGGTCTGAAATGGTCAGCGCAAAAGGGAGATGTGGGAAGTTTTCTCAACATACCCGAAGATGGTGGTTCATACCAGCCCATGAAACGAGCCGATGCTGTGACAGTTTGACTGTGGCATTGTAATACAAGTAATGTCAAAATGACAATACATCGTCCGAGTGAATTCACGAATGCCATCGTTGCACGCGGTCAAATTGTTAGATTTTTGGCAGCGAGCTTGAATCTAGGCATGAAGCTTGGATAGATGTGGGAAAAGCAAAAGAGTCCAAGAACGGTGAAACGAGGCTCGGGGGGCAGGATTATGGGCATTTCTCGCGTTGCGATTCGGTAGGATGCTGCCCATGTTGCGTTTTAGGGCGGTGCCGGGTGTCCATGATATTGACGGGTTACCACTTACAGGTTGCGCCATATCTCTATCAGACAAAGGGCTACTCCTACAAGTTAACGTGCCATGCCCCTTTGCTGAGCGGTCCAGGGACCCCGGGAATAGAAAGATATCTTCCCATGCCCCAAACCTGTGGCTGCCAGCTCGGCCCCGACGGTGCAGGGTCAGATCATACAAGGCTTCCGACAATACGCAGGTACTCATCGTGCATACCTAGCTGGATGTGAGATCGAGCAGGCTAATGTGACATTCGAGAAGAAGGAGCATTGGGCGGCTTTGTTCTACGAAAAGTTCTTCTCAGGGGGTTTCACAATAAATGTGGCGCAAGGCTGCCGCTCAACCAGCAGTTGACCCAAGCATCGAGAACCAAATGTGTCATTGATCTTGCATGGTGCCATTGCTTCCGCTCAACAGAAGAAATATTGCAGGGCCTTTGATGCTTTCTAAATGTGGAGCATTCTAGTCTTGAACAAAAAAAAGAAGAAGAAAAAGAAAAAGTCAATTTTTAGTCTAGTAATGTGATCGGCTGTGTATCAGTCCCGATGTGCAATCATCATATCATCATATCATATCATATTCCAACGGAAATAAACACAGTATGGCGTGGACTTGTCTCCAAAGTGTGCTGGCGGGACCGCGGGGGATACGGACCGGTTATGGTAATTTTGCAAGTGGGAGCGCCAAGCTTGGAGATAAAGTCTCTCGGTAGTCGGAAGCCAGGGTTCTATGATCTAGGAATAAAGCCATGCAGTCCTTTTTTTCATACTGCATCTACTCCATTCCAGTACACTCCAGTGTGATGGGTATAATGTGGTCAACGTCGTAGAATCAATGGAATTGCCCCGTTCCTGGGTGTCAGACACGAGAAACAACTTGATACTTTGATAATTCTTGAGCCTACACTGTACCCAAATATGCACTCATCCATGTCATTGATTTCACAGCTGCTCCTCTCGACCGGGGTATTATTGAGATTCGCTTCCACTCGGCTGCAGCATCCCGGTCAAGTCGCATATGGGCAAGACAGGGCGTCTTCGATCTAGTAGGCCACTTACACAAAAGAAAGGTGCGCAGGCTGCAAAAAAAGAATTGAAGCGGGTGACTGCTCATTTCCAAGCCATCAGATATATTTATTCGCCTTTGCCAAGTCAATATTCAATGACTTAAGAATCTGAGGACCGAACTGCTAGCTTGTATTATGATCGATCGGAGGAGAATTGACCTGTAAGGCTGCTGCAACGTCAAGATTCAGGCCCCGGTTATATGAACAGTCCCTGGCCAATGGGCGCAGCATGCCCTTGCCGCCAGAATTAAACATTGCAGGCAACAGGAAAGCCTAAAATTTGACCATAACGATTAAGCAGTGAGCCATGTAGGGGACATACCCTGGAATAAAAGAGCGGGCGGCGGCGCAGGCGGCCAATCAACAACGAGAGCCGATCACCACTTTGCCCGTGTTTGATGCCCCCACACCTGCAGCAACAGTGTTGGTTAGTAGTACGAAGCTGTCAACATCGTGCTGTGATTTGCTTGTGTGATGTGGGAGGATGCAAATGCTTTTGCAGCTGATGGCCCTGTACTTTTGTGTGTAAGTAGGTACCGCTGTCACTCGTTTCCGTTGACCTACTGTGTATGTAGGTAGTCTGACTCTCTCGTCTTGGGCCAACCGGGCTGCACTGCAGGCAAGCAGCGCGCGCATAATTTCCAGTTCTAAGGGCCCATGTCGAAAAGTGACAATGTGATATAAATACTTCCGTACCCAGCTATTTGGTACTGCTTCTCGCCGACCATGAAAGGTCATCATGTACACAGGGGCAAACGGCTCCTACAAATGGCTTCTCCTACGCCATTACCTCCTTTGAATCCCCAGGCTCCATTTGCCCATTACTTTCCTTGATTTTATGTTTTTTTCATTTCCTTTCTCCTGTCAGAAGTAGTGCACATGTACGAATTCTCCAACTCTTCAAAGATGATTGCGCAGGTCGTCGGACCGGCCGGAACCATTATTGGGCGGGCACCCCGGAAATGGATCATAGCCACGATAGCCGCATTTATGATCATTGCTCTGGGCCTACTACATGGTGTAAAAACCGACTTTCAGTCTTTTAGCCACAATAGCCCAGATATTGAGGAGCCGGTTCTTCAACATCCAAGAGACCTTGCTACAAACTCGACACTTGGGGTGCGCTTGTTCCTCCAAGTAATCCTGTTTCCAACCGTATGCTCATGGTTATTCTAGTTTGAACGTCTCGTCGCTCTGTCGACTGGGCCGAGCTGGCGCACGCGCGGTCTGAACCGTGCAGCCGATCTCTCCGGCCTCGACTTTACTATTCCTTTTCAACCACGTAACCCCGATGAACTGGTGCATGCCTTTCAAAGCCTCGGCAGCCCGCAAGACCGGAAGCCGCCGGATGGCTCTGCTCGCGCCTGGCTCTCACATCTCGACTTGCTCAAATACATCATCGCCTCGGGCTTTGAGACGGCCCTCGTTGTCGAAGATGACGTTGATTGGGATGTGCGCATCAAGCAACAGATGACCCTTGTCTCGGACAATCTACGAGCATATCAAGAGACGCCCGAAAATGACACGACGCCCTTTGGTACCGACTGGGATGTCCTCTGGCTCGGACATTGCGGATCCTCCATCTCGGAACATCCATCCAAGGCGCCATTAGTTTATGCCGACGACACTGCTTTCCCTAGCAGTCATTACCTTGGCTGGGCCCAGCCAACACTGGAGAAGTACCTTGGAGATGGACGGCGGCAGGTGCAGACTTCGTCCATGACAGTCTGCTCCTTTGCCTATGCTGTGAATCGCGTCAGCGCGCAGAAAGTGCTCGAAGTGATGGGCAAAGGTGCCAATGAAGCTTTCGACGTCGGCCTTAATGTAGCTTGCCGCGATGGAAAGCTGCGCTGTCTTATTGTCAATCCGCAGCTCTTCAACCACTATGAGCCGCCGTTTACGCAGGGCTATGTCAGCGACGTGCAGGCTGGTGATGGCAAGGGGGCCAGCAAAGAAGAAGACGAGTTTGAGCAGAAGATGGGGACAACGAGGAATATCATCCAGAGCGCACGCTGCAAGGCCTTGTTTGGGAGCGAATGCGCACAGCCCAGCAACTGTATTGGGTCCGCCATATGCAAGGAACTGTACAACTGATAGATAGAAACTATAGAAAAGATTTTTAATAATTTTATAAAACCTGTAAAACGACAGCCCCTGGCACTTGAAACTCGTGACGACGACTGCAAACCAGTATTGTAGCAATTCGGTGCAATCTGCAGAAAGAGAAAATATCAACTTTATTACCAATTTGCAACTGAATCGCTATGGATCAATCCAAACTGCCGTCTTGAACCCACTTACAGCTCAGCTCATTTTGATGCTCTTACACTTCGCTATTCTAACTTGAGGCATCTTTATGTGTACTCTGTACGCCCCAGAGACCGGTCCCATGTCCCCTCGATGATCTGTCAGCATGAGTGCTGTCCGACAGTCCGGACAAGTCAGTGCAATGCCAGTGCGAAAAGTACATTGGCATGTCACCGGAAAGGTACAGCCTGCCTCCCCTCTCCCTCTCCAAGTTGGGAAGAGTCAAGTTGGCGGAGTCGCAGACATGCCAGGTTTCCAATCCATCAACGGCAACTCGAAACTCGGCTGTGGCTGGGAGATCAGTTGATACTGACGAAAAGCCAGAGTTTGCAAAGAGGCCGGACACCAACTCGAGGCGATCCCCTGCATATCCTCTCAAACTCTGCATAATGTACAGCGCAGAGTTATGATGTTATGTTCCCGACAAGGTCATGACTCCAGCTGCTGGTCATGCTGTAACCCAACTCATTTTGCAGTTTTATTGAATATGCGTCTTGAACCACCATCACCACTAGTAACAATGATTGGGCTAGGGGGTAAACAGGAATGTTCTATGTGTTTGCTGGGCTAGAATGCTGACGCCGCCAACACCATCAGCCATCAGTAGACATGACTATCAATAGCTTAATCCGGTAATAAGTTTCTAGTTGTACTGGGAACGATGAAATTACTATTTCGGATGGCATATTGGATCGCGACTGGCCAAAAGTCAAAATGGGAGGCCAGAATTATATCCAAGGAATACATTGTCGGCTGCTCTAGCTGAATGCACCATGAATGAGGGCCCCCAAGGAGCAATCATGGCAATTTTGATATTCAATCCGTTTGAACAGGGCTGCGACCATGCTAGGAATTGCAGCCGGTCCATAGGTCTGTAAATAGTGATCGGTTTGGTGCCCGATAGCCAGGTCGGCATTTCGGTTCAAAAGCCATGTGAGGACGCACAGTAAAACCACTCACACGATAAAGATGCTCAAGGGCGATCGCGGCGTAGAATAGTGCTACACTGGAGATACGCAAGAGATGTATTCGTATACAGCTTGAATTACTGTTTTAGACGCTGCTCTCATGACCAAGTTGGTAGTTTGGTAGCCGTGTTTGCTGCGGTTTCATATTCAAGTCGAAGAACTGGCAGTTATAAGAGTCGCTCATTCTAGTATACAACCCTTAGCGTGTTAACGTGTGTGGTTGAGTGCTACCCAGTAGTATTGCGACCATGTGATGCGGTCATGGATGGCATAAGTTGTATGAGATCCCAGAGCTTTAATAGCTGGGGCTGTAAAAAATGCGGCGAAAGGAGTATTATATAGGTATATATATTAATTATTAAAATGCTTGGATATGATTGTGACTGTACTCGGTGCGTTTCTCAGAAGAATGCGCTCGTGTCATTTGATGCAGGCTTGAATGCTCACTGGGGCTCCCGATGCTCTGAATGGACCAGTCTCTTAGCCCGATGGAGTCCGGCCGGGGGGGCTGACGAGGACCGAATTGGGGGCCAAAATGGAAGCCTTCATGCAGGGCAACATCCAGCTGAGAGAATCTCTGCATCTTACCCTGGGTACCGCAACTCGGAGCATCTTGCACTGAATTCTAGTTTTATGTTATTGCCCAAGCCTGCGACTTGTACGTGAATTGCTGTCGAGACAAGTCCCTACATTAGTATTCTAGTATGAATTCTTCAGGCGTGAGTGGATGTAGCGCCACAGCGCAGTGCCAAGCGCGAACATCATGTCTTATCTAACCAAATGGATCTATTCAGACCTTCCAAGGTGCAACATCAATCCTAGACCAGGAGTCGCTTTTCGAGAGACCTCGACTCTTTTCGAGCTATATTCTGGATACGTCTGAAGATGCCGCGCGGTACAATTTGATCACCTTTCTGGCAGCGGTCCAAGGCCTTGATCTCGGGATATTCTCCATCCCATGGCAATCAGCGAGACGAGCGATTGGAGATGGAGGGACCAGCCAGATCAGCCAAGCGTCTGTAAACCCCGAGACCAGCATCGCGTTCAAGCGCGTGTCCACCCACGACAAGCTGCAGCTCGACGACGGTGAAATACTGCGCCGTTTGCTGAGCGAGATCCTCGTGCTTGGACACCCAGAGGTTCGTGATCACCCGCACATTCTCGACTTGCAGGGCGTGTCGTGGGATGTTTCGGTCAAGGCGGACGAGAACAATGCCAGTTCTGCATCTGCCGCATCGCCCAGTAGCAGTGCAGTCTATCCGGTTCTCATGTTTGAAATGTCGCGCCACGGAGATTTGTACAACTTTGCAAAATCACCAAACGGCCAAGTCATGACTATTGCAGCGCGCTTGGAGTTTTGCTTCATGATTGGTACGGCCATTGCAACGATGCATGCGAATCGTGAGTTTTGTGTCTCTTCTGTGGATATTCCAGCTGTTGATTGAGACCGCACCCTGCAGACATCATACATGGTGATATCAAGCCCAACAATGTCATTGTTTCCAAGTTGGAAGATGATTCTTTCATCCCAAAGGTGGCCGACTTTGGATATTCTAGTCCGCCCGCTCATCAAGAGGTGCCAATTCAGCTCCCCCGGTCCTGGCCATGGAATGCACCCGAGCTGGATGAATACCCGTCCTTCACACCGGCGCAAGCCACCACGGCTGATGTATTCTCGTACGGTGTTCTGTGCTTCTGGTTCATCTTTGAAAAGTATCTTTCAGGAGTCGAGCCGCTCCCCGAAGTAGGCGAGATCACTGGGCTCAACCACGGCTTTGAAAATCAGGATGCATCGTGGAAGAACCTCGCTGATCTAAGGCGCAACAACATCAACCTTGTTCAACTCTCTGAATACTTGATATCGTCCAACAAAGATCTAGACGCCCAGTCAATGTCGAAGCTGCGGCGATTCTTTAGTGCGACGCTCGCCTACGATGCAATGGAAAGAGGCACAGACTTGTCTGAACTGTTAAGTTATCTGGATCCAGGGCAGGAGCTCATCAAAGAGGAAGCCGACGCGTTCCAGTATAACGCTCCAGCAGATTATACTTTCCATGTAAGTCTGGTCCTCGTAAAGAGATTCAACACTCACATGATGGCATAGCTCAATCAATCACTACGATCACTCTACCTATGCGACTTTCGTGTCCGATCGCACATTGTTGCTTGCCTCGAGGAGATTGTCCTGGCGGATCCAAAGGGCCCGCTCGCTGCTCAATTGGGATTGTGTTATGCCATTGGATTTGGTCAGTCTACGACAGTCGACGAACAGCAGAGAGTCCAAGCAATATTACAAGCCTCTTCCATTGACACCAAAGCGATACTGGAGCAGGGACCCATGTTTATCGAGAATGCGACAGACTTCATGACAGACTTGGCCGAGTCACGCTACATGGCCGAGATGGACTCGCTCGCCGACACCTACCGCGAACATGACGTGCTGGAGGAGGCCGCAACAGTCACAAAACACGAGTTCGAGAGCCTGAGTCGCATCATGGGACCTGATCATCCTATACTGGCAGATCTGGCCAATATTCTTTCTCTGATCATGCATTCAATGGGCCAGTGGGAAGAAGCTGAAAAGTTTGCCAAGTATCAGGCAGACTTTCTGGAAAAGACTCTGGGCGACAAGGACAGCGATACACTACAGAGTAAGTTGCACCTAGCTGGAGTATACTGGGAGCAAGGCCGATGGCAGGAGGCGGAAAAGATGGAACAGGGAGTCATGGACGTTTGCTTGAGCGAATTCGGACGGCATCATGCTCTCACCCTGTCGTGCATGGCAAGCATGACGGCAACATTCAGGGAGCAAGGCCGATTCGAAGAGGCCGAGAAACTCGGCATCGAGACCATGCAAGGGACGCGTCAGTTATTTGGCCCCGAGCACCCCACCACGTTGGCCAACATGACCATCCTGGCTGCGCTGTACCACCGGCTGGGGAGGCTGGATGAGGCCATTGAGCTCCAGACGGAAATCTCGGAAACATCGGAGAGAGTGCAGGGGTTCGACCATCCAGATTCCATTGTAGCCTTGTCGACGCTGGCGCAGATGTACTGGGACGAGGAAATATGGAAGCAGGGACTGGAGCTGCAGTTTGACGCAATGGATGCAGCAACACGAGTACTCGGCAGCAGCCATCCAGAGACCCTCAAGATGACGGCAGCGTTTGCAAACATGTACAGAGAGCTGGGAGAGTATGAGGAAGCCGAGAAGCTGCAAAGACAAGTCATTGACGAAAGAAAGAGAACGATTGGCGATGAGCATCCCGACACATTGACGGGAATGGCGGCGCTGGCACTCACACTTGGAGAACAGGGGAAACGCAACGAAGAAGAGGAAATAGAGTTGGCGGTTTTGGAGACTAGAAAACGGCTTTTCGGTCCAAAGCACCCAGATACTTTGACCATGATGTCCAATCTAGCCTTTACGTGGAAGGATATGGGCGAAAACGACAGCGCTTCAGCCCTGATGCAAGAATGTCTCAAATTACGACAAGAAGAATTGGGCAATGATCACCTTGATACTATTGAGACTTTGCAAGTTTTGGAAGAGTGGGACGACGAGGAGTGGGAGTCAGCCGAAGATGAAGATGTAGAGATGGAAGACGACTGAGCCTTGAGCAAACGAGATATGAATTGAAAGTGTCACTACTTCAAATTCCCGAAAATGGCCTTTGTAGTCGCCCAACAACGCGCTTTTCAAACTGTAGTAACGTCTCCCTCGAAGACACGGTATCATTACCCTTGAGGCTTTCAGCGCCGAAATCGCACTCGATACAGTCTCTTACGGCTTCAAAATATGCTTTTCCCATATGTTGTCTCAGACGAGGTACTCGGTCAGCAAGAAGCTTCTTGCGCCTGTCCTCGAAAGATCCCGTCCAGCCATGTGTGATCTTGGCCAGCGGAGACCAGAACCCAATCTCGAGCAATATCATGCCCAGACTATAATAATCAAACTGGGCTTGGTATCCGAAGCGCTGTTTGAGGTATGCCGGATGCGTGTAGTGACGTGCGGCCGACTCTGCCATGCCGGAAGTGAACGACAAGGGGTCGTCGGGTCGGCTGTGGTCGAACCCGACGAGAAAAGGCTCCCGGATGATGCCTTCATGTCCGGCATTAGCTTTCGGAAAGAATACAATGTTGGATGGCGTGATGGCTTTGTGGACCCATCCCACGGTATGGAACTCCAGTATTGCGCCGGCGACTGCAGAAGCAAGTGCGAACCTGTCATCAAGGTCGGGCCACAGGCTCGTTTTACTCGCAGTCTTTTCTATCATCTTTTGCAGGCTGACTCTGTCTAGAGAACCGGTGGTAGGTGAACTTGTAGGTGTGTCGAAAACGACACCAAAAGCCCCTCTGCTCGCCTCGTGGAAAAAGCCAGTAGCCCTGAGCGTCCGAAAAGTCTTGGGCCGTTCTTGCGCAAAGAGCTCCGTCAATCTGGCTGCACGCCCAAAGAGCTGTTCCATGACGTGTTCATCTGACCCATGTTGTGCATATTTTCGCCACTCGATCCATATCGGGCGCGTCGACTCGCCCTCAGTAAAAACTCCCAGGTTGTGCTCTCCAAACGTGCCGCTTATCTGTAGTTTACTGGCATCCACCTGCAGCGCACGAGACTCTGTACCGGCACCACCTGCAAAGAGCTGACTGATATGTTTGATATTTGATCTCATTCGTATCTCGTAGTCGAGGGTCAAGCCACTATTCGAGTCGGTGACCTTGTCAAACAGCCCGTCATTGTTTTCCATAAGAGTGATGCTGAAGTATCGTTGCGAAGTATCTTTCTGTTCTTGACCGAGAAAGTACATGAGCTCATCGTTCAGTTGGGTCAGCAGTGACAGGTCCAGGCGTTGTGTATCTTGACCTCGTGATAGCCGCGAGTCCAGATCGTCGCGAAGTCGAGTCAAACAATTCAACGCAGCATCAAACTTTTGCAACACCACAAGGGTAGCGCTGGAAAGTGTCACGACGTCCATTTCAGGGCAGTCAATAGTCATGGCGTATCTCCACGAGTTGAATCTCGCCTGTTCAAGAAACATGTCTAATGAAACATTGCCACTCATGATGCGTTTGAACAAGTCGTCGATGGAAAGGCCGGCCATGTACAATGCGGCCAGGCGTATTCGAGCACACAATTCTGCAGCTTTGGGTCGATCGGCTGGATCCAAACACAACGCCTTTCTTGCAATGGACGCCATCAGAGTGCTAGCAACAGATGAGGACTGTTGTACTTTCTCCAACCAGCTTTCAACGCCCGCGCTCAATTGCTTGGGGCCGTGATGGAACTGGGAAAGCGTCCAGGCTCCTACCTTGTGTTCCCTGACCTGTACAAACTGCGCCACTCCCTGGTGACCAAAGGCCATGTAGGTCGCAACCTCTGCAATGATACAGCCCAGCGACCAAATGTCGCTCGATCTCGTCACTGTACCTCCCTGGAAGCCATTGTCCCAGTCCTCGCACTCGGGAGCCAGATAGTCGTCAGTAACAGGCTTGAAAGGAGTCGCCGAGTTCCGGGTGGTTTGTTTAAATGTGGAAAGTCCGAAATCAGCCAAGATAAAGGTCCCGTCAGAGATGAGAATATTGCGCGGCCGCAGATCGTGGTGACATCCAATGAACCGCAGATTCATCTTGCTCTCGAAAAAATCGTGTACGTGGTGCACCGCCGAAGTAAGCGCAGCAAGCGCAAACACCATGGACTCATCCGAGGCGAACGCAGTATCACTGCGTTCCGCTTTCAGGAGATTGGCAAGACTTCCAGACTTTGCCAGCGGAAAAAGGAGGTTATGTTTGTCGTTGTGAGTATAAGAGCTCAACAACTCGACAATGTTGGGATGCTTGAGATGATTGAGTATGGCAAGATTTTCGAGCTCTTTATGGTGGTCATCTGATATTTGAAACTCCTTTCGTGCAAACTTGATCATGGTTAGCCAAGGACAAGCCGACGAGTCATGCATCGATACAGTACCTACATTCTCTGGAAATGCTCGATCTAGTGGTTGGTGAGTCACGTCGAGTGCAACCTCGTATACTGTCCCAAAGGCGCCTCCCCCGATCCGGCGGTCCGACAGAAAAGGAAGGATTGCGCCCTCGCCCAAGCGCCGATGTAGTGTACCGCGGCAGAAAGTGGGAGCCAGCAGTTCCCACTGTCTCTCTTCAAAGTCCTGTGCTTCTTCTTCCTGGAGGTTGATGTCGTCTGTGAGGGTTTCGATCTTGAATGGGAGCTTTGCATCTTCAAATTGATCTGCCTCGATGAAATTGTTGACAAGCGCGGTGTGGTCCAATAAGACTAGGATGCTAAATATCTTTTTGCCATATTGGACAATTCTCGGCGCGATTTCTTCCCAGTGGTGTTGTGGGATCGCGGACTCTGCCAGTGCTTGTCGAATCGCCTCTTCCGACATTAAAGACAGGAAGGCCGTTTCGGGGATAAAATACTTGCGGCCGGAGTTCCTCTTACGGAGCCGCTTGAGATGATATTTCAAGTCATCCTTTTTGTCTGGCTCATCGAGCCGCAGCGCCATTGTTGCCATGGGATGACTTCAAGAGCAAAACCAGAATAGGCGTGTGCCAAGAAGCTCGCTTGCTCGCTGTGAGCCGACGAGGGGTTGCTGCTTGACCCTGGCGCCGCTGCAGGCGAGTGGATCGCCACGATCGATGTTTCGCTCACGATTTGACAATGCCTGAACGACTTTGCGCCTTTATGTTATCATTTGGTTGCGTTGGTCAAAATCTTTTGATGTGCTTTAATATCTTATCCTGAAAGAGTTTGAGCTGTTGAAATTTCATACTGGCCAAATGGTTTGGGTTGAAGCTGGGGCTGACAGGCACCCCAGTCCCATTGGTGGGTGCATCATGCAACCCACGTCAGCAATGCTTTGCTGGGTCATGAGGTGGATTTCGACGATGAAATCCACGCAGTATCTCCTAGCGGCCAAAACAGCGTACCGCAGGACCGAGGGACCAAAGGCGCACCTACGTATTCTGCAGCATCACCATGATAGAGTGAACTGTGTCACCAGATGACAGATGTCTGGCGACCGCTTTGTTTGCCTACTCGCCGAAACTTTTATACCATACCCTCTGACAATGAATGCACATTACTGAATCGCTTCTCCTTGGAATCGTCTTTATCGGTGCGCGCCTTTTCCTTTCGCTCCCACCACATTGATGCCGTTAGAGTACAAGTTGTAAGGACCAAGATGGTGACAACAGAGATCCAAATTGAGCTGTGGACCTGAAGATGAGAAGCTTGGCTCTCCTCCTCTTCTCCGTCACCAGCACTATCAAACCAGACAAAGACCGTACTGAAAAAGGCCTATACTTTTGTTAGTATGTCCGGATTGCAGCCGCCCATTGAAATATTCAAAATGGTAGCGACAACTACATACCATGACCAAATTCGCAGGCAAGTATACCATGGCAATCAGGGTAGCTATGCGCATGGTGCGCGAGTCTTGCGCCGTCTTGTCTGCGAGTGAAAGCATGGTCTTGTTCTCAACCGAGTCGGCCTGGGCAATCTGCGCAAGTCTCACGCCATTGTCATGCAAAAGCTCCTGGCCCCGGAACTTGAGAATGTCATCGTACTTGAGAGAACAAATTCATTAGTAGCTCGGCTATATCTTGACACATGTGCACAGACTCACCATGGATCGAATATCTTCCGAAAAGTTTAGTAGCTTCTTGGTGGTTTCTGTATAGTGTTGCAGCTCTGTAGAGATACCTCTCAGTTCACGTTGGAACCTTTCATGCGTGGACGCAGCGAGTCCGAATCTCTGCGCAACTGCGTCTCCGTGATTTTCCATGGTTGACAAGGTGCTTTGGGTGTTTGCTAGAATTGAACGAGCGTGATGGAGTTTCCGCCGTAGGTTGTGAATGGCTTGTTTGGAACTAAAATCAATGCCGAATTCTCCGTATGGTTTGGAAATAGCTACTTCTTCGTCCTACTCGTAATGACCACAACTCTGGTCAGCTCTCCTCAAGTGCATAGTGAAGGAGTATTCAATGTCGTTGTGGTAGGGCTTCGTTTACCAAACCACGTCAGGTTTGGTTCAAACTTACAAGTACCGCTAATTGTTTGGATATAAAGTTCAAGTACTCTCTCCAACGGTGAGTGGCAACTAGCAGGAAATGTATATGCATCTCCATAGGGTGAGATTCCTCGGTCAAAGAGTACTGTTTCGAGTATTCGAGAGTCAACACAGAGGGTTGCACCATGATGAATGCTGACCTGCGTGTTCCATGGTGGTACTTTTGGTGTATTGCAGACTGGCGGCATGACCAAGGATCTTCGAGTTGGCGTCCGTGTTGCTCGAAATAGCGTATATTATAGCAAATGTCTACCAGTCTTTCTTAGTTACTTTTATACTCATGAGATCCTTCCTCATTTGACACTTACCGTACGTGAGGTCAGCAGCTTCGCTTCGCCTATCTCCAAGCTGCTCCGTCCCCACGTCGTTTCCATTGGCAGAAAAGCGTGCCGAGCAAGCCACAAAGTCTTCATCATGAGCAGACAATTTTCTACCAAATCCCATGACAATTTTTAGGAATTGTGGCAAAACTAGGTCAAAAACACATATTGTTGTAAATAATTCGACTGTGGTGTCAATCCGGCTCCAAGAGTTGAAACGCTGCAAGAATCTGCAATGATGCCTCATCAGATACGAAACATTATAATGCATGTTTTTCAGTTTTGCTCACAATATCCTTGATGAGCCTGGTGGCAGAGTTTTCTAGAGGTAGTCGAATTAGTGTACTTGTTATGATTGAGAGAGACTGGTGCGGATAATGACCAACTTTCAACGAAGTCTCGAGCTCTACCTTGTTCGACACCCACTCGATCTCTTTCGTGATGCCATCAAGCTCAATTCCATGCTCATTTGGACATTTACTTGGTATTGAGCCATTTTCCCGAGGTCTGGTTTTTACAATTTCGGACCTGCAGTCGCTTGATTCCTCTATAAAAAGATTGGGTGATTTCGATTCAAAGTCGGACCAGAAAGTGTGAAGGCCACGACTATCAAGTGTTTTGCGCAACACTCGTAAATGGCATGAAAGTTTCTCAGCCATGATTCATTCGTGAGTTGCAAATGTGGTTGAGCAACCCACCACCGCACATCAAAACAGAATACATGCGCAATGCACACTGGGCTGTCTTTAAGGGCTTGCGAGGAGGTGAATGCAATAGTGGCCTGCAAGCCCCTCACTCTCCTCCCCCTCCTTGCCCACATGCACTCTATCAAGCCGCCCGCCCGCCCTCAGCGCACTGCCTCCTGCACATGCAATAAGTTCCCACCAGTTCTTCAACAGACAACGCATCGCCTCCCCGCAAGGCAGAATGGTGGCTCAGAAGGGTTTGGTAGTACATTGTAGTAGCAGAGACGGCCCGCCCGATGGATTGACAAGGGGCCCGGCAGATATGGGGGCCGAATTCACTCAATCACTGGAGGGCCAGTGTCAGCACCCAGCTGCGTTGGCTGGCTAGCGCCATTTTGCCTGCTTCTCGTCCGCTGGGTCGCCCAAACGCCTCGACAACGCCCGGCGCTTATATCTGTCGGAAAGTGCCTCCCTGCCTGGGTAGGACAATGTGATCTGGTGCAAAACAGAGTTGTTACTCAATTCCTACCTGTTTTCCTTCAATCTCCCAGCCTTACAAACTTGATCAAAATGGCATCCGTGACTCGACTCGAGGCCCGATATGTAGTCCGGGCAAAGCTCGACAGTCTCCTTCGAAAACTATTTGGTTCCTCCTACACTGTCGCGGTATTTTCTAGGCATGTTCCCGTGTACAAGGCCTGCCCAGCTAATCCTACGTTAGAGCCAAGGCGACAGGATTGAGATCACTGCATCGAGAAGTCTTACCGAGGTAGGCAACCCAGTTGGTAATGACCATCGGTGAAGTAGCTAAAAGAGTGACTTTATAGGATGAAATCAGCTCCGTCGTGTCTGGTCGCTGAGTGTTTCGTACACGTTTATCGTGTACACGGATTGATGACATGGGGCGCCGAATACAAGAGGCTTTGGGAATAAGCCTAACATTACGGCCCACCGCGATGACAGTATGAATGCTTCTGGTCTCATTTGATGATTGGTCATTGTCCTAAAGTGCGGTCATCTTGGTACCAAGACTTTCGCGTAATAAAGAGTTGAATTAGAGATGGCCTACAACTTCGAGAAAATCTCAACCAAACAAGCTCACTTCATTCTCCCCGTTGCGCCACCCGACGGTGCCACACTGCTGAGCTACGCTAGTAGCATCCCGTACACTGTAGCCCAACAACAGCCAGTTACATCACTGTATCTTGCCAAGTCTTATTGGAGTATAAAAAAACGCCAACCCATCGCCAAGTTCAAAGACCACACTTGTACAATGAAATCGGTTGCATGAAACTTCAATTTCTAGTGCGGGATGGACCAGATTCTTGAAAATCTAAAACACCATGCAGTCTGTCTATGAAACTCTGTCAGACCCTAGTAATATCAACACCCAACATGTACTTGAATCCTTTGCATCAAAAATCACACCAAGTCCTTCTGCGTGACGACTTTGTTCTTGCCTGCATCTGACAATCGCCTCACTTTCCACAAAAATAGCACTGGCCCTAGGTTTTTAACCTTATTGATAACATATCAATGAGACTGGACATGGGATTAAGAGAGTGGACCGTATTCAAACGCGGTGCACCCTATGCGGTGACTAATAGACTTCCTATTTGGATAGGTAGACGAGGTAGAAGGGGTTTGGGGGGTGGGGAATGTTCTGTACAATAATTGTATACTCAGTTCATACTCAAGACTCCTTGTGATAGGTGTAAAAGAACCTTGGCCGTTCAATAAATGCATAATCATCTGTTCTACCAAGGGCCCAAGCGGCGCATATTTGGCCGTTAGTACCCGCGCCGTCGTAAATTAAACCCCTTTGAATTTGTCATCTAGACCACCAAAACCACACTGTGAGATAGTTTCAAAAGCAGCAAGAATCATCATGATTAACGGGCTTATTGATCAAGAGATAAGATTGCAAAGATATTGACACATTTTGACAGATAACTTGTACGAGCCCAAAAAGCATGGACAAACCGGATTGGCTGGTTGTACAGGCTTTGCACGGGCGATTTCACGGATGCGGCAATGTTTTTCTCACCTTGGTATATATTGAGGCATGGACTAAGGGAGAAGAAAAAATTCTCTTACCTAGGAAAAACTCTTCAAGTTGCACTTATTACGCGTGAGAAACACAGACTGTACGCCTTTTGCTGGTGAAGAAACATGAATTATGGAGACACTAGCGTTGGTTTTACGTATTTTGGTGCGACTTGGTTCTTTTTATGGCTTTTTCGCCTCGTAATTGAAAGACGGATGCCGCCACTAAGACACGACTATAGTCTATGTCTTTCGTAACAAAACTCCACCGGGCATCGTGGGACCTTGCAGTAATGTATGCAAGGAACGCTCCATATGGGACCGTCACGACTCAATGCACCCGACCCGCGGATAAGGCCGCGCCTTTCCAGACTTCTAGAATGTTTAATCCAGTCAAATTCCATGGGTTTGCCATCCCGTCCCTTGCCTTTTTCACTTCTCTCTTCTTGGGATTTCATTACCCTTTTATTACATCACAGACACTTCTTCTTTGCTTTTCCCGTTCCATGACCACTGCTGCCCGTCCAGCCTAACGAGGAGGTCATTGGTTGTTGTTGCTGTCGCTGTTGCGTGAGGACGAGCCCCCCCGGACGAAAAGAGAAAAGATGAGTGCTGCAACTGCCACCCCTGAGCCTATGAAGGCGCCAGCGAGGGGTCCTCAGGATACGGCAGGCGGTGTCACGGATAGCGAATCCGGAAATGTCCAGGAGATCAACGACAGAGACCGCACCGACATTGAGAAGCAAAAGTCGGCGCAGGGCGCGGCGCACTTTAACCGTCTGGGATGGAAGCGTCTCACGGTTGTCCTCTTGGTAGAGGCCATTGCCCTGGGCACGCTCAGTATCCCTTCGGCCTTTGCGACGCTCGGCATGGTCCCCGGCGTGATCCTCTCGGTCGGCCTGGGTCTCGTGGCCGTCTACACTTCGTATATCGTCGGCCAGGTCAAGCTGCGCTACCCCCACGTTTCGCACTATGCCGATGCTGGACGCTTGTTGATGGGCAAGTTTGGCTACGAGCTCGTGGGAACCATGTTTGCGCTCGAGCTCATCTTTACCGTCGGTTCCCACTGCTTGACGGGAGCTATTGCACTCAACAATATCACCGCCCACGGCACTTGTTCCGTCGTTTTCGGCTTCGTCTCGGCCGTGATCCTGATTCTCTTGGCCATTCCGCCCTCCTTTGCTGAAGTCGCCATTCTGGGTTATGTCGATTTCGCCTCCATCATTATTGCTGTTGGCATCACCATCATCGCCACCGGCATTCAGTACACCCACCCCACGGCGGCTTCCGTCGCAACGGCAGCAGCTCCATGGCAGCTATGGCCCAAGGAGGGTCTTGAGCTCGCCGAGGCTTTCGTGGCTCTCGGAAACATTATCTTTGCCTACAGTTTCGCTCTGTGCCAATTCTCGTTCATGGACGAGATGCACACCCCCGAGGACTTCCCCAAGTCGATTGTGGCGCTCGGCATTATCGAGATTGTTATTTACACAGTGACCGGCGCGCTCATCTACGTCTTTGTCGGCCAGGATGTGCAATCTCCAGCCCTCTTGTCCGCCGGAAACACGGTTTCCAAGGTTGCTTTTGGCATTGCGCTGCCCGTAATTTTCATCTCGGGCTCCATCAACACCACCGTCGTCGCCCGATACATCCACGGCCGTGTCTTTGAGCACTCGATCATCAGGTACATCAACACCAAGATGGGTTGGATCACCTGGTTGGCGCTGATTACCACCATTACCCTGATTGCCTGGGTCATTGCCGAGGCGATTCCCTTCTTTTCGGATCTGCTCTCGATTGCGTCTTGCCTCTTCGTCTCTGGTTTCACCTTTTACTTTCCCGCCGCCTTTTGGTTCAAGTTGCTCAAGGAGGGTCACTGGTACGAGAGGAAGAACATTGTCAAGGCGATTGTCAATGGCATTGTATTCGTTATCGGTATAATCATTTTGGGCGTTGGAACATACGCCAGTGTACAAGACATTGTAAGTCGACACATTATGCAAAAGTTGTCCTTGTGCAGAACCGGATTGCTAACTTTGCTCCTACTAGATCAATCAATACAGAGAGGGTACAGTGAGTGGAGCCTTCACATGCGATGCATAGACAGACCGAGGGAATCAGGAAAACAGTCCTGAACCCACTTAATGACGGAGTTCTGGCAAGCACATAAGATGTGCTGGAATCGTTGAAGATCATTGTACATTAGGCATGTGATGAAAAATCTCTACAAAGTAATAAAGCGCGAGACTTGAATGAACCTTCCACATGGATTCGAACCCCCAATCAGCGTACCATCTACCGATTCACGTTTTCCTGTCGTGAAGGAGCCAACAGATTGTGCGAAATGGAACGTGACAGCTTTACTAGGCACTTGGCAGCCTGTTGCATAGATCATACTTTATTCACAAACCAAAACATATCAGCAGAGGCATTGGCATGTATGGGTATTTTATATCATTAATCCGTACCTGTTCCTTACTGCGGCTCTATTTTAAACCCTTCCGCATCTTATATCCAGTCCATTTCTATCGTGACAAGATCTATTATGTATTTTCTAAAAGACTTTCATTGAAATCCAACAATGAACATGGCCTAAACCAAGGCAGTGTTCTTGTATACCAAAATTCTATTACTTCCACCACAAGCCTCCGTCTTGTTGCCATTGCAAGGATAGTCACAGCCGGCCGACAAGGGATCAGCACCAGACGCCACCGCGGCCGAAGAGGAGAGCTGGCCGCCGTAGCACTCGGAGTAGTACTCCTCGCCACAGTACGGGTAGCCGCTCGCGGCGCAGGCGTCCAGGCAGTGGGCAATGGTGGCATTGCTGGAACCGCCCGAGGCCGACAGGCTGACGCCGTTGGGCAGGATGCGGCTCGACGTGTCGACGTAGCAGTCCATGAGGGTCCAGGTGCCGTAGCTCGCGCGCACGCCAAAGGACGACGTCCAGGTTGTGTCGTCGACGACGGACAGGCGGTTGCCGGCGCCGCACGTCTGGGTAGCGTCGCCCGAGCAGGCCATGTTGCACTCGCTGCTGCTTGTCGCCAGGGTTGAGTTGTCGGGCTTGGTGTTGCCGCACCAACATTCCGAGGCATATTCTGTGCCCGAGTACTTGTAGCCCGCAGACTGGCAGGCCGTGGCGCAGGACTGGGGCGTGTTGGTGCTGCCAGAGGTGGCCTGATAGGTGAGAAGTCTGGGGTTACCCGAGTCCACGTAGCAGCCCAAGGCAGAGAAACCAGCAGAGAGAGCCGACGTGGTAGTAGCAGCTGCGCTGGAAGAAGTGGTGGTAGACGAGATCACTGAGCTCGAGGTGGTAGTCGACGTGGTGCTAATGGTGCTCAAGGTCGTCAAGGTGGTTGCGGTTGATGTGGGTGATGTGCTGGATGTCGAGGAAGTAGAACTGATCGACGTAACGGTCGACAATGTGGATGAAGTGATCGAGCTTGAAGAGGATGTTGACGTGGAACTCAACGAGGACGAAGACACGGAACTGGATGACGATGTCGAAGTGACCAGTCTAGCTCCCTGGACAGCATTATAGACGGGCGCCTGAACGCTAGACTTCATGTAACAGGCCGAGCCCTGGAAGGACACAACGACGCACTGACTTTCAGCTGCGCAGGCATCGATACACTGCTGCAAGTTGCTAGTGCTAACGCTCTTGAAGTCGCCACCGGCATGGTCGATACCGCACTCAATCACAAAGGACAGACCTCCAGTGACATACGTTGTACTGTTGGAGGCTGGGCAGACGATACTGGTGGTTGATGCCGTGGCCGATGTAGTTGTCGATGTGCTGGTCACGGTGGTAGAGGACGTGGTGCTAACTGTTGAGCTCAGACTCGTGGTCGCACTCGAACTCGTAGCCGTAGTCGTGGCCGTGGTCGAGCTTCCCGACGCCGAGCTTGTGGTCGAGGACGAAGTAATCAGCTTTGCGCCCCATACACCATTTGATACGGAAGCGCCAAGGGTGGACTTGAGATAGCAGGCCGATCCAGACAGACTGACATCAACACACTGAGAGTTCTGGGCACAAGCATCGATGCAAGCAGCAAATGAGCTGACACTGAGGGAAGTCAGATCACCTCCAGCATGGTCTATGCCGCACTCAATCAGGAACGAAAGACCATTGGACGTGTATACGGTGCTGTTGGACCCCGGACAGGTGGGAGCCGTGCTAGTTGCCGCAGCCGACGAAGTTGTCGTGGTCGCCACCGAGCTCAGGCTCGACGTACCTGTCGTGGTGACGGTGGATGCTGCTGAGCTAGTGGAAGACTTTGACGTGGTTGTCGATGAGCTGGTGGAGGTTGACGAACCCGACGATAGTTTTGCTCCCCAAATACCTGAATTTGATACTGCGGCGCCGAGAGTCGACTTGAGATAGCAGGATGTCCCCGATAAGCTGACGTCGACACACTGGCTGTTCGATGCGCAAGCATCAATGCAGCCCTGGAAGGACGAGACAGTAGTTGAGGTGAGATCACCGCCCGAGTGATCAACACCACACTCAATAGTAAAGTTCTTGCCATTGGACGTCACGACCGTATTGTTGGACGTCGGGCAAGAGATATCGGCCGTGGTGCTCGAGGCCACCCAGGTTGTGTTCTGGTAGACGGTGAGGCGATAGCCTGCTCCGCAATACTCGCTTGTATCATTGGCGCAGAGCATGCTACATTCGCTGTCGCTGGTTCGGTTGGCTCCAGCGGCGAAGCTGTTGCCACAGTAGCACTCGGAGCCGTACTCGGTGCCAAAGTACTGGTACCCCTTGCAGTAGCTGGCGCAGTACTCGAGAGTCATGGAGCTAGTCGACGTGGACTTGCTAGAGAGAGCGTGGCCGCTGGTAGCCTCAGTGTAGCAAGAAACGTAGTAAAAGTCACCAATGCTCTCGGGGGTGCCGGGGGCAGACTGCTGAGCTGGACTTCCGTTGGAATAGAGCGACAGACGATTGCCGCCACCGCAGATTTCGCTAGAGTTGCCGGGACAGGCAGTGGAGCACGAGCTCTCAATGACTTGTTGCGACAGGTATCCAAGCGATGTACCGCAAAAGCACTGACTTCCGTACTCGAGTCCTGCAATCGTGTTACCACCAGCTGCGCAAGTCGAGGTGCAAAGCTCAATCGTGTTGGCGTCGCTCTGATAAGTCATGTTGGTCAGGGTCAATGGAGTCTGATCGGACCAGCAACCCCAGTAAGTCATGTTTCCAGCATAGGTATTGTTGTTGACGCTAGATGAAGTACCATTGAGACTCGGGTTGGGGTAAGGATCATCACCATCCTGCTGGCGAGGGTAACCAAAGTCATAGGATCTGTTGCCATTGCCGTAAAAGTTGTCAATGAACAGACGAGCAAGACCGGCAGATGAGGCCATCATGGCACCGCCATCGTGACCCGAGTTGATAAAGTCGACAGTGTCACAGTTACCGCCGGTCGGGTTCGGGCAGGACGGTGGGAAAGCCTTGATAAAGTTGAAGAATCGCTCGTTACGATTAGAACCAGTAGTGCCAGGAGCGCAGCCCGAAGAATCATCGCCGAGATCTTTAGTTCCGCGGGCATAGTTGACGGCCTTGCTGTTGAAGTTTGCCAGAATGGCAGATCGCCCCTGAGCGACAAGACTTGTAGCATAAGTCATGGGATAGGTGGAAAAGTTGGTAAAGCCCTCTCGATAGACATCGTACGCTGCGCAAGATGCCGTGGAGAATGGCCGATCGGTGCTCAACCATACATAGCTGTTGGGATTGGCCACCCAGTATGATACGGGCGACTTGGTGTTCAGCTGAGCACCAATGGCGGCGTAGCGTTGTACAGTCTGTCCACCCATGGAATGGCCGGCAATGACAATCTGCTTCATGTTGGGGAACAGAGTGGTGTTGTCAAAGTATTGAATGACCTGATCCAGCACCGCATATGAGCTCGTGTTCTTGGAGGTATACGGATACTGGTTGTTGCCTCCTGCCGACCATTGTGATCCTGACCAGACGAGTGCGTTTGTGGTTGATCCGCGTCCGGACTTGAGGCCGTCTGTCCAGGGATAGCCATAATTCTTGTCGTCTCCGTTCGGAAAGTACGGTGCCATGATGGCCACTGAATCGGTATTAATGTTGGAATCAGTTGTCACTTGCGACAGTGCCGACAGCATGTTGGACATGTAAGTGCCGGGGTCTCTGTTGAGGCCATGGACAATGACCACTGCTCGCTGAACATTGCTCTCCACCAGACGCTTGCCCGACTTTCCATGAGAATAGTAATTGATAAGTGTCAGATTATTGTTGGCGCCCGAAGGGTCTTTGATGCGAAAGTATGCAATCTCTGAGCCCGGTACCGAGGGCAACGAGGAGTTAATGCTATCGCCGGCATACTGTTGAGCGAATGAAGGCTCGAAAAGGCAAGCACCAAGTGCCGCCAAGACTGTGTGGAAGCGCATAGTGCGCGGACCGCAAGAGACAAACGATAGAACCAAGAGACAGAAACAATATGATCAGGAAACGAACGACCGATCGACGCAATGGTCACCTCAAACAAGAGAAGTCTGACCCAGATGGTTGGCAAGCGACAATGGGAAGATCTTCGCAAGTGCACACCGTCGCCATGATATAGTACTGTGTAAAAAACGCGTCTCGATAAGCCAATGCCTGCCTTGATGTGAACTATACCCGGATTGTATCCCCTGCTCCTCCCAGATAGGCCAGAAGCTTATCTGCATCTCTAAACTTTGACGTTCGGAGGCTGGTATGGGGATCGTCAGCTAGCCCTGGCACCGACGCCTAGAGCGGCCCAGTTCCTAATTGAGGCTTTAGGGACCCGGCTTTCAGGTGCCCACTGTTGAACTAGCGGTGCCCTTCTGGGAATGGTAAGGCCCAAGCTGAATACGAGTATTGAAGCTAAAAAGACACAAGCCGTCTAGAAGCGCCAGAGATATTCAGTCCACCGACGGCATTCACATCACAAGTTCGAGGGCCCAAGTTGACTAGAACCCGCTGTGCCATTTGTCCTCGGACAGGGGTTGTCTTGCGAGCTATCTCTGCCCTGCAGAGTTCACGATCCCGAACCAGGGCCATCGCGAGATCCCAAGGTGACATCGGCTGTAATACGGAATATCGTGTACGACCTATGCCGGCCAATGAATCCGACAACATGGGAGGCCAAGACCAGGGGTTCAAGGGCCTGCTGCACCGTATCGGTCAGGCCGCGATAGATTGCAGCAATCTGAGGATTCGGCCCTTGCATTCAAAGCATGCGCGCTCGTGCAGCTGTGAGGTTGGGCTTGGCAACCCACATGTTCCAGCTCGACTCTGCTTTCTGTTTTCTTTCCTATACAGAGTAGTATATAGCTTTCAACTTTGCTGTACAACTCATTCAGAGTCTGGACCTGTATAGCTTTTCGAGCTATTGAAATTCCTTGACTGCAGCTGACATGAGAACGGCTACAGCTCATCGCGCAAATACAGGACGACTTTTCTGTTACTTACCGAGTTGCGCGGTTATACCATGTTGAATTTGGCACTGCAGACTGCAATGACTTGGTGTGGACGGGATCATTCTGGAAATCTGAAAGAAGGGCATCACGCTCGCTTTTACTCGATTTGTTGACAGGGAGCGCCCAAAGACTTGTGTGGGAATTTTCCGGCATCGTCAACGTGCTCGTCGCTGTGTCGAAACAGAAAGCGTCGATAGTGGATCAGAAAAGTGCTCAGGTTGGCGTGGCGATGCAGACACACGTTGCCGTACCACAGCCATTCATTCAGCTTGTTCTCATGAGAGCTGAGAATTCTTGTTCTGGACATGGATAAGAAAAAAAATACACGCATTCAAGACCCCCATGTTGACCAAGCTAGGCTTTTTACATTCTACGCAAAGGCACAAAGATGGAGTCTAGCTCCCTCGGAAGCTTCTCCTGCCCTAACGATCCCGGCTGGGTCTAACCGCAGACGATAAACAAGTCCGTCGCGCTATCAACGGATAATCCGCTTCCATTCCACTCTATAGTCTTTTTGGGCGGAAGCTACGGATAAGCGTACTGCCTATTTTTGACCTCATCTCATATCATGTGGTAAACGTGCAAGGCTGAAATGCATCCAGTCCTCCAGGGTTTAGTAGACAGCTCTTGTGCAGTGCTCTAATGAAAATCAGGTCATCTCCTGGATGAGAGGCTGCTGAAAAGTTCCGAAAACGGCACATCACCAGCTCTATTGAATCGCCTCTCCCATCTAGCCCTTTAGCTGAGTGCAATTGATCTCTTGGGAGGTCAAGAGCGGCCGCTGACCACTGTGACTCGGCCCTTCTGCGTGGGCCTTGCACTGGGCAGCCACGATTGACGCTCGGTGATTTCACTTGCTTTGAGGGGGAAAATAAAGGTCAATTGAATATTGTTTGATTACTATTCGTAGCGCTCTCCACGTTATCATGTGTTCAAATCGTTCAGGTTGTTGTAAAAATGGTGTCCCCGGTCAGGCTGATCGCTGGGATCATGACAGAGGCTGAATGACCAGGAGCTCGTCTTGCGCTTGCACAATGCGCCCTTCTTGGACACTCACCCTAGCGCAAACTCCCTCGATAGGGCTGGACACCTCAATCTCCATCTTGCTACATTCCAAGTACACCTATGATGAGCAAGTTAGTGCTGAACTCCACCAGACGCAAATGGCATGAACTTACCAGAGCCTCTCCCTTCTTGACCTTTTGCCCCTCGACAACAGCTATCCTCCAGCATCGGCCTGGCATAGGTGCTCGAACAGAGTCTCCAACAATCTCCATGCTTCCATTGTCAAGCGACCGTGTGAGTCCGCTATCATATGGTTTGATCAGCTCTTCCATGAACGGTGAGTTGTCCCGGTGTTCAGCACGCTTTGCTTCCCACTCTGCTATCTCAGACTTGTTCTCTTCGAGCCAAGATTTGTATGCCACCAGATCAAGCGTACCATCAGAGATCTTGATGAGCTCAGATGATGACTTTGTATCGATGTCGGACTCTGTAACAGGGTGGAAAGTGATCCGGTCGAATATTTGGAAGATCCACGCATTGTTTGTGTCGGTCCCCGCTCCTCTGTTCCCTTCATGAACCGGTGTTGAACTCCAGATATCTGTTGTTCGACCCACAAGCTGATAACCTCCCGGTGAATTCATAGCATATATGCACATGTACTGTCCACCGATGCCTACCGAGCCTCTAGGTGTGAATGACCGAGAAGGGTTGTACTTTGTGCCAAACAAACGCTGCCGAGGATCTAGTGGGATTGCACACGGGGAGCCCAGATAGACATCACCAAGACCGAGAACGAGGAAGGTAGACTGCTGAAGGACATCTTGCAGATCGTCGATGCCATTCAGCTGTTCCAAAAATTTGATATTACTGGGCAACCACGGAGCTTGCGATCGAATTGTCGCACTGTACCTGTCGAGGGCTGCTCGGGTAACGCTGTCGTCAAAGGCAAGCGGCAACGAAACGATGCGAGACGGAACTTTTAGCGGCACCTCTCTAGATGTCAGGGATTTGACCAGGCGTTGAAAGATCAAGCCCGGGTCAGCCTGAGAGGTGTATGTAACATGCAAGGTTCGGACACCAGGTGTCAATTCTCGGACATCGGGAATAGGGTCAACACGATGCTGCTGTATCAATGTCAGACTTCGAGCGCTTTGCCAAATGTCGAATCCATCATTCTCTTGACCGAATTCCAATAATATGCCACGATCGCCGGCTTGTTTAGCGACGATTTTAGTACCATTGTCATCAACTTCTCCAATCATGGTAGAGTAGAATTCAGCAGCTTGCTGGCCATGCTCAGAGGGATTCGAAAATGGGTCTGAGAACTCAAAAGAGTTTAGTGACTGCAAGAGAGACATTTCCAGCTCATGAGCGCGTTTGAGGTTGATTGGTTGAAGCTTGATCTTGTCTCCAGGTCGGACTTGGCCCAACTTCCACAATTCCGCAGCAGCAACGACGCAGAAAACAGCAAATCCTCCTAGACTGGGGCCATCGACTGTCAACACAATGGCCTCATCGCCAGTGAAGCTGACACTTCCAATGGAATAAGGCGCGTCATGTATGTTGGAAGGATGTAAACCCGCTGAGCCGCCATTCTGGCGCGCCCAGCTTGGCCGCACACCCTGGAGGCGAATGCCTAGACGATTGCTATTGTAATGAACGTCCCATTCATTGTCAAATAGTGCATCGATCCCTTCTTGATTGAAAATATCCGGGGCGCCATGTGGACCAGGAATGACTCCTATCGTCCACTTAGCATTGGGCTGAGATGGGATTGGTAGAGGGACGGCCGACTGCAAAGTCCTAGACTCGCTTTTGTGCCCATTGGTGTTCAGGTGGATCACATCAGCCGCTGCCAGTTTCCGTCCCTTGTGGCCACCCAGCTGTGCGAGATCAAACGTGGACCGACTTCCCATCACTAGTGGAACATCAATGCCACCAGCGACTGCGATATAGATACGGTATCCAGTCTCGATTTCCTTGCAATGGATATGTTGTCCGGCACTAACGCAAAGTGCTTGATACATCTTGACCGGAAGATCGTCAATAAAGACCTCGCATTGACCTCCCGTCACAGCGATGACGGTGTCGCAGTGGAATTTGAGCGAGGGACCTCTGAGTGTGCATTCGAAAGCGGCAGCATGGTCATCGTTGGATACTAGTCGATTGGCAAGTCTGAAGGAGAGGTCATCCATTGGACCGGAAGGCGGCACTCCAATGTCCCAAAACCCTACCCTACCGGGGAAATCTTGGATCGCCAGGCTGCCACCGGGTTGGAGAATTGTCAAGCTATCTGTCACAAATTGAAAGGTGTCAAGGATTGTTGTGGTGTATGAACCGGTGCGAAACATTTCTGAGCTGATGATCTGGCGAAGGTATTTGAGGTTGCTCTGAACACCGTCAATCCTGGTCTCTGCAAGTCCACGAGCCATGATCTCCAATGCTTCTTGGCGGTCCTTACCAAAGGTGATTAGCTTGGCCAGCATGGGGTCATATGACGTGGAAACTTCAGTCCCTTTCTCAATCCAAGTGTCTACCCGCAGCCACTCGGGGAACTTGACATTTGTGATGAGCCCGTGGCAAGGTTGGAATGACTGAACTGGATCTTCAGCATAGACTCTGACCTCGATTGAAGCGCCGGATGATTCCACTTCATTGTGCTTCTGGTGGAACAATGCTGCGAAATCCTGAGCTGCAATGTTAATCATACACTGAACAAGGTCGAGGCCCGTCACTGACTCAGTCACTGGGTGCTCAACCTGCAGACGCGTGTTCACTTCAAGGAAGAAGAACTCCTGTGAGTCGACATCATAGATGAACTCCACAGTACCGACATTCCGATATTTCACTGATGAAGCGAGTTTGATTGCGGATTGCCGTATTTGAGAGCGAATTGCGGCTGGTATCATTGAAGCAGGTGATTCTTCTACCACCTTCTGGTGACGTCGCTGAAGGGAGCAGTCTCGCTCGCCAGCTGCGAGAACACGACCGGTGCCGTCTCCGAGAATCTGAACCTCGACATGGCGAGCGTTTCGGATGAAACGTTCCAAAAAGACACCGTCATCGGCAAAATTTGCACTGGCAAGTCGCTTGACACCATCAAAAGCTTCTCTCAGCTCTTCAACGTCATTGCATTGACGCAGTCCGATGCCACCACCGCCGGCAGTGCTCTTGAGCATCAAGGGAAAGCCAACACGATGAGCCTCAGAAAGTGCCTTTTCTAGCTCGGCGATCAACTCTGGGCTACCCGGAACGGTGGGAACGCCAGCTTGTTGAGCAATTGCACGGGCACGATGCTTCAAACCCAAGTCGGACATTTGATCTGGCGTCGGCCCAACCCACACGATGCCGTGCTCCTCGACCCTGCGAGCAAAATCGGCATTCTCGCTCAAGAAACCATAACCAGGAATGATTGCATCCACCTTTTCGCTCTTTGCCAGCTGCAAGATCTTGTCAGCGTTGAGGTAGGTGTCTATGACTGAAGTGCCCTCAAGGCGTAGCGCAACATCAGCGTCGCGGACATGAGGGCATGCAGCATCCGCATCCGAATAGATGGTGACTGCTTTAATGCCCATCTGGCGAAGAGTCTTGAGGATGCGCAGTGCTATCTCGCCGCGATTGGCTATTAGCACGCTCTTGATCCGGCGGGCGGTTGCTTTGGGCGGCAGAATGTGAGGACTAGAATCTTGAATGCTCCTGTTGTATGCTCTCCAACCACCAAAATGAGTAATATCCAAAGCGCTCTGCAGAGCAGAGTACTCGCAGACAAATCCTTTTACCCAAGTACCATCTGCCAGTTGGATAGTTCCAATACCAAGGGGGAAAGGAATGGTCTCCATGAAGCCAGCAAAGTTCTCTCGTGGCAGACTCCATACCTCGACTTCGACCTTTTCGCCCACCTCGCCCGTGAGTGCTTGACGTAATCCTGGCTTTCTTGGTTCAGAGTTTGACAGAGCAAACAAGCGATACGTGGACGAGGTTGAAGTGAGTTGCTCAAAGACCGCGCCACGGGAAACCAGGTCCTTGTTCAGTGGAAAGCCGCGCAAGTGTGCGCCCACTACAGCAACTCTAATTCTATCAAGACGAGGGGAGTCTGCTAATGGAGCATTGGCCTCGTGTCCTGGATTCGCCACTGCCAAGTGCTGGGTTGACCCGAGACGGTGGCTCGTGCCGGAGACCAACTGGCGAGCCCAAGCAAGGAGAGCTGTTTCTTGCCATGAATTCGCAATGAGAGTAACACCAAAAGGCAATCCATCTCCACGAAAGCCAGCTGGTACTGAAAATGCAGACCAGTCCAGAAAGTTCACGAAGTTTGTGTAAGTCCCCAGCTTTGAGTTTTCGCCAATGGGATCCTTTACGAGAGCTGCCATGGTTGGAAACAGAGGAGTAGTGGGCACAAGAAGGCCGTCAAAGTTCTTGAAGGTACTTTGAACCTGCCGTGTGAGTTCCTGGCGTTTGTACTCCGCCAAAAATGTGTCAACAGCAGAGAAATTCTTTGCACCAAGCACAATGGTGCGCACTGTCGGATCCATTTCACTGCCTGATTCAATGAACTCATGGATGGCCGCAAAGCGCTCTGCAACCCAAGGGCCCTCGTATAGCAGTTTGGCGAGGGCAAATAGATCAGCAAAACTGACGGGAACCAGTTTCCAGCCAAGGCCGGTGCATCGTTTGAGTGCCGAAGCGTAGGCATCGGCCTGTTCATCGTCTCCATACCACGCTGGGTCGTTACAAACGGCAAAAGTTGGGGTCTTTGTAGGAGATGCGCAGGAATTCTCGCCGAGACCGCTCGCTGTCAGCTGAGATGGCCGTGCTCTCGAATACGCGTCTTCTTCGTCAAAGCCCTCCGCAATGTGTAAAATTGTCTCTGCATCATCGACAGTGAGTGCAAATATTGAGACACAATCAAGTGAACGGCAGGCAGGGACCACGCCTTTAGTGCTCAGAGCTCCGCGTGTTGGCTTGAGTCCGTAGATATTGTTCAATCCGGCTGGAACACGGCCCGATCCAGCAGTATCAGTGCCAAGGCTGAACGGCACCACAGCGCGAGCTACACTGACAGCGCTTCCAGAGCTTGAACCACCGCTGACGTAGCTGGGATCAAACGAGTTGGGCACAGCGCCATAGGGAGAACGAGTGCCGACCAATCCAGTGGCAAATTGATCCAGGTTGGTTTTTCCAATGAGAATAGCACCAGCAGCCTTGAGCCTTTTTACCACGGTCGCGTCCTCGGTAGCTGCCGTTGGGTTGAAGGAAGGACAGGCAGCTGTGCTGCGGAATGTTGCAGCATCAATATTGTCCTTGACGGCGAACGGGACACCATACAGCGGAAGGTTGTCCGATGATAGAGCATGCCACTGATGTGCAATCTGTTTATCTGTCGCAAGGGATATCCACACACGCGATTGCTCATTGTGCGCTCTTTGATGGGCCACAAGAGACTGGAGTCTGGCCAGACCATTGCCTGCAACCTGTGCTGCCCTCCATTCCGATATGGTCACGGGGAACTCGCCATCCATCGCCTGGGCTTCTGACAGGCCCAGTTGCATCTTGGTGTGTGATGCTGCGAGGGCCGAGTGAATATGTGGTGGCGATGAAGAGATTCGACAAATATAGAAACGTCGAAATCAGTCTTTAATTTCCGCACGACGATCCGAGCTTTGATCTCGAGGATGGGAGGGAGAGCGGAAGACTTTTGAGATAGAATTGTTATTCTTGAATTCAGTTGTATCAGTGAGCTCCAAGTAAGCAGACTGGTGCTATTAAAATACTACAAAAGCAGTCATGCTCATGATTCTTCAGCTCGAGTGAAGTTTTCATCTAACAAAACTTGCACTGCAATGTGACAAATAATGCAGCAAAAATTTTATTAAGATAAAATCTACCGATTGAAAGACAGTCAAATGCGTTGGTACTGAATGCCGGCGGGCATCAAGACGCCCACCTGCTTTGTCGATTCCTCCATCCATGGTGGTGAGGTAAGTGAGTGGTTGTATGTGTTGAAGGAGGAAAATGTGGTTGAAGACTGAGATGCCCGTCGGGTAAAGCGGTGATTGGCTCTTGCCAGAGCTATTAGCTTCGCCGGCGGGACCGCGGCTGCACAGCACTTGAGCGCCAATTGCTTTTGACCCGGCGGCTTTCTCCCCTCCCCCCGCGACGCGAGTACTGGAACGGATCGTGTCGAAATTGGCATCTCGCTGCTGCTTTCACAAGTCATGGCCCCACGAGCTCGCTCTTCAGCAGCATGCGATACGTGCAGATTGCGCAAAACCAAGTGTGTTTTACGGCCCGGCGAGGAGCGCTGCATTCTCTGCGCGTTCCATGAGCTAGAATGTGTATTCGACCCGGACGGCCCCCGCCGCAAACGACAGCGCCGACGGCGTAGCACACAGGATGGGGCTGGACTAGTGGAGCAGCAGCAGGATACCTCGCATACAGGCACAGGTCAACATGTTCAGCAAAGACGACACCACCAAGAAACGCTTGCCGAGCCGGCGGCTTCGTCAAGGGAGACATATGTTGACTTGTCATCACCCGAGAGCAGCCGAGATCGAATCAGCACCCCTCCCGCTGCAGCGTACCCCAGCATTCTCAACGAAACCCTCGGCCTCGATCCCGCGAACCATGCTGAATATGTCGGCCCGAGCGACTATAGAGACCCTCTCTTACTCGATTTAAGGCTGAACACCGAGAATAGCTCAAGTTTTGTCCGTCGAACGGACAATCGTACTCTTTTCATTGTCCACTCCGATGAAGCAGCCGCCTCTGATGCCAGGAGAATCGCCGACGTGGACGCCATTGAGGCTGTTGTTCACCCCCACGGCCCGAATCTAGTCAACTTGTACTTCCGCTTTGTACACCCAAGTTTTCCTATACTCCACAAAGATGTTTTCATTGCCAAACATCGCGTGTCATACCGCTACTTTACACCATCACTGCTTGCTGCGGTGTATTTGCTGTCCATAGAATGGCGATTACATGATAGTGTGCTGGCCAGCAGCGACATTCGTACTGGACCAGATGTCACTGCCCTTGAACAGCTCGCTGATGCCGCAATTCAAGAAGATATGCGGACGCCGAAACTAAGTACCCTGGAAGCGGGCTTATTGCTTTTGCAAAGACACAAGTTACAACTTGTCGAGCGGCCAGTAGCTTCGATATGGAGGTTGCACTCTCAAATTGTTGCCATTTCTCACGAGCTTGGTCTCCATGCCGACTGTAGCTCTTGGTCAACCCCCGACTGGGAAGTTGGGCTACGGCGAAGAATTGCCTGGGCGTTATACATGCAGGATCGCTGGATCTCGTTTGTGCACGGCCGGCCGGCGCTCCTCCATGACGATGACTGGGATGTCCAGCCCTGTTCTTCATCAGACTTTCCAGAATATCATGACAAGCCGGATGACTCGTCAATAGGTACTATAGCGGCTCCAACCGGTTGGCGACTTTTTCTCCGCCAAATCGAATTATCTCAGATTCTGTGTGAAATCTATCGTATTTATTATGCAACATCGGCAACCAGGCGAAACGGCTCTCTCGATCAGATGGGCGTCCGCGCCGCGGTAGATCTTGCAAAACCCATCATTGCCCGGCTTTCTCAATGGAAATCGGCCCTGTCGCCAGATCTGGCCTTTACTGCATCGAAACCACGTACACTCTGTGCAAGCGCATCTCTTCATCTCGCATACCACACTGTTGTCATTGCAATGTATCGAGCCCTTGTGCGGATACTCACACCAGATACACCAGAATCGTTGTATACAGCCGTCCGTAGCGCTGCTAGGGACAAATTACAAGCTGCCGTGCAGCTGCTGGGTTCCATGCAGCCGGAACATACATCGGCGTTCTGGGGTAGTGTTGCTTCTTACCAGGTGGCTATGATAGGAGCCTTTGCCGGACTCTTGTGGGCCACGGCAGAGACTAGTGAGGAAATAGCCTGGTGCGCCGCTCGCATAGATGATCTGAAGTGGGCGTTGAGAGTCAGAGGTGCAGCTGCGCCTTTTGCTAGAGAGGCATTGCAATTGCTAGAGCATGAGACAAGCGGTCTCAACGCTTTAAAGGCCACTTGAGCCATAGAGGCAGTCATGAATAAAAGAAATGCTAAAGTAGTCACGTAGAGCGATGGCTACTAGTTGATGTAATGTATTGATTACATGTAATGGTCATGTCTTGTGGCAATGTGTACTTCTTGCTACCCCAACTTTGCAGCTTCGCTTGTTGTCAGGGCTGACTTACGGCTAGGGTTGGGGCATTTTGGTGTGGGGTCCGGGCTTTTGTATTAGACACGAGAGCTAAGACAAGTACAAAATATAGGCCCGCTGGATTCGGCCCGGCCCGAGCCCCTATCGTAAGGAAGCCAGGTCCCGTCCACGGTTATACGTATACCCCTTTATTATAGTCACAAGAAGGTCTCAAAACCAAGGTCAGCAATTTTCCTGCTGAGGAGATTGAGGGAGTGAATGGAAGAAAAACAACAAGAAACAGTCCCCGAACTGTACCTCACTTTTTCTTCGTGTTGACTCTCTATGTATACTTGCATCCACTATTTTGTACACGATATGATTAAAGATGTCTAGAGCTGATATTTGACCTGTGGGGTCTCTCCATTGTGGGCTAAAACAACCTCTCCCTTCTCATCCACCAGCTCACCAACAAAAGTCTGCTTTGCCAGTTGACGGTTTTTGGCCCAGTAATACACAATCATCAAGGATACAACCACAATACTCCCCGCATATATGCACATGATCTTGAGGAACCCCTTTTCATAGTACGGTGCATCGCTCTGCACAAAAATATTCTGCCCAGCAAGTCCACCCAGATTAGAGCCAGCCACGGCCAGAGCCATGCCGAGACAGCGCACTTGGGGGTCGGCGGTATTAACGCTAAACCATGCATCATTCAGACCTTGAGATACCGCCGTCCCAGCCGCAAAGACGGTCAAGATGGCGTACTTGAGCCAAGTGTCGGTGTTGCGCACGAGCGAATACTGTATCCCGGAAAAGACTAGGCTGTAGATGCCGCAGAGCAGACACAGGGGGCCCCGTATCGCTGTCTTGTCGCTGATCCACGAAACCACAATGGCATAGATGCAAACGCCAAAATTGTGTACGGCAGCCAGCTCGCTGGCTATAATGGCATCGAACCCAAAATTCTTGATAATTGTGGGCATGTATGTTCCAATGCCGCCCTTTGGTGTCAAGGAGATGAGGTTGATGGCCGAGTGGCCCCAGATGGCGGGATTAGTGAGTAGGATCTGACTAGCACGCTTGACTCCGATGCTTTCCAAGGATATCTTTTTCCGTGGATCATCGAGAATAACTCTGGAACGGATGATGCGATTATCTTCCTCGGTGAACAGATTTAGGCATTTGAGACCACATAGAGGTGCAGTATTGGTAGTTGTCGAGGGCATAAAGAAGATGAACCAAAGCCCCACAATCAGAGTAAACAGACCATTGAGTAGAAAGAGCCACTTGTTGCTGTCAGCAATCACTCGGGGCATACATATATATATACATGTAAGATTGTCTTACCTGCCATTGCTTCAGACCAGTTGACTGTGGAATCTTGAATATACCGCCGGCAATCAGGCCTCCAACCCCAGCCGAGAAGTAGTTGCCAATGTATACAAGCGTGACTCGCATGGCCATCTCGCCACGGGTATAAAAGCTGGCGAGAATGGTCAGGGCTGCCGCAAGATAGCCCGCCTCACACATGCCCAGCAAGAATCGCGTGGCATAAAACCCCGCAAGGTTTCGTATGGCCGTTTGCGCCGTGGCGACGGTCCCCCAGGCGAAGATCTGAATGACGAGCCACTTGGCGGCCCCGATCCGGGACAAGACCATGTTGAACGGTATCTCGAAAATGACAATGCCCGCTAGCATCAGTTGGTTTCCATAATTGACTTGGTCGGTGCCGATACCAATGTCCCTAGTGAAGCTTGTCGTGATGGCGTAGGCAATGTTGCCCTTGTCCAGCTGGAGTGCAAAAAGGCCCAACATGAGAGATGGAAGTACGAGGTAGTCGAGCCTAGTTGATGCAGAGCACTTAGCCAAGATACGAAAGGAATTTTTCATCACGTAACTCACTTTCTCCGAACTCTTCGTTCAGTCTGAAGAGACCAGTCCCTTACCAGACCCGCCTCTGCATTTGCTGGTGTCTCATCCATGTCCCTGGCTGATTCCTCGACAGTAGACTTTCTAGGTATGGTCATCATGGCCGCTCTAGCAAATCTATGAGAAGACGATTGCTATTGCTCTGAGAGAATGACTCCGGCATCAAGGTGTCACTGAATTGTGTGTAGAACGGGGTAGGTTGTAGAGATACACAGCTTAGCAAGGCAATAGTCGGATTATACACGAAAACTGTACAAGCTTCCCCACAAACCATGACCATACTCCGATGTTCCGCTATTTCGGCGTCTTGCGGACCACTGCCCCGATCGCCGAAAATTGAAATGACAACACCAAGGTCAAGTATGGCGCAATCACAGTCAAAAGACCGCTAGTACAACTATCAGGTCGTTTCTTCAGCAGTCACTATTTTCATGCTGGTGATATCTGCGGCCATGTCAGTACCTTCTGGTTTATCAAATTGATTTTCTCCCAACTTGCAGCATGTGGATAGTCTCCATTGTCTCATTATTTATATTTCGTCGTTTTCACAAACGAATTGTCATCTACAAATTGAACTCGCTCAGTGGATCTTGGGGGCTCATTCCATCCCATATTGTAACATCTAGAGAGCCCACATCTAGCATGTTGTCGCCAATTATGGACCAGTCTGGTACTGAGGTGGCTTGAGGGGTAGAAGTAGTTCCGTTACAGTAGCTTGGATACGATTGAGACGGAAACTCAAACCCTTTGCCTTCAATCGTGCCAGCTAGCTGGTCAAAAATGGCCTGCACTAATGGCTGGCTGCTGCAAGACTGCACCTCAATGTCCAGCGCACTCGAAACGGCTGCAGACTCGACTTGTGCTACATGCTCGGTCACGGCTTCTATTATTGTCTCGAGAACTTCGCAGTACTTATCCACGGCACTGTTTCGCGCTGCTGCTGCAAAAAGTGCAGAAGAACAGACGCGCATTTCGTTAGCTCGCGCTGGCGTCCAAAGGCCTGGGTTCTTGAAGATGATATAGCTGTGAACTATGAGCGGTGGACACACAGGTGAGCGTTATATATATATATACTTACCATATGGTCACTCCAGCAGTGAAGACAGTATTGACCATGGTGAAAGAGTACCCAAGGCGTCGCTCGAGCCTTTGCCGCTTGAATGATTTACACACACCTCCTGCTGCTTGCAGACAAGCTGTTTTCATATCGTCACAAAGTATTTGAGTGGACAAGAATGGCTCCGTCATCTTCATAGCAGCAGTTTCTATATGCAGTCGTAGGAATTCGCGGTCGAGCTCGTCGCAATCCGAAATCGAAGCCTCTAGCTGCCGTATTTTCCCAAGCAGAGATATGGCATATTCCTGGGCTGCGTAAGACAGGTTTGTCCCATGAAGACGACCATAAGCCTGAGAATTGATTCGTGACAGGCGAACAATAGCAATAAAGACCCGAAGATCCAATGGTCGAGATGCGCCATATTCAAGATGAGTACCGCTCTCACTATCAAGAAATGTAGAAAATGCACCTGGTGCAGGAAGCTCCACGTCAATATCAAGATCTGACAGGCTAACTGGCCTCTTGAGGTGCCAGGCCACACTCCTCTCAATGACGTAGACGGACCAGAATAGCCTTCGACGCAAGTCTGCCTCCTCCGAAGGAAGGGTCTGATAATGCTGGTTTCGGTGCATTCCAGCATCGATTGCAGTGCGCATGGCGAGACCAGTCGAGTACCATATATCCGAGGTGAATGACGAGCGCAGCTTGTACATGATATGCCACAGTAGTCGCTCAGTCATCTCGATAGCGTTCTTGTTATCCAGATATCCCTCAGTTTCTAATGCTCTGGAAATGTAAGTTTCGGGCTGTAAAGGATGTGACGAGCCCGTCAGTTGTTGTACTCGCGCACCAATTGCACAAGCCATGTGCAATCGAAAAGAGTGCATCGGTTTTGTGTTTTCGGTAAACGGGGATTCAACTCCATGTTGCAAAGTCTCTAAAATGCCGAGATAGTCACAAAACGGTAGCCGACGATGCAAGTTCTCTAGGAACGTGGTCAACAGTTGCCTCTCGTTGACGGCACTCTTGCCAATGCCGTCATCAAGACAAGACCCGCGCGAAGGCACTTCATTAGGCCATGAGGGTTGTAGCGCGCTGTTCACTGCAAAATGCGTGGCTATCGTCGAAATGCCGGAAGATAGTGCTTCAGGAGTCTGAGCAGGGTCATAAAGTCCTCCGCATGGCTGAGGATGTTGCACTCTCCACCTCTGAGGGTTCGCGTTACTGTCTGAGGAGGCTGATGGAGATGGTCGGCCATCGATTGGTTCAATCGAAAAGTGCCTCTGCCTGTTGTCCCCTTCATCCGCATTTAACTCTGGTACTTGGCTGTGAATATCCTCAATCTTTTTGATCAGCTCCTCCTTTGATAACGCAGACAAGCGGCGCATGAGCGGCGTTGAGTCCCGACTGCATGGAATGTTTGCCGTCCGGCAATTGGCACATGCGGGATAGCCAACGCATCTTTGCTTCCTCCGATGACACCGTGCGCAGGCCTTGAGCGTCGCCCGTCGAGGCCTTGGGGAGCTCATGATGATTACAATGAGACGACAAAAAGGAGTGGTGGAGATCTCTTATCCAACATCAAGGTGCCTAGCGACTCGTGGACATTGCCAAAGTGTCGTCGGCAGCTAGACTATGGAGCTGGAATTGCACAATCAGAGCTACAAGCACGTCATCTTGAGGGTTCCGCACAAGTGCCCAGAAGAGGGAAAAGTGTTCCCAGCTTGGCCAGCGCGAGCTGTCCGAGTGCGGGGAGACGGACATGGAATCTGCGGTTCTGATTGGCCATGACTATTCGTTTCGTCGGATTGGATTCGATGCCGGTCATTCGTATAGTATTGCGCGCAAAAGTCAAATGGCCGTGATTTGCGAATTATTGTCATGTGCTGCTTGGCCAGATGCCCCCCTGTTGTTCGACTGAAGGTACAAGCTAGGAACATTCAACTGCTGCTGTCCCCTGCCAATAGGCAATCACGAAGCAAAATGCCCGGAGTGGCGGGATAGCTATTATTCGAGATAATTGATTCATTCCTGGATATCAGATATTTGTGATGGTGGAGGTTGAGAAATGGATAGGACAGTTTCAAGCTGCCGCCAAAATGGCCCCTCTTCCTTAACGACGCTGCTACTATAAAGTACCCCGTAAACTTCCCCCGCACTACCCGCTAAACCCCTCCAAGACACCCCTAACCAACATGTGCAGTGGATTTTTGACCATGCCAATTACAACTTCTTTTCCCTCATTAACATGGTGACTGCGAACCCCATTGATACAAGTGCCATTGATAGTACTACAACGATTAGCTGTTGTCAGGGTTCAATTGTGTCTCAGAACGTTCGGAAGCCCTTACCATTCGAACTTGAGAGTGCATGAATAAATGCATCTGCCACCAGACGCCATATTGCTTCTGGCAATTTCTGGATGTACTCTGTGTCGGATGTCACCCGCTCAATAACCTTGTTTATATCTCAACATCAGTTAACAGTCACAATATTTGTCGTAGAGTCTCACCTGTTGTTTATTTTCAATACCGTCCAAGTTCTTTTCCAGCAAGAAACTTGTTCTTTGATTGATGATGGATGTCGACAGACTAGCACCCACGAGGATGCCGACGTTTTGGGCGAGGAACCACGCTGAGCCAGCAATTGCAATCTCAGAGTGCTCAAGGCTCGCGGCTAAATGTACAAAAGTTGTCGACTGAATTATGCCCATACCCATGCCAGGCAATGAGACAAAGACAGACTCGTACCATCTGGTGCTTCCGCGCCATCTCAGAAAGATGATAATGAAGCCAACAAGTCCAATCACATTGCCCATGGCCGTCATCACCTTGTATCTCTTGTATCGGGTGATTAGTTGACCACTAAGGATCGTTCCAAATGCATTGCCAATGACCACGGGGACAATTCGGGTTCCAGACGACGAAATCGATTCTCGGCCGATGACTTGGAAATAAATGGGGATCGCGTACAGAAGCTGTTGGCCTAAACATTAGCATAGCTTCTCGAATCGAAATGACAAGTCTGAACTTGACGGACCCCGAATTGTGCTGCGGATTGAAACATGATGATCGCGTATGATGTCAACACGCCGGGATTAGCAAGGAGTCCCAGTGGGAATATCGGCTCTCTGGCATAGTATTTTTCAACGAGGATGAATATTACGAGGGACATTATAAAGCCAACCACCAGACTCGCCGTTAGCCAACACCATCCTAGTTTGGTAGCCATCTCGACAGAGAGAAGTCCAGCAAGAACGACTCCTACAAGTGAACTTGCACCAGCAAAGTCGATTCGACGCAATGCCGAGGCACCATGGCTATATTGGCAAGTATCCAGAATGTTGTTGGATCTAGGCTCCGGGAGCTTCCAGATGACGAGACCAAGACCAACGAGAGCGACAGGGAATTGAATGAGGAAGCACCTGAACCGGGAAAGTTTCCATTAGCCTTTCGTCATGTATGAGGGGAAGCGACTTACCATCGCCAGCCGACACTGCCTGCAAGCCACCCTCCGACTGGTCCTCCTATAGATCTGGCAATCGTTGCAGTCAGGTTCACGTATGCTCTGTAACGAGCGACATCCCGGAGAGGCACCAAGTCTGCGCTAGATTGTCAGTACAGGGAAAATCATCAGGATAATAATTATATACCGGCCACGACAATCGATGTCAAGGCTATCTTGCCTGCACTCCCGATTCCACTGATAGCGCGGCCGAGAATAACATGCCAGAATCTCTGACCAAGTGCCCTAGAATTATTCAGTACTTCAAATACGGCTTCAATGGGAATTAAATGGCTACAAATGCCCATACACAAGAAGACAACCAAGGCCAAACACTAGCCAGCTGAAAATAATACATCTTCTGCGCCCATAAATGTCACTCAATTTGCCGTACTAATAATTGGTCAACATGACATTAAATGTACAACTTCCAGCACATTTGGAGTTCCTACCAGAGGTTGGCTAGCGGACTGAGACAGCGTGTACGTCGTCAAGAGCCATGCTGCTGAAGATAAGGCATTGAACTCGGAGGCTATATGCTGATTTGTGGCAATGACCACGGACGACACGGCGTTTGATAAAAAGATTCCTGGCTATGTCAGCACATTGCCGTTCATATGATATGTTTCTCTGTTACCCATGAGCAGAATGGGAAGTACCATCCATAGTACCACGGGCTGTATATAGTCTTGTTCTGTGTGGGAGTTTCCATTGATGCCTACATTGCGAATCAATTCTCGTGAATATCTCCCATAGACATTTGCAATATTGCTTACTAGTGGTCTGGCCAACACCCAGCAAACTACTCCTCTCATCCACCCTTGCGGTATTGTGAGATTTCTGATGTGACATGTTGCAACGATTACAATTTTTGGTCTCAATGCAAAGAGTTCAAGAGACTGTGTGCCGCTCAAAAACATCCACATCAGACCGTTGTCCATTGTTGAACAAAGTTCGAGTCGGAACTAGCCCTTATCGGGGCATCGTGACCCTGGATGATTTCTGCATACGGTCAGAATGAGTTGTACAGAGTACCAGAGTCACCTGCCGAAACATGGAGCCGCCGACGGAGCCGGTCGGCGATCGGACACTTGCGTCTCGGCGATCGGGCGGTCCACCATGTGACCCACACCAACCGCCATTCCGCTTTTACGGTTGGTAGAGTTATACGGTGATAATGGCTGCAAAATCAAAATTGGATTGAAAAGAGCTTGTTGTTTAGCATTTTCCATGAAACATACCACTCATTATATTGCGTCGAAAATGTGGCAGGTACTCTTTGTGCTGTTCTTGTTTGGACAGCTTGGACTATGCGCCAAACCAAACATCCTTTTCATCTTGACGGATGACCAGGACTGGCATATGGAGAGTGTTGACCATATGCAACATTTGAAGGTGAATGCCATGAAATAAGGAAGCAAAATTTGAACATTTGCTGATGAATCACAGTCATTGATCGTCAACGAGGGCCTGACATACAACCAGCACTACTGCACAGTTGCGCTATGCTGTCCTTCGCGCGCGTCGCTTTGGACCGGCAGGTCCGCTCATAACCATAATGTTACCAACGTAGCGCCGCCTCATGGAGGTTATCCAAAAGTTGTTGATCAAGGCGTGAATGACGACAACTTGTTCTTGTGGATGCAAGACGCTGGCTACCAGACATACTACGTGGGGAAATTGTGGAACTTTCACGCCGTCGACAACTACAACAAGCCCTTCGCAAAGGGATTCAACGGATCAGAGTTCTTGCTTGATCCATATACATATCAGTACTGGAACTCCCAGATGACTCGAAATGGGCAAGAGCCCGTTAGCTATGCCGGACAGTATTCAACAGATGTAGTCACCGACAAAGCTGTTGGGTTCCTCCGCGACGCTTTGTCTCACGAAGACCCCTTCTTTCTGACGATTGCACCAATCGCACCGCATTCGAATTGGGTCATAGATCCAGCGCGTGACCTTTCATACTTGGAAGAGCCCAAGTCTGCGCCTCGGCATCAGCACCTATTTGAAGAATACATCATTCCGCGCACCGAAAGCTTCAATGCCCCAATTGTTGGCGGTGCCAGCTGGGTCAAGGACCTCAAAAAGCTGAATGACACCGTACTGGCTTACAACGACCACTACCAGCGCCAACGCTTGCGAGCCTTGCAAGCCGTCGACGAAATGTTGCCACGGCTAGTCCAAGAACTTGAAAATGCTGGTCAGCTGGACAACACGTATATATTCTACACTACTGACAATGGCTACCACATTAGCCAGCATCAGATGCATCCGGGGAAAGAGTGTGGCTATGGTAAGTAGATTGCACACAATCTTGTTTGCCCTCGAGTTCGAGGCCGTTTCAGACTCTGACGGGACTGACCGCTACAGACACCGACATACACATCCCATTCTTCGTTCGTGGACCAGGCGTTCCCCGTGGAGAGGCAGTAGACGTCGTGACGACACACACAGATGTCAGCTCTACACTCTTGAAGATTGCTGGTATCTCCAAGACACTAGACGGTGTGGCAATGCCACTACACAAGGCCGACGATGATCTCTCTCATCGACATGAGCATGCCACTATTGAGTACTGGGGCATGGTAAGTTGAACGGTCTTCCAGAAAATAAGGCGTAGCTTATAATCTATAGGGAGTGCCAGAAGGCAACTATGGTGGAAAGGCCGATAAGAATAGAGAAGCTGGGGAATGGAAGAACATCTATCAGAACAACACGTACAAAGGGATTCGAATAGTATCTGACGAATATAGTCTCTACTATTCGGTCTGGTGTACTGGCGAGATAGAATTCTACGACTTGAAGGTATGGAAGCGTGACCTGAAAGTTGCATAACTAAGCTGACGCCCGACAGTCTGATCCCTTTCAAACAACCAACATAGCAACACCGTCATCTGTTTCATCGTATCAAATCGCAGGGCGGCCGCTTGGCGAGATTCTCTCGCGTCTCAATGCTTTGGTCATGGTGCTGAAAACGTGCAAGGATAGGGTGTGTATCCACCCGTGGGAAGTACTACATCCTAATGGTGGTGTGAAAAATCTAAGCCAGTCTCTCCAGAAACGATTTGACGTCTTTTACAATCGTCAACCGCAGATGTGGTTCTCAGATTGTCCTCTTGCATATTTTGCAGACCTGGAGAACCAATCCCCTGTTAACGTATTCAGGGGCGAAGTTGAGCTGTAGGAGGAGAATTAGTTGCTAGCATCAAATATAGGATATGACTGCTCGTGGTTTGTGCACGCATTTCACCAATATAAGCAGCCATGTGTGCCAAACGGTAAAAACATTGACGGGAGATAAAAACAAAGAAAAGAAAAGAAACAAAATAAATTATCATACGAGGAAATCCAAGAAAATTAATTACGCAGAATTAGGGAACACGCCTCTCCGAACGTCACGCATTGCCTCAAACCCATGTAGGGAGTATTGTGGCTTTTTAGTGCTGACCTCAGAAAACCCGCTGCACGTCAAAGATCCTTGGTCTGAAAACTGATAGGAAGCAGGGGTTGATCATCATTGAGCTATAATCACACTGCAGAGCGATCGTCCCGCAAAGCTTGGAGTCTCATTGGTTCGCATCCGTAAATATCTTTGATGATCTTTCTAGAATAACGGCAGGAAGTTTCGCGTGCCGATCCACTCACAGCTTCCCATTCCACAGACAGCAGCAGGCCTGTAAGACTTGCCAAGTATGATACCCCTGTAATTTTCCCTCGACCAGGTATGCCTACATATACATTGATAGAATAGATGTAAGCTAGAAAACCCAGGCATGCCACTTCTACAACCTCTTGACAACCTTCTTCTTACCATTCCAACGTGATATACCGCAAGATTCGTTCAAGTCTGGGCAGCCTCATTCTACAAACAGCAGTAGATGCGCATCACGGGAGAATGGTATTTCATTTCAAATTTTCCCCGTTTGGTGCATGCGCCTTGAGATACAACGAGTAGCTAGGAAAGAAACGGCATACACGACAAGAACGACTGTCATTCAGTAGAAAATGCTCACGATTGCCAATCTGCGCATCCAAAGTCAAGAGACTAGCTTCTCCGATTGGATATCTGTATCGACTCTCGGCCTGGCACCGCTGGTGGCGCATATTCTGGCCGGCGCGCCGCAACCTTCCTTCTTGGTCTCGTCCAAGCCGAGATGGCACGATAGGATTTGCGTCTTGAATCCCACCACCATCTTGTGCCGCTATGCCGCCATCGTGGACAGGCGCATCCGCGCCCGGGGAGGGCGGTGGGAGCCCGGAGATGCCGCGGCCGCCAATGCCATCTTTTGGACGTGTCAGGGATGGGTCGGGTCGGACTTGATGGCCGTCGAGGCCCTCCCGCTGTGTACGCTCTTGCCGGAATGCGGCACGGTCCGACTACTATCGACGGAAATGCTCAAGACCATTATTGTCACACTGCAGGGTCTACAATCCCTCGTGATGCTCTTGGGCGGCGCCACGGGCACCATCATGTACAACCAATACTTTGGTTTGGACTGGGTATTCGGCCCCTTGTCCATCATGGGGTTGCTCCGGCTTTTTGCGGCGCCTTGGTTGACGTCGGATTTCATGTACTCGATACGAACTGCTGGTACCGGTTCCGCAGCCCCGGATCGCTCGAGGCATTCCGTTGACAGCTTATGCATCACGTCTGAAGAAAAGTCGCCCGTGGTGATCAGATACCGCTCTTCATCGTATCGGCCCAGTCGGTGCTTTCGAGTGCTCTACTTGGGTTTATTGGCCTCCTGTTGGCTGCTGGCCGTGTGGTGGACATTTATCAAGCCCTTCATACAACCGACCGGCTTGCCTTTGACATTGTCGGCATTTATCACCGGAGCCTTTTACGTATCTGCCCTCGCCAGCGTTATCGCCATCTTCTTTTACTATTACGTGTGGCACGGGTCAACCTCGACTGTTCTTCCCTGCATTGGTGAAACGTGGTACAAGGTCTATACTATGCTCCTAATGTCTTTCACGCTGGTGGTCATTTTGTTGGTCGCTCTCGAAACCTACAAGACTCCCTGTGGAACCTACTCGAGTCTGCCCAGAAAATGTGCAGATTTGGTTTGCAAGGTAAGGGAGGGAGAGGTGACGGGGGCTTTTACAGATTGCTATTGAGGAACAGAGTAATCAACCTGTGGCTCACTCGTATGAAAGACGACATACTTCCAATAGCTGGATCTCTTGAAAGTAATATTTAGTTTTGACAAACAGCTAGACGATGGATTGGTCAAATGTCAATTCAAAGTGCCCACTGCATCATGCGTCAAGTGCTGAGCATCTCTGAGCAGTGATTCACCCCACCCGCTCAAAAACCATACATTGGGCTCTCCTAATGAGAGAACTCTGGCATAATACCATAATACCACAAAAGCGGAAGGCTCTTTTTGCTTCAAAAGCCGCATGAATTCGTCTGATAGAGCAATGGGCCAGTAGAATACCACTCTCAAGTGAGGAGCGCTGCTGGTCAACATTGCTCGCTCAATGGCATATGTCAAAGATTCAGCGGCCTGACGGCAGGCCGGGTCCGAGCCTACAACATTTGATGGACTCGCAGCCATCTTTGCAAGGTCGTGCATGACATCCCCCAGCTCCGCAGAGTCCCGGGGCTGATCCGACGGATGGAATTGTCGGGCGAGGGGCCCTGACCAGAGGCTCGACTCGTACATTTTGAGGATACCATTCATGCCTCTAGTGAGTTCAAAAATGTCGAGCAAGTCCTCGATTGCGCTACCTGGGCTTTGACATGAGTATGATGCGAAGCTGTTGATGACCAAGAGAGATGCTGTCGCAAAGATGGAATGACATGATTCTTCCGTCAACTCTCGTGTTGCTAGTCGCAGGTCCTCTGTCGTCCTACCATGGAACCCAAGGGCTCTGAGGACCCAATGTTCCCGTTCTGATGGGGCTAGGTGAGCTTTGTGAAAGGCTGAGACGGCGAGCACTTGATACATGAGGTGTGAACTCTTGAAGGCCATTTTGGGGATGGCGTCTTGCCAAATGTGCAGGAGCTCAGGTGTGCGAGGCATGGTGTGGCATGTCGAAGTCGCGTAGTGATGCATCAATTGCAAGTTCTGTAGCCAGGATTTGTTTGCATCTGTGTGCTCATCTGGACGACTAGTAGATATGCCCTGCGACCGACCTAAAGAGCTAATGGGGGGCCCTGAAGGCATTGATGGAGACAAAGTTGGGCGATGGAATTGCGAGGTGGCTAGGACGTCCTGACTGAAATCACTTTGGATCGATGGTTTCGCATCTGGAGCGATGACAATTGGCTGTTGTCGCAATGGTATACTCCGAGGAGGTGGCTGAAAAGGTAATCTGCTTTGGCCGACCGAGGTTACAGTCAAGCTGCACGATACTCGGTGACGCGTACAGGCAGAACATGGCACTCGTTCGTCGCACTTGTAGTGGCAGCATTAGTTGGCCAGACATTTGTAGCGTGGCCTACAGATGGCCTTACCTTGACTTTTCTCTGCTTACATCTTCGACAGCCTGTACGGGACTTTGTCCTCAATGACCTAGGGTCGTTCATGGTAATTTCGGTGGTCTCTGAGTGCTTGTGGAAGCAGTAAAGGAATTAATTAGCCGGGGTCTCAGTGAATGGAGCAGCGACAATTGGTTGTGAAGGTCCGGGCTGCCCGGGCGGACCTCAGCAGCCTATGTAAGGTAGGTGACCTTAGGTTGGTGCCTAGCGTCCCTTTACAGAGCCCCTATCTGGCGCGGCGCGCGATTCGTTAGCGCCTTGGACTCAAAGAAAGATGTTTGAACCATTTCTATGTACTATTGATGTGCACTATAAACATTGAATAAGAAGTATAAATATCGCCATTCGCGTTTTCCACACGTAGATACTGGTGCATGTATGTGTATATCAGAATTCAATGATTCCAACACATAAAAATGCATATCCACTATTCGCCTCAGCGAGAAAGCTTGAAACCACCCCAGTTCAGGCGGGTAAAGACGCCCAACGGATCGTAGTCGGAGCGAACCTGTCTCATCCTCTCAACATTCTCGCGAGGAAAGGTAACATAAGGGTCCTGGAATTCTCCAGCATCACCCATGTAGAGCCACTCGTGCGCCAAACCCATGAGCTGGTTCTCCTGGTGCCAGTAGTCGAGTAGGGATCGGGACCATGATGTCATGCGGATGTCATCTTCAGCGTTGGCCCAGCCAGTTGAGAATTGCCAAACTGCATGAGATATTAGTGCCATGATATATAGAACGATATTGAGGAATAGACTTGTCTCGCCACGTACTGATATAGGATTGGCTGTCATCTAGGCCCCAGACGTTACCAACGCCATTGTTTTTGGCCACGCTGAGGGCGCTCTTTGGAACAATGTTCATCACAAAAGTTGGGTACAAGCCCTCGACATCGCTAATGGAGTCAACGGCATCCTTCCAGCCCTGGTAGATCCGGTAGAGTTGGTCGGCATCGGGGATCATTGTCTTGTGTGCGAATTGTACTCTATGTAAGCAGGTATTAGCAAAGCACCTAAGAATGCATTCCAAATCATTCAAACTTACCGGAACATTTGGTTGGGAGTATCAAGGTTTGCGTGCCATTGCTTGGGACTCATGACTGCGTTCATTGTAGAGGTCGAGGGAATTTTCGAAAAGGCATCGAAACGAGAGGGGGGTGATTCCGTTCCTTCTTGCATTCCCATGATGAATGAGGTAACTTCCTTCGTAGTTGCGTTGTACTGTATGGTGATCACCGAGCCTGCTGCCAGTTCCGGTCCGTCATTGTTGACAAGATCAACTGTGGCGCCGATGAAATCCTCAATGGCAGATTCGTTAAAGTTTTGGTAAGTGATGCTGACGTTGGCGATGGGGTACGCCTGAAGCTTGAAGTTTGTGACGAGTCCAAAGTTGTTGGCGCCTCCCTTCAATGCCCAGAAGAGTTCAAAATTATCGGTCTTGTTCGCGACGACCTGAGTACCGTTACCAAGAACGACATCGTAGCTCAAGACATTGTCCATGGTAAATCCATACTTGTTGATAAAGTAGTGGAATCCACCAATCAGAGTAAGTCCGGGTACACCAATTGTCTTCATTCTACCACCGATAGTGTAAAGGCCATATTCGTCGAGTGCGTCATACACATCCACCCAGCGGCTTCCAGGTCCCACGTCGATTGTCTGACTCTCGGCATCGACGATATTCTGGTCCAAAGCAGCGAGCGACACCAAAACTCCGCCATTGATATTGTTGGCGCCCGGGTACTACTGTATCGTTAGAACTGCAGCACGTCGCAGCGACAAGGCTGACTTTTCGCCTTTTGGAGAGACTCACATTCATGTGGCCGCCTCCGCGGACAGCAAACTGTGTGCCACAGCCAGCAAGGATTTGCAGAGCGCTGGACACATCACTGGCGCTCGAGGGCTCGAAAATGCATGCAGGTGCCAAGTCCGACCGAACGTCCCAAAAGTCGATGACTTCAGTGGCGTATGCAGTAGAGTTGCTGAAGATGGTCTTGTTGCCAAACGTTGAGCTCAATTGAGCGCAACCGCACGTAGCTCCCTCGGACAAGGATACTACTGGCACTTGCAACGACTGAGCGACTGCAAGCGCTGGCAAAAGAGCCGCGACTGCAGTGTTGAGAAAGGACATTGCGAAGCACTGATTGTGAGAAGCTAGGATGAATTGATGATGATACAATAGAATCATTACAAGTTACTTGGGCAAGGTACCATACATATATATGTGTTGATTGATGTAGATCTCGGTATAGTCAAAGCTAGCGGCTTTCCAAGATCTACGCCAATCCACCTACCCATTATGTCACGGAGGCGTGGTTCGTGCTATAATTTCATGCGAGGCAACGAGGGTTGGGTAACATGCGCATAGGTACTTCGGCATAGGCAGAGCGACGCAGGGGCACAGGCACTAGGCCGAATAGACTCACTTAGACAGTTGACCAATCATTGTGAGCAAAACCCGAGAGCGAGAGTCTTGTGGGGTTGGATTAAGTTGGATTAACCGTTGCCTAACGACCCGAGACCGAGATGGGTCCAGGGTTGCTTGGCGATCCAAATCTAATGAAAACGTTCCATATTCTTCGCATCAACTAGAAGCAAAGGCGGCGCAGTGCTGCTGCTAGTCAGGCTTCTCAAGCTATTATAACTCTTTTGTCATGGCGTTTGATGTAGGAAAAAAAACTCAAACTCTGTTTTTTTGAGGCTGTTCATCTGGTATACATATTGGAGCCAATAAACAGGCCAACCGAAGGCCAAGCTTTTTCTTACCAGATAGGTGAGAGGCTGAGCTGACTCGGACAACATGGAATGGCTTCATGATGCTATTTTGGAAGATGCGATATCGACTATTGAAAGATGAAGAGGAGATATGTGTCTATAAAGATCCATAAGAGGTCGAAACTTGAAGTTGATTTTGCATATTCTGCTCAACATCTCAAAGCACTATTCATTCACATCATTACCATTGCCACCACAACCACACTCAATATACCCAGCAAAAGCATCTTCGTGATCAATTCCAGTTGTGACGTCAGCCATGGCTTTTCTCTTGAACCCGCGATACATTCTCGCTGTCCACATGGTTCAGCTTTTCTTGGTCATCACAGTGATCGTTCTTGCGGTGGCGCGAATCTTTATCAAAGGTGGCCAACTCCGAAGAAATGACACCATGGCCCTCAGTATGGTATGCAAATTTGCCTCGAACCTTGGAAATACTATCATCTCAGTACCATGAGCTAACGATATAACAAAGGGCGCCAAATCACTCGGATTCCTTGCCTATGAATTGATAACGGAGCACTGGCACCGGGCCAGGAGATGGGCTAGTTTGAAGGCAAACACCATTCTCAACTGCCTCGAGATCCTGTTCTGGGCCGCCATTGCATTTTTGGCCATCCAAACCAACGTCAATTCGTGCCTGGGAACAAGCTGCACGATCAACTGGGTTATTGTCGTTCTTGCCATCATCACCAGGTTAGTGCATCGAGCCGAGTCATTTGGAATTCATGCTAATTCCAAGTTTAAAGTATTGTCTCTGCATATGCAGCTGCGATTTTCTACATTGAATTCCGCAAGTCTCGACAGCCAGTCTTGACAAGCGAAGTCATGATGAGTGACTCCATGGTACCTTTGGACCAGCATCGTGGAAGCTACAAGTCGGTTGATACCGTGTGAGGAGATGATTTCAATAGATTCAAGATTAAAGATGGGGTAAAACCCTACAGTAGAGTTTATCGTTGGGCGTTACGGGTTTGGCGATGGATGATTTTCATATAAAGTCTTGCAATGTTTGAGGAGTTAGACTAGAAGGATTCTCCTATATAAATTTTCTTCATTTGAGCTAAAGGCGGGGCGACCAAAGTTCCCTTTTTTTTTTTTAATATTCTTTTTCAGAATTAAAATGTACTTAGTTTTCATATTTGTAGCCAAGCTGTGGCGATTGTGTAAAGAGCTAATCAGTACATACATACCTATGTAATCAGCCCCAGCATGTGCGACGGTACTGACCCCGCGGGGCTGCCGACAATTGTAATGCAACTTGACATCTTTGTACAGAGTATGACAGTGGTATTATTGGTGACAGGCCACATTTGAATTGAAATTGCCATGTCAGCCTCAAGATATCGTATTGCTTCTATTGCCTTTTGCTCCTCAAAAGTACCAACTGCAGACGCTGAGACCAACGGTACTCGCACTGATCCCGGTCTGCCATCGTAATGACTAGCGGCGGGACTTGAGCTGGCCGCCGCCAAGCTTGTAGCGCTGGGCTAGAACATGGACTAGAAGTAGATATCCAAGGTGACTGCGCCCACTTCTACTTGAATGACATACAAACCCATCCCTGATTCTGATTCTCAAACCCTCTCTTTCGTTCCGAGATCTCGTCCAATACTCCGTACACGTTTCATCCAGCTGTCATTAACTCGCCTTTATCATTGTCATAATCTTTGGCCCTATTCTACTACCTCCGCTTTCAACTTGCAAAGTCCACCAAACACAGCAGAGTACCACAAAAGACGAGCAAGATCATCATCTCAGCGATTACTTGAAAGACTATTATGAAGCAAGTTGGTAACATGGATAAACCATCTCCCACAACTCCTGGGCCTGATCCACAGCAAAACGAAAACTGGATGGACTCACCCTTGATTCAACTCCAAAGACAATGGATGGCAACAAACTCGAAATACCAACTCGCGGCACTGGCGTTTGCAGTACTCACCGCCGCAATCACAATAGCGTTGTGGGCGGGTATTCCGAAACTACTTGATCCAGCTCTGACATTACCTCTTGTAAGCAGACACACATTCCCTTCAACAAGCCTATGTACAAGGCATGAATGGCATGCTAATTTGGACATCTCTAGGGAGTTGTCAGCATAATATGGAACGCGACCGACCTCATTCTCGTGCGCATGCGAGAAGACAAGATCAAATTGAAATGGCACATTGCAGCATATTGCATTCTCTGGTTTGGAGGATTCACTTCGGCCGGATATCAGAGTTACACTATTATTAAAGACCCCAACTCGGTCGTACAAGGAACAAGCTCGAGTTGGCGGGCAGTTCTCAACTTTCTGTGTGCGACCACAGCCATCATGTCGTGAGTTCTCCCACTCCATTTCCTGCTGTTCGCACTATATTCCTGTCGCATCATCATCCATAGCCATAAGCTAATCCGATATAGTCTACTTCATTTTATACTCTTCATCAGAGCATGCCTGGAAACAGATAGACGAAAGAAGGATCTCCGCGTGCGAGACCTCATGATTGCCTTGTCGGACCGTCAAGAGCAGCAGCGCATGCAGTCTTCCTGGTCCGCATTTACACCCTCGCCAGTGACACCCCATCCCGGTCTGCCCGATCTGCCCGAGTTTGACGACAAGGCTGCATTGGCTGAGCTTGGCGTCGCGGAACCCCAGGAGATTTATACAGAGCCAAAGCCGCGCATGCAGCCGGTCGAACTCCCCTAGCTATAATATTATAGAATAATCTGCATTTGAAATATTACCGATACACTCTGTTTTCAGTTTGCTCCAACATTGGTTGTCTGCTTTCTTACGTAGTCCCAGATCAAAGTGGTGTCAAAGAAAAAAAGGTACTGCCCAATTGACAACACTAGCGTGGCTACGGGCAAGTTAATCTCGGATGCTGTCGTGATTGGCGTATCGAGACTGGGCCCACATGGAACCCCTACACCTTACCTACGGCATTAATCGGCGTCTCCCTAATTCCGGTCCGTCACTCGTCTTGTGCGCATCGGTAGCTGCGCCCTCGGCGGGGTCCAGTGAACTCATGGTCGTTGTGTAGTGGCACACACTTGTAGTCCTTTGCGTCGTACGTGGGAAGGCGAAGGATCTGTTGCAGACTTAGGCACCTTCGTACGGTAAAGAACTAGTACAAGTCTTCTATCTGACTTCTTCAGACTCGATAGGATATAGCATAACAAGACTGCTACGCACTACCGTACGTACGCACGAACTGTTATCTCTTCACTCTTGCCAATCTGTGTTCACAAAGCCGGTGAACACTGATCAGTGTAGAATGGCTTCACCATCCGAATGGATTTCTCCTCGTACAACGGGTGACGGCAAATAGATCTATTATTCAACGTGACGTGCAAGGGAAGAGGGGAACTCCTCCGTTCGTACGATGCGCTATAAATAACGCCTTCAGGCGTCTGGCCGTTGGCGCCCGCTAGCCACAGCGTGGCTGTGGTAACTGGTTAGCCATATCTGTCTGTACTATCTACCTAGAAGCTATACTCGTACGATACCGCAAATGCAATTATTCCAAGCTGCAGCGGCCTTGCAATTTGTGATCGAGACGGGACGTCGGTACAACGTAGCACTGCGTACCACTTTGGGCGCGCCTTCTGCCGTTTGTGCCTCGCATGGATATTGATGGCTGAATTGATTCGATAGTGTTGATTGCAGATGGTAATAATGCTTTCGACAAACGTGATCATGGCTGGTAAACAAGGTGGCTGGCTGGGTTTCGTGGGCTGGATAATTATTGTTGCATCGTCTCTACACTACCCAGCCTGAGCTGGGTGTGAAGCTCCCACTTTTGCGCCAATGGCTCAGTGGGACATTGCGACAATCATTTCCTGGCCTTTTGTTGCTTCGTCGTAGATTTTGACCCTGCAGCGGTCGGCCCATCTTCAATGCGTGGTAGTCCCTGACGTTGTAGCCTTGCCAGGAATTTTTCGTTGCGCATTTCGTCTTGCTGTATGCCAAACACGGCCTCGTATAAGGGCGCTATGTCATGCGGGCCGCATGGTCGTGCATCGCCGCTTGCCTTGCGCTTGTCTAGAAAGCGAGCCATTCTGGTATGAATGGCTGTCTCCACGGTTGCTGGGTGGGAGATGCCGGTTGCGGCTTTGTATCGGCTGGGTTCATCGTCTTGTTCGCCGTTGTCGCCGTATTCGTTGTCTTCTATCGACGGGATTTCATGGTCGATGACAGCGTTTTTAACACATGTAACTTCCTCGGGTGTGAAGTATGGGCCGCTGATGTACAGGGCATCCGTCGTTGCTAGAGTTCTTTGCTCTGAGGCGCGGTCCTTTGACATGCTGCGAAGATCGTGAAGTAGGACGCGAATCTTATAGCCCAAGAAGGGATTGTTTCCTAAAGCTGAGGTAGTTTGAGGTGAAGATGCTGCAGATGAGGCAGCCATTGGCTTAGGTCCGCGATTCTTTGATTTGGCCATTTTGATGACAATTGAAAATTGCCCAGATGTGAGTTCAGATTGTATGCGTTGGAGCTTACTGGATGGGAGGTAGAGGTTTGGGGTTGATATATGTGATGGTTTCCACTGAGAAAGAACAAGGCTTGGGTGAAATTTTGGTGTGAAGGAAGGTAGAGGCAGCAGAGTCCCGTGTTAGGCCACTTCTTTCTTATTTACATGTTTGTATGTCAACACAAACGGCGTACTCAAACCTTATGCCCTGGCTTGTGAGTCACTCGATCATGGCGCCGAAAAGGTGCTGTTAGAATTAATTGTTCAAAACGTTATTTCAACTTGATCGGTCCGAGTCGCCAATCGGACTACCGGCCGTGTTCATCAGGGACTTCAGCGAGACAGCGGAGAAAAGAAGGTTTTCAGGGAAAAGGTGATGATGATAGAAGGTTACGGAGTACTTAGGTGCAGATTCGTAGGAAGGCAATTAGCAATAGGGAAAACTGGGAAACTCCCGTTGATGAACGATGGTTTTATTGTGATTACGGATTGAGGAAAGTCATCAAAGCTAGGCCATCTACCACAATTGTTCATCACACATTTCCGTTTTTCAGTCGTGCCTGGATCATGCCTTCCTGGCACAGCCCTAACCAGACTCCCAAACCTTGGGGAAACTACCTTTGTAAAGATATATACCATTACAGCCACGGAAGGTGTAATGTGATCAAGCCGTAAAGGGTAAAGAAAGATAATGTTAGATTGGCCAGATATAACGACGGGCTGGGACCAAGCTCAAGATTCAAATCAATTCAGCCTCGTCGCTCATGATGCGGACTGGGAAATAAGCCGGGCTACACCGCCCCTGATTACATACAGCCTTTCGCATGTTACGCGTTGCCGGGCGCGACTCAACGACGCGATAATGCCCGATACGCGTAGAGCAACGAGCATAACCTCAATGATTGGTTGGCGGTAAATCCTCGCCTGATATGTGCCTGGCCCATGCACTCCCAGAGCATCCCCATACCTTCTTTGTGATGGGGTCACGGGTCATCCTGTAAAGAAAGTCTGCAGATTGACGTGTCCAACCCCGCTGTCTTTGCCATGAGTCGGACCGGGAATAACCGCCTTAAAGGCTGCGGCTACCTAATAATCCAATCCTATATGACTTCTATTTTAACTCGCGACTGTGGCATTCCCGAGTCAGGCGTCACTTCCCAGGGCGAAATTACGTCGTCGAATTTTGATCCCTCGCAATCCTGGCCTTTTCCACTCTGTATTCGTGCTGCCCGATCCCGTGCAAGTTCGTAGTGGCGCCGTTTTCTTTCTACACGATGTGTTCCGTGCGCGAAACTTTTCGTAATTTAGTTCATCAGCCTTTAGGCTATCACGATATTCCTGCTGGCAGTAGCTGGAGTGTGTTAGCAGCTACTGAGGGTGGAAAATTTCCGATTACGTGTATATATATACTGACCTGTGACACCGAAGTCGACTTTGCCACCTCCTGGCTCCGCCTCTCCTTTTTTTTCCCCCACAAGCACCACGAAGAGAAGCATCGTGATGGGTAAGTATCGTGATATTTAAGTCTCGTGATGGTAAGTACTGTCTAAGCCCTGTCATTAAGCATCGAACCAGTGAGTATTGCAGCGGTGAAACAGCTTTATGCAATCCATAGTACTGGACTTAGTAGTGGTGTGATACGTAGACTGGCGATGATCAGGTTGGCAACAATGCCCAGTACTGGGTTATGTAGCACAGTGGTAAGCAGACTGATATAGAGCAGATGGGTACAGAGCAGATTGGTACAATGAAGACTTAGCATAGCGGCAGTGTGATAGGACTGTGACTAAAGAAGACATTGCCCAAGGGTGTCGCTGCAGTGGAAGATCGATAAGAATGCGGCCCAGCTCACGTGCATGTATGAGAGTGTAGAACTTGAAAATGATTGAAGTCGCACAATACCATGGGAAATCAGTGACACCGGAAGGATGCACCAGAGGCTGGCAAATGACGGAACATTTCTTTAGAATGATTATTTTTTGCATGAATTCGGATTTGTTGCTCCGCACCCGGGACGGCCAGCACGAATCAACCACCTTCAGAAATTGCTCAAAATACATTGTAAACGCCTTTGATATGATACTCCAATGCTCCGAACGAAGATTTGTATGCATGAATATTCAATCGGTCGTTCATAGCTCAAGCTCGTGTCAGACATTGTGGGTCTTGGCACCGAAGCTGGTTCGTCGAGCAGAGTATTCGGGTTCGAGGTGGAATTGCCAGGCTAATAAGTGTAAGATTCGAAATAATAAACCTCGATACATCAAAGGCCCAACGTATCAAACCTTCAGAGCCAATCCTTTTCCCGAAGTTACGGATCGCGAATACTGTGTGGTGGTTATTATGCGATTCGCTAAGATGCACCAGTAAGCATACGGAAATCAGGCCGTTCCAGCACTCTTACCGGGCTTCTACACAATTTTAGTGTAAGCTCCACGCTTCTTGACTGTACATATCATAGGACGTAAGGGGGGCAAATGAATGATAGATTCTCTGAAGCATTCAAATGACACAGACAATGAGCGGCCATATCGGGACTCTGATATTTCGCCAAATTATTGGTCATTACCGGAGGCTTCGACCTTAAGAGGAATCGAAGAATCATAATGTTCTCTAGGTGGTGCATTAGACGGTACATGCCTACTTATGGCTATAAAGGCTCTTATGCTTGGCATAAGTTAGTTGTCTTCTATATTTGTCCTTCCTCTATCGGCATTACAAATGCGAACGTTAACCGAGGACACCCTCTGTACAAACAACCAGTCTGAATGAACCTAAAACTTGAGTCAAATATAAATCTTAGAGCGATGTTGACACATCTCAACGGCACTCTGGATGCATTTAGACAGGCAGACGGATCGAAAATTGACTCGTCGATATTCTTTGCGAGTATGAAGCGAACATTCGAGAATGTACCATGGTAATTGATGGCATTACGCTTGTGTCTCAAATGGTGAGCAGCCTCGTCTTTAAGGTGAACTTTACTAATAGATCCGGTTGTGGAATTAAATTGGGTACCAGGATACCCAAGTTAATCTAAGAACTGCTTCGGATACAAGACAAAATTCGGGCAAATCAGCTCTATTGCTGTACTCACCATAATATTCTTGCCTGTAACATTCGTATCGGTAAGTATGGGCCTCCAAAATGAAATTGTCAGGATCTGATCAATAATAAAGTTACTATTCTCCATGTCCTTTTTTATATAAATCTCCAATAGGAGGCGAAAATGTTTCATCGCCTTACATTTGGCTCTAACCTGCCATCATAATCAGCATAACGCCTGTAGTAATACTCTCCTGGTGTATGTTCAGCAGGAGAATGAAGGAAAACCTAAGCGAGAAGTTGCCAGTATAGCAATCTGTCCAGATCGGGGTGGGAAAGAAATCATTTGAAAATTAGGGACGTCAGTTTAGATAGTCTATTTCTTGAGGGGAATACTTTGCAAAGTTGAGCGAATTGTGCGCTGCATATTTGTGACATATGCCCAATTAGGGATCACAAGGGATTTCTATTTACTTTAATCTTTACCAATGAAGAATATTGGATGTGAAAAAAAAGGATTCCAAGCACGGCTATTTGGCGGGAAGATGATGACAGTGGCAGGAACTTTGGCAAATATTCTAGATATGATCAAATAGAGGCTTCCACTGTCGACCGTGTAAGACATAACCGTAAATATACTCTATGCGTAATTCGATAATAGACTTGCTACAATAACAATTCACTCGTTAATGATTGTCAGGTCTGCCGGCGCTCCAAATTCCTGGATCTATACCAAGACGGGTGACCTTGGCAAATACTCTGGTGTACAAGCGCTCATGCCTGACCTCAATGTGGGCATGAATATCTTGGCAGCAGGAGTGCATTCAGGTCCCCAGGCGCGGGTTACGGCAGATATCTTGGCCAACAACTTTATTCCTACATTCTGGGCCCAGGCCAAAGACGAGACCGAATCTACCTACGCTGGTACATACACGGATCAAGACAAGAATTCAACTATTGGTGTTGCGACTGCAGATGACGCCCCTGGTCTTGTAGTCCAACAGTTCATTCTAGGCGGCCAGGACGTGCTGGCAGCCATGGAGCAATTGCTCAAGTCCAAATTTACCCTCCGCCTCTATCACATGGGACTCAGCATTCCAAGTTCTAACGGCACCAGCACGGAATCCTGGCGCGCCATCTTTGAAACACCGGCCTCCTTGTCTTTCCGAGTCAACAAGTTGTATCTCCTGGTTCTTGCTCAACCAATTCGTGTATGGCGGTGTCGGCCTTGATGAGTTCTTGTTTACCATGGGTCCTGGTAGGGAGAATGCTTTGGCCATCGAATCACGAATTGCCGGTGTAGGCTCTGCAAAGGGCAAGTCGACAGATTCTCAAGTAATAAGGCTCGCCAAGCGGACAGGTTGACATCTCCGAAATCAAGACAGACCATGAAATCTCGCCGACATTGGCGCCAGCTATTCTAATTGTTTAGTGGGTATCTCGTGTACTCGTGCCTATCGTTTCATAAATGTGTCTCTCCGTAATCGCTGAGATTGGTGAAAAGTCTCATGATATCATGTTGCGTGCAATATAGATCGCACGCAACATACCCTATTCCAGAATACGCCATGTGCAACATGTTATAGTGTCTTGCACGCTTTTCAACCAACCACCTACCCAGACCATTTGAATATGAATATACATGTGTATGCGCCGTACTAGACTTCCCGAGCCTGCTTTTCCACTCGATTCGCAATCGAAAATCAATGCATTCTGTTGCAATGCATCTCCTTGGTTGAGCCTCCGAAGCTCATACCCCCTAGTGGCTCCTATACATCTTGTGGAGTCCGCGCTTGGTCAAACGTGGCACACACCACGTTGAGATATTTGGCGCTGTTGTCAACTTGCGCCTTGCATTGCCGGCCGGTGGTATCGCGAGCTGCTGTATTCATCTTACCGCCCCATTCGACTTGGTGGAGCGGGAACAGTTTCGAGCGGTTCTCGGAAGTTCTTGCCTTAAGTCTTGGTTCCCAACCCCTTATCATCGAGAAGCTCTGTGAGCTGATTCAAGCGCACAGGTTTTGGCAAGAAGAAATCTACACCACTGCCAAAAGCTTCTTGCTGTACTTTTCCGGATGCCATTCCAGTCAGAGCAACAATCAGTGAGCGCGGTAGCTTTTCCGAGAGCTCGAATTCCCGAATGCGCCTTGTCGCCTCCAAGCCGTCCATGACCGGCATGGATATATCTGAAATTTGTTAGAAAAAGATATTCCGACATGAGAGACCGAGAAGAGGAACATACCCATCAGAATGCAACGGAAATGGCCCGGAGAGGCAGAATAAGTTTGTAGTGCTTCTAGCCCGTTGCTTGCGCTCTCGTACGATCGTTTCATCTTCTTCATAAAGGCCGAGAGGATCTGCTGCTTCGTTAAAAAGACGTCGTTGGACCAGGAGTGGGGCTTCTACCTTCAAGTTGATTTTATTGTCATCAACAAGCAAGAATTCCGTACCCTGCTCGTATCCTGAGCCCAAGGATGTCTCACTACCTTCGCCAGTATTTTGTGTTGTTACAGGCCGTATTTCATCGACATGGTCCACTTCGTCAATAGTCTGCTCGGCCACAGCCTTGGTCAGGGATTCAAGGGACAAGGTCGGATCAACATGAGAGTCACCCACCCTATGAGTTTGTTGATCTATGGGGCTGCTGCCGGGATCGATCGTGAGGGGCCGTGAATGAAGCATCGCCAATACATCTGCGGTCCCTTCCGGAGAGGCTGAGAAGACTTTCCAACGTTCCATGACCAACAACAGTGCCTTGGAGAGCTTGTGGGGGCCAATACTATTAATCATTAGTCACATGAATGTACACCAAAGAAAATAACTCCACCTACGGCTGCGAAATAAACTCGAAAAAGTCACTTCGTCTCCTATTCCGACTCTTGTCCAATTGGGCGCGTGCGATGCTTCCATTTTGACACACTACCACAATGGGAGGCAAAACTCCAGACGGGCCTCGGGTGAGTTGGTCAAAGTATTGGTCGTTGCATATAATGCAGTCTGGTCGGATTTCCTCGGAATCTTCAGGAATAATTTCCAGATCAAGCCAGGTTCTGCACAAGTTCGCTAGTAGTTCAGCCTCTATAGGGGCGGGGTGATTTGGAAGACCATCCGTGTTTGTACTGGTTTTGAAGCCACGAAGACTGACCCTCAAGCCCTTTAGAGAGTCAACGTCGGTTCCTGAGCTACCGGAAGTTTCGGACGCCATTTGCGCTTGTGCTAGAGGTAGAATGACCTCCATCTTCGTTCCGCGCCCCAGCTGGCTTTCCACTGTGATGGTGCCATTCAGGAGGGTAATGATTTGGTGTATAAGGCTTAGGCCCAGACCTGTCCCTGGTTGCAAATTGTCCTCTTGGCTGAAGGGAGTGAAGATCTTGTCGCGTAGAAAGTCTGGGTCGATACCCTTACCCGAATCAGTGACGGTGAGTTTCAGGTTTGTCTGCTTGTAATTTCGCCTGAGCGGCACTTTGATCAACGTCAATTGGACCAAAATATAGCCGCTGTTTGTGTATTTCATGGAATTGCCAAGAATGTTCATCATAATGCGCCTGAGTCCGCCCGCTTGAACGTGACGTGTCCATGTGACATTTGCATCAATGTCGAGATATACAGCCACGGAACCGTTGGATATGCGGTGTGAATCTTGATTGTTCTGGTAGGCAAACGAACTCTGGTCGTACAAGGACCCTGGCGCAAGTGCCTGGTCAGCCTGCGCTCCGCGAGAACGGCCATAACTGAATCCAGAATAAACGCTCTCAATAGTCTCCTCTACCAGAAGACTGACGTCAACATCTGTTGCTAGTGGTGCCATCTGGGACTCGAAAGACTGTTGTTGCTTCTTCAGGGTCTTGTCAGTATTCTTAGATGCTCGTTTGGGAGACTGCGTCGATTTGGTCGGTTTCGTCGAGTTGACGAACCTGTTCATCTTGCTGTAGTCGAGAAGATGTTCGATGACGTCCAACAAAGTTCGACCACAGGATTCCATCGAGTGCAGTGTGTCTCCTTGAAAAGCATCGAGCTCGGTGTCCTGAATCAGTTCGATACCTGCTAATACGCCATGCAGGGGAGATCTCAGTTCATGGCTAAGAGAGCCTAGTAAATCTGACTTCATTTTCTCGGAATGCGCAGCCTCGATACGATTGATTTCAGCCATTATAGTCGACCCGAACGCCCTCAGATAGCTGACTTCCTTTTCGACTGAGAAAATTCGATCCGGGCTTCTCGTCCACACAAAGGCACTCGCATGCCATCTCTCTCGCGTAGAGTCCCATAGTGGAACCATTGCGACGCTACGAGCCCCATTGAGTATGGACGTGAGCATGGCGCTCTCTGAGTGTCGGGACTGCGTGACTTTGCGTTTGCGCTCCTGCAAGGGCACCTGGACGTGACCAGAAGTTGGGCCCGAAGCACGAAGCCGGTCCTCCTCTGAGTCACCGGATACAAGCTCTCCAACACCATCAAAAGTAAACGTCTTGCCAGCAGGATATCGTCGAAGGAGGGCACGTAAGAACCTTTGGGGGACGTTAATTGAGGAGCTGCCATGGAGCTTTCCATCAATACTTGATGCATCGGTTGTCGAAAAACCAACAATGCGGCAATATTTCTGCTCTGGATCTTCCTTCTCTTCGCGTCCCTCGCTTCCAGACGTATCGGGCTGCGACTCCGAACTGGTTGTTTCACTGTCGGAATTGCTTGCTACTAGACCCCCAAAGGTACCAATCGTGGCATCTAAAAAGGCAACACCTTCCACCTCAATTGATTCTCGGATGATATTGGCCGCCTTTCCAAATACTTCCCTTAGCTCCTTTGTGTGTAGTTCGTCACCAAAAGATTTGGCAGCGCCGCTTGTAACTGACGCGTTTGAGTGGAGAGTAAATCTAGTTGATTTGGAAGCCTTGTCTGTCACAGAGCGAGAGTCTTGGCCACTAGAAACAACTCCGTTGGGATCGCTCACCGTCAGTGAAGATAACGGCGCGGGTGATGACTCGTTCTCGCTCCTCTCATGCGCTGCTGCTGCCAATGACGACCGGGGGCTGCGATGGGGTGCCACATCAGCCCCATGGTAAAGATTACGGGACGACTCAAAGGCGCTTTCTTGCATGGCCAGGTCCCGGTCAGTGTCCGCCTGTTGCAAAAACTGTTGATTCTTGTTGAGCTTTCCCTCCGTACCGCTCTGTTCAAACGCTGCTGCATTGGTGCCTCGCCAGAGGTTCGACAAGGTCGATTTGCCCTCAACAAAACTGCCGATTCCTCGAACCATTCGGTCACTCCTCCCAGCACTCTCGGCAGAGCGGCGCAGCTCTAGGTGGCTCATAACGGCGCGAGACATTACTTGCATAAATTCGATGTCCGGCGTGGAGAGGCCATCTCGTGGTTTGTCATCAAAGATGGCATATGCGCCAATACATATGCCCCTGGCGGTCCGCAGGGCCGAACCGGCGTAGAAGCGGTTGTGCGGCGCACTCAATACATGATCTTTGGCCAGATAGCGTGTGTCTTGGGTCATGTCGGGTACGACAGACACGGGCAGCGGTGTTGATAAGAGTTTCGATTCGTCCGTCGAAGGGTTGTTGGCAGCGGTCAAGAGATGGTCGCAACCGGTATAGGACCGGGTAACCGCAGCGCATCCCAGCCAAAAGTGCTCGGGCTGGCTGGTATTGGTTGCAAGGCTGGACGAGGGTGTGGCTTCCGCAATAACGTACTGGTAGTCCTGGTCGAAGATGGAGATTAAGCAGCGGGCGGCGCCAAGCCTCAGCGCGCCAATCTGGGCAAAGGCATTGAGTCCGGCATCGAAAGAGGATAGAGAAGTTCCTGGTTTCGATCGCTCTGAGCTCTCCTTGATGTGGCAGCTTTGTAGGGTCAAATCGTCAGCTCCCGAGGTGACTGCAGTCTCTGTGAACTACACTTGAGTGGCACGTACAAAACCGTCGCGTATTTGAGGGCTTCCCTCTCGCGAGCCGCCTCCGATAATGTCTTGGCCATGGTGTGTGCAGAGCGCCGGCCGCGCGTCGATATGCACGTGTTGTGTGTTGTTCTTACGAGCACAGGTGGAGTGAGGCCATCTAGAGGTCCCAGTGAGGCATCATGGGAATTTTGAATTGTCGATATCTAGGTACCTTGGATTCCCCATGTGAATGAAAGCATGTTCGAGCGGCGGTCTGGCCAGGTCTTGCGCTAACAGGCGGGGCTGGCTGGGCTTGGCGGAGCGCAATCGAGATCTAACCTGTCGCAGGGGTAAGCTTCATGTCATGTCCATGTAAATGGTAGGTCCACGGGTATGTCTTTTCTCTTTTCTTTCCTTTTTTTTTTTTGGGGGGGGGGGCTCTCGCTCCCCTGCAGGAGTTCGCAGAATATAGATCACGAGAAAAACTCTCACCTGAGCCAATGTGAAAGGGAAGATGTCTTAGTTGATCCTACAGATCAACAAAAGAGGGTTGCTAAATCAGAAGATCTCATAGTATCCATAGACCCGAGCAGGCACCGGCTGATCTGTGGGTACAGAGTACTGACTACCTACATAGTACCAAACCGCGCGCAGACCAATTGACCGGAAAAACCCCCTGCTTCGAATTCGGTACCTGCCCCGTAGTGCTCTTTTGCCCATCATAGTACCTTAACGTGTTGAACAGTCGGGTAGCTGCGGGGTACCTAGGCAGGGGGTATGTGCATATATATTGCTGTAACTTGTTGATCTGTACAGAATCGCTACCAGTAGAATATTTCCTGGCACTCCAGATGCAAGGTTTTCGCCAGCTGTGTCAGCCGGTACTTGCCCGTAGTGCCGTAACTCAACACTACGTCAATGCAACAGAAACAGAATAAAAAAGGTCCGAGACTCTTTAATTCCATGAATGATAACCGACCACCCGTCAAAAATGAAGAGTTGATATTTATAAATTTTGTATAGGCCATATGCGTGATAAGACAGTCGGATCTAGCAATTCTTTGCATTTTTATACTTGCTTGAGTTATATTCCAACACTGTGGTAAGCTATGATGAGTTTAATCTACAGCGTAAAAAGATTGACATCCTCTCCAGTTTCCCTAAGCTTCTTGTTTGCTTTCCTCAACAATATCTTCATAATGATACACGTAGCAATGGACACCCCCGAAGAGACAGCCATCAAGATATTGGCCATGACGTAACGGGGACCATCCGAAGAAGGGAAGAAATAGGGACTCCAAATATTTCCCAACTGACTCAAGAGGTTGATAATGGCCGTCGCACACGCACGCTTCTCCGGCGTCTGGTTCAGCGTGGAGCTGGCCCAGCTGAACACCATGGCATTGGAGGAAAAGCAGCCACAGATGTACAAAAACGCAACCGCGTACCGGGCCACATTATTGGTGGTGGCTAGCGTCACGATGAATCCGATGCACGCCACGCCTTGCGGGATGGAGATGTGGTATCCTCGCTCCTTGCGGCGGTCGCTGGACCATGCCGTCAAAAAGGCAACAATGGTGCCTACGAGATAGGGGGGCGCCGTCAGCAACAGCGTGGTGGTGTTGTCTCCCAGCTTCATGCTCTTGACTAGTGTAGGGAAGAAGTTGTTGAAGCCATAGGCGCTGTGGTTGGCTGTCAACATGATGGACTGTGTCACTTATTAGTTTCGGTACCAGTCGACCAGGTATCTGCTCAGCAACACTCACAAAGATCCAAGTGCGAATGTCCTTGACAGCCAGCGTGAGACCCCTCCAGACACTCGAGTCCTCGGTCGGGAGCGATACACGATCTCTAGCAATCCTCTCCACCGCGACCTTCTGCTCCTCTTCCGTCAAGAGCCACCGCACTACTCCCGACTTCATTCCAGGAAAGTCGGGAAGCAGAAACATGCCAATCATGGCGGCCCCAAAACTTCCTGCACCCTCAATGATGAATAGCCACCTCCAGCCGGAAATACCATGTGCTCCTTCCAGGTTGGACAAGACCCCTGCGGCAATGAGACCTGAGAAGGCCGTTGCCAGAAGCACGCCCGAGTATAGAAATGCTGTCCTCAGAGCCAACTCCTTTCGTGGGTACCAGCAGCTGAGCATGTACATGGCGCCCGGGAAGAAGGGAGCCTCGGCGATACCCAAGAAGAAACGAATTGCAATGAGATCTTGATAATTCCTAGCAGCGGCACTAGAAGCGGATATGACGGACCATAGAGCTACGCAGGCCGGGAGATAAATGGAGGGTCTTGTTCGAGTTATCAACATGTTACTATAGTCGACTGTTAGCTCTTTTCCCTTCTTTTCGTGTAAAGGACTATAATTTCAAAGCACCTTGGCAATTGCATGAGCATATAACCAACGTTGAGAATGGAAACCGCGACATTAAATTGGCTACCAACGAGCCCAAGGTCCTTCTCAAACGTGCTCAGCCTAGCCTGTCTGATAGATAGTCAATACATGATGCATCAGCCGAATACTGTCCTCGAAGAACTTACGCAATATTGTTACGGTCAAGGTAGTTGAATAGATAAAACACCCATAGGATAGGGACAAGAGTGAGATCGAGCTTCCGCACAAGTCTCTTCTCTGCTGCTTCCCATTCTTCGTCTGAAAGACCGCAATTGTCTTCTTTCGTGGTGATGTCTGGCACATCAGACCCCTTACGCTCAATGTGGTTTGACGTCTCTCGCTCCGTCATCTTCTCGTCGAGCTGTGCCATGTTGATAATGATGACTCAACTAAATCTAAGTTAAAGTAGATCACAATCTGAAATCAAGTACGAGGTGATCTTGAAGATTGGAAATTGAATGACTAAAATGGCGACTTGATGATCCTTAAATGCAACCATATGGATCAAGTCACTTGGCAACTTGGCAACCCCATGGGGAGAGATAATCGTGCCACTTTGATTGACGCTAGCAGTGGAACGGCCCAGGCTGTTGGAGCAGTGTCATCTTGGCGAAAGGTCAGCATGTCATGATAACGGACAAGCCCGTTGGTGAGGAGCCATGAGGTTGATAGCGGCTGGTGAGAAGTGGAAAAGGATAGATGCTTGTCACTTGTGGGGAATAATGGATTGCTCCGCGAGCCAACAGAAATCAGGGGCGCGGAGCGTTCCTTGCCAGAAAGGCGTCCACGACTCAGGGCCATCACATTTGCTCACGCTTGCTTAGTGCCTCCCCAGAAACCCACACAGGTGTCGTTGAATACCTGCCTCGTGTAGTATATTTTACAGGCTACTTGTGGGGAGCCTTGCGTAGAAGGTCATGTTTGTTTAATACCCCGGGATCCAATAATTCAGGTGGGCATTGGAGACGATGGATTCCCACGGAACAGTCGCGAGCTTCAAGTTGGTACGAGGGTCGCATATTGAATGAAGAAAACGGAGGCAAGGAATGAAAACGGAAGCCGCAACAACAAATCAAGTAGTAGTAATCGTGTGTATGTCATTGGCATGCACTGTGGGAACCTTAATAAACATAGGGATTCTACATATACTGTATAACTGCCTCGACCGAGGTAATTCGTCCAAGGTCATTTGGACGTTATACAAATTTCGTGAAACTTGTCGATAATTGCTCGCAGAGTTTAAATCAATATGATTTCATTGACAATATCCTTGTACTAGGATTGAGACAACATTAACTGTTTTACATGATTGAGGGCCCCGCCAGCTCTGAGCCAGAGAATCTGGTGCGCATGATACGAGTGATTGAGCATCGCCGTCCATTTCGTGCCTTTTGCAGTTCTTACTTCCATGGTGACTTGCTTTCCCGGTTGCATCTCACCATCTTGGGCACCAAGTAAAGTAATCGAGTCGCCTGGACTTATACGGTCGTAGTCTGCTGGGTCGGCAAATGTGAGTGGAAGCATACCATGTTTCTTGAGATTCGTTTCGTGGATTCTCGCAAAGCTCTTTGCAATGACTGAGACACCTCCAAGAAATCGAGGCTCGAGAGCTGCGTGCTCCCGACTGCTTCCTTCGCCGTAATTGTCATCACCGATGATGCACCATTTGATGCCATCTTTTTGCAAGTTCTTGGCCACCTGGGGAATCGGCTGCACCGTTTCATCTTTAGGATTCATTGTCTTGCCAATCATGTTGAGGGATCGGGAGTCTGGCAGGAAAGCATTGACTGCTCCTAGGAGTAGATTATTGCTGATATTCTCCAAGTGACCCCTGTAATTGTACCATGGTCCAGCGGGAGAAATATGGTCAGTGGTACATTTTCCAGAGACCTTGACCAAGATATGCATGTCCTTTGCATTTTCATCCCTCCAAGGCGCAAATGGCTGGAGGAGCTGTAGCCTCTGGCTATTTGGACTGATGGCAACCTGCAGAGATGATGTATCGCTGAGAACTGGAGCCTGGAATTTATTCGATCCCGGAGAAAATGCTGTAGGCAATTCTTCAGCTTTGGGTGCCGAGAACTTGAAGGACTTTGAGGAACCAGTCTTATCACTGAATATGATATCGTCGGTAGCGGGGTTGAATTTGAGGTCGCCAGAGAAGGCAAATGCGGTAGATAATTCTGGAGAGGTCACAAAGGAATGGGTTGCGGGATTGCTGTCATGGCGCCCCGTAAAATTGCGGTTGAAACTTGAAATGACCGAATTTGCCTCTGCGCCAGCGACGTCAACATCCTTTCGATCCCATTGACCGACACATGGGCCGCAAGAATTGCTAAGAACCGTCGCACCAGCTTGTCTCAAAGTTTCCAGGATACCGGCGTCTTCGGCTGTCGCTCGGATCTGTTCGCTTCCAGGGCTGACTAGAAACGGTGTTTGAAAGGTAGTCATGCCAGCCTCCTTTGCTTGGGTCACGAGGTCGCGCACCTTGGTCAAGTCCTCGTAGGAACTGTTTGTACAGCTCCCAACCATACTGTGACTGATTTTAGAGGGCCATGAGCTTTCAGAGACGCGCTGCTTGAATTGTGATAGCGGATGTGAGAGGTCTGGAGTAAAGGGTCCATTGATGTGTGGTTCAAGTGTGTCGAGATCGATTTCAATGACCTCGTCATAAAATGATTCACTTCCCGGATCAGCGGTCAGCAGCGGTTCTTTGAATACCTGGGCATGTTTGGCGACCTCCTTCCTTTTGGTCGCCGACAGATAGCGTGCCATTGCCTCTGAAAAAGGGAATATGCAAGATGTTGACCCAACTTCTGCAGACATATTGCAGACTGTAGCCATTGCTGTCGTGCCGAGTGTTTCTGTTCCGGGGCCAAAGAATTCAATGATCTTGCCTTTTCCCCCGGAAACGGTCAGAATGCCTGCCAGGTGGCAGATGATGTCCTTGGACGAGGTCCAGCCGGATAGGCGCCCAGTCAGACGCACGCCGACAACTTTGGGACACATCAGCTCCCAAGGCATTCCAGTCATGGCGTCTACGGCATCTGAGCCACCTACGCCAATCGCAAGCATTCCCATACCTCCGGCGTTCGGTGAATGGGAGTCGGTTCCAATAAGAAGTCCTCCAGGAAAAGCATAGTTCTCCAGGATTGTAGTGTGTATAATACCAGCGCCAGCCTTCCAGTAGCCAATACCATATTTCTTGGACGCACTACTGAGAAATTCGTACACTTCTTTGTGGTCGCTTGCAGCCCGAGCCAGATCCTCTTCAGCCCCATACTCAGCTACAATCAGATGATCGCTGTGTATTGACGTTGGAACTTGAACTCGAGGAAGTCCCGTGCTGATGAACTGTAACATGGCCATGGTGGCCGTCGCATCGTGGCAGGCGACGCGATCTGGTCTCAGCTCAAGTATAGTCTTGCCTCTTTTGATCTCGTCGAGTGCCCATTCCTTTCGTTGTAATATTAAATGGCTGAAGAGAAGCTTCTCGGATAATGTCAAAGGTCGTGTGCTGGTCTTGCGGACATGATTCAGGGTTTCACAGCGTTCTGTATAGTTGAGTATATTGTACTGTGCGCTGGATCAGCTGACGTGTCGCCAAATGTGTATAAGCAGTTTTGGAAACTTACTGGCTCCAAGGGACTTATTGCAGCTGTCCCATTGGTGGTCGCATACTGGCGTCCTCGCGATAGTTGTTGAGTCCGCTGCAATAGCGGGCGCACATCACGGAGGTAGTTCCGTGCAACCAAGGACGACATGATCGTCTACTTGGATATGTGACGAGTTGAATGGAAACGCCCAAATTATCAAATGGCACATCAGAGAGTAAAGATGTGTTGGTTGCATGTTCAAAAAATAAGAATGCATTTTGATGCCTGCGCTGAATATTCAATGCTGTGTCATTTTCCAGGCGCCTATTCAGGTTGTGGCGCGCGACAGGCAGGATAGCTCCGTTCATCAACGGAGCGCTCCGCGTGCGTGTGGGTCTGTGGTATTATACTTCCCTCCGGTGTATGTGGGTACTGCACCAGTAGAAAGAGGGAGCCCCGAGTCGCCTACTAACCAATCCGGATGAGCCCAAATCAAATGCCGTAGGATTCTACCCACAAATCACTCCTGGTTATGAGCATTTGCAAACGCTTGAATCAGCTCATGTGAAGTGAGGGCCCCACCATGTTGGCCACTTTTATGCTGGTTCTCGCTCGCCGAGGCACTTCTGTAAGAAAATATGGAGCTCGTCCGGGCAATGAGCGGGTGTGCAGTCATTCAAATTTGCGGAAAGAAAATATCTGGCGGATTTGATGAATCTCCAATCTCATTCAACGGCAAGTTCCACGCAAGATCTGACCTGTCGAATCCGGCCAGAAATTCTTCAATCTCTGGTGCATAATCAAAAGATGGAGCAGAACGAGTGGTCAGATCCGAAAGCATGTTTGGCCAATCTTCTTCCTGCTGCCGTTGTGATGATTCAATACCCTGTTCGGTAACGAGGTTTGGTTCGAACGACCCAGGAGCCATGCTGCTTTGCAATCTTGTGAGGCTATCCGCAGCTTGGAGCTCATGATTGATATCGAAGACTGTGTGGGTGCCGTTTTGGGGAGCGGATACACGCATCTGTTTTGACGAGACACCTTCGGTATAGAGCTTCTGAATCGTGAGGTCGGAAATGGCCCCAAAGCTATTGTAACCTCTCTTCGCAGAGGGCCACCACTCGCCTCCTATGCTGAGAAGGGTTGAACAACTTCGCAGAGTTCTCGAAACTTCGACAACTGATGCACGACGTCTTACATCTATGGATGTCCAAAATGAATAAATCATTGTCGCTCCTGCGGCGAATATGTTCTGCACTGTTCTCCAACCATGATAGAGGCCGTGATGATCGTGCAAAGTCTGATAGTCATGTAGAGTCTGACAAGCATTGTCAAAACAGATCTGCAGGGATGTGTCGGACGGCTTCCTAATCATCTGTGAAGGTTGAAACAAAAGGATCATTGTCGTTTGGAATCGTATCTTGAGTTTCAAGTACCATATCTCTTGCTGTCTCTTGTCCAGGGTATTTGCATCAAGATGGAGATGCGAGCTTCTGGTCCACCACTCAAGCAGTCTTTGGTGAAGCTTTTGTTGTTGTGCAACAGGATCCCTTGCCCAAGGAAACCCAATGTGCTTATTTGGCAGGTGATAAAGATGCAATTTGATATCGGAGACAATTTGATCCAGTTCAAACTGAGCGGCTGCATAACAGGTAACAGCCTTGACAAAAGTGTCCGGGATCAAGTTCAGTCCATGCATTGGGGTCAGCGTTACAGATGGTATTTTTATATCAAAGGTCTCGTCACGAAAGCCAAGTGGCCGTCCTTGGATAGAGGAGATAGATCTTCCAAGACATTAGCAAACAGTCCAAAGAAGGCTCAGGCGATATGTATAAGAAGAAACGTAAAATGACGCACCTATCCAAGGAGTACAAGGTATAGAATATGAAACGCATGACTTGTTGGTACGCCACATCTTGCGTTTCTGTAGACGGATGCTCACGGTGCAGCCCAAGCTCTATACAATGAGCCACACCAAGGTGTGTTAGTGTCCAGGCATTTATGGCGCTTGGAGTGAGTACACCATGAATTACAATGGTAACCAGTGCCTGAATAGTGTCTGGTGTGGTCCTCATAAAGCAATCTTTTGAGAAATGCAGAGCCGCTTGATGAAATCTTTCGGGAGAATATTCGTATACACGCGAGCGAACCTTGACGATAGCTCCAATGCTAAAGACCATGAAAAAAATAAATGCAATGACGGGCAAGGGTATGATGGGTACCTCGGCGTTGTCGATAGAATATAGCCGCCCGTTCCAGTAGAGGTTATTGATCGTGCTTGGCCAACCAGATTGTAGTTGGTCATGCTCCAGATCACTCAGGGTGCTGGCATAGAGAATTTCAAGGGCAGAACACAGTGACGGCGGGTCCAAAACAGGAAAGTCGGGATGGACCCAGCGGATATAGGTCTGAAGTAACAATTCAGCGTCGGCTTTTTTTGGTAGTTCCTTTGAAGATGTCAGTACTTTCACTCTGGCATTCTGACTACAACATCACGCTCAATTCCGAGGAATTGAGGGAGAGTTCCTTCTGAAGATGCGGTAGAACAAGGGTTAAAGGAGAAAAATAATATCTATTGGATGTTGATACGCATCGGGCTCTTGATCGGGCAGGTGGTAATTCGCAGATCCTTCGACGAATACGTATACTGTGACAGGAACGCCAAATTCAAAGTGCCAACATACCTGTCTGAGGAACAAGTGCAGGCTTTTATAGTGCTCGTTTAGTGAAGTGGAATGTGCTTCCGAAGGAGACCAATGGGTTCTGGTAGGTTGTCCTTCCGACACGGCCGAAGGCGAGTCATTGCTTGAAGGAGACGCGCCGATGAGGTGCGTGAAGAGTAAGCCCGAGCTCGAACCTATGTAGTGTTTTTGAAGAGAGTCCGAGTTCAATGACAACATTCCAAGATTCATCGAAACTGTGTGCGCCTGTTCCGAGAAAGCCTCTGCGTCTTCCGCGTCAGTCTCAAGGGGCAATGGCCTCTTGAGCGACAGCTGGCGCGCGTGGCCATTGCGGTCAGCTTCGTCTCCCCGTGAAATTGGCTGTGGCGTAGCAGAGCCTGCCGCGTTGTCTTGATCTCTACTTGTTTCGACTTGAGGTCCAGACTCCAGATCCACGTCAGGTAATCGCGTCCTGATGATGTCTTCCAGCCATGAGATCCTCGCTCGTGCCGCGTTGGCGAAGCTGATAGTAAAGAGTCAACACAGGTACGCACTTATGCAGAAACCCCAGATGAATCTTACTTGCGAGGGATGAGCACGTCCGAGTTCTGGCTATCTACATCAAGGCATGGAGAGCCGCTCTTGGCACAGTTTGAGCATGCAGGAACTTCACCGTCGCACTGCATACGATTTTTGTGATCAGCATCTGTGGAGCAAATGGAAACGCCAAGACTAGGTACCAACCTTGATGCGTCGGGTCCGGCATCGTCGGCATGCCAGTCGAACTTTCTTGGGCGCATCGGATCTGGTCGCCATGTTGACGGTTTGGGACGAGTTTTGCAATTTGACCGTGAGACTGCAGCGTGGGTGTCCTACTATGGCTAGACAGGTACCTACCCACTAAGGAGCAGGCCTTAGAATCAATATGGCGGCCAATTTTCCTCGTTGGCAGTGCAAGAATACTCAGTCTTTGACGTGAGGCTGAAAAGAGTCAAACCCATATATGAGATGGGAGCTAAATTATCGTCTAATGAAGCTCAAATGAACCGAATTGCTACAAACGGGCGGATATCAGTCACGTGTATCTGAGCAGCTACAGGTCTGGGTGCTATCTCGAATTTCCAGAAGTATTTTATGGGCAAGGTGCAAATGCAGTGTTAGGTGCATTGACCTATGGAATATACTTGGTAGGTACCTAATAGTGCAAAGGCTTATCTACTAGGTACGTAGGTAGTATGTGAAGACCTAAATAATGCTTTTGCTCATAAAAAGGTATTGACTCCCAGAAGAAGTCTCAGTGGTAACCAGCATAGGTCTCCCAAATGAAGACCGTTCAATCCCACCTCCTGTCCTACTCTGCACTCCCTGCCCAGGTGTACATCAATGTGCCTGGTGTTGAAATGGTCTGCATACTGAGATAGGGCTCTAGGCACTACAGCGGGCTCTTAGCTGAAAGGCTAGCACTAATATTGAATGCACATGACGCCACTGGCTGGAGCTTCTAATCGCCGTGCACTCGACATGAACATCTATGATTATTTATTTGCACTTGGACTAGAACATATGAATATTACAATAGACAGCATGTCCCCAACTCAAGCCATTTGGCGCTCCAGTTTAGTCGCATCAGCCGCACGAAAGATATCAATTACTCTGGTATAAATGCTAAAGCTGACGGCGCCTGATATCTGTTGCAACGGACGACCTGGTCAGTATGCGTACGCGGCTGCTGGGATCGGAGGAATCAAACTTACACTGAGTCTGAGCAGCCTTGGAGTCGAGCCTCGCCATAAGCCTGCAATGCCTTGTTCGTTGACCACCATTACAAAACTCTGAGCCAGGCTCTGAGGACTAGCAGCGCCGGCCTGAGATTGCATTCTCGTCTTGAGCACATCAAACGGCATGGTGCAGTATACTGTGACTATGCCAGCTGCTGCGCCCGCGATCGCTGGCGCCGAAGCTTCCACTCCTGCCCGTTGAGTATACGGACGAATCATGTCGAGTATAGCGCTATAGCTTGTAAATCTTGTGAATGCGTTTGCCCCTTGTTTCATCATGACTGGTGACACTCCACGATATAGGCCTTGCAGGCCATTTGTACGAAGAATCTCCCGAATCACCCTACCGGCCGATGTATCATTATACCGGGCACGCTCTTGGATCATTTTGGTCTTTATATTCTCCCCGGGCGTGACAACAGTAATACTCTCTGCAACACCGGCGGCTACACCAGCCATCATTGTGGAAATTGCGGTTGGCTTTCCTGTTTCTGCGTGTTTGGGCAATCTATCTCGAACCGTATCGAAAGTCAAGAACCGTACACCGGATTTTAGTGAGTTGGAGATGCAAAAAGCGCCGGCTCCAGTGTACACGGTTCCAAAGTCATGAGTACGAATAGCTGTGGTCAGAATCCTCAACGAGGATTCTGGCGCTCCTGCGTGTAGGAGCTGTCTGCGCGTCTTGACGTATTCTGTTGGATACTTGTTTGTCTCAGTATGTTTTCAAACCCTTATGCTTTGTACGGTCTTTGAAGGCAAGTCCCTCTCGATGTATACTTACAGTTATAAGCGACTCGGCGCCTCCCGCCACACCTCCTGCAATTGTCGATTGTAGAGCTTGGGAAACATTTGATTTATTTTCCATGTCTGCTCAAATTTGGTGTGATTGTACTAAGTGTATTGAGAAGAACAACTTCAGAATCGATGGAATGGTCTTAGATTGTAGAATACATGAACACCTGGTAACCGGAACAAAATGCTGGAAACTCTTTTTTCTATTCTCAAAGCAATCTATGGTACCGTCAAGCATAATTGTTTAGGTACTTTTACCAATTGCATTCACGCGACAGTCAGCTAACCATTGCTGGAGGTGCCCAGGGACCATCAAGCCTCACAAGCGGTGCGAGTCACTAGCCTCCAGCGGCTGGATTGCCCCTTTGGCGATGGAATAGCGCGCGAGTGCACTACGCGGGTTTCTCCAGCGGGGTGACGCTACTGCCCCAACCATGGAGATCCATCCAGGCGGATAGCTCCATAGTCACACGACTCAGTGCTCCTTGTCGCAAGTGGGCAAGCGTAACTGTTTGCAAGAAATATGAAGATAATGGATCATAAACGGGCGAACTAGTCCCGACTTGCTTGATATGATGCGTCAGTTGAAACCTCGTATGCATTCGCTTATTGTTTGTTCTACCAACTACAAGGACGTAACTTCTCTGCTGCCACGAAACCTGAGAAACAGTCTAGGACCAGAAGTTATAGTCGGACATATCAAACATCAAACACGGCAATATGATCGAGACCAAGAGAAACTACTTCCCTAGAGGTGGTTGGGATACACACCACCACATTTTTGATCGTGAGTCTTTCCTTGCAGCGCCGCAGTCACATTTATACTAACAGATTCAAGCCTCATTTCCGTATAGCCCGGACCGACATCTCACCCCGCCACCAGCAACGATTGACGCATTTACCGATTTCAAGAAGAGGCTTGGCATTACAAAGTCAGTCCTCACACATGGATTATCATATGGAGATGACTGCAGCTCTTTGAAAGCTTTCATACCAGAACTTGGCCCCGAGACCACCAAGGCCATTGGTGTCATTGAGCCCGAGACGACTAGCGATGACGAGATCATGGCAATGCACAAGGCTGGCGTCCGAGGAGTCCGAGTGAATCTGTACCAATATCGCGCCATGGCAGATGTTGAGCTACAAAAGATTGCGCTGTCAGCTCATGCTGCCAGAATAAAGAAGTTGTCCCTTCCGTGGAGTCTTACAATGACCACAATCTACCCCGAGTTCTGGAGTAAACTTCAGCCTTTTGTGGAGGAAAATATCAGTCGAGATGGGATCCCGCTGATTACAGATCATTTTGCCCTTCTCAAAGGGCCCAGTATGCTACCTGCCGAATATCGCGATGACCCAACCACCCAGCCTGGGTTCGAGCCAATCATGAACATGGTTCGCACAGGCAGGCTTTACGTCAAACTCAGTGCTCCGTATCGTGTCAGTGAGCAAAAGCCGCACTATTCTGACCTCAAATTCTTGGTGCGCGCCTTTGTCGATGCCAATCCGAACCAGATCCTGTGGGGAAGCGACTGGCCTCACACGCCCAGAATGAAAGTGCGTACACATGAAGAGGCCATGGCGGAAACACCATTCATGGATGTTGATGACGAGGCGTGGCTCCAGAGCTTGAGATCATGGCTTTCGGATGAGGAATGGGACAAAGTCATGGTGGAGAATCCAAGTAATCTCTTTGGACAGTAGAATCATAATTGTTTCCAAGCAATACAGACGGTTTCACCATCTAGCTATTGCACATTTGCACAACCTCCTTTGAGTACCTAGTATATGAGAGTTTTGCCAATGTCAGATGCATTGACGCTTATGAGCTTCTTACAATCAGTTTTGAGGTATCTGCCTGGTCTTATGGTCTAAAATTGATCCAGCAATCACTATCTACTTCTCTTTCCGTAGAGACTTGATCAGTTCCCCCATAGCACCGCCTTTGCGCAACTCCACAAACATCTTCTCGTCAATTTCCGCGCGTTCCTGACATAGAGCGACAACTTGTTCCACAAGCGACGGGGGTGTCACAACAACTCCATCCTCATCAGCAATCATCAGATCTCCTGGATTGATCCATAAATCGTTCTTGTACTGCAGTGGGATATTGACTCGAGATGCCCGGGTAAAGGTATTTGATCCTAGGATCGAGTTGCCGCGTGCGAAAACCTGTACCCAAAATCCCCGATTGTTAGCATTCTATCGTGAGAGGCAACAATGGATTTCATTTTAGGAGGGGAAGAAAAAGCGAAATAGTGCCCTTGATATGCAAAATCTTACCGGGAATCCCATTTCACGATGTTCGCTCACATCTCGCATCCGCCCATCAATAACCACAGCCTGAGCCCCAAGGAACTTTGCACGGGTGGACATCAAACCGCCCCAGCAGGCCGAAGGAAGACCCTTTGGCTGCTGAATGTACATGATTGATCCATCCTCGTTGTGATCAACAAAGTGCTTGTCGAGTTTTGGTGCCGATGTGTCGCTCATCTCGACCATTTGCACAGTAATGGCAGGGCCGAATACTCGGCCAATGGCGCCTGGCGAAAACATCTTGATACCGTCGAGGAATCCGCCATATGGATATTTCAGTTTGACCAGTGCATCGCCAATCTAGTACCTTGTCAGCTTCATTTTCCACGAAACTAGGCACTGTGAATACTTGCGTCGCACGACGTAAACTTGCGAAGAGCCTCCAGGGCACGTGGGGAAGCCATGTTTCTTTGTGTTGGTGTTCGACCCGAATTGACGACGTTCAGCAATTACTATTTCAGTGCAGTGATTGAATTAACAGACTCAAATGTCCTACCCTCATGACGAACATGCCCAAGCTTCTCAAGTAAGCTCCAGTCCGGGAATGTGTTCCGCTACTATGTCGTACCTGGGTACCCAGGGGATGCCAACGGATACATCCTGCCCCGCAAGCCCCGCAAAATGCCGTCGTCGACGGAAACGTCCGAAGTCTACACGCGGGACCCAGACCAAGGAACCCCCCTTCTCCTCCAAGGGATGTCTTCCATTCATAGCGTAAGGACCATATTTTGGTTGCCGGTGTAATATTCAGCTCAAGTCGTAATTGGGAGTAACGCATTGTCAATTGGCTTCATATTATTTGCACTCGTGCTACCTTAGCTAACTACCACGTTCTATCGAGTCTCTCTTGTATCCCACTGACATGCCACACTCCACCCCTCCCTACAATCCACAACTCATGCTCGCCAAAAGCAAGGGTGACAGCCAAATTCTCTCCTCCGCCCACCCGGATAGTGCCGAGAGTAAGTCCAGTGATAGGGTCAATCACGTCTACACCATCGCCAGCGCCCGCAAAGATGTAACCATTCCTCGAGACGCGGATTCCATCGTAGAAGTAAGAAATAGGACTGTTCAACAGGCGCGGGTTGGACAAGACACCTCCCTCGGCTGCGACATCGTAGGCAGTCAGCCTGCGGTCTCCATATGGGTCTTTGAGCGACACTGTCCTGAAGGTGGAGACACCCGTGTCAGGCAAATAGAGCTGTCGAGGGCCATCGGATGGAGCCGATACAGCGACGCCGTTTGCATTTCCAGTGGTAATGTGCACAACCTTTGGTCGCATTGTAGTTCCATTAACCATGTATACTGTAGGGTTGGTTGGAGGGTAGAACTCAGTCAGATACCGTCCCTGGGTCGCGTCAGTACATAAGCTCACTCCCATGTCTCATGAATTGACCATCACTCACATAGGCAGCTTTGGAGTCGGTGAGCCAGAAGTTGCCGTCCGGGTCAATATCCAAATCGTTGAAACCCATGAAAGGTTGTTGGTAGTAGTTGTTTAGCAGTACCGTCTTGTTCAGACTTCCTGGGTCAATTCTGACTAGAGTTCCTGTTTCTTGGTGGCTACCATCGGTTACCACATACATTGCACCACGGTGAAAGACGCAACCATGTACATTTGTAGTTGGTGGGTTGGTTGTGATATTACGAAGAACATTTGTCTCGGTATCCAGTATGTATTGCCAGGAATGCTCTCCAGCAAGACCACCAGGAGGGCCCCATTCGACGAAAAAGAGCTCTTTGGCATCCGGGTTGTAACACGCTGCCTCGTGGCTCTGGAATGCGAGGTACTGAACATGATCCACGACAGCATTTGGCCCAATTATGTCAAAGAACTTGTCATCGTAAGCAATAAAGTCAGTGGTATTAAGAAAATTGTTGCTATGGATGTCATTAGTCATGAAACCAGCGGTGATAAGACACATAGCTCACATTTGTATCAAAGACGAGTCAGATGTTGTGCTTTCGAATGGGGCATCAAACACTGAGCGGTTGAAGGAGCCTGGAAGAACAGAGGCAGAAGGGTTTTGATAGGATATCAAAGCCCATTGCGATGCGTTGAATCCGGACGGAATGTCGGAAACATAATCCTGCGCTAGAGTAATTCCCAGCTGCAAGGACAAAGCCAACATCAAGAGACCCATATTGGCCTGTTGGTGAGCTCGACAACGTATATCTGAACAAAAGCAAGCTAGGTACTCGAATAAAGTGACTCCGATGCGCCACTGGTGGACGTAAGTGCTACTTGAATGGAGTCCACAACCTTTCTCGAAATCATGTGTCTGATTCACAAAGACTTGTACGTACCTACCTACTTATATGAGATCTATAGTATACCAAGGACAAGGACTAATCTGCGGGGCCCCGCAAACTCGAATGCGGAGGTTGTCCACTTTCCCAGATACTCTCTGCTGTCTTACGAGAGCTAGCACGTAAATAGGAAACAGAATATGGGATGCGGACAGGTCCGGCGCGGAGATATGAAATATGATGCGCGCCCAGTATATTCTGGTACCTGGCTCGGACAATCCCCGTGTGCGGACTATTCCGCCATCTCATTTCGACTATTCCCCACAATCCCTCCAACGGCGTCGCGAGAAGTTTCACAACATTCAGGCCCAGTGAGCTCAGATCTTGATGCGCCACTGCGTGGCTGGATAGTGTGGCACCTTTCGAGTGACACAACGGGAAGCAACAAGAAAACCTCTCAATTCAATGTGTTCTCGAATGAATTTCGTAGATGGAATTTATCAGCAATAGATGGTCATAGCAATCATTTCTCGGAGCGACATCGTTTTGTTTGGTTTCCGCAACTGAACCGCGGATGAAGATGCATTTGGCACATCATATATCCACCATCATAGGCGATAGCACCATGGAGGTCCAGATATGGATTTTGCTCAATTATTCAAATGGCCGAGCCTAATTCGATTTCCCTCTTGTCAATCTGAACCTAGGCTGCAGTCTTGGATTGTGGAACAAACCATTCATTGGAGTGATCGGATTACGCCTTGGGTGGCATCGTAAGCCCTGCACGTATTGTCGATTGAGAAGCCTGCATGAGCGGGGCTTAAGATGCAACGCAGCGAGACCGGATTCGCCAACACAGCCTTCATTTCGCTGCGGGCTACGGCGGGGCAGCCACTATCTGTGCAACGGCATGATGATACCGGGCAGGACAACGCAAAGTTTGATCACGGCAACTATAGTCTCTATTGACAGTTGCGCCATGGCTGCAAATGCTGATTCGGCTACCTAATGAGACTGGCGAGTAATAAATAAATAGCTGATGGTGGTATCGATTTTAACGGAATTGAATGCTATGCTACGCTCCCTCAAGGACTTAATCGCAGGATTGTGGTGCCTTGACTGCGTGGCTTCTTCTACCGAGAGACTCTAATCCTGTGGTAGACAATGTAATATACCATCTGTTGATCTTCCACCTTCCGAAAATATGCAAAACCGCGGGCTTGAACTTTTTTGAATCCGGTTTAGAAATTATCCAATAATCTAAAAGCCTCTTGCATTGACTGCATCGGATAAGCCACGACCGGACTGTCTGGTTTTGGCGTAATCCAATGGGAGCTGCAGTAAAAGATCTCACGCACATTGCCAACTTTCGACTCTGATTTTGACATAAGCCAATCAGAGGTGCAGCCAGATGCAAGTATTAGGGTAATGAGGCACATCTTTCGCTATCCATTTTCACCATACAAGTACCTACTTAAGCATCTACAGCGCGCATCAATTTAATTGTTGAACTACTTCACCATCCGTTTTGCACCAAATTAAGTACAGGCATTCAGTCAGAGAACAGTCTCTCCTTTCCTTGTCTAGTACCGGCAATTGTCAGCAGTTGCGAAACGTGAAAATGGCAAGTGAGTGGGGGCCCTTCAAGGATGAAATCACCTTACTCTACCTTGTGGAGGGTCTCACACTTAATGAGGTGTCGTCACAAATGGTTCAGAGGCACGGTTTTGAGAAAAAGTAAAGTCCTGCTTCTATATTTCCACGCTGGATAATTACTGACAGCATTTCAGGAAGCACCAATATGAATACATGCTGAAGAAATGGAGGATCAGCAAAAATACGAAGAAAGAGATGTGGGAATACGTCGACCATGTTATACGAAAAAGGACAAAGCAGCGAAAAGAGTCTCAAGTGCGCCTACATGGCATTCTTCTTTCGGAATCCCGTGTCACGAAGTCAACGCAAAGATATGGTCGAAGATCACTCGCTGGAAAATTTCGAACAGGTACGTCTAGGAGAAGTCACCGCTGAGAGCGTATAGCTTTTGATATTGAATAACAGTCTTAGCACCAAGCCCACAGAGTCCAGAAGGCCAGCTCATACATATAGGCAGCCCACCCGCGCCACGAAAGCATTTGGAATGGCCAGCAAACTTACCGTGGGTACAATTCGAGAGATTTTTACATCCCAGTACGTAAAGGATATCGCTTCCGCGCGTTGCAATATTATATCACTGGGTCCTTCACTAATTACTGCAAAGTCCGTATCCAATTACCAGAACCTCTAATGGACTCAATGGTTCGGGCGTTGGCCTTATGCAGCGATGACCTGGAAAGCGAAGAGGATGTTAATCTCTCTATCGCTACAGCCTTGGGCCAGCCCTTGAATCGGGAGGCCACTATCAACCAGACGCTACCACAGGTCCTAGGAGATGCACCAGAATCGGTACAATTCTCGATGTTGGAACCGAGGTGCATCACAGCAACACAAATCTTCAAAACTTTACTCTTCCAGATATCAAACAGAAGGTACGATGTGGAGCATCCTCTACTGGCCCAACATATGATGAAGTTAATCTATGGGCTTTGTCGGGAAGCCCCTGCAGCCGTTGATCACCTACTGCGCTCTCCAGATCTAACATCAGCTGCTATCAAAGAGACCTTCTTCGCAATTGCGGTCACGTTTGGGCAATCACTGCTAGTTTCCAAATTCTTGGCAGCTGGCAAAAATCCCAATCTTCCCATGAGTTATGGTATGCAGTTCGATATTTGTCTGTGCCGAGGCAGAGCCAATTTCGTCCGAGAACAGAATACTGTGTGGCAAGTCACGCGCTTGCAGCTCGCTTCTTCAGCGTGTGACGTTCAAATGGCCACTGTACTGCTGGAGTACGGGGCAAGGCCAGATCTTGGAAATCCTACTCCGCTGCAGATTGTCTGTTCTCGATCACCAGGACCTCATACGATGAAACTCGCCAAACTGCTTTTACGTTACGGCGCACAGCTAGACACTGCCCAACATAATATTCTGCTCCCTCCTCTTCTAGAAGCAGTGGCTTGTCAAAACAAAGAAATGGTCCATCTTCTAATTACCGAGGGATCAACGGACAAGATTGTCTCCGTTGACAATTTTGACGATTTCAAGTATTCTATGCTGATTTTCCCTTCAATCCTACCTGTCAATGTTCACTCCCCCACGTACTGGGGCCCATTCCCCATGCATCACTATTCTGGACGCGTCCGATTGTACAAAAGGTATCACACCATTTCGGCAATGCAAATTGGGGTGATTATCAACGATGCGGACATTCTGGACATACTCAATCTCTCGATCTTACATCATGGTAGTCGGAAGGAGATATACAGACATACATTCATTACTGCTTGTTTAGCAGCAGATGAAGGTATGATACACAAGCTCTTGAACATGGACATCGAGATACTAGATGATGACACGTGGGTGAATTCGGCCTTTTGCGCGCTAGCATGGATCTCGGATTGCCGAATAGCACGTCTATTGCTCCATAATGGACTCGTACCACGATGGAGCCAGAGAGCTTTCGTTTCTCCCGTCCAAGTGGCAGCATTACATGGTAATGCAGAACTCATAGAGTTGCTCCACTCGTATGAGTGCGACGTCAATCGTTGCCCAAACAGGGAGTTAGTCACCGTTTTTCCTGGGCCCTTCTACATGGACATATTGATGGGGCACTGGAGACCGCTCGATTGTGCAATACGCTTCAGACACAGCCAGTCAGCGCTCGTTTTATTGCGACTTGGTGCCTGGTTGTCTGATACTACGCTCTCTCTTGCAATTCGGTTTGGAAATGATGAGTTAGTCATTAATTTGCTATCTAGAGATGCAAGCATCGCACACGGGAGTGGCGAACGATCTCTAATTCTCACTGCCATTGAGCAACGGAGGGGATTAATCTGCATAAGCAGACTATTTCAAGCCGGTGCAGGTATTGGGCGTGACGAGCTTGTTGAAGCTGTTCGGCAAAACCAACAAGACGTTAGTGAATATCTCCTAGCTTCTGGAGCCAACATTCTGGCACCTGGCACAAATGGGACCACCGTGCTGGAGACCGCAGCCCAGGCCGGAAACTTCCGATTGATACAAAGATACATTAACAGTGGCGGGCACTACAACTCAAAGGCACTTCAACGGGCTGTTTATAAATACCAAGGCACCTCTGACCACTGCATGGTTCAATATCTGTTCCAATGCCGACCCCCGGGAGCCCTGGACGCTGCTGAGGTGAGTATGTTTGTACAGTCCATATTGACGAAAGATCACATACTTGTGGAAATGTTTCTTGATCTCCGGCCTGAACTTTTCTGGTACGAATCCTGGCCTAGTGGACCGCAAGTCTTAAGTTGTGGTCGAATTAGGCTTCAAGACTTTGAGCGAGTAGACAAGCGCTGGGTCTCACCATTATGGGCCGCGGCCTACATGCAACAAGAACAACTTGTGAATGAATTAATTCTCCGCAAGCACCCACCTGATCATTTTCTACTTGAATCAGCACTTTTCAATCAAGATTTCGCCAGCAAGGAGATGCGGCAGCGGCTGGGCACGGCGTATCCGCTTGCATCAATCAAAGACGAGGAATTAGGTCACAAACTCCTCATGTCTGCAATTCGTCTGCATGCTGAGCCTGAGCTTTTCCAACAGCAAATCGTCAGCCTCAATTCCTTCGACTTTGTTTATGGCGAATATGTAGATGATTCTCGAACGCCATTGCAGCTCGCTGTGGAGTTTGGGAAGCTTGGATGCGCCAAAGTCATCTTGGAATCTGGAAGCAACATCAACGCGCCGGCATCGGGTGTATCTGGAATGACGGCGTTACAGGCTACAGTTTACGTAAAGAACATCGAGATGGCAACACTCCTCCTCGACTCCGGCGCTGATGTTAACGCATCAGCATCAGTTTCCCATGGTCATACAGCCTTGCAATTTGCGGTCCGGAGCAGCAATCTTGAGATGGTAATTCTCCTTCTTGAGCATGGCGCGGACGTCAATGGACTGCCTTCGATGCAATTCGGCATGACAGCCATCGAAATAGCAGCGCGACGCGGACTCATTGACATATCAGCATTACTTCTGCAGCACCTAAACGTTGAGGGGGCTTTGAGAATACACTTTGTCAGGGCCGTGCGATTCGCCGAAGACCAATGCTACAGTGCTATTGTAGCGCTCCTGAAGAAGCATGGAGGCTGGACGGAAGAAGATCGTCGGCTTGCGGCTAGCCCAAAAGCCACCATAGGGGATCATACATGTCCGAGATTCCTTTATGGTGACGAGTCCTGGAATGGAGAATGCCCTCAGTGTAAATTTACGGGTTCTTCGGATTCATCGTCAGCGCCCAATTCCTCTGGTGATGATGACAGCATCAATCTTCAGTTCTCTGACTCTAACGGGATTGAAGAACAGGAAATGCAGTCTGGGATGCACCTGCTAGACGATGACTTCACAGTATTGCAGTACCCGCTGGAGGAATCGATCTTGGGGGATACAGAAGTGACCCCTACAATTTTCGCTCCTTATGATTCCACGGATAGGTGGCTGGATGACCTTGCCAGGGACTACATCGACAGTCTTGTGTAGCTACTGAATTCCGAGAGGCATTGGAATCAATCCTTGGAATTTGGCTCGGTGCTACTCTGTTCTTTTTGCTAACTTTCGGTTCCAATCATGAAATCCATAGCTCAACGCCTCACTTGGTCATTTTTGCGGCTCTGAATGGAAATTCTCTTGTTCCGCGTACCAGAGGTTGAAAATGTAGTTCCCGAACAGCCGCTCATTTTCCTTAATTCTTTTGACAGAAAGTTGATAAACTTGGCAACCTAAGTGCCCTCCTTATCCAAAACCTGTGAACATCATTACCTTCCACAGCTCCCAAGAGCCAACCCCTGTTGGCATCGGCAGTCACAATACACCTCCTCAAGGATTATAAATGTTAGATCGGTACAAAGCTCCACTCACTAACCCTCTGATCTGTTAGGTATCTCTCCCTATAATATATGCTGTTTGTGTACGGGTTGTGGAAGATTCCAGCACTGGATATGGAAGTAGATAGAAAATTGGCTTCTTTTTGGTGGTAAAATTCCGATGGGAGGTGCTGGGTCACTGCGTGGGGCAAGTAACGATCTAACGTTTATAATCCTTGAGGAGGTGTATACCGCTTATTATGAGGAAGACGTTCCCGCATGAGCGCAAAGCTTGAACATACCTGGCATTCAGGGTGAAGCTGAGTGCTTCATTCTGGAACAACGTGAACGGTGGAACCGACCGCGAGTCAGTTCGCAGGCTTCAGCTGTTGACCTTGACAGCATTATGGTTACCCATTACGTTAGCTTTGCGCACAATGGACATGAAAAGATTAAATAGAGACAGCTATGCAAATTGGCAGATACGCGCCATTTCTTGAAGTCCAACAAAATTGTTTCATCTGTCTGCCCCCATCCCTTGCATAGTGAAAGTGGAAGTGAATAGATTTACACAGCTTTTCAATTTCACGAATCCTCGTACTTTTAATCATAAGAATATTCAGTTGCGTATGTTGAATCAAATTCGTAGGAAGGAGTATATTGATATGCACTGCAATCGTTGTTAGGTAACTGATAATTCCTTGGTAACATGCAAACATTCAAGCATTCATAATAATCTAGAGCCAGCTGAGAATCATTCTCACACAATTTCTTGACTCCTAAAACGTATCTAAAAACCGTCGCACTTGTATGCCAGTTCTCCTGAATCCCACGTTCTGACGCGGAATTTCTATGACCGTGAATGCATTCCGCTACTATTATGTAAGGGCATGTCTTCAAGCCCAACCTCAGACCATTCCGTGAACAGCTGCGATATACTCGGTATTCCGTTACCTGTCAAAGTCAGGGGAAGCTTTCCAACACGAGCAATTGAGAATGCCAGGTGTCGCCTCGCAGCCTGTGCTCCAGGTTTCAGCGGGTTGGCGGGGAAGACAAAAGGCTAAGCCCCCTGGGCAGCAGCCGATCTTCAGGGGCCGCTGACTGTCTCTCCCCATAATTCGCATTTTAAGCATAATTCACTTCGGCACTTTATTTGTAGCAGATGGGATTGTGTGAAAGATTACAGCGAATGCCGTACCACCATGCTTGTTAGTAAATGCGAACTTGATATTTTTAAGCAATTGAGTTACTATCCTATTGCAATTGATCTAAATTCAACCCTTTTCAACGATCAGAATTTTGATTCTCGGCAATAACTTTGTTCTAACTTGAAACATGGCTACTATAACAGCTATCATATAGTGCAAAGCGCTATCCAAGGCCTCGCAATCGCCCGAGCCGAACTCCCAGATCCGTCGCATGTTCCATTGCAGTATCCGCATTAGGAGGCAAAGGCGAGGGCCGCGATCCCCACGTCTTCCATACCCACATTTGAATACGAGAGAAGCATTGACGACCCCACAGATCGTCATCGTCTTGCCAGACGTGACGGCATGTCTCGTATTGGGAATTTGGCAGGGCAAAGGAGCCTCACACGATGGCCGATTTTGGGTATATAAACATTGTCAATCCAGCTTCGAAGTTGGATTTGAGAACACCATCACACAATCAATCAATCCTCTCACCACAAACCAACAACCTCACTTTTACACCTTTTCACCTCTTTCTTCGGAAAACCACCAATCAGTCAAAATGAAGTTCTTCATGACCGCCGTCTCCGCTGCCGCCGTCGCCTCTGCGACCGCTGTCTTCTCGGTCAGCGACTTCTCGGCCAGCTGCATCCCTCACTCTTCTCAGTGCTCGTGAGTTTCTGCCCGCTACCAGACGATGATCAAGTGCCTCTGATTTCTAACATTTCTCCTCAGTTACTCCTTCGGTGTCCTCCAGCCCGGCACCATGGAGACCACCCCCGTCCAGTGCTCCAAGATGCTGACTGCCAGCGGCACCAGCAACCTGCCCGACGTCACCGACGGCACCTGCGAGAACTCCTCGCGCACCTGGACCGTCACCCGCAGCGACGCTGGCCTGGTCTTCACCGTCTCCCAGCAGGTCACTCCCTCCAGCTTCCAGACTGGTACCTACACGTAAGTATTCAATAAAGTCGGCAATCTCTTTGCCGCTTCACGAAAAAAAAAAAAGTCCCAAGAAAAACAAATAAACTGACATATCTTGACTCTCCAGCATCCCTGCCGACCAGCTCGCCGTCGCTACCCAGCCCAACGCCCAGGTTGAGAGCTACACTGGCCCTACCAGCTTCGACCTCAACTAGAGTGTTCCCGCAAAGAGCGGTAGAGCTTCTATCCATGTACATACGGTGGGGGATTAAACCCTGAGAGAGGGATTTGTATATAAAATCGAGCGCTTGGCGTCGTCCTAATCATTAATACATGTAATTGCGCTCAAAATTTAGCAATGTCCTCTGTGTCGCTCATTGGTGCATGCTGAAGTCTGCATAAGGTTCACGTACCCGAGGTGGTATCCACCTGTCTTTGAACTGTGCCTACCAATAGAATTTCTGACTATATCTGGCCATCCTTGTACCACAGCAAGTTCCAACGACAACAACGAAGCTCAAAGCAATCGAAAAGCCACCACAATCATATCACATGAACTTCCGTTTTCGAAACTCCTTTTGCCAGAAGAGTTGTTCTAGACAAGTATGATGTTTCGTGGACTCTTATCCGGAAACCGTGTTTCTTTGATCAGAAATTTGGCAATTCCAACGCGCCGATACGTTGTTCCGGTTGAGTCATTCGAGATCACAGGTTCCAACAAGAGAGCAACTTCCTGGTAAGGGGTTGGGGAGCCAGATGACAAGACAAGAAGACAGGTGTAACTTTGTTTCGCACCGCTGCCATGGTCGATGCGTCCAGTGCAACACCAAGGAATGGGCCCCTTCTCAAAGTCGGGCACCTCGTCTCCAACATTCATTTTTGGTGGGTTGAAATCTCGGCCTTCTGGGGCGACGCTCAGCACAATGTCTTGTACAGGGCCCCTGACTTGGACCTGAGCGGCTTTGATGCCGGAGACGAATGGTGTTCCGGTCCACAAAACGTTCCAATCAAGCAGTTTTACATGATACTCATGAACTGCATTCTTGTCGCGACTGGTCCAATGATCGTATGAGACATCATCATGGCGGGTCAACCAGGACCAGGATGGTATTCCAGGAATTCCAACGTTTGGTGGCTTTCGTGAAAGAGGCAGCCATAACAACCCCTGGGCAAAAGAGTTCTCCCAACATCCAAGTATGTGTCGATATCCAGATATGGAAGTGAAAAACTCAACGATGCCTGCCATTGCAGATAATCTGTCCTTTGTGAAGGTGAACTCCCTCCCAGAGTAGTTAGCCACTATAGCCATGTCAGGATGTTTCCAAACAACTGGGAAGATCGTATGGGTAGATTGAGCCGACTTACTCCATTGATACCAAACATCGTGCAAGCTAGCCTGGGGTCTCCCAGGAACCGATGGGAGCACGTTGTTGTTGTTTCGTAAGTCAAAAGCGGCACCAGATTCTATCTGATAGCAACACTGACAACGCCAGTGAAGTTCTGGGAGCATACAATAGACAATACGTCTCGACAGTACGTCTTCTTGCAGGACCCAGCCTCGCGAGCTCAGTGCTGTCTCTCTTGTTAGTGACCGGGTATCGCCATTATGCGCCCTGATATGGAGAGAATGGCCGTGTGAAACCTTGACAGTGAAGTTGATATCACGAAAAGGCCCGACGGGTCGAAACGAATCATCGGGCGCCATGGCTGTCAGACATCCATCATCACTGCATCTGCCGTTCGCTGCAGCAATAGTCAACACACTCCCTGCGTAAATGTCCTTCATCATGGCCGCCTCCTGAGCCCACTCAACAGGGTCGTCTTGACGAATGCAGAGCGCATCGATCCATAAGTATGGAATATCGATACGGCAAGCTAGCTCAATCGCATCTCGAAAGGTCCGGGGCAACATGGATTCAGGTATTCCTTTCTCCAACATTGCTTCGTTGCCACTTGTTGTGCGCAGTGGCAGCTTGTCGCCCCAGCAATGACTCAGTGTGGCATACCTGACCGCTTTTTGAGTGAACTTGGCAGTGCGCACCAGTCGTATTGGCCCATCAGAGACACCAGTCGTAACAAGACGTTTTGGTAAGATTGAGACGACTGGTGTGCAGGCACCGTGTGACGATTCGCACTGATCGAACCAAGTCTTCAATAAGGTTATCTTGTCGGAAATTGATGGCGTCGGCCTTGTCCAGATTGCAGGTTTGACATCTCCTAGCAAACCATGAGTTTCTACATGACCGGGCCGAGATGGAAACTTGGAATCAAACCCACCCTCCGCGCAGCATGAAGTGATTGACATTTTTGCAACAAACTCAAAATTCTGTTTTGGTACTGTGATACCGATATAGACTATTTTCCATGAGACACTGGCATTGAGTTGTTCTGGTTTTGAAAGGGAAATATGAAGCTGCAATGAATTGTAATACGCTTCCGAGATGTCAGGGAATCGCGAACATGCGTCTTCGAGATGCCAACATTGCTGGATGAACTGGCATAGTATGCATTTGTCTGCGTGGTTAATCAAATCTGCCACGGTTTTATGATGCTGAATGACAATGTTCTCGCTTCCACTTTCCATGCACAACATTTGTAGGCAGAAGTGACAAATTTCCTGCATGTTGCTCACTATTTCTGAAGATGGCATTTGCCGTCGTATGAATTCATTAAAAGTTTAAGCGAGACCGCGAGAGTATTTCCGCACGGTGACAATTGGATAGTTGAGAGAAGTCTTGAATATTGTCCAAAAGAATACGAGTGAAATAGATAGATGGATGAAAGCTGGTCTCCATCATCCACCCCGCTTTGAGCGAATAACTCATTGGTGTATTGATGCTTCAGGCAGACACTCTCAAAAGCACCGCCACAGCTAGGGTGACAGCACAGTCATACATCCTAATTGGTGGGAGGCCCGACTAGGTACCTTGGTTTCATGTCAATAACGGAGGTAGTCATATGCGCAAAAGAAACGCAGGGCGCTAACCCATTCAACTTACGCTCTCTGCGAGGCTGTATTCTGTACCTTGACAGCCACGGTCATCAACCACGCTGTGCCGCAAAACTTGAGGGAGGCGGTGACGTTGCGCTGCTTCTTTAAGCTATCATCCGCCATTTCGTTTTGAAATATTTCAAACTCTTCACTAGTTGGGCGATCATAAAACAAAGCCCATTTATGATATACGTCGTAAAATTCGCTTGGCACTCTTAAGAGAGGGTGGCATCGTAGCCAGGGGTTACCCTTACACCCTGAGACGGAAAGAGTAAAAATTGAAGAAATAGAGAGAGATGTGATAACTAACAAGGAATATGTGTGATGCACCACATTGCGGCTGGTTAGTGTGGCACCCTTTGGGTGACACAACGGAAAGGGCTCATTAAGTATATTCGCTGACGCATTCTTTTCGTAAATGTAGAGCATCTTTAATTTACTCGTTATCTTTGGATACTGGTTGTATCAATGTGCTTTCATGTAATTAGAACGCATTTAAAAAGTCGGACCTTCTCAGATATCTTTAATGCAAGAATAAAACCGAGAAAAATGCGTTGGACAAAGTGACTACGACCCCTGGTCGAAAAAAGATGGTCGAAAAAGAAAAGAATAAAGCCAGTTCCATGATTACTCGCTTGCCCACTGTTGAGCTATCAGGATCCATAATTTTTGTTCTGAAACAAAATCTGGAAGTGGGGTCACGAATCCTCTTTGTCTGGCTTTCAGTCAGTGGCATTTCCTCCGAGTAAAGACATGGCCATGAGTAAACTGCGTTTTTAAAGTATCTCTCTTGATTCATAATTCAGCGTATATTTCAACCAAAATTTATATTCTAATCATCGAATAGTTGCTTATCATGGAGCGTCGCAATGTCTATCAGGCTTTGGCAGCGCCAGAGAGTATCCGACTGCTGCGTCTCTTACCCAGCACGAATGCCCACGCACCGCTTCGAGGCCAGCTATTCGAGTGTAATATCATGGACTTTTACGGAAAACCCAGCTCATTTGAGGCTCTCTCCTATGTCTGGGGTGACCCGAAACAAAGCCATTTCATCTTCCTAGACGGATCAGAACACCCCATCACATCCAACTTACATGCGGCACTGACGCATCTCAGAGGTCTGCATGGAGAGAGACTGCTGTGGGCAGATGCTCTATGCATCAACCAGAAGGACGATCGTGAAAAAGAACATCAGATTGGACTGATGTACCAGATATACGCTTCTGCCAGTCGCGTTGTTGTTTGGTTAGGAGAGAAACAAGACGGGAGTGACCATGCATTCCAAGATCTGCGAGTCATTGGTCGTAGAAGGTCCACAGAGTCTGTAACAGACCAACGTGTATTGGAGAGAATTTTCCTATTGTTCCATCGACAATGGTTTCGTCGTATATGGGTAACTAAACAACCAAATATTCATTCTTTTTCTTTTCACACTGGCTAACTGTTTGAAAGGTTCTGCAAGAAGTTGGTGCCGCTCGACACATTCTGATACAGTGTGGACACTCTACAATCGATGGATATGCTTTCAGTCTGGCTGCCAATGTATTGAAACCGCTGTTTAGTACCCGTGCTGAGTCGCGAGGACTGCAAAACACGGTTCAATCTTTGGCCTACCTCATACAAGGTTCAGTCCACAGACAACCTTATCAAGGGTTTGGTGCACCCTCTGATGGCATTGCGCCTTTTGGGGAGCTGATCGACATGTTTCACGACCGCGAGGCAACGGTGGCCCACGACAAAGTGTTTGCCTTGCTCGGAATGAGTTCACATGATATGACCAAGTCGGGCTTGGAACCAGATTACACCATTCCCCTCGGTCAGCTATTCAACAGACTTGTCAAGTTCATCCTTTCTGATCGCATACTGGTCGACTGTCGCAAAGAAAAAGAAGTTGCTGTGATCAAAGCTACAGGCTATGTGATTGGCAATATCTACAGTGTTGGGGATGATGCGCAATCTTTCAACTTGCAGAGGATTCGTTTCCATTGGACAGGTGTAATTGATCGTCTAGCATCAGATGATTCCGAGCTCTCTTCTCATGGGACCGAGGCTGAGGTCGAAAATGACGAGTATTGGAAGATGCCAGCCTCGTCAACGCCCGTTCAGAAGGGTGATCTCATTTGTCTTCTCGACGGTTCTGTGACGCCTACCATTATAAGAGTCTACAAAGACTTCTCGGTGGTTGTGGTTGCATCTGCTACACTGAGTCCACGGACAGAAGACAACAACAGCGACCTCTGGGAAAAGCGTGTGAAGCAGCTTGGCCTACCCAAACGCGATCTTCTTCTTGTATGGGACTGGTACTACACCTCTGAGTCGTATTCACGTTTGGCAAACTACAGAGCCTGGGCTATATCAAATGATTGGGGAACCGAAGACCCAGTATTTGTCGCCAACAAGTCTCTCAATGACCTCTCTCGACATTTGGATCATGTTCTCATACTTTCAGATGGCTTTGGCTATAATGAGAGGCTGCTCAGAGAGCTACTTATGCATTTTGGCACGGCGATACAGACAGAAAGTTCACGCACCATGTGCGAAAAAAGGTTCGCAGACTTCTTGTACGATATCAGCACATCATCTGCCCATGCACCACCAATCGCTCACGGTTCTGGTTCTTACTACATCATGCCACGCCTCCTAAACTGGGCCGTTGAGAGCCACAACAAGATTGCAGCAAAACTCATCATTGCATCGGGCGGTTTGGATGACATTTCACTATATGGCTCAGATTCAGAGCTACCCTCACCATTTCAGATGGCAGTGAAAAGTGGCGACATGGATATGATCGGTATTCTTCTACAGGCTGAAGCAGTCATTCATGCATCGGCCGTTGAACCTGAAGGAATGACGGCACTTCAAGCAGCCGCGAAACATGGAAATATAACCGTTGTTGAGTGTCTCATTCAGCTGCAGGTAGACGTGAATGCAAAGCCTCCCAAGGGAGGGAGAACGGCACTCCAAGCTGCGGCGGAGCAGGGTCATGTAGGTGTTGTTGAGCGGCTACTCCAAGCAAAAGCAGACGTCAACGCAAAACCAGCCGAGATTGGTGGAAGAACGGCGCTCCAAGCCGCATCTCAGAACGGTCATGTAGCTCTTGTCGAGCGACTACTTCAAGCAAAGGCAGATGTTGACGCACAGCCGGCCGACGACGGCGGAAGAACAGCACTCCAAGCCGCAGCGGAGCAGGGTCACATGGCTGTTGTCGAGCGGCTAATCAAAGCAGAAGCAGATGTGAATGGACGGGGAGCATTCGACAATGGAATACTAGCACTGTCTGCTGCAGCCGGAAATGGTCATTTAGCTGTTGTTGAGTGCCTTCTTGACGGTGGCGCACGGATCGATAAAGTCGCATGGGGCCAGGGTGGGATAGCACTCCATGCCGCAGCCGAGAATGGCCACAGGGCCATTGTAGAGAGGCTGCTCGAGACAAAAGCGTCCGTTGATAAAGCGGATAAGCACGGAGTGACAGCACTCATGTTGGCATCGAAACAAGGCCATGTAAAGGTTGTGGATCAGCTTCTCAGAGCAGGGGCGTACGCATTGTACCCAGACGACACCGGCGTGACTGCCCTCATGTGGGCGTCGCTTAGGGGACATATAGCGATTGTGGAGAGACTGATTGAGGCAGATGGCTATGTTCATGATAATAGCAGGGGTGGAAAAGCACTCGACTATGCGTTGAGAAACGGCCACCATGATATCGTCAAGAGACTCGAGGAACAAGGAGCGCTTGTCAGCTACGATTCGGGTTATTACATTGACGAGAACGACATACCGCAGAGGTTCGGTCGGTGGAGGGCCCCCAATCGGTGGTAGCGTTCCAGCACCTCTCTGTGGTCAGGCTTGAGGCTCGACTTGGACTTCTTTTCAAGGTCCCCGCTTCACATTTTTCCCTTCCCACTGGCTAGAATGAGACAGAACCATGCTGTATGCCTATAAGTTCTACGGATACTTTCGGAATTGGTTCAAACAGGCGCTGTGGAAGTGATCTCGGCGTCAAGAAACGGCATCCTTTTGGCTGGCAAAAGCACGGGATCAGAAAAGGCATTGTAGATTCGGTGTCATCGGTTTGCAAGGCAGGTTGTCCATGGTTTGCCATACCCCTCAACTAGGTACCTAGGTAGTTTCAATAGTAATCATATTTCATACTGTCCAAGTCGCCTAACGCTATTTTCGCCAGCGCCGAAGGAGCGTGCAGCGTGATATGAGCACTTGGATTCTTATGTAGGTGGCCTGACATGAAATTCTGGAGCTTGCCTTTGGCAGTCTTCCGCGTGTGTATGAAATAACTGAGTTCGCAGACTTGGTGACGATTGGCAGACAATTGATAGATTCGAAGCATCAAAATGTTGAAGAAGATCGAAAGGGATTTAACCTAGGTGCTGAGGATTGTCATGCATCCATTACCACAGGGCGCACCTACCAGGTAAGGTAGGTGTGGGCATGCTAAAACGCTGGATTTCGGCAGCCCCACGCCGAGCTTTGGCAGCTTGGTTAACGTAGTGTAGCCATAGCTACCCCAGATCTACGGGCGACCGAGCTTTTTCACAACATTGAAACTGCCTGGTGCGAATGTCAGTACTCCCGTCGTTTACACAGACTTGCGCTGGCGCAAATATCGCTCAGCTTATACCAACTTTTTCACGAAAATTCCTGGCTCTAAATAATTCTTACAATGTCGTCCCGCTTCGTGTCCGGCGGGACCATTGCTGGGGACGACAACACCTTGGCCGCCGCCACCACAGCAACCACGTCGTCTACTGCCCCGCCGTCGTCTGCTTCCAGCGCCTGGGAGAAGGCGCAAGCACAATTAGAGAGCGACCGACGCGCCCGCGAAGCCGCACGCAAGACGGCGATCGAGTCCAACTCCGGCCAGTCGCTCTACGACGTGCTACAGGCAAACAAGGCCGCCAAGCAAGCCGCTTTCGAGGAGGCCAACAAGATACGCAACCAGTTCCGCGCGCTAGATGATGATGAGGTCGACTTTCTAGACGGCATGGCGGAGGATGAGAGGAAAAAGAATGAGGAGCAGAAGAGGGCCGAGGAAGAAGGCTTAAAGGTGTTCAGAGACGCACAAAAGAAGGGCCAGCCAGTGGAAGAAGCAGATGACGCGCCCGTTGCCGACGAGGTAATTGACGAATGGAGTACTGCTGGAGCGAGAAAGAGAAAGAGGGAAAAGGAACCCATTATTAAGGGTATCAAGCGCCGCGTCAGTCAAAATGCCCTGGCCGTAGAGTCCAATCCGGAAGCCAAAGATGAGACTCCGACGACTTCTATCACCAAGGCTTCCGTAGCCAAATCTCCCATTCCAGCCCAGAAACCAGCATCATCGCCAGAGCCTAAGCCTGTTCAACCTACACCTACAACCAAGTCAAAGACGGGACTTGTAGACTACGGCTCAGATGAGGACGACGATGACGATTGAAATGACAAAGTTAGTCACAGAATACCGCTCACATCATCTTATATGGTTTGCACTTATCCACCAGCCGGCTCATCGTAGAACTGGTTTTACAGTGCTAATGGACCCATTATGGCTCTCGTTCCACCCGACATTCTCAAGAGAAACAAGTTCAATAAGAAATTCCAAGGAGCGAATGCTATGAAGTAGCTCTAGCATGATTCATGGGCTCTCGGTGGCAACGAGATCTCCCAGATCATCATACGAGATCATTGTAGCCTAGCTCCTACCCATGCTCACATTTCTGCCAGCGTCAGTGCGCAGCCATTGGGTTGAGAACGAGCTATCATGAGAACCATGCCCTCATCGCAATAGGACATCCACTGTGTCACCGCGCGTGACTCTCACGAAAGGAGCTTCTGCACCAAGTGATGAACAACACATGCTCAACGATGCTTGGGTAGCCCTGGGCCCGTCCTACTGCATCGCATCCTGGCTTCCGCACTTAGAATCGGAGAGACTACCCTGGTGTTTCAGATGCGAACAACATGACGGCAATCGAATTGATTGCTGTTTCTTCTCTTGTGCTGGCATGCGGCTGATCACAATTTGATTATCTTCATGGGCCTCCTCGGGCACATGAGCTAAATACCGATTGCTGTCAGCTATTCAAGTTGCTATGCTGTCATAGTGCATGAGTCAGTACGATAGAAGAGGTAACGTCACCATCAGATATTTGCGAAAGAGTCGCCTATGAATGTGAGGCAGGAATCAGCAGAGGGTTCGACTTGGGAAAGATTGAAAAGAAATTTCTCATGTACTGATAATGGGCAAAGATATATCTTCTGACCGTTTGGACCATCTTAGCTCTTGGTAAGAATGACCAAGTCAAACAATACTGCAGTCCGGGAGCTAGTCTCCGAGGAAAGGAATGAACTTGTTTACAGTATAATATACCCCAATCGGTTGTGTTCTCAATGACAGGAAATCCTCAACGTAGAGAAACAGGCGGCAAAACGTATAGACAACACAAGTGATTGTTACCGGAATCATGACGTGTAGTGGTACAGCCATCTCAGGGTCTTTATCAATGGAAATGTTCCTCATCCGCCCCAGAACGGCGAGCAGTCGGTGAATGACCCGCATAGGACCCTTTGGGCAGCTCCTAGCCTCAAGTATCACTGTGTCAGTATCGATAGCTTGCTCTTGATCACCACTGAGTAAAGTGGTCGGGTTAAGAGGTGCTTTTCGGACCGATCTAGGACCCGGCCTAGACCTAGGTACACCATTCCCTTCAATGGCCTTTTTCCACATGTACCAAGATATGACGTAGTAAACAAAGCCATATATCATAAAGACGGCACAATAGACGCTACAAGCTCGCCATAGCTGCTGTTCGACTTCAGTAGGGAACTGGAAGTTCCATGCGATCAGGAACGAGGCACTGAACCAGAGCAAGATAAAGCAGCCGTAGGGTGTGTAGAACAAGTCTGGAGGTAGCCACATATCAGAGGGGAAACGATTCCATGGCCGCGAATTCATCCTTCTCGACACAAGTGGTATGTGCAAGATCTCTGACAATCGTACGTAGTAAGACCAGTGCGCTTCAATCCGCCAACGTGGACCGCTCAGGAAGTCTACCGGAGTTCTGTACCATACTCCGAGATCTAGGTTAGGGTGAGTCTGGCTAGAATCAGCAAGCATGTTCGCATGTCTTTTTACAAATTATCGCTTCTCATACCGTCTCTTTAATGGCTGCACGAATCTCGTCGATTGTCTTGTCATTCTTTGTGGGGACATTTCTTGGATGTGTGATGGCGGGTTTGCGATACCAGCAGACTGAAGTGATGATGATAACGAAAGCGTATGACAACGCTGTCAATTCTAGCGTTGTCAATGGCAATCCAGTCCTGGCCCGTTGTATCTCTGCAATTGAAAACCAAAGGACTTGCCACATGGTGATCAATCTATAAAGGACAGTTTGATCAGCTTGCTGTGCCATAGTTTCGAATTATTCACAGATCTCCGTAACGCAATGTTGGCTCACCTCGACAGTGTATCGGCCGAATTTCTTTCCGAGATGTGCATTTCGTCCATGTTCGGGAAATCGATGTAATCGTGCTTGATGAGGTAATGAAATTGTTGCGCATTTATCGGAAACCCCTCAGGAAAGTCTGGGCTGGTGAGAAAAATCCCGCCCATATCGACGAAGAATGCATGTCGATAAGTCCATTTCATACCCTTGGAAAGTTTTCGGTCTGCCTGAAAGAGCTTGTTTTCCACTGTATCAGCGGAACGCCGGTCGATCACTGGTAAAGCGCATCCATGAGGAATGTTCACTGACCTTGACGCTTCTCCTGGCACTGGATAGTTGACCTATTGCGATGCCAAAGAGGAAGTCCGGACCCAGTAGGCCGACCATGGCTAAATGGAATTTGTCAATAAAGCGATGATGCCATTTATCTGTCGGTGCACCAGCATTGGGTTGTGTCGATACCCAGCAACACAGCAGGATCGTTAAACATGACGAATACAAAATATCAATACTTCCGCGATCGCGAGAGCTTGATACCCAGCCAGGCACCATTGCGTTATAGTCGGTGACATTTTGAAAAGGAGGTATTGTTGGCATCCTGGCCAGTCAGATGTTACGGTTACGACCAGAACAAAAGATAATGGGCAAAGTAGACTGCTTGGGACTACTAGATAGGCGATTAGAGCTGGATTATACTTAAGGATAGTCTGAACTCAAATTCGGGGGAGAATATGATGGGCCCAAGGCAGTTTTCATTGAGAAGGCTGCATACCCGACATGGGGGTCCTCGGGTCGGATTGATTGCATGTGCACTTAAGCGCGCAGAAGTATCCATGAATAGAAACATGCACTGAGCTCATGGCAGCAAGAGCCAGTCAATGCTCCGCAAACCTGGCAAGGCTTTCGAACCAACGAGTTCTCTGCATGCATAATCACAATGCATCGTCCTGTGTGATTCCAGACGAAAGTCCCCTGTATGAGATGCAGTTTCGTGTTTTCTACTTTGCCGCAAACTTGTGGTCTTGGTGGTGTGCCATTCCCAATACAAGAGTTTTTGAGAGAAATAACTACTAACTCATTCGATTCATGATTCATGGGCCTGCTTTATCACGATTCCTATCGTACGGCGATGAATAACGGAACAGGCATTGATGAGATCTACATGTGTTTGATTGGTTACGCCCACTATCTGAGGCACATCTTGCTCCCCCTGGTGTCTACTTCGATTTGGGAGCTTCAATCGTTGAACCTGGCTTGGTAGCCGTGATAGCAACATACCGCCATCGCCCGTGGCCTAGGTATGTGTTAACTCCAGCGATCGTGTTGATAAAGAAGCGCTCCAAATGCAACAGCTTGATGATGTAGTAAGGAATGACGGCCAAGAGGAAGAAAGCCCTAGTCATAGGGCGAATGTTGTCAGAGAAGTCACGCACAACAACGTCTTCAAAGCCTGCATCCTCTAGCATTCGCTTGAAAACGCCAACGTCGGAAATGTCATTCGTCGGCATCGCCGCGTAGTGATTGATCTGTCGCATTGATTTTGCCATGTCTTCTGGCTCGTTTTCCAGCAAGTTGTGGTCGTACTCGAAAAGCGCGACGCGGCCACCTGGTCGGAGGATGCGATAAAGCCCTGCGAGGACTGCTTCGGGGTCTGTGGCGTGTACGAAGGTCTCCATAGTATAAGCACCATCAAAGGACTCGTCTTTGAAAGATTCCAGGTGATGGTAGTCCATTTTCCGTACTGTGACTTGCCCAGCTGGCACGCCTGAGCTCGCGATGTTCCTCCGGGCCTTGACAATGTGATGGTCAATGACATCGATACCAGATATGCGAAGCTTGAATTTCTTCGCTAGGCGCAGAGCGACGTGGCCGACTCCGCAGCCAGCGTCAAGCACTTGTGCGCCTGCCGGAAGGGCGAGCACTTCGGCCAGCTTGTCCTCCATTGCGCGCAAGGCCTTGGAAATGGGGAACGGCCAATATCTGTCATTGTCCCAGTACCCAAAATGGCGGGTACCCCCAAGGACAAATCTGTACCCTACGCGCGACTCTAAAGAGTAGTAGTAAGATTGTAGCAGTGGGTTGTCGTTGATAAGAGGCGCCTGGTCGCCATCGTGCTCTGTTTGTGCCATATTTGGCTGGCTTGTTGTCAATAGCACTGGACAAGGTTCTGAACGGGTCACTTCGGAACACTCAGATTGTTTCGCTCAGTAGTGAGAAGCAGGAAGCTGAGCAACGTGACCAATTTGTGGGAGCAATCGGTGGCATGGAAGTGGTGTTTCGTGTTTCGTGTTTCGTGGTCCATGGGACAGAAAAGCCGAGGGTGAGTTAAGCGCCCAGCCCTGTCTGGACTCCCAGCAACAGGGCTGGGCGTAAATGAAATCGTATTTATTTGATTTACCGGTTTAGCGTTAAAATTAACCAAATGGGCAGTTCTTTCCCGATTTATAAATAAATAGTTATAAGGGCCGATTTATAAACCAAATATAAATTCCTATTATATTCCTTATTATAACTATTTAGGCTTTATAATAATCGATTTATTTAGGCTAATTAAAAAACCTCGTAATAGCTGTTTTTAATAATTTGTTATAAGTTATAATTGCTTTTTATTATTTTTAAACGCGTTATTACGCGTACGCGATTAAATTTTATTATATTATAATATCGTTAAATAAGTTTTTAAGCAAAATCTAATTATTTAATTAGCTATTAATAATACGATAAGCTTTTTATTAGCTATTAATAAACTAATAAAAATTTTAAAAATTGCCTTTATTTAATTATAAACTATTATATAGCTAAATCTAATTAATTTATATATAGCCTATTATAATTACAAAAAATTTATATTATATTAAATTATAAAAACTCCGTTTATACGGATCGCGAATTATAACGGTATTATAAATAATAATAATAACAATTATATAGCAATTAAAGGCTTATAAAATATAATTTAAATTTTTTTATAAAAGGATAATAATGCTATATTATTTAAATAAACGAAAATCTATTACTAAAATTATTTAATATACTTATTCGAACCTATTATATTTGCATTTAAAACTTTTTTATATATAATTTAATTTTATAATACCCGCCCTCGCATAAATCTAATTAACTATAAAAGGCTTATCCTTAATTCGCAATTTAACTGCGTTTATTATTATTAGCTAATTAATTATAGCCGTAATTTATAATAGCCTCGGTTCTTAGCTATATTTTAATAATAAAAAACCTAGCTATATAAAACAGGGTGGCTAGCGCAATTATGCCCCTATTATATAGCAAATAGCAGCCTACGATAATATTAATCTGTTATATAACGCAGCTTTTAGCGCTTTTCCTAAATTGCTATTTAATAAGGATTATCGCTAATTTATTCCTATTTATTTATTATTAGGTAACGTTATTAAGCGCAATGCTATTAAGGTTTATAATGGCTATATTATAAAATACTTTGGCGATAATCCTAATAGCAAGGGCATTATTGCCAGCAAAAACCTTCTTTTTTGCCGTTATTATAATAATAATAAGAAAATAAAGCTTTATAATAGCAGGGCTATAATAAATTTATAAAATTATTTAGCTAATATTTATAGCAAAAATAATAATAGCGATTTTATTGCTAATATTTTATTAATTATTAAAATTAGGCTTAAGCGTAAATATAAAATTATTATAATATTTATGCTTAAGCAATTATATAAAAAGGCAAAAATTGCTATTCGTCCTTAAATAGCAATTAAGCAGCTTTAATTTAAAATAATAAATTTAATTATTATAGCTAAGCTTCCCTTATTAATAATAAATTATTTAGCCTTTAGGGAATTATATATTTTCTTCGATTTTAAATATAGCGATTTATTAAATAACCGCCGGATTATAACGCGATAGGTATTAAATAGGTTTAAATTATATAGGGAGCGTATTATTAGCCGTATTAAGAACCATTATATCGGCAAAATTAGCTTTTTTTTTAATTATTAGACTTTGCTAAGGCAATGCTTATTATTTAGTATAATTGCGCATTATATTAGCGATAATTATTTACGCAAAAGTTAGCTTTTCGTATTACGTGAAATTAATAAAAAATATATTAAGGAAGCATTAGTAATTAAGGTGCTAAATATAATAAATTCTTTTAAAATCCTAGCTTATAATATAGGCTAATTTATGCTTAATAATGCTATTAATAATAATATTATAATTAAGCACCTAATGGCTTTATAATTAGGATTTCCTACTAATTTGCGCGTTATTATTACGAACATGCACCCTTGCATAAAAATAAACAAATGTATTGGCGCTTAAGGAAAAAAGGGAGGGGCTTAGCACCGAAAGCCGGAAATAAGTTAAAACGAAAACCACCATCTTTAACAGCTGCTAATCAGCTGCCTAATAAGATTACAATTTTAGCAATAATCTAAACGATTAAATTATTAGGATTATTAAATTTTATCGATTTTAAAATTATAAAATCGGCTTAATATTATAATTTAAAAAATATTAGTAAAAAAATAAATAAATATATATTATAAAAAGATTTCCTATATAAATAATTATTATTTTAATAATTAATTTAAGCATTTATCTTACTTATAAATAAAGCATTTAATACGCTTTAACGATTATATTTATAAATTAATTTAATTACCCTTACCTTCGGATATTTATTATTTAATACCTTTTTTTAAAATTACCGTTCCTTATTAATATATACCCTAATACCTTTTATACTTTAGGTTTATTCTAAAAACCCGTAATATAATCGTTATATTTTAATTATTTTTATTTAGGTATATTACTTTTAAAAAAAACCTTAAGCAATATTTAGCGGAATATCGTTAACCGGAAAAACCCCTTTTTCCTTATCTAAATACTCCTAACGCTCGCTTGCGCAAAAAATAGAAAAAAATAATTTCGAATTAACTAAAAACTAATACTTAAAATTAGTTAAAAAAATCCGCGCATTTAAAAAAAAAAACCACCTCCTTTATACGCAAAACCCAAATAGGATAAATTATATAAAAATTATAAAATTCTAATAATATTATAGCTAAAATAACTAATATTATCTTTACCCTAATTTATTCCGAAAAATTTAAGCTTAATATATTAACGGCTTTTAATAATACCCTTGGATTATTTTAAAAATTCTTAGCCTAAATCCGAGCTTATTAAACCTTTTACGATAACTAATTTATAATAAAAAAACAAAAAATATTTTATATTACGTTTTATTTTAAAAAACGAGCATTTACCTAATTCGAACTTTATTTTTTAAATATAATTAAATACGAATAACAGATAAAATTATATAAAGCGGAAATTTAGAATATTTTCTAAAATTATATAAAATTTAAAGCGGCGCTTCGATCCTTATTTTAAAATCCGGATAAAAAACGATAAATTAAAAAAGAATTTAAAAACCTTAAATAAAAAAGATCCGCATTTAATTATACGGCAAATTTTAAACGTATTATCGCTAAAATAAAATATACCGATAATATTAGGATTATATTATATTATCGAAAATTTAAGAATAATATTAAAAACGAATTTAGCAAAATTTTTAAATTATTAGCCGAATTTAGCAAATATAGCGAATTTACCGTTAAAATCGATAATTAGTTATACGCTCGATAAAATAAGAAAAAAAGGAATTATTTTATATTACGGTTTTAACGAAATTACGCTAATATAAGAAAATAACGGAACCTTTAATAACTTAAAAATAATTAGCGCGATAAAACCTTATATAAAATCTATAGCGGATAAATAGACTTTAACGCTATTTAGCGTAAAAATAAACTTAAAATTAAATACTATAATTACGATAAAATAAAATATTACGCTAATAAATATCGCTAACCTAAAAAATTAGGATTTAAGCTAATGCTAAAAGGCAAAAAGCAATTTAATAATATTAAAAGGAATAATATACCTTATAAATTATTTTTTTAAACGGCGTATTTCGATAATAAATATCGGACGCATAAATCTAGCAAAAATAAAAGCGGATAATACCCTTAAAAACGGAAAACCCTAATAGTTATACGATTAAAAAAAATCGTATACTTTAAAAAATAAAAATAATTTTAGGATAATAACGATTATATATTTTCGGATACTTTAAAAAACGAAATATATTATTAAATAAAATAGGCAAAAGGCCGGAATTAATAAAATTTATATAATAATACCTTTAATTGCGAAAAAAGCATTAATATCGATATAAACTCTAATAAATAAAAAAAAAATAAACTCGTTAAATTTATCTAAAATAACGACGAAAAATATATTATCGATTATATATCTAAAAACGGAACTAATTACGTTTATAATATAACTATTATTACCGTAAAATAATAGGATATCGCGCTATAATTTATAAAAATCTTCTAAAAAAAACTAGTATTTTATAAACCCGACGAACCCTAAAAGCAGCAATAGGAGATAACGCAAAGCTTACCTATATATACCCGGTATATAATACCGTAGCATAATACGGATATATTAACCCTAATTATAATATATATTTATAAAATAAAATCCGAAAAAGGATATTTCTTTTGCAATATAATAAAAACGCTATTTACCACCTTTTTAAGGCGGGAAAAATAAAAAATATAAAAATTAATTATATCGATTTTCGAAAATTCGTAATATTTTATATACGATTATAAAATCTAAACTAATATTTAAAAAACGGGGATAAAAAATAAAAAAAATGCCTATATTATAATTACGAATATTACGTAATAAAAAAATTAAAATATAGCACTTCCTTAAAAAATATAAAATAATAGGACGTATCCGCGTTATAGCCACCTAATTAAGAAATAATAATACCGAAAATCTAATATAAGCCATAAACGATAAATATAAGCCACCTATATATTTAATAGCTAATTTATTATTATAACTAATTATCGAAATAATAGAAAAAACGGGAAAAACCCGTATTAAAACTATTACCAGCCTATATTTCGTATACTAAAAACCTAAAAAACTAAAAAAACCCTTTAAAAATAATAAAAAATAAAAAAATACCCCTAATATATAATAAAAAATAAACGAATTATCTAAATAATACGGAAATCGACCCTTACGAGCCAGAAAAAAT